ACAATGGCTGCACGGCCTCAAGGTATTCCTCACCCCTCTTAATAGCCTCCTCGATCGTACATACCACTAAACAAAATACAATCAATGATCCTCTGATTTGGTTAGCCATAACCCCTTCGATTCCACCCCCGGTTTTCAATCACATGCTCTTCATGAGCATTGATCGATCAACACGGTGTGTATATCTAGATCGTTCGATTGACGAGGCCTGTAGTCAACATGAGAGTGAGACTTGGGTGGGACAATTCTGGTTCAATTTGGTTTTGCGAAGGAAGTCTTTAGTTGGTGGCGATGCGATTCTCTTTTGACAGAGGATGATCCACTTATTAAGCGAGGTAATAGGGGAAGGAACGACTCCTGCGGCAAAGCGAGGAGGGCTGAAGAACCAGATGTGAAATCGGGAAAGGCCTGGGGGGGGGGGGGGGAATCGAATCTATCCAAGGTACGATAAGGCAAGATGAGTCATTGGATTCTGCCAAAGGACTGCTCTAGGATTGACCACGGAAGATCGACCAAGCTGCCACAAAGATAAGTATCAATCAAGCAGAAACATTTCGTGGAGACAAGAAAGCCCGAGAAGCCGAAGAAAAGTACCTTTCAGGCCTATTTCATATATCATAGTAAGAGGAAAGTCAATCTGAAACCGCATTGGGTCGAGCAACAATTTCAACGGCGGGTCGGCGTGAGCTCTTCCACCCTCTTTCCATTCCAATACAGTTATATAACATACCCATCTAGCAATTGCTGTGCCTGTAGCGCGATGAATGTGAAGGAATGTTGTACTGTGTGTGGCAGGGTTCATCAGTAGTGTGACGCAAGAGTGAGCCTGCCTTGCATGGCGGGGAAATTCGCTTGGCGCTTTGTGAAACGTGGGGAAAGCCAGGAATAGTTGGTTGGTAGCACAGTAGCAACTAACCGCCTTGAGTATGTTGGTCTTGTGCCTTTGGGAATCTAGTGCGATGGAGATATTCCCGGAGCTGGGACGGTCAAGAATAGGCTAACATCTCCAAGAATGGAAAATGACGGCCCGAACGACCTTGACATTTGGTACGGGGTACGCAGAAGCGTTGGACCTGCAATCATGTACGGAGTAGAAGATAGAGTGCATGTATTGGCCTGCTTGGAAAGGCCGTCGTTATCGACTGAGTGAGGATACGACTACCAGGACAAGCCTTTCTCGGTAGAATGAGTACGTGTGAAATTTGTAGCGAAGTAGACGATGAAGATGAGAGAAGAGGAGAGATTTAGTAGCCACTATTTAACCACAATATGCTCGTTAGAGCGAGAAACATCAAGTGTAGATGGGCTGTTTCTCCAATTCTATTGCAGCATCGAATTGATATCTAACCATCTCAGCTCCTGAGCTGGGAGCACATATATTAACACGCTACCCAGCTGTGACTAAAGCCTCCGAGGATCTGTTCCTTCACCAATAACTTGGAATTTGGCCAGTCTTCATTTTCTTCAACGTGGGACCAGCCGAAGACACCCTCTGCATCCGGCACTGCTCTATGCATCTGTCGCCATCTCCCGATATAAGTGTCTTTTATCATCGGGCTCCTGCTAATAGAACCCACAAGGGAACGTGAGATATTCACACCTATGGCCAGACACACCGCCAGATTTGCGTCTGCACCAAGACTGAGCTTCTCCGTGTGTACTCTACGATGTGGAAGACCCCCACATATTTTCCAAGTCTGGACATTTCTTTTGATATGGCCTCTGATTCTCGGTACGGCCGAGCAAATGATTTGATTCCTCGAACTGCAAGTGTAATGTTCGGTATATCAGTGGCAAACATCTCAAGTCAAAACCCATTCACGATCGTTGCCGAATCGTCCGAATTTGGTCTTGAACCCTGACACTTTTTCCTCCGGGCCTTCGATTTCCGATCAATCTCTTCCCAGTCGAATTTCCACTTCGTAATGGACTCGGCCAGCTCTTTATCTCTACTAAGTGGGATGTATTGCGAGCATTGGGCTTCTATGGCTTGGAGTTGGATCCGAAGGAATTTCAGTTCTGACTGATTGGACGAGAAATCATCTTCCCTGCCGATCGTTAGAGACATAAGAGCATATTTGAGCAAAGGTAACCCACATTTCAGCAACACGGTACTCAAGGAGGAGGATCCTCTCGGCGGCCTTCTCGGCTCGATGGACGAGTAAATCGTGGATATGCTAGGCACCGTTAGAAGATTATTTCAAAACAACAGAGTTTCAAGCTTACATCTGACTCGTCTTTCCTAATTTGAAGTTCCATGGCTGTCTTTGCGAGCTGTACAGCTAATTCCTCCGCTGCTTTGGCAATTTCTGTAGCTTTAGAAGCAGTCATCTCCTGTTTAGGAGCCGATGTTGGTGGTTCTCTCCCAGAATCGGGAAGACGTAACCTGATGTTTTGAATCGGACTACGAGGGAGGGAGGGCGCCCAAAGACTTCCTTGCTCTGATGTGTTTCCACTCTCACTTCCAGTATCCAAGTCATCCAGGTTTGGCGCCTGTGGCTTCTCACGCATTAGGGTCTCAATGCCGTCTACTAAGTGATGCATGTTTGTGACAGCTTTATCCTCTATAGAAGGCCCATTTTTTGTTAGTCGCTGCATCAAATCGTTCAGTCGTTCGAGAAGCACATCTTTGTTATCTTGCGTGACATCGTCTTGGCTTGAAAGAGACTCGGCATATCGGGAGTTGGTTGGGGAAGAGAATTGGCGATGCACGACAGGAATATGGGCTATTCCAAGACGTCCGAAGCTCATGGTTGAAGAAAGTTAGAAACCAAGAGCTGGTAGAGAGTGTTTGAAAGCACGACTGAGCCTCATGTCGAAGCAGGTCGTGGTTGGCATTCATATAATAGGGGATGAGCTGTTCGGTGGAGAGACTTTATACCGTGGCTGGACAGCAAGGCTGTCAAAGTGGGGCCCCAGAGGACGCTAAAAATGGCAGAATTTATAAGGCGGTGTACATGGTTAAACTCCTTGCAATACGACGTATCCCCTCCCTGTCAACACTACATATCTTACCAACCTTTAACACATGCTCCAAAGCCGCTTGTCTTGTTTGTTTATGAAAGAGAAGCATATCTAAAATCTAGTCGGGGGCTCGGATTCACCTCTAAGGTGCTCATTTCAACACAATGGCCGGAGTAAGTTTCTATGAGTCAAATATGCGATTCCGGAGCACTGAGAAGAATACAGGAGGACCTCCAGCCTTCGCTGGAAACAATTCGAGACGTACTGAGCAAGACGATTGGCAATCCAAATGGCCCGAATCTAGTACCAGTATACGCTCAAATAGCTTCCGACCTCATCACCCCGTCTCAAGCATACCTCAAGATCTCGAACCATTCCAAGTCGGAATACTCTTTCCTATTCGAGAGTGCAGCAACAGAAAGGGTTGGCAGATACAGTTTCATTGGCGCTGGACCCCGCAAGGTTCTCAAGACCGGCGAAGGCCATGGCCCATGTATAGACCCATTACCTGCGCTTGAGGCAGAGCTCGCGAAGAATCGGATTGCACACGTTCCTGGGTTGGCTCTTCCGCCCTTGACCGGAGGTGCGATTGGATATGTTGGCTACGACTGTGTCCGATATTTTGAGCCCAAGACGGCAAGGCCAATGAAGGATGTTTTAAAGGTCCCCGAATCACTATTCATGCTCTTCGACACAATTGTAGCTTTTGATGCAGTGTTTGGTATGATCAAGGTTGTAACCTACGTTCCCGTTCCCGACGACTTGAAGGACCTTGAAGCAGCCTATGAAAAAGCTAAAGAGATGATCAATGAGGTTGTCGATGTCCTGCAGTCAGAAGATACACCCCTGCCTCCGCAAGCACCTATTGTACTTGACCAGCAAAGTACCTCCAACATCGGCCAAGAAGGTTACGAGAACCACGTCACTACACTGAAGAAGCACATTATCGCCGGAGATATTATCCAAGCCGTTCCATCCCAAAGATTTGCTCGACCAACTTCTTTGCATCCATTCAATATATACCGAAAACTCCGCACTGTCAATCCATCACCATATCTAAATTATATCAATTGCGCAGACTTTCAAATAATTGGCGCCTCCCCTGAACTTCTTGTGAAGAAAGAAAAGGGTCGTATTATCACTCATCCGATAGCTGGGACTGTAAAGAGAGGAAAGACCGAAGAGGAAGACGCAAAGCTTGCACAAGAATTGTCTGACTCATTGAAAGACAGAGCGGAACACGTCATGCTTGTCGACCTAGCAAGAAACGACATCAACCGTGTTTGTGATCCTACAACTGTCAAAGTCGATCGTTTGATGGTTGTTGAGAAATTCAGTCATGTGCAACATCTCGTATCGCAGGTTTCTGGGGTTCTGAGGGCCGGCAAGACTAGATTTGATGCATTTAGATCTATCTTTCCTGCTGGAACCGTGTCCGGAGCGCCAAAAGTCAAGGCTATGGAGCTAATTGCCGAATTAGAAAAGGAAAAGCGAGGAGTCTATGCTGGAGCCGTTGGCTACTTTGGATACGGTAGTGTTGACAGCGATGGAAATGAGACTGAGGGGGAAATGGATACATGTATTGCTCTACGAACAATGGTAGCAAAAGATGGCGTTGCATATCTGCAAGCTGGTACGTCCCACACGCTCTGATCCCTGATTTTGTACTAATTGTGGTTTAGGAGGAGGAATCGTGTTCGACTCCGATCCTTACGACGAGTACGTAGAGACGATCAACAAGCTCTTGGCAAGTTCAACGACCATCAAGCTGGCAGAGGCCGATTACCTTAAGCAACAAATGAAAGAGAAGGCCAATGGCTCAGTCAAGCTAGAAGATGTGCCGGACAGGAAATCACATATTGACCTGGCTGCTGGATAGATAACTAATAAATTAAAAGTTTCCCATCGATTCTTAGACCAAACATGTACATTGTACATTCTACTTTTTGGTTACAGCGACCGAATGGGGTTTCTCGTCTGGATAAGCAAGTGCTTCTTTCTGTTTAAAGCATCGGCGATGTTCTTCCCAATTTCACATCGTCTGCTTCTTGCCAATGCATGAATTTGATCAAAATTTCTCGCTTCTCATTAGCCACAATTACCCCTGATCCCAAGACCTGCCCTGCTAGGGGATCACCAACACCCCACCTAAATGTTTCCTTTCAAAATGAGTGAGTCAGAACAATTCATACGCGCTTCCTTGTACGTGTGTTCTCGAAGGTTGGAGAAAGAGAGTCGCGACAAGGATTAGTCTCCCACCACGATCAATGCATTGTTATTATTACGGTACAGCAGAAGTCAAATTCGCTATGAGTGGAGCTTTGCTGGGATTCGCTACATGAGCAAAATGCTTTGAAGCATAAACATAATCTCTTTTCTGGCAGGTCCACGCGCTTGGTTGTTGTACTGTATATCAAGACCTTTCCTTCACCGCTGCTGTACTGTAGATTCCCGAAGTTCAGATCTCTTCTACAGTATCTCGTCCAGTCTTTACATTACATGCAACACGCACAAAGCCAGACAAAACCCTTTCCCTTTTCAACTCGAGTTGATTGATTGATATAAACGACACATAAACGAGCATTGCATTGCATTGTTCCAACACTCACTTCATGTTCTCTACCAAAAAATCCAAAGACACAACACCCGCACTGGACATGGACCCCACCGCACCACCCGTCTCGCCCCTCGAGAAACCCCTCCCGATCCCGAACCCCTCTGGAAAACGCCCCGGGACTTCTGGCACCGAGTATGTTATGTCTCCCCCCTCCTCACCTCACCTCACATCCGCTAAATCCCCGAATTCAATCCTCTGACACAAACAGACTCGGCCTCCGCGCCAACCGCCGCGCAGCCAGCACGGCCTTCCAGCGTGCCCAGAAAGCAGAACAAGCATACCGCGCCAAACGGCAAGCGACGAATGCGCGCGACGCAGCGAGGGACGCGAAAGCGCATTTCGGGGAGTCCGGGGTGCAGTTTGCGGCGGGGTGTAGGAAGGCGGTTTGTGCGCTAAAGTGTGTTCCGGGGGTGCTTAGGGAGAAGGTAGGTTTCTTCGTCTTCTTCTTCTTCTTCTTCTTTTCCCTCTCCTGGGGCTTAGGTGTGCTGTGCTGATGTATTTTTGTGTAGAAGGGGAATTGGAATAGTAAGCGAGAGGTTAGGGGGCAGGAGAAGGCGGCGGTCAAGAGGAGGAAGTTGGAGGAGAAGATGAAGAGGGCTGAGAAGGAGGGAGGGAGAGAGGGAGAGGGAGATGGGGGTGTGCCTGTGCCTGTGCCTGCTAATGGGGACGCGGTTGTTGCTGAGGCGTAGGATTATTGAGCGGTGTGTATGAATGAGGGCTGGTAATACGGATATCGGTAATTATGGGAACTGTTGGTGTTGTCTTTATTGTTTTGTGCGGACAGGGAATGCAGGGCAAGAGGGTATTGCGGGGCCGAGTGTGGTCAAGTGAGGAGGCATAGCTGGAGGATGGTTTTCTTTTGTTGGCTGCTGGTGCACTACGATACCCACTGCTTGAAAGCTCTTTCTTTTGTCAGTTGCGGCTTTTATATATACTTAGACTGTCGAGAGAGGAAACAAGAAACTCCACTTATCATGAAAACAGACCAGGTTGGAAAGAATCGCATTGAACTGTAATTTGAAAATACTCGCACTGTAAATCCCAAGAAAACCGCCCAGTACCCTCTGGCTGATGGCTGGTTCTTCTGCCCCTTCCACCAACTGAAACTAGATGCATTTCACAATATTCTGCATAGTAACAGCTCCTCTGTCTGCTTCCCCTTTGCTTGCACTGCCCGGGCCACAGCATCTCTCAAATAAGCGCCTCCCCAGCATTCTCCCCCTCGAACCCCAACTCCCCAAGTCGCCTCTTGACAATCTTCTCCCTCCTCGCGTCTTTCGCTTTCTGCTCCTTCTGCAGTCTATGCACAGTTTCCACATCCGCCCTCTCGTATCCCGGCGGCTCGTCGTCGTCTTTATCTAAATCGATCTCCCCTAATAACAGCACATTCTCTCCTCTCACTAGGAAAATGCCCCTGTTGACATCGGCATAGAGGCCGGGTCCGTTGGCGCTAGAGGGGGCGACAAATATCCGCTCAATGGTTGATTGTAGAACTAAATTCGCTGCGAGGCGTCAGATGTAGGATAGAAAGCAGAGATGAGGCGGGGGTGGAATACCAAATTGGTCCCAGCTTCGCAGAACGCCGATCAGTTTCCTTCCATCGCGGAGCGCAACCATAAGTTTTTCTAAACGGACCCCGTATCAGCGACATGTCCTCAGTTCTCTTTCCTCCGGTACAGCAAGTCCGCGCTTTGGCCTGCGCCCGAATGTAGGAACACATACTGTCAGTCAGATCTAGTAACTGCGCAGCAGTAGTGAACATCTGAGGAGGCAATTGCTGGCTCGATGGAGGTGGTAGCATGCCGGGTCCGAGAGGTTGCATCTGTTGCATTGGCGTTTGCGCCCCGCCTTGTTGCGGAGGAGGCATTTCGTTGTCGTGGAGGTTGAGATGCTCCATCTTGTTCAACAGATTATTGTCAAAGATGAAATACTGAATTTCGTTTGCCGCTTATTGGGGTGGGGGCCAATCCATTACGTGTGGTTGTCAAGGAGGGCTGTAAGGGACGCGCAAAGATCGACGGGATGGAATTGTGAAGCTTGAGTGACGATGTCAAAATCACGGGAGTGCAACAAGTGATATTCCGAGTGACTTTAATAAAACTGTGCGAGGCTTCACCGAAACACACTACGGAAATTAATGTTTGATTTAGTTTATGTATTTGATTGATAGTAATAATATCTGTGTAGGGTTATTAATTGAGAAAGTTTTGTATAGCAAAGGGATCCAAATTTTCACGTTGGCGTTTGGGATCAATCAGGTAAGCCACCACCACCACCATGTTTCCAACTCCACTGCGCTCTTGACGACGGCATGTAAAAAAGAAAATACATCCCACTCCGTCCAATGCATCCATATCCATAGTATATGTGGAACCACTTCATGAACGCCATCCTATATGCATACCCACATTCGAAAGTTGTTCAATAGTATCGCAAGGGGAGGGTGCGTTTGGAATACAAGTCGCTTGTATGTTCCGGATTAACAAGAGAAGCCATAATCATTATAGAGCATGGCGATAGATCCGACTTGATTGTCTCTAATGAAGTTGAAGAACCAACAACAAATGCGAGGAAGAAAGCAAGCAAGCCCGTACTTCTAGACCTCTGTACCCACGACCTGACTCCTGACTGCGCAAAATCACCGCGTATTTTCAATATCATTTCGGTCCCGGAATCCTTTCTCAATCAATCGCTGATTCGTGCAAACTCGATGCAGGAATTATAGTAGGTTGAGATCGCCTCGAACCGCGTATATGAATGGGATAGAACGCCGGGGCCGGTAGGCTACCGCTTCAGAGTCGAGCGCTTGAGAGCTTCTAACAGTTCTGGACGAGCGTTCAAAGCCTTCTCTGCTTCTGAATATGTAGCCCACTGTCGATTCCTCTTGTGCTTTTCAGGCCATTCTGCGTGTTCCGTTGTGACCGTAGCCTGGTAGAATTGATAGAGGGCTTTCGGGGCCTCTTTTGACATTTGCTTCGGAGCTCGGGTTTCTATGATTTGTCCAAGATCGTAGTCAATATTGCAGGCTATTCCGGCTTCTTCCCATGCCTCGCGCTGCGCAGCTTCGGTGCAAGACTCGTCTAACTCCCATCCGCCCTTGGGCAGGACCCAGCCGGATCGTCGAGTCGATTGAATCAAGAGCACATGAGTCTTCGCTGCATTAACAGGTACAACACCTGCAACGAGTCTTTCGCCGCCGTCGCCGTAGCCTAAAAAAGCGGGAAAGGGTCAGCAGAAGCTCGATTGTGAGGGAGGAAGGCATTGTTGTGTAGGTGCACGCGAGCAGGGCTTTCGAAGCAGAAAAAACTCACGTTGGTTATTCCTCCCCGTACGAGACTCCATAGACCGGCTTGCCATGGTGAAGGATGAGCTTCACCCGCAAAGGTGCGTTTTGCACAAGTGTAGTTGAGACGCAATGAGTGATTGAGGGGCGAAATTCTTTGTCGAAATCCGGCTGGAAAAGAATGGGCGGCGGTCTCAAAGCTCTGTCATGCTTTAGTGGGGTGGGGCAGAGGAGAGGTACTGTAGAAACCGGAGATAATGCGGCGGCTTACTGTACGGTATCCAATCGATTCAACTTCTGTGGTATGATGCCAAAAATCAACGTCTCGGTCGATGGAGGACAGACAGAATCTGAAGAATTGATTAAATACAGAAACAAAAGTGGAGGAGAGCTAGAGGTGGGCGTGAAAAAGGTGGCGAGTGAGGCGGCGAGCTGTGCATATACAGTAAGGTACAGTAGGTTTGGTGGTGGATGGTGGTGGTGGTACAGTACAAGAAGCAGGGCGGGAGGGATCTTTGACCGATTATTTCTTTGCGGCCCTTGTCTCGTGCCCTGGGTCTGCAGGTAGGCAGGTAGGTAGGTACTTACGGGACAATAACAGTGCGGTACTATTGAGCAACGCTTTCTCTTAAGTGTACTGTAAGTGAAAGTAGTGAAAGTGGTGAAAGTGGTGAAAGCTAGAAAAGTATCTGGAACTGGAACTGGAGACGAGACAAGACGAGACGAGACGAGACGATAAAACCTGCGAGCCGCCTCGTGGTTAAGGGTTCCCAAGCTACAATACATGCCATGCAGGTGGATGTGTAGCGTCAGTACCATACAGCAAGCATACATTACAGTCACAGCTAGGTACTCGAGTACTACTCGTACTTGTACCGAGTACATATCATGAGGTAAATTTACTTACCAAGGTATCCATAGTGGGGTTATTCATCCACCTCTTAATCCGATGTTCCCACCGATATCACCACTACTACCACCACTACTACCACCACTACTACTACCACCACTACTACTACCACCACTACTACTACCACCACTACTACCACCACCACCACCACCAGACAGATACCAGACAAATTTCGCTCGTCACGCTGGTCCCTCGCACTTCGCCGGTTTCCCTCGTTCTGCTAAGCTTGACGCCTACCCAGAGCGAAACCTGAATCTAGCTAGAGCTGGGTACCTACGACCTATCCAGCCTCACTCTACCTACCTACCTACCTTACCTACCTCCTGTGTTGTGGTAGCACCTACCTGAGTCTGGAAGCTCCCTGCATCCTTACGAGTCGCACGAGTCTCATCCAGAAATCGGAAATATCGCCCAGCTTGCCCTTCTCCTGATCGCGTATATTTCGTACTTCTCCCTCTGCACCCCTCCTCCCCCTCCCCCTCCCTATCAAACCAGCCGCAAAACGCGCCGGCTTATTTGTCCGACCCACTGGAATCGCTTCCACCCACTCCCTACCCTCGTCATGCAGTCTGCAGCAACCCCAGTCTCCACGCTGTCTCCCATTGGTAAGACCCAAGTCCCCTTTTTCAGACTGCCTTGGGTCCTTCTCCAATGATCTGTGCCCGTGTTGGAACGGCTCGACGTCGCTGATTCGAAGTTTTTCGACATGTTGTCTGCGTCTCCCTCATAAACTACCCATCTTGACAGCACAACCCCCCCACTCTAGCTATGTAGTCTGTTTGAACCTTCTCATACGGGCTTGTGCTACTTACTCGGCCCGCTGAGGGGCTCCACGACCCCGCACTAAGGAAGGAACTCTACTAGTCTCTCTGTTTGACCCAGAGCAATGACTGAATATAATCACTGACTGGCCTACAGGATATCAGAACAGCAGTTGTGGCTATTGTCACAACAAAACAGGAAGTCAGTCACCAAAACGTAATCCTTTTTCTGTGTCCTTACATACGCATATCGATGTCTCTTTGCTTTACCGGGCACATGTACATATGACCTGAAAGTCTCGGTCTCTCTTCCCCATACTCACCATGTTTACTTTTTGGTGTCTCAGGTTTTTCATATTACGCATCCACAACCTCCCTAGCCCCTGAATTTTATCAATCTCTCATTGATCATGGATGGAGGCGCTCGGGGAGTCTTCTTTACAAGCCAGACCAAAGAAACTCATGCTGCCCCCAATACACAATTCGTCTGGACTCTCAGTCATTCCGTGCATCGAAAGACCAGCGGCAAGCCTTGAACCGATTCAACAAGCACATCCTCGGAGAAAAGTACTCGAAAGAAGCGGCCAGACTCTACCCATTGTCACGAGACAAAGCCAAGAAGCGCAATACAGACTTTGACCTGGTGCAACGTGTTCACGAAAGCGAGAGTTCAGAGCTAAAGACCCCACCGGAACCTGAACATGCTCTAAGGGTTACATTGGAGGCGGACGATTTTACAGAGGAGAAGTATGTGTTGTTCGAGAACTATCAGCGTCTTGTTCATCATGAACCCCCTGGTCGAATTTCAAAGAGTGGTTTCAAGAACTTCCTTTGTTCCTCTCCACTCCCGAGAAGCGAGACGTCTTTTGATGGGTGAGTCGATCTTTGAGTACTACCGCTTCTACCTGGGCAGCTTTCTCTCATATGCATAACATTTTCTGGGTTTGGATCTAGAAGTTTCCTTTTATTATTTAACTTCCTGAGAGAAACAATACTGATATTCCATCTCCTGCAGAAAGGAACGCAAGGTCGGCTCATACCACCAATGCTACAGAATCGATGGAAAGCTCATCGCAATTGGAGTTCTGGACTTATTGCCTCAATGTGTCAGCGCAGTCTATTTCATGTACCACGAATCCGTCAACGAATTTAGTTTCGGGAAGATAGGTGCGTTGAGAGAGGTTGCATTGGCGAAGGAGCAAGGTTATAAGTGGTGGTATGCCGGATTTTATATACACAACTGCATTAAGATGCGGTATAAAGCAGACTACTCCCCACAGTACATGCTGGATCCGGAGTCTTATGATTGGAATCTTCTTGATAATGGATTGAAGAACAAGCTGAGCGACAAGAAGTACGTGAGTCTATCACGTGAGAAGACAATAGGGGAAGTGTCTACAGATGCACCAGGTGATGAGATGGAGACGGAAAAGAAGATTGACGACGGCTTGTACTCGGACGACGACCCATCATCTCTGGATCCAGATACTCCTCTGTTCTCCCGAAAAATGCCTGGAATTCTCACAAAAGAGCAACTCCTCACGGAAGTCGACTTGGATCACGTTAAACTCCGTTTACGTGGACAGGAAGCTCATACCTGCGATCTCGTGAGTTGGGATGACGGTGACGTTGAGGATCTAGCCTCTATGAAGGGAATCATTGGAGAGTTAGCGTCTGCTGTGGGACCAAGAGTGGCACAAGACATGGTTGTCTCTTTCGGTGGTTGACGAGCAGACTGTGCGAACATACCAACGTGGTATATGGGAGGCCCTCAAAGGTGTATCCCTGCGAAGACGAACATTCTCCAAGGCAGCCACTACACCGGCACGACGTTGGCTCTCGATTCCAGTGATTTTTGGCCGGTCTTTTGGAAGCAGAGGTCAGCTGGTCTCTCAATATCCCTAGACTTTATAACATGTTCAGGTCAGCGATATCACACGAACTTGAGGGTGCAAGGAAACAGATGAACGATCCTTATGCTAACGAGTTATGACTACCATGCGTTAAATGGATACAAGCGACGTTAAGAATAAATAGGAAACTATCAAGTATCATGCAGAATGTGCAATGCTCTTCACGCCTGGAACAGCCTTCTCCAAAATATCCAGCACTTCTTTCCATACCTGCGCCTGCATTTTTTGACCTTCTGGACCCAAAACGTTATGTTGCACAGCGCTGTGCTTGGTTAGTCTCATCCATCAGAAGGAAGTGAGGAAGACCTACTTCTTGTAATCTTTATCAGACTGGTAGTGCGTGATATATTTCCCGTTGTCCTCAGGCGGAGTCAATGCAGTGAGCACAAGTGATCGCGCTCCTCCTTCTGTTGTCTTTGACAGTAAAGTCATGAAGCCATTGACGGCCATAGTCATGAGAAAGTTCGTCTGATACTCGCGAGCAAGATCGGATTTCACCATGCCTGCATGATTAGCATTCTATTTTTATTCTTAGCAGGCTTATGGTACGTACCAGGACACAGGGGGTTGACAATAACCTCGGGACTACACCAACATCAGTACGCATCTCAAACTACTCGAAAAGAAATCTTACCTGCTCAACTTGGCAATTTCATTCACAACATACTGCTCCATCAGTTTACTCACATCATACATCTTCATTTTCACGAAATTATCCTTCTGACTCCAAAACCCTAGCACATCTTCCTGCGGCCAGCCATCCGCCTTCCCAATCTTAAGATCCCTATGGTTCCCACTCCCCACAAAACTCATATGCTTCTTCCCACCACCCAACTTCTTTAGCCACGGCAGAAGTTCCAGCGCTAGTAAGCTGGTGCTAAGAACATGAACCTGGATACTCTCTTCCCACCCTTCTTGACTAAGCCTGAAACTTGTAGGAAAGAGACCTGCATTCAAAAGCACGACATCAAGTTTCTTGACCTCTGCTTTCACTCGTTCAGCAAATGCTAATGTCCCCGCGAAGCTAGACATGTCCAACTCCATGACTTTCACTACATCTTTGCCGATAGTATTCGTCGCGTTTTCGATTTGAGCTTTTGCTGCGACGCCTTTGGTAGTTGTACGTGCTGTTATTATGACGGACGATGCGCCTAGATTCACGAAGTGTACTGCGCTGGAAAGGCCGAGACCAGATGAGGCGCCTGTTATCAGGATGTGTTGGCCTTTGAAGGAGCCAGGGGGTGGGAGGCTGGGGAGGGCGAATTTGTTGCGGTAGGCGGTAGTGAGCATCTTGAAGAAAGTTTTGCAATGATTTTCAGGTAGATGAGTAAGATATGTGGTAAAAAGTGATACAAGGTCAATTGCAAGGTGTTATATATAGGGTCTCCCAAAAGTATAGCTTCGGAGACTTTCAAGTCTTCACTAGGGGCAATGTTCACCCGCAAGGTGGAATCTTGATTTGAAAGCATACCAGATCTTCATCCAATAGTCTTATCTCCTTGACTTGAAACCTGCCCGCCGGACAAAGCAACCCCAGTTGTATAGCGCTTGATCATTTCTCTCGTTGAAGTGAAACAAATCCAGCTAGTCCAAGCCCTTCAACTAGAACACTCAGCCTTGCCTTGCCCCACACCCAGCCTCGTTGTAAATGCGGTCCCGACTCCGCATCGCAGAATTATTATTATTTACTTCAAGCTCCAACCCCCCCTCTTCGACCGCATACCACCAACCACAACCAAAAACTGTCGCAAATACCCCAAGGCCCATTGAATTGCCAGTGCTATCCTGGCCGAAACGAAATGGCGCCCTCGGCTTCAACGCAACAAATCCTCCTCTCCCCCGCCGAGCTCTCCTACCTGCACACCTCCCTGTCCCTACACCCCCCCATCCGCCCCGACGGCCGCAGCGCGACAGATTTCCGGCCGCTGCACGCTGAGACGGAGCTCCTGCCGGGGACGTACGGGAGCGCGCGCATATGTTTTGCTGATGGGACGGAGGCTGTTGTGGGGGTTAAGGCTGAGGTTGAGAAATCGGTCCCTAGTTATGTCGGGCATGGCGAGGGAGGTGGAGGGGATGAGGAGAAGGGACGGAATGAGTGGGTGGAGATTGGTGTGGAGATTCCGGGCATGAGGGATGATGATAGCATGCCTGTATTTTTGGCGGCTATGTTGAGTGAGAGTCTGTTGGCTGATGGGGCGTTTACGGCGAGGTTGTGGATTAATAGCAGGTTTCATTGGAAGTTATATCTTGATGTATGTGCTCTCTTTTCTCTTCTCTTCTTCTCAATGAACGCCCTTTCTAACGCAGCGTCTTTTAGATACTGCTCCTTTCGCAACCGCTCTCTTATCCACTACCATTGTTGTCTTTAACGACACATCTGGCGTTACTATCGACGAGATTACCAAAGTTAAAGTCAGAGCAAGATGAGGATCCGTTATTCGACGATGACTGGGATGCATCTGTGCATCTGTATCCAGCCGGCTCGGCGAAACCATCTGTTACGCTGCTTGTTATGGCTGTAAAGGACAATATCATTTTCGATCCGTCAAAAGAAGAGCTTTCTGTTGCCGAAGTTGTACTTGCGGTTTCAATTGCTTCGGACTCTGCGTCTGCTGCCAGTGGGGGAATGGAGGTGGATTCTGGAGCTGGGAGACAGTTGACGCTGCTGGCTGTAAGGACGATTGATCCCCCCAGCCGACTGACGCATCCGGGTGTGCCTAATAGCTTGAATACGGCGACCGGGGGAACTGCGGCAGCCAGTCTTGAGCAAGAGAATAGTAAGAGGGAGGGCCTGCACGAAGAGGGGGTGTGGCAGCCACCGAGGGGAGGAGCAAAGAGGAAGTTAATTGCTGGGATGATTGCTAAGGTACTGGAAAAGGGAGGTGTAGGCGAGGAGGTTCTGGATGGTTTGGATGCTGTGGAGTTGGGCTAGGTTTCTTGTTTGTTTTATAGGTACAAGTGATATTTACAATGGATGATACCCACCCCAACACTCATCTCATCATCATTATGGCAGGATTTTTATATCACCAGATCCCAAGCCACTTCTTCAGAGGCCGTCTTTCCCTCTCTGGCTGGTGTTGCTCTTGCTGCACATCCTCAACAACAGGCGATGCATCATCCACCCCCAACCTCTGCCTTCTTCCCATCCCCGATTCTCATCCCACTCCCCAAAACCTCATCATCGCTCTTCGCCGTCCAGCCGCCAAAGCCCTGCTGCTTATCCATTCCATGCGCCTTTCTATACGCATCCCTCTTCGCAACATCTTCTACACGAGCTCTCCTGCGCTCAATCGTCTCCTGGGTGTTGTAATCACTGGTGAGTTTCAGAACTTCAAAAAACGTGCGCGTGTAGGCGATGGGATGGAGGAAGAATTGCGAGCCGGCCGGTAGCATGTGTGCAAAGGGGGAGTTGCGTTGGAAGTTTGTGAACCAGACTGTAAAGGCTAGGGTTGAGAGCGTGCCCTTTTATTCATCGAATCAGTAAAATATTCCCCTTCCAAATATCGGAATTATCCAATTGGGTACATACAAGAGTGATATACAAATGTATACTCTTATTGTGCAAAAACCAATGCATAAACGTCCCCGGCGGTGGCATCATCTTTGGATACTGTTTAGTCTTCATGGTAGCCTCCTCCTCCTTGCTCAGATTGCGACCTGGGTATTGTCTCGGTGCCGTCCATTTCCTAGCTGGGTGACTGGGCGGGTTGAACTTTGCTGGCTTCTCGAGCAGTATTGGCTGTGGAGCTTTCTTTGCTGGTTTGCCTTTCGCTGCTTTGGATGCATGCCGGATTATCTGGAAGGTGGCAGAGGATTTGCTCCAGATGAGACCCCGCTTCGGAAGCAGGAAACGGGGAATTGAGGTGGTGGGAGGCATGATCGCGTTCCGTTCAAAACGCTCCTTCTATCGAACCACCAAGTGAAGCTTACGATGGCCGTCCAAAATGTTTATACGGCGACCGGTAAATGTCGGAGGTGCTCGCACGAGGTCATGCTTCTTCCGCTTCTTCCAGAAAAAATTGTACCGGGTGCAGTTCCGGGTTTCACCGAGAAGTGGCGCCATACACCAATCAGCATCGTTGGATTGCTCAGGCGGGCTCTCTGTAGTGTGGCTGGTGTTAGACTCTCCGTGTCATCTCGTCCAAGTCTTAATAAAAGTTTCTTGGTCTTCCTTTTTGATCCTCCTTCTTTCCTCCATCATACCTAATAAAACAACAACACATCACCTCCACCTACTCAAAGTCAAGAACAACTGTACATTCTTTCGACTCTACACTTCTACAATTAGACAAGATGCCTTTCAAGGACGGTATGTACTTCGCCTTCATTTTTTACTTCCGGCTTTGATAAGAGCCACGTCACTTGGGGAGATGCGATTTGCCATTGAGCCTCGCCACGTCCGAACTAGACTGCGAGATTTGGATCATGGAATATACGAGAGACGGCGAATCTGATGATGGTGTTTGCATGGGGTTGAGGAGACGTTGTCGCCGACGGCTGCGTGGGCACTGTCGCCACCCCAGCTCTGCCGACCAGCTATGCTGTGATAGCATCAGCTCTGCATCCCGCTATCTCTCTCGCCTACACCATCTCCTACCTCTCTAGACTCAGATATCCAAATGACAGGCCTCTCTAGGCTCTCCGTCACAGCCGCCCCTTTGCGCCGGTAGTCCGGTTTTGTTATTCATCAACCTGCATTTCTCTAATAGACCTCTACTGACATATGCTGCGAATAGGAGACGCAAAGAAGGGTGCCAACCTCTTCAAGACCCGATGCGCACAATGCCACACCCTGGGTGAGGGCGAGGGAAACAAGATCGGTCCCAACTTGCACGGGCTGTTCGGCCGTCACACTGGTCAAGTCGAGGGCTTCTCCTACACAGATGCCAACAAGGCGAAGGGTATTGAGTGGAACAACGACACATTGGTAAGTTTAAAATCTCATGTCAAAGAATCTAAGCATCGAAGGCAACCTCGGTTACAAGACGGTAAAGACTATCAGAAGAAATATAAACTGACATGTGTGACTTGTTAGTTCGAGTACCTCGAGAACCCCAAGAAATATATTCCAGGAACGAAGATGGCATTCGGTGGACTCAAGAAGGAGAAGGACAGGAACGATTTGATCACGTACGCTCCCCTATCCCCTTCACTCCCCAAAGATCTTTTGCTGACAATTAGAACAGTTTCCTTGCCCAGGAGACCAAATAGATAATTCAACCCTTGGCATGTATTTATAATTAGTAAGCAAGCATACACGGGCATGCGGACGGGCGCTATTTGTACTCTAGGATAGATAGATAGACAGACGGGTGGGTGTCGGAAGGGCACCGTGTGATCAATACCAGAACTCAAGACTTTCTCCTCTTCTAATATTTATATTTGCAATATTTGACGGAAATTCACACAAGTTGGGATATGTATAATTCAGATCTGAGAATACGAGACAAGACTTTATGATCCGAGATTATCAGTAAATATTCTCCACATCAAATCTCTTCAAGACTATTCTTATGCTGTCTTTTCAAGTGATAAATGGCCTGGATTACCAGCGAAACGATGTCCCTGAAACATACATGTGGTATCTCGTCTATCCCATATACCTCTCCTACCAAACGCCTGCCTGTACTTTCCATCTTTCTCAATACTTGAAACCACCACCAGTAAGTACAACATCAAAATCCTACCACTCAACCGCCTTCCTTCCAGCTTTCATACTCACCAGCATCATCATCATGACCACCACCAAGCTTACTCCTTCTCATCACAACTCCCGGCCAGACCTTAGCTCGTCAACTCTCAAAATGCCTTCTTTCAAACCACCTACTGTAGAACCCCTCGCACTACTATAGTCGTAATTCTACCCAATGCAGCTTCCAATCTTAAAGATATAATGAATATCCTACTTCGAGTAGATAGATGCACCGATTAAGACATACCTGACGAGAATAGAGGTTGCGTATCCCAAATCCGCGCGTTTGCGTTTGAGTTCGAAAAGCGACATGAGCACTTCAAATACCATACCCAAGGTGGAAAGAAAGAAGGAGAGAAAGAGCAAAGGAAGGAAAACCGGTCCACGTTATAAACAAGGAGGACACGAAAGAAGGATATTGGCGGAATTGTAGTAGTAACTTACTGCTTCTCGTACAGGACGTTAATGGAATGAACGAATGAATGCTGCTTATATTGTCTCATAACTACGGAGGCAAAGAATGTAAAGAAATGGTGAACTAAATGCACGAGACTGAAATAAGTGCGAAGCGCAATAAGCTGTGTTAGATGATAGATGATAGAAAAGGGGCGGATAACAATACTATATGAGCTTGAAGAAGAAGAAGAAGAAGAAAATAGAATTGACTTCTAACTTTTGAAACACGCATTACTCTCCCCCACCTAAAGTACCTGGTCATCCCACCTCCCACCTCTTCGGGCTTTCACCGGAAGGTCCTTTGGTTGGTAGTAGAAGAAATTGCGAAGGCAGCAAGTAAAAGTATATAAACCTCTTCGTTTTGGGTATAATGCTAATGCTACAAACTGTAGACTATAAGCAGCCGGCTTAGGCTGGAATGCGTGCGGAAATTGATATCTACAATCCCCTCTCCTGTAGTCTCTGATACTTCCTAATGTCCTTGACGCTAGCCTTAACAGTACTCAATGCAACTTCCCAATCCTCTCTTAAAATTCTTAGTTCAGCAGCTGGTTGTCTAACAGGCGTCCTCATGTTTCTCTCCAGTGCCTCTATGGCCGCCGCGTGGTGCAGACTGCCTAAGTCAGCCCCCGAGTAGCCAGTGCAACGCACATCACGTGCAACACCTTCCAGATCATCCACCTCATCACTCGTAGCATCCTGAAGGAGCTTTCTGTACAGCGTTTTCAGGATTTCCACACGCTCATCGGGAGTAGGAAGGCCTATGAAGATCGAGGTGCCGAGACGACCTGGGCGCAGCATCGCTTGATCGATGATATCTGGACGGTTCGTGGCGGCGATGACATAGATGCCGGTTCTGCTAGACATGCCGTCAAGTTCGGTGAGGAGGGTGTTGACAACCTTGCTGCTGGCCTCACTCAGGGAATCGTCCCTCTTTGGTACCAGAGCGTCGAGCTCGTCGAAGAATAAGATGCATGGTACGGAGGATCTGGCTCTTTCGAACACCTGCCTAACAGCACGCTCCGACTCGCCCACATACTTGTTGAGGAGCTCAGGACCTGCAGTATGTCAGTATTGCCTGATCGATATTTTGGAGTTTCGGAGTGACATTCAAACGCAGATCAAGTGCTCGGAAAGTTGCATACCTTTAATAGAGATGAAGTTCGCTTTGGACTCATTAGCCACTGCCTTTGCTAGCAGCGTTTTCCCGCATCCAGGAGGCCCCCATAGCAAAACCCCAGCAGGAGCTGTGACACCTAGACGAGCGAACGGTTTGGCGTCCTTGATAGGCTCTACAATGGCCATCTGCAGCTGTTTTCTGACCTCATGCATAGCACCGATATGTGCCCACGTGGTGTCAGGAATAGTGGCGAATCCCTCACGTTTTGCAGACGGTTGGACCTTAGGAAGTGCGGTTAAAAAATCTTGATATGTGATAGGAACGTCTTCATCAGAGGGAAAGTCTCCCGCATGAGCAACGAGAGATCTTGTGATGAGAATAGCAGGTTGGGTAGCTTGAACGTCGATGTCCATGCCATTCTCTAACACTGCACGTTGCTTGATAATGGCCATCGTGCGCTTCATAGCTTCGGTGCCGGCGACCGATACAACATCGTTCAAGTCTGCTCCGACGAATCCAGGGGTGAGTTTTGCTAGAGCTCTGTAGTCAAAGGCCTCGGGTAAATCAAGCTTCTTTGTAAGAGCTTGTAATATCTTCTCGCGAGCTTGCTCATTAGGAACACCTAGATTGATTTCCTTATTGAATCTGCCGGCTCGACGAAGAGCTGGATCCAAGCTATCAGGTCGGTTCGTAGCAGCGATGATAATGACTGGCTTTCCCCCAGTCTTCTCCAATGCCATATCGTCCATACAGGTCAGCATTTGTGCCACTATTCGCTTCTCCATTTCTCTTTGAGCACTCTCTCGTTTGCCCATTATGACATCTATCTCATCAATGAAGACGAGACAAGGGGCCAGCTTTTTGGCTTCCTCAAAAACTTCACGGATCTTCTTTTCGGATTCTCCGGACATTCCAGCAACCAAGGAAGGTGCTGATAAAGGTATGTATGAGACGCCTATTTCTGCAGCAAAAGCATGAGCTATCATAGTCTTCCCACAACCAGGAGGACCATGAAGCAACACTCCTCGAGGAGGGTCTATACCCCTTCGTAGGTATAATTTTGGATAACACCTACAATCAAGATCTCAGAGTCAGTCTTGCCTCATGTGGTGATTTTGGGGGATGGAACAATCTTTCCGGGGGGAGGAAATCTTTCGAGTAGACACTTGTCCGAAAAGGGAACTTTCTACAAGGATATCTCTTACATAGGCATAGCAACAGCTTCATTCAAGGCTAGAATAACATCATCTACGCCGCCAAGGTCTTCCAAAGCAACACCGGTTGGTGGTTTCCGATCGAGTTCCTTCACTGGCCCTCGGTCACCCTTCCGACGTTTTGGTTTAGGCTCTCCAGTTGCGCTTCGGTCTGCTTTGGCTGGGGAATTCATAATTTCGCTATTTGGCATCGATGGGACTGGGTCAGTCGGGGTTGATTCCATTGGACTGTTTTCTCTTGGGGTGATTGCTGAAGTCGGGTTTGCCCACATTCTGACAATGCTTCTATTCATAATATTGTGGTCCTATGTAGAAGAAGCGTACGTCGTTAGCCTGGACATTCTTAACAGCAATTACACCCGAAATTTATGGTCTACTCTAACCTTTACTGGAGGCGGTACTGAATCGTCGATACCTTCGAAATCGCCCTCTAAGGAATCAGCATCGTCTAGCTCTTCACTCTTAAGAACGTCAAGAACACGCTCGATACAGCTCTCAAGTAACTTCTTGGGCCGCCGCTTCAGACTTGAGTTTGAATGCTTGATCCAATCGTAAACAGTCGAGACTGTTAGCTTATTCGCCGAAGCGTAATGCTGGTCATCGGCGAGCTTCCGAACTATCTGATATATCTCCTTATCTAAAGCCTGGCTAAGGGTTGGCCTTTGAGTGGTTCGCGGGACCATGATTTTGTTGGCGTATATGTCGTAGAAGAATGTATTCCTGGGAGTTGTATGATTGACTGGCGCGGGTAGATTCGACCTCGAAATACTGTGGGATGGTACTTTTTTTCTCTCGGCAACCAATCATCGTCGGTGTCGGCGATTGAAGATTGCGGTTCTTATCGATTACGATCTTGCACACGAGCATCGCATCGCCCCTTATCTGCACCTCACATGCCTGCCAGCCTCACTCATGACGACTTCAAATAGCATAACCCCCGCGACAGCAACATCATGCCATAAACTATAGCAGATACCCAGTAACGATAATGGGGAACTCGCCAAGTAGTCACAAGATATCTGCCCAGGATAAGTACGACCCCCCCTCGGCGAGTCATCACTCAATTGCTAACCTAAGCAGGGCCATCCTGGACATGAAGAACCAGCGCGACAAGCTACACCAATACCAGCGGCGCATCACCGTGCTCACCGATCGCGAGAAATCCATAGCGAAGGAGATGCTGGCAAAGGGGAACAAAGAGAAAGCACTGTTAGCGTTACGGCGGAAGAAGTACCAAGAGTCCCTGCTGGCGAAGACGGATGCGCAGCTGGAACAGCTGGAGAAGCTGACCAGCAGTGTGGAGTTTGCGCTGGTGCAGAAGGATGTGGTATTCGGTTTACAGCAGGGCACGAATGTGCTCAAGGAGATACATAAGGAAATGGGTGGATTGGAGCATGTGGAGAAGCTGATGGGCGATACGGCGGAGGCCGTTGCGTATCAGCAGGTCAGTAACTTGGGATTGGTATATGGTATCTGGCTAATGTTTGTACAGGAGGTGAGTGATATGCTGGGAGGTCAAATATCGAATCAGGACGAAGATGAGGTCGAGGATGAGCTTGAGGCTCTCGAAGCAGAAGTTACCGGAGTACCACTTCCCGCGGTTCCTACGACTGAGCTACCTAGCGAAGCCAAGAAGCAGAAAGAAATAGCCAGGCGGCGAGAAAGGGAACGGGAGAAGGAAGAGCGTACAGCTATGTTTGCATGAGAGGATCTTTGTTGCATTGGCAGGCGTTGTGAGCATTTAAATGAGTAAATACCCAAGATTTTCAGAATTTAAGACGATTGGAGTTCCTGGAGCAGCATGCTGAGGGAATTGTATATATTTGGGGAGCCTCGCTTCCACCCATAGGTAGGCTATGATATAGAGAGATACAGCTTAATGCCAGACTTCTTTTTGTGCGGCTATCCGAGTTGATATTAATGAAGAATCTTTTTCATTTCCATAATTCATAAAGCGTCGATTGGGGTATTCGCCAAAATCAAGAATATTGTTGTCCCTGAATGCAAAGTTCCGAAACTCCACGCTCGACAAATTACCACCGATGCAATGCAGAGACACTTCCCCCAACATAACCAAACAGTAATACAATCATAATGTAAATATGGCGACACTCCAAGCGCCAAAATTCTTCCAAATGCAACCTTCACTGACGTCGCCCTCCCCCACACAACACCTCCTGATATCACTGCTGTTTCATTCGGGGTTCGATATATGTTTGAGGGATTTAAAGTTCTCTCAATCAAGGGTGACGACTTGGCGCCTGGGTGGCCCATGGGTCGCGCGCCCATGATTTATTGTTAGAGCCGGACTACGAGCAGCGTAACGTTCGTCGTAAAGCGGCTGGTTCTGCTCATAAAGCACAGGCCGGTGTTTTTCTTCTCTATATCTTGGTCACGCAAATATGCGTCAGCAAACCTGGGATATGAACTGACAATGAGTGAACTTACATAGATCTCTCCTCGTATCGTACTGGAGACCTTGCTCTAGCTGGAGGAACTGATGAAGATGATCCAGTATCATGGCCACGGGAAATATTGTCTTGAGCAAATTTCTGACGCTCCATACGAGGTCTATCACAGACGGCAAAACCATTTCTACCTGAGACCTGGCCATCAAGCCGAGATTGGGAGAGTTCGTGAGAAAGAACTTGCTCTGAAACAAGAGGACGATGGCCTATATCATAGGAACGAGAAACCGTGCTGGAAACAGGAAAGTTGGAAGACTGGCCCATTTGGAAGCCATTTACATGGTGACTAGGCTCGTCAAGTCGAGGACCACAATCAAACTCATGTGTTCTCATATCTTGAATCTCTCTCCCGTTCTCACTTGCATTGACCTGTCGACGATAAACGGGCTCACCAGCGGTTTCACGAAGTGGCATTGGAGAACCCATACGACGTGAAATACGAGATCCTTCTCGGTAGCCAGTATCAACTGTATCTCTCCTGAAATACTCATGAGGCCTTTCAAGGCTACCTGTGCCGGGCGCATCGTATACAGGAATCCGTTCGGCAGAATGATATGAAGAACGAACACCCCCCAACAAACCTTGACTAGATTCAGACTGCATAGCAGAACGTCGAACAGGAAAGTCTCTTGATTGAACAGATGATGGTTGCATAAAATGAGAATGAGCCGGCGGCGATGTAGCATGGACAGTATAATCACGAGATGGACGAGATCTAAATTGACCGGAATCATCTTCGCGCACCATGCGTCGACGTTTAACATGGGGACTATCATCATCAATGACGATTACTTGCCGCCGTGGTGGTGATAGTCTCTGATCATTTACCGCCATTCGAGGATGTGATTCCTGAGGGGGATTAAAGCGATCATGAATATCGCGCCGCTCAATTACATGACGTGGCTGATTTATGGGATCGCCAGAGGGCATTTCAATTGAAGGCACAAGCATGTCCTGAAGGCCATGCCTCTGTGGAGTTCTTCTCACAACTTGTGATGGTCTCTGCTCGCTTACAGATTGAAAATTGTTGCCATGATAGGGCAGCTTCTCAGGGTACATGCGCTGTTCAGCTTGTAGTGTTGATATTACCTGGTTTCCGGGCATCGAGATTCCTGGGGCCGGTCTATGCATTGAGTGATGGGAAGTCTATTGGTATTAGTACTGCGGATCGACCCTACGACGACCCCACGGTTGTAGGGAAAATATATATTTGCACTTACTGGACGCGCCATTGAGCCACCGCCTAGTCGTTCGCGATCGAACTGGCCTTGCTCTGAGCTTCTGTAAAAAGAATGTGTTCGGTTTTGGGGATATTGGGCTACACTATGAGTTGATGACGTTACCGTAGCTTGGGGTCGTCTGTTGGTTGAGTTACTAGATGGTCTGATACCGTGGTGTGCAGGAGCTTGCCTCCCTTGGGCCTCAGTCCATGCGTCCCGGTAACGTTGATTCCCTCTTCGTCTTCCTTCGTTGTTGTTCTGGTCTGTTTTTGACCTAGTACGCGAAGCGATTGCGTCTTCTGGTCTTGGTGTACTTCCAGTTGACCATTGACGAACCATGCTCTGAGGTCTGCGGATATCTGGGTGAGCTAAATGCGGCCGTTGAATAGGTGGGTTTCGTGGAGAAAGGACTTCTGGCGAGCTTTCAGAAGTGACTTCCCCTTCCTTATCCGAGGCGTCTTCATCAGAAGTGATTCCATCCTCACTGTCGTCCTCATCCTCGTTCTCAGAATCGGTAATGACAACGACTTCACGCAGGATTTCATCTAGTTGATCCCTACCAGTCTCCTCGTCGCCGCGCCATTTGACAAGGATATCTAAACATACTGGTTCAACTACCTTACGAGCGTTCATCCATTGCGTCTCTTTTAGGAGCTGGTCATATCTTGTGTGGGTGTGTCTAATATGGGCAAGAACGGCAAGTTGAATTCGGCGAGATAGTGGAATTCCCGGCTGCAAACCAACAGTCTTCTCCCCATGGAACAATACCCCCTAGATCTATCAGTATCAAGCGCACGGTGACATTCCATTCACTTACCTTTTGGAAAGCGTGTTCTAAGATTATAGTTCGGTCGGTATTTGGTATCCTAGGGAATAAATCTCGTATTGCCGCATTGGCCTGCTTGTTTATTTCCTCCTGAGATTCCGGAATAGGTTCTACTTGCCCTGGGGTGAACGAGCCAAGGATTGTGTCGCCAACGATGGCGCGAGCATCATCAAGTATTGCTTCTCGAAAGTGGTATCCAGTCCGGTAGGTATGTTCAGAGACTTTCGAAACTCCTTCCTTCGAGGACTGTGGTAAACTGTCAGCTGGATCAGTACTTCTTGGAGGGCGATGCGCTTACCGAAACTATAAACATCATTGCATCTCTATTTCGAGAAAGATCTTTGCACATATTCGTTAAGTCTGGGTCACCGACGGGGACGAATGCGAAACCGGGAGGTGGGTTGATGTCTTTCGTAACCTAGAGATGGCAGGTCAGTAGACACCTCCAGAATGGCCGAAGGACTTACCTGAAACTCCAACTTCTTCTTCTTCTCCTTATTCTCTGCAAATTCGAAATAAGATTTATACTTCGACTTGACTTTGGGTACATTCAGCTTGCCAACAAGGTGAGAAGGAGCTGGCTCCGCCCATTGACCAGGTGTGATCTTCGCCTTGTCTCGTCTTCGTTGCTCAAGCTTACGAAGACGTCTATCTTCCTTGAGACCGCCAGCGCGGACATTTTTGACAGTTTTGCCAGACTTTGCTGCCACCCGCAGCACTGCCTTACTTATGACTTTTCCCTTCTTTTTCGTCCTCGTCATCGTAGCGGAACGCAACCTACCTTTATCGAACACACCTGCTTGCGTTAATGCGAGACAACCACGATATCAAATAACCCTACAGCTCCAACAGCAGAGACTGTGATGTAAATGAGTTGTGTCCTAGATTCAGGATAGTGTCGCAATGCAAGTAAATGATGAGGAAAGTCGTTGGGCGACATACGAAGTAGAGAGGGAGAACGCCCGACGCCTGTCGCCCAGTTCCAGTCCAGTCCACCCGTCGTCAAAATTACGTTCATTAGCGCGGTTTACCCGAGCCGAGTCTGGACGTACCCGATCTGTCTGCCTCCCCGTTTGTTCTAAAGTATACGGCATTTGAGAGATGTAAAGATAGGTTTCAAGTTAAATAATTGAAAGAGGTTTCCCTCAACGTACAGCTAAATCTTGAAAATGAAAAAAGACCAGTCATTGTAGAATTGCTGGTTACGCTAATGCGCATCTACCAAACATAAGTTCTCACGAAGTTATCCATTCTTGGGCATTGTTACTAACACTAAAGATGTGATTTCATTTGTATCAAATCTGGTAGAATCCCACCAAGTTCTAAGTACATGTGGCCCATCCAAGCCGTTCATTTGAAGTATTTACCGTAACCTGCCCATAAACTCCAAAGTGATGCAATGCAACCCATGATTTCCCTTTAATCCAGGGCATTAATCTGTTTCTTGATAAACTCGAAAACGGAAAAGAAGATCGAGTTTACAACGCAGCTTCGACCCATCGAAACCCCCAGCCCACGGTACAACTTCCTGTTGAAAAATTCTATCCTGGGGGCCTTGTTGACTTGTTCACCCTTGGCGACTGTCAAGCAATTACGTTGGTAGATGCTTTTGGCAGAATCTATAGGGTAAATCAAGGCCCAGCTTGCAACGCCACATAAACCACCCGCAAACAGTACTGACAATGGATTGGTTGGTGAAGAATCTCCAGTATACGTCGTTATCAGTTGTTTGCTACTCTCGTACGTCATAAAGTATATTGAGGTACCCAGCGTATCTCTCACTACAATATTTTCAGTGAGGGTTTTGGGAGCAATATATGGATGACTTACGCAAATGGAGGTTGAAGCCAGAATACAACCCTGCAATTCCCCGATGCTTGATGATGTTCTTGGCAGTCTGAAAAGTACCCTTATTTTGGTAACTTGACGCAACAGCTCTGGCAGCTCTACCCTTGCTACTCGAGATACCTGTAGCATCCGAGACACTCGAATGCTTATGGGCCATAAGAACAGAAACCTGAGCGGAGACCTTGGTCAATTCGAATGGACCTAATAATGTTAGCCAGAGTGGAGCAGGATAGGCGTTCGACCTACAAGCAACCAGTGTAATGAAAGAGCCCGCCGTGGCTCCCGCAGCCCCAAAGCAAGCGAGTGTAGACAAATTAGGATAGGTGCCGGGAGTGTTGACGTGAATCAGCGGATCCAGACCAAAGTTCCTCTTGAACCACGCAGCATATGTATATTTCGATTTCTGATATACGGAGAAAGATATAGTTCGAACCAGAGTTACGCTGGCCATGGGAGCTGCAACTCCTCGAAAGAACCCTCGAAAACTTTCCGTCTGATAGGTGTGACGGACGCAATCGGCGAAACTGTTGTAATTATAGGTCTGCATGCGAGTCTTTACGGAATCCAAGGGAAACTGAGTAGTCAGATTTGACATCTAGAAGCTGGGAGATATAGACTTACTGCAGCAAATGTTGAGAGGACACTGCTAGCAGACGCCGCCACCTCCGTACGATATCGCTTGAGCCATTTCTTCCGCTTCGCAGCGTTGCTTTCCTCAACCCGGTCTGCCATTGTAGGTTGTGGAGGGGGTCCGCGATATGAAGGAACGCCAACAGGCATGCTGAAAGGGCTTCGTGTCCACGACAGGTACTGCTGGGAGGAACGCAGTCCTCAAGGCCAAATTAACGGCGAGAAAACCTCCATGAAGGAAGCCTTCACGAGTCTTCGCCTATCGAGCGAGCAGGAGAGTGAGCTCACTTCGCGAGTCAGTCTGCGAAGATGTTGGAATGTAACGGTTGAAGGGTGTGGTATAAGCGGGGCGGGGTCGATTGGTACACAATAGGCCGTACCTGGAAGCTGCAGTCTGGTGAAGACTTGAGAAAGGTAAGGATTGTTGATGATTGCACATGGCAACTCACAGTACCGTAGTAACCCACGTATCTGATGCCAAGAACTGGCTGACTGGGTAGTATGGGTGCAGACGGGCCACCGTAGCCTGGGTATGATGCGGTAATGTAATACCCCTCGATTCAATATATTGTCAAATCCACCCACAAATTCCTTTGCTTTGATGTATTTATCTTTGTATTTGTTTGTATATATATTTGTTTGTTTCCCTGGTCTTAGTAAGTTTATGATGAACAGCAGTCTACATTCATTTGAGGGAAATCATGAGTCACAGCAGCTTTGATGGGGTTCTACGTGCGGGTTTCTGGTCGGAGTACTTACTGTACCTACCTACAGTATCTATCATTATAAGTAGCAGTGATCATTGATCAAGATGTTCCATACCATGATGAACTCATTCTGGGAGGCTTGATGGATTAAGCTTATTATTTACATGGTTGAATGAGTTTAGTGTAACAACGGTTCTTCTTCATCTAATTCCAAACAAAATCAAACTCTCCTCATCCTCATCCTAACTCGGAATAGCGTTAGTTAGGCTCGCTGTACCGTAGTACTTTCCAGGCATATCTTACTTCTCCCCAGATAGAAATATTGTTTGAAATGAGATGGAGCGATCTGAGAAGTCCTGGGACTTAGCCTCATCTCGGGGTTTGTCCGTTGACAGATGTACTTCAGCCAGCTAGCATAGACATAGCAATAAATGCCCTTCTTGTTGCTTGAAGGGTTCCCGGATCTTTCCTCCTGGGCTCGACATTGGGTCCTAGGTACACGGAATATGGAATTGAGCTTGCTTTGAATGTCACAGGCCCGAAACTCCGGATTCCACTCCGATCTCACTCCAACCCCTAGAGGCTGAGCCTCAATCCCAGGCCCATCTTGGATTCTCTTTTCCTCTTCCCTCCCCTTGAAATGAGCAAAAGAACAGAATGACACCGTGCAATATTTGTGTATCCCGAGGAATGCACGTGACGACACCTCGAGGAAAGTTGAGTAGCTTAACGCAAGCAGAGACCCATACTATCGTTGAGCATTGCCAAGGTCATGTCATAATGGAGAAATGCTGTGCGTTGAATGTTTGCGGCATTTAGAGAGCTAGGTTGCTCATAGAATTTGTCAGGACGTCTACTATGGCGTTGCATTCGAGCACTGTACATTGTTAACTCGAAACTTTGCCTCGATACAGGGTATACATACTTGGCAGTGAAATAGCCTCGTGTGAGAAGTAGATTCTTGAGTATCTTGTGCTCCAAGCCTGTTTCTTTAGCTGCTCCATCTAGAAATTCAAGCGTTCTTTGTATTTTTGCGTTGTCAAAATTTCCTGGTTTTCCATTACGATAGGCTTCTCTCAGTTGATCCCTAGCAACGTATCTAGCGGGTTTGGAAAATTGAACTCCTCGCAGTAGGGCCCGATACATATGCCGATATGAATGTATCAGCTCAAGATGCGTGGCATTCGACATTGGGGTTTGCGTATGGTAGGCGTTGGCGTTGATGTATTGCTAGGAGGACGTTCGGGAGCTCAAGTCTCCAGCTGTCAAAGACCGGCCGGCGCACGGTTCAAGTCTCCTTTCGTCATCTTGACTTGACTCCAACTATAGACTCGAACCGCCAAGCAACTTTGTAGACTCCCCACGAAACATTTATTATTACGAATGCTCTCCAAATGAGATCTTTGTACCCCAAATGACATCTCTCGTGTCAGATTTCCTTATAAACCCCGTTCTACGCCAGGCCCGCCGCTTCTCCCGCTCCACCTCATCAGGAGACCATATCGATCCCGTAACGAACCAGCGAACACCCTTGGAAATTCGCCATGAGGTTGCTGTCGAGGATATAGCAGGACATCTGGAGGAGTTGCGCGGGCCAGGGATTGAGGGGGATGGAGTCACCGAAAGTCTTTCGGGGGCAATTCTAACCTCGTCTCCCATCGAAGAAGACGGAGGACTCGATGCAGAACTACAAGCACAGGAGGCAAACGGAGCAAATGGTCCCCCTTCATTTGAATCTGCGTACATATCACCTTTGCTTGTGAGCTCTATACGATCGAACACCGATCCAGTCGACGATGATGTCTCGGACAATCCATCATTTGGAGTTCCCTCGCGATTCCGAACGGACTCTGCAACGAGTGCCACATTTAGTACGAACCACACTGTTGTTGATTCGACCATGAGTCCCGCCGAAGGACCTTCAAGACGCTCGACACAAGAGCTTAGGCAAGGCTCTAGTCACCAGAGAAACAGCTCACTGCCAGCAGACGATGGGATGGGTGCTCTACGGCAGCAAATTATCAGCATACAAGCGATGGATGTTCCGAATGAGGAGAAAGCCCGTCACATGCACAAGCTTCTTACTCGAGGCTATAGTAGAGCTCAAGAATTCCACATAAAACTCCAACCTCAAGCAACAGCACCAGAGGAGATGATCAGCCAAGAGCGACCTGCTACGCCTGGGTCACTGAGCTCCTTCATATGGCAAATGAATGGTGCACCAGAATCTGGTCTTGCAAACCATCAACACACATTTCACCTCTCGCCAGAGGATCTGAGGCCGACTTTTTATGAACCGTTATTCATTCCAGAGTTGGACGCAGATGGAGAAAGTCAAATTGAAGATGGTATTCCAGTACTAGGCTGCCCACATTACAAAAGGAACGTAAAGTTACAATGTTCAACCTGTGATCGATGGTATACCTGTCGGCTGTGCCACGATAAAGTCGAAGACCACATTTTAATACGGAAGGCCACGAAAAATATGCTTTGCATGTTGTGTGGTTGTGCTCAAGGGGCCGGTGAGGTCTGCGTCGAATGTGGCGAGAGGACTGCGTGGTACTACTGTGGTGTCTGCAAGCTGTGGGACAATGATTCGAGTAAGAGCATTTATCACTGCAATGATTGTGGCATCTGCAGAAAGGGTCGCGGCCTTGGCAAAGACTTCTTCCATTGCAAGGTTTGTTTCCTTTTAATGATTTGTATTGCTTACTAATTATTCCTAGACTTGTGGCGTCTGCATGTCTATGTCTGTGGAACATTCTCACAAGTGCATCGAACGCGTCTCAGATTGTGATTGTCCAATCTGTGGAGAGTACATGTTTACCTCGCCCTCTCCGGTGGTATTCATGCTCTGCGGACATAGTATCCACAAAGCATGTTATGATGAGCATATGAAATCTTCTTACAAGTGCCCGATTTGCAGCAAAAGCACAGTGAACATGGAGTCACAGTTTCGAAATCTCGACCGAGCTATTGACAGTCAGCCAATGCCTCCCCAGTTCCAGGACACAAAGGCCATGGTATCATGCAATGATTGCTATGCCAAAAGTGCCGTGAAGTATCACTGGCTTGGGCTAAAATGTGCAATATGCGATTCATACAATACGGCACAGCTTTCAATCTTAAGCGACCCGGCCATCGAAGTCCCCCCTATCGAAAATAGAGAATTGGAGCTTGTTTCGCCTCCTGACTTAGGGAACGGGGAAATAGCGTCATCGGGATATCTTGGTGTTGGTCCGCCACGAACCCGAAGGCATTCTTACCACGTGCAGCCGCCAATACCAATCGAGGGATCAAATCGATTCTCCCCGTATTCAGCTCTTCAGCGATTGGGTAGATCGGTGTCTCCAATTCGGGGTATTGGATTATTTGGAGAGCCAGCCGGCGCCATGGCAATTGAGACAGATGATTCAGCAGAGGAAGACGAACTCGACTTCTGGGGCAGAGATGAACCACGAAGTGTGACATCAGGTGAGAATATCGATGAAGTGGAAGAAGACGCTGAGTCGGATGATGACTCGGCTATGGATGACTGCGATGATGACGGCGAGGACGGCGATGATGAAGACCAGTTTGAGATTTTTGGGCATCGTTAAATATCTGGGTTGGGTCTCGGAGAAGGGGTTTGCATTTGGGCCTGGCGTTTCTGTACCATACGACATATTATGATTAGGGCATATCTGGATTCGTAATTCATACCTAGATGTACGAACGGGAGTTTGGTTATGGGATGGGCTCAGAGAGATTGTATTATGAATTCAACATCCGCTTTATACTTCAAATTGATGCATCTTTGTGGATTGGATATTGTTCATCGTAAAATCAGGACTTCCTTGCCCTCGGAATATAATCGTAATCCATGTCCATGTGGTGCCACTTGGGTACCAACGTGTGCCTCTGCCCCACTCGAAAGACGCCCCCGACGCCTGTCCCATGAAGCATGAACTCCCATTTAATGGCAGTGAATGGGGTATAGATCCATCTTCCTCAAAAATCTTGAATACCCTTCATCGCTGAGAGCCTCCCTGTAACGCTTGCCCTCTGACTTCCTCCCCCTCCTTCCTCAACTCCTTGACCACGGACTACACGTATCAGTTTTCCGAGAGAGAATCAAAGAACTTTTAATTCGAGACCTACTGCCAGGGCTTCTGGGTTGACACCATTCTCAATCAATGATATGCAAATCGACAGAGTCTGTCGGTCGAGATCCGCGTTCTACAGTCGCTATCAGTTGGCCGTAATTATTGCATGCATGCTGCTTGATAGGAAACATACCAGTAGAGTGGAGATTTCGTGGAATACATCAATGACTTGGCGAGCTTGCGCAGTTTTAGTTTCTTTGTCTTGCTTGGAGTCAGCTTCTGGAGGCATGATGGGAGGTTGTGGATTGATTTGGTCAAGTCGCGGCCATGAGGCTGAGGAAAGGGCGCCGAGAAAAAGAACGCGACTCGCGTTTGCTCCAGATTTGGCTGCCCCGCCTTCACCCTACCCCACGCCCTTCATGTCAATGTTCGTAAGTATTATTATTCTATGATTTAAATAGGAGTCGGTGATACGGCATTATATAAAACGGAATCAAGACTTTACAAGACTCTTCTAAATTCAAATTTAAACTACAATCAAAGCTATCATGTCCAAACCAGCCTTCACCGGAGGCTGCCAATGCGGCCAGGTCACCTACTCCAGCACACACCTCCCATCACACTTCACAACCTGCCACTGCTCAACCTGCCGCAAAGTCTCCGGCGCACCATTCCTCACGTTCGGAGAAGTGCCCGTCAACTCTCTAACATTCACACCCGCCCTCTCGTCTCTCAAGAAAACCGCATATTCAGACTTCGCGGACAGGACTCATTGTCCAGAATGCGGCTCTCCAATTTCCATGCAGTACAAGTGGGAGCCTGAGCTGATACATCTCACTGCTGGCACGATCAATGAGCAGAGTGTGAAGGGGAATATGCCAAAGATAGAACAGCATATATTTGTGCAACAGAAGGCAGGGTGGCATGATTTGCTGGATGATGGGGTCCCGAAGCAAGAGACGTTTGGATCTGGCTTCCAGAAGAAATTGGCGGCGTGGAAAAGGGAATTGGCTAAGTTGTAGTGAAGACTTGTCTTGGATTTGGGTTCTGACAAAATCATAAGAGGCTCTTTCTGGTCTTGCCTCGCCGAACAGAACGCGTACCAATAACCCATATGCGGCTTTCCTCTTATCGTAGTCAAACTTTATGAATTTATAACTCCACTTTGACACCTTCAATTCTAGCGATTATACCTTCATAGCTTCCACGAAAAGCTCCCTCATCCCTTTACACAGAAGACGCAAGTCCCTAATCTCATTCAATTGATCCACTATCCTGTCAACCTTTTCCTGCTCAAGCTTTGGTTTGCAGCTAGCAATTTCGTATTCCCTTTTCGAAGTATCCAGCTCGAAGAACGCCTCTCTCTTCCAGTCGCGGTCATCGATATGTGAGTAAGAGAACTTCAATCTATCGTTCTGTCCGGCTCCTTCAATCTCCATGCACAAGGTCGAGGTCCAAAAGTCCAATTCCGGGATATTGAAGCGTGACTGGGCGTCTAGATGTTTCGCATAAGCTCGCTGTGCTGCCAACTTCGCATCAATTTGTTTCTGTGTCTCGGCGATTTGTTGTTTGAGAGTCTCCTTGCTAGCTAGATGGGCATCTCGTTGTACGCTGAGTGAAGCAATAGCAGCTTGCATCTCATTCGTCTCGGCGGCTTCCTTGGCCAGTGTTTGTTGATGAGAGTTGCTCTTCGAGGTCATAATTTCGATATCCTTCTTTTTCATGCGCTGATCCTCTGCGACACTGTTAGTCAAATCCCAAATATCAACAATGCGCGCGCATACCTTGAAGCTCAGCAACATTCATGCGAAACTGGTTCCTTTCCTGCAATACACGCTTCCGGCCTTGCTCTATGAAAGTATCGAATCTCATTGTAAACTTCGCCATTCTGTCGCGCAGCTCGTCGAAGCCGAAATTGATGCTGGGGAGCGAGTCGGCCATTGAAGGTGCGTCAGCGCTGGAAAGTGGAGGGCGCATGGCGCTCGTTGAAAGAGAGGGCTCGAATATTGTCGACATTTTGCTTCTGTGAAATCGCTTGTAGGAAATATTTTTTTTTGCTGCCGTAGACTTTGAGGACGACAATCGAAGTTCTAATGAAGCGCGTATTGCTCCGTTCCCAAAATGTAACTTTGAAAACAGAGGTTGCCATGGATACAGTAGATGACTAAGCCAAGCAAACGCGGAACCCTCGTCAGAAAAATTTGGGCCAGAAAGTTTCATGTGAACATAATGAGAATATGAATAGCACCAATATTCAATACATTCATCTTGCTCTTGATTCTTAATCAAATATCAATAGAATGACTTGGATAGCTCGTTATCAAGCACAACCTCGAGCAAAGCCAAATGACTGACCATCGAGCCACTGACCTTTCCTATGGCCACCTCGGAAAGGCATCTTATGATTCCGAAGAGAATCAATGGACGTTTTCCATAAGTTTGAATGAAGGTAAGTTTAGAAATGTAATGTGGGAGTTTTACTTACATGTACAGAGCAACACATCCGTCAAATTCAGCCAATCACAGAATGCCTTCCACTCTCTACCCAGACAACTCCCCGGGAAGAAAAACATGGCTCGGTCATTGCCAAATCCCAATCGAAAGGTCTTTCAAAAAGCCACCCAGAAATGTTTCCGGGGAATGAGATTATAGCTAGCCTTGTCAATGCTCCTCAAGCGCCCAATTTTTCATCTGACTTTGGGACACTCATGACAATAGGACAGGCAGTAGACTCTGATCGTTTGTCTGGCCAGTCGAGACCTTCGATTGCTGCGATACCATGTGGTGAGGCGGGGCATGTTCTACGCCTAGTCAGACTTCGCACGCAGAAGTACTCATGGGAAGCGCAGAATGGGCCGAGTCTTTCTCTATTGGATCCAGATTACAAGGACCAAGGCTACTGGATGGGAAGCGGGGGAACGATTCGCCAGATCACCTTTTCAGAGGATGAGAACGGGTCTAGGACTTGGCTCGCTGTACGACAATCGAGCGTGACAACTATCTACCGTCCCTTTCTGGGTCAAGTTCAACCTGCTGCAGTCCCTACCAGCTTCAGGAATACTTACCCACCTTCACGACTCAGTGCAAACCCGGTAGCAGTTTTAACTACGGAGAGATCTAATTCAAAAAGTCATAGAGATGTATCGTTCAACCCATGGTACGCCCGTCAATTTGGAGTGGTCGATTCTACAGGACTCTGGTCTATCTGGGATATTGAAGGCAACCAGAGCCGATACTCAACCCAAAAATTGACACCTGGGAAAAGCGGGGATATACACGATGGCTACGAGCCGGAAACTGTCTCAAGGCAGCTTGAACCAGATTCTAGAGACGGGTGGCATCGAATGTTATGGGTCTGCGACATCAACACGATTGTAGTCTGCAACAGAAGACATATCGCTGTATTTGACTTGAAGGCAACGCCAAGTCGACTACATGGTGTCGATTTTCCGGCTGCAGGTAGTCCTGACTGGATACTTGATATCAAGAGAAGTCTTGCAGACCCAAGCCATATGTTCGTATTGACTACTGCTCGGATTTTCTGGATTGAAATTGTACCTGTAGGGGATGATGAGAAAACCCAGACTGGAGCCAAGATTTTGCTTTCCTACCGTCATTTCAGAGATGCGAATGATGAAACCTTGAGACTTTCCTGCCTAGAGGATGATACAAGTACGCTTCTCTTAACGATGGCTTGACATTCCTCTAATCGTGTGTAGTTTCAATCCTCATATCGTCTAGTAAAAGCCAGCTGGTCAACTTCTACGGGTTTTCAACCCATACAGGCACCACTGGCGACCCAACTGCTTGGCAAGGATCATTCTTGCGGTCTCCAGATCCACAAGGCACTGGGTCGCTGCATGCAATATGCTTCCTTCCTGCACCTTTGACATATGGATTTGGTGAAGAGCCTGATGACGCCGAACATGGTAGCCGATTCTTCCGGATATTAGCTTTAACTTCCAATCTTGCTCTCTGTTCAGCTCTCTGTATAGCGCACATTACTATGCCTCGAGGAACAAGACTGCCAGAACATTGGGTAACTGTGCCTACATCTAAACTCAAGCAAAAGAATAAGCTGTTTCGGTCAGAGAGAAATGTTAAACTAGGGTTCATCGTTCCCGATAGACTGGAAGAAGACGAAATAACAATGGGGGAGAAGTTCACGGACCGCCTTTCTAGCCAGAAACAAGATGATTCCCACTTACGGATGGATTGGAAGGACATCTTTCGTCGTGTCTTCCCGCCAACCGATCTCAAGGAGCTTCAAAGCCGACCACAATCTCCGGATGGGTCCTCAACCATCACAGGACTTCTTAACGATATCTCTGCTCGATTGAGAGACTCAAAAGACGATAGCAGCCTTACAATGGCCACGCTGTAAGTTTCCATCGTTCCACATTCAACTCTCAATCTAACCCCTTAAAAGTCTACAGCTTTCCAACCACGCAAGCATATCAGAAGAACTGGACCGAGCTACTACAAGCCTACGAGATTTTTTGGTTTCACTAAACGAGGATCAAGATAGTGAAGCTCCATCAACGCTTGTTGTATCAGATCTCACATCATGTCCTGCTATCACATTCCCAGGCGGCGAGAAGTCTACACTACCCGACTTATTAGCTATCTATGATGACCTTGTTGACACTTGGATGACCAGTTTACCTTCCCAAGTCCCAGTTCAAACTCGCCTCTTAAAGCACAAAATCATTCGCCAGCTAGCTATTGAGCTTTGCTTTAGTTCAGTTGGAGTGTCTCTCAAAGCTAAAGAGACTGAGCCACCAGTGCTGCATGAAGGGAACGATGCCGAAAGTATTGGCATGCGGGACGGTATGAGAAGAGAAAGCCCGCAACTACTCTTTTCACCTGAAATGACACCTGCCACTTCATTCTCGATTCCGGAGCCGGCTCTTAGTTTGCCCTCGCCAGCTCGAACACCTTCCCTATATTCACATGCTACAACCACTACCGGATCTGAAATAGGTGAAAATCCTGCAATAACTCGGCTGCGCCAGTATACAGTATCCATAAAATCCCAGCTAGATCCAGGGAAATCAAAACTGCTGGATAATTGGATAGTAGGGGGAGACCCTGCAGAATACTCCTGGGAAGAGGCCAAGGCAGATGACAGTGAGGAGGAAAACGAACGCCGAACACGCCGCGAGGAGACTCATCGCCGGAAACGGACCGAGAAGTTTCTAAATAGGGAAAGAGCGAGAGCTCCTTTGCCTGTAGCTGCCGGAACTCAGCCTGCGTTCCTGCCGCCGTTTGGAAGTCAACCGGACGCTGGCCATCTAGGATTTAGCTCACAAACTGTAAATGAGCTGCCAATGACCCAGCCTGATCGGGGGGCCTTTGGTAGTAGGACGCAGAAGGGGAAGAAGAAACAAAAGAGGCGAAATGCTGGATTTTGATCTATTATGAGAATGCCGTAATTGAGTGGGCAATTTTTGTGGATGTAGCATTTTGTTTCTAATCATCCATGGGCAATGTGACTATGGCCGCCCCTTGAAGTATGAGAACATCTCACATAAAATAAATATTTTCCATCGAAGTAAAATAATGTGTCTCATTCCAAGTTTTACATATAAAACCATAGGTCGCAATCTTGGTAATTCGAGAAAGTACCATAGAATTATCGAGTGGATAATTCTGTTTGCTGATCTCAACCCCTCCATCAACCCCGCCTCAAATCCACCATCATTCTGATATCGCAACACAACCACATTAGACGTCTTTTAACGACATCAGGGTACATTACAATGTCTACTCACTGCCACGATGAACACGACCATTCAGGGCACAACCACGGCGATGGCGAACACGACCACACCGACGACATAACACCCGCGCTCCAATACTCCCTCTACCAACACATAACGTTCGACGACATCACCACGCTCAACGAAGCACAGCCCGAGTCTGGCAAAGCTGTTGTAAAGAAGACATGGGCTGAGCGTATGGAAGAGAAGCCCGAGCTCGAGAGCGATGCAGATGAGCAGCTACTCATGCATATTCCGTGTGTTTGTCTAGCTTCCAGCAGTTCATCAAACAAACGCTAACACTGGAAACAGCTTCACAGGTCAAGTCAAGCTCCATTCAATTCTGATACGCACTTCAAATTCTTCGTCCGCCCCTCAAACTCTAAAGGTCTTCATCAACCGCGACGACCTGGATTTCTCCACTGCCTCCGACCTTTCTCCCACGCAGCAATTCGAGCTTTCTCAGACTTCGGAGATTCAAGATATTTCTGTCAAACGGGCGTTGTTTGGAAAAGTACAAAGCTTGACGTTGTTTGTGGAGGATAATTATGGAGAGGATGTTTCTAGACTGTCGTATCTGGGCTTCAAAGGAGATTGGATGCAACTTGGAAGGGCGCCGACGAATATTCTGTATGAGGCGGCGGCGAATCCGAATGACCATACGATTAAAGGAACGAGTGTAAATCAGATGGGGAGTAGTCTTGGGGGAAGGGGTCATGGAATGTGAAGGGAGGGAAGGGGATATGTATGATCACGAGGGTATGACTGATAATGGGTTATGAGAATCAACAAAAAGCTTTGCTAAGGGTATTGTATTGATGGCCAATATACTACGGGACTGGGGCGTTTAGAGGATATCAAAAGCCAGGGCGGCAAATTATTGCAGCTTTAAATGGTAGTCTGCGGTCCGGGGCCACAAAAGTTCAACCTGACGTTCTTGATCCACGAAAAATCAGTGACGAGACTCCGGTTTGTGTATTTTGTAAAGGCTCATCCGAAACTTCTGATCTATGATTTATTGCATTGAAAACCATGGTCGCAAAACCCCTTTAATAGGTAGACTACATGAAATCATCCTCCAGGTCTTCTCTGTCCTGGTTATTAGCCTCTTCAGGATCATCATCCCCAGTGAAAAGATCATCATAAGCGTGTTCTTTTTGCCACTTCTTGTCCTTTCTCTCTTGTGCAATCCTAGACTCTTCCTTTTTCTGTTTCCGGTGATTAGTTTATGTTGCTTAACCTTAGGCAAAAATGACTCACACGCTCCAATCTCGCGGACTGGTCTTTCTTCCTCAACGCCTTCAATTTCTCTTCTTTCTCCATTTGTAGGTCTGGGAATTTCTCCACTTTTGTCTTGTTCAGACGGTTGACGATTGGGTTCTCCCTCTGCGGTACGATGATTCTCTTCACCTGATGCCCACCGCGTCAGAAAACCAGCAGTTCGAAACTAGAGTGAGGCGACCAACCTTTCGTGGGTCTTTGAAGCTCACTTGACCAACAGCCATACTTCCATCCTTTTTCAGGTTCGCCCACGGAGTATAGATGACCGTAACATTATCTTTCTTGTTTCCTGGTCCTTGATTTAACATCATGTGTACACTTAGAAGTCAAGGCCTGCATACCTTCGATGGAGTTTGCCTTGGTGAGTTGAGCCAGATCTGTCAGAACCTCTTCTGGAATAGACTCCCATGAACTGCCCTCATTCATACGAAGGTATATATGAGCGCTTGAAAGCTTGTCGGCGTGGAACCAGACATCCTCTTCTAAGCCGAATTTAATGAGATCCTCATCTATTCTGGTCAGCATCAATCCAAATAAAAAACATAGAATTGCTTACTTTCTACCTTGTCCTTTCCCACATAAATGAAGGCACTAGGGGAAACCGCATTGGACGTGAAGTAATAAACCATCTTGACTTTTCCTCGGCGTTTCCATACTTTGTTAGAGCAGAAGTCCTAAGCGGGTAGAAATTGATATTGGCGACCAAATCGGTCTACCCCGTTCACCGTAGCAAAATTATCCTCAGCTCGGCCTCGAAGCTCTTCCAACCTTCATTCATCAACGCCCATGCAAAATGGCACCTAAGCTGCCAATCAGCTGGGCACAATTGCCCCCAAATTTCCTCCTCCCCGACACATTTCTCCCCTTAATCGCCAAGCGCGGTGTCAAATATGGCTGGACGACAGCTCCCAAACGAGGGAAGCCAAATCGATTCAACCAGCAAACTGCCGGCCTCCCTACACTCTCGCAATCACCTGCTGCAGCGCTCGCAAGAAAAGCTAGGACCTTACCATTGAGGACTGGGGCATTGGCTATCAAGAAGGGCATGACGGCGCTCTACGACCCCGAGACTGGAGTGCGAACCCCTTGTACGGTTGTGCAGATGGATAGAGTGCAGGTTGTTGCGCACAAGACGAGGGAAAGGAACGGATATTTCGCAGTGCAGATAGGAGCAGGTTCGAAGGAGCCTGGAAACGTCACTCGACCTCTTCAAGGACACTTCGCTGGCGCGGGTGTCAGTCTCAAGCGCCATTTGTCTGAGTTTAGAGTGTTGAATGCCGCGGGCTTGTTGAAGGTTGGAGCGACAATTGGGCCGGAGTGGTTTCTTGAAGGACAGTTCGTTGATACGAGGAGCAATAGCAGGGGAATGGGGTTTGAAGGTGGTATGAAGAGACATAATTGGAAGGGACAGCCGGCTTCGCATGGTAACTCTTTGGCTCATCGCGCTATGGGTTCGAGTGGTCCTTCTCAAGGAGCTGGTTCCAGAGTTCATCCCGGCAAGAAGATGCCGGGAAGAATGGGAGGGCATCAGGTTACGCAGCAGAATTTGAAGGTGTTGAAGGTGGATGCTGAGAAGGGGATTTTGGTGCTCAATGGGGCTGTTTCTGGGCCCAAGGGTTGTGTGGTCAAGATTCAGGATGCGATAAAGAAGCCATGGCCGACTATTCCTGCAGCTGTGGAGGACGTAAAGGAGGCGCTGCAAGCTACTGCGTAGGAGAAGCTGTACACTATATATTGTACAATTACATGTGCCATACATCGGCGTTTTATAGAGCAGAATTCCATCTAACACCCTTACGATGTCCCTAATTCCAGCCCAACTCTCTCTTCTCATTCAGCAGTGATATTATCTCTCTCACTCAACCAGATAGATTCGGCGAATAACTTCCTCTCCCAACAACCTTTGGCTCCTCTTCAAATTCTAGCCCCTGGAACGGATCCGCGCCATCCAAAAGATCAATCTTTTTTCTAACCTCCTTCCCATCGACCATCTCTGTCTCATAAGTCTCCAAGCTCCATTCCGTAGTCTCAAACATTCCCATCCTCGTCTTCCTGTGACTAGTGAAGCGCATCGTACCACTCGTCTTAGTCCCCTTAACCTCAAACTGGATATCAATTTTTCCATGCAGTTGGTTCATCTCTCCCCAAATCCAGGGCATCTTATGAGCAAAGTAGATTTCATCGCCGAGGTACTCGCGTGCTTTTGGGGAGGTGCGCAGGGAGTAGAGTGTTGAGGAGACGACGGAGGAGGAGGATTTTTGGTAGTTGAAAATGGCGAGAGAGGAGGATACAAGGATGACGAGGAAGATCGGGATAGTGCGCAGCCATTTCATGCCACCCTCAGGAAGATCTATAGAGTCTGTTAGGCATTGATCGCAGCTCATTCAAGTATAATCTTACCAGGAAGCTCTCGGTCTGCTCTTCGAGTCATAAGAGGTCCATCTCCAGCTTTAGGAGCGGGAATCAACGTCCGTCTCTGCAGCATAGTCCTTCCATTCCAACTCCTATTTAAGATCCTGGGCAAAGCCCTCGTTCTCAGTACTCGCGGAAGCATCTTGGCGTCTTAAAGGTGTACGGGTTTCGCAAAACAGTTCGAGATATCATTCGATTCTGGTATCTCCACGTGACTCTCCACAAGGCTGAACACCTTGCTTCACTTCCCCTCAGCCTCTCCACTTCCCATCCTTCCTCACTCTCAAACAAGACAAAATGGACTCAACGACCTCGCGCCTCCGCAAGACCTTTCGCTACCCCACCGATACCTCGGACACTGATTCCATACCAGAAGCTATGGATGAAGAAGGTCGGTTTTCCCAAAACAATTTCCTCTCCTCCCGCTTCTACTAATACATAGATGTATACAGAGCAAGAAAACCTCATCAAAAACCTACACGAGCAAAACACGAACTTAAATATACAATATACACGCATCCTCCTCGCCCTCCCCCTCGTCTGCATCCTACCCTACCTATCCGCACTCTTTGCGCTGCAAACAACCTTCCTCTCCATCCTCAGCATCTCCTCTCTACTATCAACAGCATGGATGGTATTCGTGCTTCCTTCCGGTGAAACCGGTATCTATATGCTCGACAATTTAAACAATACCCCAGCAACATTGGATGACGGCGGTGTTGAGTACTCGAAACGGGTGGTGCATCCGGAAGGGCCAATACGGCAGTATTTGCCGTATCTGAATGTAGGATTGTGTTTGTTGCTAGGGGTGCTAGGGAAGCTGGTGAGGGAGAGGGGGGATGGGATGTGGTGGGTTTTGAGCTGGTTGCCGGCTGCTGTTTATGTGATTGTTGTTTGTGGGAAGTTTGTTATGGGGGGTGTGGATCCCGGGAGGGAGTTGGAGGGGTTGAGGTATGGGTTCAAAGGGGCTTGAGATGGAAAGAGGTGGATGCTGCCTATAGTCATGACTTGCAATGATCTGGGCTAAGTTGGTCTCTGATTAGGATTGGGATAGGCGTTAAAAATAAATTGATACCCGGGTATTGTTGGGCAAGATTGAGTTTTGGCGTCATGCTTGTGCTTGTGATGATGGGCCATTACTAGTTAACCATAAATCATGATGAAATGAATCATTTATTTACATATACTTCGATCTTTACATGTCAATGCTCTCATTAAACCTCAAGACCCCGTTCGCTTTCAGCACTCCATCGATACCCTCTGGAAGTCTAGGGAATGGGTCATTGAGGTTTGCCTGTTCCGATTCCGATTCCGCGGTCTTGTCTGTCACCAGAACCAATCCTTGTGCTTTGATTGCCTCGACCAATGCTGGTACAATATCCTACTTCAATTAGCACTTGGGGAAAACACTAAGGGGAAATGACATACCAATAGTCTAGAGACACATATTAAGCCCATAAAGTTATTATCCTGGGCAATCCTCACAGCTTCTTTAATCGAAGTTGTTCGCCGTCCACTACTGGATATGGCATTGAAAGCCTCCGTCTTCGCACCCTCGTGGCCAAGATCATTGCACAAGAACACTGGATAGTTGGGTTGTTTCCAGTTTAGGGCTGTGCAGACAGTGGGGTTGTATGAGCTGAAGACAATAGATCGTATCAAATCTGGACTCTGTTCTCTAAGAACCCTGGCGTGGTCAAAGACAACTCCTAGGATCGCGTCGGCGAAACAATTGATGTTGACTGTCGGGCCAAGGCGGAGAGCTTTCTCTTCTTCTGATGACGGGTACAGTACTTGAAGGTTGACGTGCATACATTTTGGCAATAGACTGAGAGCATCCTTTAGTGAGACAGCTGACGTCGAGAGTACCCGATGGATTTCTGCGAGAGAATCCAGCTCAAGATTTGGCATGTTCGCAAGATCTACTGTTTTTGTGGCATGGCGGGAACCTGCACTGATGAATTGCGCATATGTCAAACGGCTCACAGGAAACTCAATGTCCATGTAGTCTATTGTCCACGTCGGCCAGAGCACAGGAATTCCATCGCAAGTGTGCTGAACGAAAAGTTGGACATAGTATCCAGATAAACTTGAGCCGGTGATGAAAGCACTTGGTCTGTGGTCGAATTGGCTTGTTGCCTTCCAATATGTCTCGAAGTCCGTAATCTCCAATGGTTTTCCCTGAAAAGGTTTGATGACATGAAAATTGAAGGTGATTTGACCGATAGCTCTTAGCCGTGGATCAAAAAGGGGCAAACAGCAGCGCCCCGAGCTGCTCATTAACGCTCGGAAAGTACTAGGCAATGCAACAGTTTTTGCAATAACTTTTGCGCCGTAGGTGGGGAAAACATCGAAGTCGATCGCAAAAGAATCCAAATTATCGATCTGAAACGAAACAAGCCTGGTATCTTCCTGAAATGGTAGTAAAATGTTCTTGGGTATTAAATCGGAGAGTTTCGAAGAGATAGTAAGGCGAGCTGCTGGGTATTTACTGTCGTGGAAGAATATCATAGGTTGTTCGCCATTCTCTTCGAAACTGATCTGTATGAAGGTTTTGGTATCGAGAAAGTTGTGGCCGTATCGTCGTAAAGGAATAATGGGAGGCGGAAGTTCAAGTTCAGGAATTCCGTCGGCATCTATGCTCATAGGTAATGGTGCACTACTGCCAATCATTGGCCCAAGCTGTGAGGTCCCCTGTCGTCGTGTTTCGCCAGGAATCGAAAACAATAGCCTCATGCATTCCAAGTGACCCTCCCAAGCTGCATAGTACATCGCGGACAGCTCCTTCTCATCCTGGGTTTTTGTGTTGACTCCAACTTGCAGAAGTGTCTTCATGCAAGGCACATTTCCTTCACTCGCGGCATGGAAGAGCGGTGTCCAGGAATAGAGCTTGTCGATTTGGTCAAGATCTGCCCCGTGGTCCTTCAAGAGAAGAAGGAGCTGTGGAGTCTGACCTGAACGTGCGACAAGATGCTGAGGGAACAGACCTTCAGCATCTGGCAAGATAGCAGCGCCATGCTTCAAAAGAAGCTCCACTATAGCCACAGAGCCATGTTCGCAAGCCAAGTTGAGTGGGACATGGTCAGTGTCAGAGATGGGATCAATACGAGCGGATAGACCAAGAAGTCTTTCTGCACAATCGAGGTGTCCGTGGATAATTGCATGAATTAAAGGCGTGAAATTGTCATGGTCAATCAGATCGATGGTTGCTTGATCCTCTATAACGCAATTAGTATTGAATCGGGGGGAAGGGGGAAAACGCACGATTGAGCAAAGCCTCCATCATATCTAGACGGCCATGCATACAAGCATAATGCAACGGTACACGCCCGTAAACATCAGTACGGTCTACAGCCACGCCATTCGAGATTCCGACCCCGAGAACGAAAAAGTTGCCATATATGGTAGCCTGGTGAAGACAGTTTCGCTCATTGATGTCATCTTCTGACAGTATATCTACCAGACCGGTATCTAGAAGCAGCTGGAGTGATGCTTGGGGTCCCTCATTGATCGCTGCGAGAAATGTTCTCGTAATACGCTCCAATAGAGCAGTATCTGGGGAATCATTTGGGTCCGTCGCAGTCCTCAGTCGCAAAAGGAGATCTTTCAAAGGTTCAAGGTTACCAGATATCACAGTCTCTAGCAGCAATGTATCTGCATCGCCCTCGTCTGTTCCGAGCAAATGTTGACTGCTGACGATGTGCTCTGGATTTCTTTCAAAGCTGATATTGTCTCCTTCAGCCCAAGCACCAAGCTCCTGTAGACTAGTAGTGGCCTGATCTGATAGCTCGCTGATTACCGTCGCATTGAAGAAAGGTTGTACCTCCACAGCACGAGAGAGATAGAGCTCTTTAGTTTTTGATTTAGAGGTCTTATCCCACTTTTTCAAAATCTTGGAGAACGCCGTTCCATTTATCTCGACAAACTGCTGAAGTTTATTGAGATCATTTCCGAATTGCTGGAAGCCCTCTTCTAAAGTTGTGAACTTTGCGGACCGTCTGGAGGTACTTCCATTTCGTGATTGAAGAACCTTCTTTTTGTCTAAAAGGGTCTTGAGCCGAATTTTGAGCTATCTAATGTCAACTGAAGCTCGCCGAGTCGAGACAAAATTTCCACACACCTCGGCCTCTTTCTGGAGATAAAAGGCGTTGACTTTCTCAAGTTCTCGTTCCTGTTTATTCATCTTAGCATGCTCTTAGCCTCCAATGGAGGGAGTCAGCTTACCAACTGAAAGAAGAATGTAGCTTTGTTCGCCTGTAAGGCAGATTGAGAGTCTATTACACCAATTGCGCGGTGAACATCATTTTGGGCGAGAAGTGTGGGCGTAGCAGATAGCTTCTTGATGAGCTGTCAGAGTATCAGCGCAAATGCATAGTTGTTTGGTTGTATATGTTCCACAAGGCTTGAAACATGGCTTTCTGCAACATAAATACAGGTTGAGCATACCTTCTTCAGCGCCTTGTAATTTACAAAACTCGCTGCATACTCAGGAACCTCGAGCTGCCTTTTCTGGATTTGCTTGCCAAACTTCCTGGGGAGGTAGCAGTGTCAGCGTAGATGCTCGAACGTAGAATATTATGCACTCAGCCGTGATGGGAAGGAAGACTGCTGTTGAGGACGTACATAATGCCGTGATGGCACCTACAGAGCTCTGGTAGGCTGAAAAAGCGAGAAGTGACTTGCGAGGAGTGGCAGGTATCTCAAGGAACTGAAGTCCGGTTACATGCACATGTTCATAGCTGCAGCCGATCAGTCCGATGGATAAGATTCTCCCTTCACCCAGATAAGAATAGCAGAAGGTCGGGATCAAAAGAGCGGCGTGCTGTGTCTGACGTCTGAAACTTCAAAGCGAGGTGGAGTGGTTTGGAGGGGAGGACAGCGAGAGGGAGTATTAGGCAAGCTGCCTTTCGTGCACGCTATTTTGATGTGGGCGGGAAACGAAGAGAGAAAGAGTGAAGAATGCCGCGGCCAAGCTAGATGATTGGCCGACGAAGGGATACTCTGGAATGGTAGCTCTTGCCCTACACCCAACAGCAGGAGATCCGATGGCCTGCAGGGATTTTATAGACGGAGCTGTATCGAGGTAGGGAGGGGAGGCAGATATCCCGGATTGAAGCGTACCAAGCTATGAATTAGGACTAGTGAGGGGTAATACAAGCCCAGTCCACAGTACAAGTACCGTGCATGGGAAAAGACCGCCGATATGCACGCAGAAGCTCGACTTTTGTTGATTGATGAAGAAACCCTTTTGGAGACATTTGCATGATTGATTGATTTTCTTTTGAATACTTACATAATGATGCTGCTAATACCGCCAGGTTGAGAATTCGAGGACTGGCCGTTGGCCCGTGGTAGCTTTCTTACTCTATCTAATCCAATCCTTGGCCCACGTGGGCGTATGGCTCTTGGCAAGGCTGTGGATTTGGGGGACGGTAGTATAACTTCATGCAAGATCCACATTGGCGGAAGTTAGTTGAATGTACGTACATCGGAAATGCCACTTCATATACTACGATTTGGGTTGCGCTCGATAAAGTTTGGCTGTGGGATATCAAAGACTATGAACAAAAGGCAAAAATCTGATCATCTTCTCGAATCAAAACCTTCAAGACTTCCCTGCCAGTTTATCTTCCGCAATCTTGTCCTTAGTTCCAGTTATTTCGGCAGGTTCTGGCTTGCGCGCTGGCTCTCCAATATTCTCCGCCATCGCTTCGGCCGCAGCCTTCTTGAGCCTTTCTGTATCATCCATCTTGATCTCTTTTCCTCCAACACGATCCTTGGTCTCTTTTTCATCCTCGCTATCTCCCAGACTGAACGGGTCGTTGTCAGCCTCACCAATAGGACTAGGGTCAACTGAAGAGAGCGGTTGCCATTTGCTTTGCTTGACAGCTGGGATTGGGGTATTCTCCTTGGCACCTAATCTTGGGGAGGTACGGTAGATATCCATATCTTCGGCAGGTCCACCGGAGAATTGAACTTTACGCCCATCTGAGGACCTTGGTATACTTGGGGTTGGCTTGAAGAGATCAGGGTTCGCGAGAGGTCGAGTTGAGCGGCGAGCAGCACCTGTAGTTTCTTGTTAGATTACCACTCCACTCTTGTTCGTTAACACTTACTACCATCATCGTTAAGTTGAATTCCAGCAAAATCATCGCCAAGGACGTGAGGATCAGCGTCATAGCGATTGTAGTCGCCGCTTTGTCTTCCATCTCCACTTCTGCGCGAGCCAAATTGCTGGTTGTGGTAACCTTGCGGAACAGAAGATGGACCTTCCTCTTCTTCGTCGCCATCAATTTTCTTTTTCAAACTTGTAATCCATCCATTGACCTTGGTTTGTGTTTCGAGGAACCCTTTCTTGAGATTCTCCCTGATAACTGGAAGGTCATCGTCAATAAAACTATGCTCGTCTTCATATGTTTCATTTGGCCTGAGGCCTGTTTGCTGTCTAGGTGGGCCACCTCTGCTACTTCCACGCGGTCCATATCCTCCTGCACCTCCATAATGCTCGGCAAGTTGACGTGCGTATTGCTCGTCTGCTTCGAGTTGTGATAGCGGGGTAGTTCCCACGCGCTGAGCTTGTGGGCGAGGAGGCTGAGGGGGAGGGGTTTGTTCTCGGACGGCATCAGGATCGGACATGCCTATAGACATTAGCATATTGTTAGCTAAACATTGTGGTGATTTTTACCTAGCAGGGCATTGAAAGCAGGTTCAACTTGACCGCCACTTGCACTCAAAACAGCCTTTACAACTAATACATCGATACTTGGGAAAGCTTCTCTCAGTGTATTTTCGGCTTGCTGCTGAGGGCTGAGGGGACGAGGAGGTTTTGGCGGAGGGGCATCTTCGACAGTTGCAGGCTTGGGACCGGTTGGCGCATCGGTGCTCAATATACCAGATTCCTGAACGTCGTCGTCGTCCATTTCTAATGGTCTTACGGTGGTGGGAGATTCAGCTCCTGTTGGACTTTTAAGCTGCGAGTTTGAACTTGGTATCAGCAACGGAATTTGTATCTGATAGCGCATGAACTAATACATCCAAGATTGTAACAGCTTACCGGGCTATCCGTTGTTTTGGTCGGCGCAGACATGTTTGCTATGTTTTCAAGCTGAAGAAACTATCACAGGTTGATGGGAGAGACCAGCAATTTGAGGAAAGCTTTTTTGACCTTCAAATTCTGGTGCCTAATGATGAAATCGCCGTCGTTACGTGTTTGAAAGACGAGTCGGAGCTTCAGACGATCCTCTGACGATGCAAGGCAAGGCGGCGCTGCTGTGGCGGTGCATGGTCCGAAAATATTTGACACGTGAGCACTCTTCCACAGGGAACTACAAGTAAAGTCAATTTGATGAATCGAGTGGCAGTTCAAGTTTAATGTTTTTAATTTTATCAAGTTGTCAAAATTATATCATTTGGCCTCTTGGTAGAACGAGCAAGTTCATACTGAGTACATATAGCTACTGGTACTCTACCTGAGATCCTAGATTAGCCATTATCAAAAGGCCCGTTACTACTATGCTAATCGTTTCATAAACAACTCAAGGTATCTATCAAAGCCTCTATGGGATGCAATTAAGTAAGGAAACAGTTCATTTATATAGCTCAATCTCCTAATCCAATTATACTGGGAACTGATAGCTAATTCTCAAAGGCCTCCTTGTTACTATCATAGATGTCACATAGTATGCCTATTTAACAGGAAAGGAGTTCAAGATTTCCTCGGAGATGGATACAATTTCCCAATTTTTCATTGAATAGAATTATTGCACTCGAGGCCTCAGCAGCGCTTCCTCGCAAGACCAGATCACCTTAGCCATGGATATTCTCTAGGTGGAAAGCCCACAGGGAAGAAGTAGGGTTTCTGAATTTGAGTCGTGGGAGTGAAAGATTCCACCTTGGGGAGAGAATGGACCATATGGGAGTAAGTTTTAGAAGAGCGTCGTAGTACATGGATAGCTAATAAAACTTGCCAATGCTTTGCTCTAACAAGATTCAACGTTGAGACAATTGATGGACTGTACTGCAACCAATGAGGTAAACAATCTGAAATTTAATTCGCAAATCTACTGGTACTTACCTAGGTACCTGGGTAGTCTCTCCTACGTTAAGCGTTCAAAGAAATGCCGTACTTGGCATAAGGGAAGTTTTCCAGACTCACGAATTGCTCTCCCCATCCATCATCAACAGTTCCCACCTCATGAGCATCACTCTCCTGCCCCTCTTCCCTCCCAGCCAGCACGTTCGCCTCCCTCCCCTTGTATTCAATCGCTAGCCCCGGATGCGGTGCCCAGATCACTCTCATACCTGCTCTCCGTCCAGCAACAACACCAGGAATACCGTCTTCAAACACCAAGCACTCTTCGGGCTTTATCGGCTCCTCTCCTGGCTCAAGTCCCTCGTTCACAGCCTTGAGCGCTAGCAAATAAATATCCGGATTCGGCTTTCCCCTCCCCTTACCAATTCGCGGATCATCCCCCAACACCCTCTTCTGCGGCTCAAACACCTCAAAAAGCTCTTCTAGATGCCCAGTCTTGATATCAAAATGGCCCTTATGGCTACTCGTCGCGAGTGCCACATGTACCTTGCTACCCCGCAAATCCTTCAACAGCGTCTCTACGCCTGGCAACGGAATCGCTTTCCTAAATTCTTGTTCTTGGAGTATGTGTAATTCTTTAGCATAGTCTTCTACGCTAATCTTGTCCTGGAGGTTCGCCCAGGAGATGAGTATTCCGATAGATTCGGGGGCTGGGCGGCCTTGGAGCTTGCATTTAATAGACCATGGGACGGGTCCGGCGTTATAGCGGGCGAGGAGAAGGTTGTGGCAGATTGTGTAGATGTCTTCAGTGTTGATGAGTAGGCCATCCATATCGAAGAGGCAAGCTCTGACAGGTGGGAAACTGGGGGGCTGCGTCAGAAACGGGACATTGAGGGGCAAGAAGGGGGCTGACTCTGTTTTTGGTACCATGATGGCTGTGAGCTTGAAGCTGGTGGAATTTTTTGAGATAGTCGATCTATCAACTAGAGTCTTTGAAAATAGTTTGTAGCTTTGTATGGAATTGCTAGATCGCGGCTTCTGCAGGGTAATATGCAGCGGCTGAGTAGAGGCTCCCGGCGAGTGACTCAGAACGAGTTCATAATGTAATGCTTGTTAATCTTCACTTGCAGGAGCTTATTCCACAATTCGGTTTATAAGAAAATTTGTCACTTATCTTTTCTCCGTTTGACAACCTGAATATGGTCGCCGCTGTGTGAAAATTGGCCGTACCGGAAGATCAGAAAAGAAGATTTCTTGGCAGCAAATAGGAAGCTTTTGAAAGGAAGTCACGAGTTATGAAAAGAGGCTCAAACCAAAAGATCTTGTTTCATAATTGTATAATGATGTCCCGTGGGGTGGTCATCATGAATCTCCCACGAACATCTTAATAATCAAGAGATGACGCTTTGCCTTCTTTATCTACCTACAGAAGTGTCTAGTGCTAAAACCTCCAAAAGAACACAATGCACACGCTTCCTAGATCATCTCTTCGAGACCTTTCATGATGCCTCATATCGTCCACATAGTGCTTTTCGAATTCAAGCCCTCAACGGAAAGTGCTGTGATCCACGATGTATGTCAAGTCTTCCTACTGTACCCCGCGATGCCCCGCAGTCCGGACCTCCCTTGACCCCCAACGAACAGCCAAGTGTAATCTATACATAAGCACGACACTTGAGGCTTGTTCTTAGAATCAGTAACTGACACTATCTATCTCCCAAACAGGTCTGCAAACGTTTGCTAGCGCTTCGTCAAAACTGCCTCCACCCTACCACAAAAAAGCCATATATCCTGGACAGCACCGGCGGGCGAGACAATTCCCCCGAGGGGCATCAAGTAGGAAGTTTCCTCCCTCCTTACCGCAATCCCTGTGTTCAAAATAGGTTGAAGAAACATCTACTCATACTTCATATTCAAACAGGGGGCGTTCACTCACGGATTTGTAATACACTTTGCTAGCGAAGAGGATAGACGGTATTATCTTGAGGAGGATCCGGCGCATCTGGGTTTCGTGAAAAGCTTAGACGGTATCATTCAGAACGCGAGGATTGTGGACTATGAGCCTGGGAAGTTTTAGGAGTTGATGAGAAGGGATTGACAATGGAAGAAGCTTCTACCATCAAAGCAGGAGGGCGTATGTCACAACATTCAAATCATGTCCTATAAAGATGTTGAGTTGTACATAAGGTCATCCAAAACAGGAGAGTATTTCATTCTTCAGCTATGTATGCAGTATTTCAGCTCTTATGCTGATGCTGGTATCCTTCCCAAACGCCTTCCCAATGCCTGTGCAATGCTTCATTAATGATTATGTGTGCAAAGAGGATCTGTCTAGACCATAAATGACTCTCCACAACCGCATTGCTCCTCTGTATATTGTTAGAAAATGTCCTAGAAGCTAGCTGTGGGATACTTACTTATATTCGGATTTCTAAACACAAACCTCTGGTTGAGTTTATCTTCTACCCAATCCATCTCACTCCCAATAATGCTGAAAAGTGCCTTGCTATCAATGAGAACCTTCACTCCATCTTGTTCCACCGTCTCGTCGAACGTCCCGGGCTTCTCCACGTATTCTAGGTGGTATGCCAGCCCACTACATCCACGATTCTTGACCCCCACTTTGATGAGTTTCGGGTCTGGCTGGTTAAGCATTGCTCGTAACTGGTTTACTGCCCCAGGTGTGAGGTTCATCGCAGCCTTGCGTGCTCGTAACTTTGGTCTGGGCTTTGCTCGAGGTTGCGCCGCAGGTACCACAGGCTTGGATGTCTGTGCCTCTTGTTCGGTCACACTGATGCTAGACTTCTGCTCTGCTGGGCTTTCTATTCCGACCTCATGTTGCCCAGTTTGCTTTGGGGGTCGCGTGTCGTTGAACTGCGGGATGCCGCCCGCGATGGATGTATCGGGAATTCCCGCGTTTCGAGGTGGCGGAGGTTGGGTGTCTAGAGGGTATGGCTGGTATGCGGTGCTCGTTTGCATCTTTCGTTTTGAAGACATCCGCGATGAGTTCTTAGAGGAGAAGGATCGTAGGACATGTTGGCAGGGTCGGAGGGAGGAGGTTGCTGGTGATGAGGCGAATCGGAAGACCAAGCTCGTCGATGATGTCAAAGGTGTCAGAACTCGCGGTACAGACATGATGGCGGTTGTGTAGGATTCGGAAAGTAATACACAACAGATCATGAAGAGGGGGAAGATTTGTTTGCTATATAAGGCGCTGAGTAAGGGTCCAACATAGGTTTCGGGACAAAGAGGCGTTGCATGTTATAAATGATACCACATTCAGATTTCTCGGCTCACTTGCAGATCGGCCAATTAAAGCCTTGTGATTTCCAACCTTTCTATAAGCATGTGTAAATGGAAGACTTCCATAAAATATTGCCATTATATGCAGCACATATGCAGAATATCATAAGATATTAAAACAGCTTCATAAAAACCAAAGAATGTATTGAGTACTAATAAATCCGCTCCGTTGCATACTTACTTATCATGGACTTGGCTTGGACTTGTTCGCAGTTTCGGCCGCTAGTGTTCGGGTGCAGCAGCTTCCCTGTCCCGAAAGAAGTGAACTATTTCGGGGCACTTACGAGTCCAAATCCCATTACTTGCGAATATTGGACCAGTAGTACCAAGTCAACCCGTCAAAAACTTACGGCTACGACTAGTTCTCGCTGACAGGAAATTTTCAACCACAATCTGCTGCCATGAAGCATGGAGCCTTCTCCCCTCACTCAGCAAGCTCGACCTGAGGTCTTCCAGCAAAAGATAGTGGAGCTCTACGAGGCACTATTCAAGGTGGGCAGCAGATTATAGATTGGATGGAGCTAGGCTAACCCACCAGCAGGATGAAGACGATCACGAAAAGTCCGAAGGCTTCTGGAGGGAGTTCTTCCTGTTACGACCAGACAAGGCCACCTTACAGCAAATTTTGGATGGGTCGGGTCCAGACGACCTCCTGCATCTACAGGTACGAGGCTGCGTTGAATCGAGTGGGGCATCAGACCTGATAAGTACATAGGCGCAGACACGGCAGCTATTTCTGAGGGCAGTAGGTTGTATTAAAGCAGGAAGCGCTCCGGCAGATGCCCATGCTCTTGATGTAAGAGTCCATCATCCCTTGACAGAACGCGAGGCTGACAAGAAAGACCGTCACAGCCTTTTTGGCCTCGGTGTTACCAAAGAAATACACCAATCCGAGTTCCGACATAATAAATGTTCTTGCAGGGCTAGACGAGGTCGATGCTGTCTTCACGGACTTTGTTGCTGCGCTGGACGTAACTATAAAGACTGGGCGAACGCGTAAGTCAATCCTTTTCGGCGTCAATTATAAGTGCCAATACTATAGCAGTGGACATTCGACAAAAAGCTATCGAGGTAGCATTAGCTGTTGTCTCCGGCGCATACCAAACAAGTCTTCTTTCATATTTCACACACCGCGACCTCTTCCCTTCTCTCATGAAAGTAAGTAATATTGTATCCTTTTTCCAGTTGATTCTAATGCCGCGCAGTTTATACAAGATTCAGATACCACCTCGCGAGCGTTCGAGCCATTTACCCTTCTTGGTCTTTTAGCAAATTACAACAAATTCGAATTCCAAAATCCCTACAGATTACGACTAGATGACTTCGTCAATGAGGGAACAATACAGAAGATAATTAGATCTGTAGGGTATACATGCGCCAATTCACGAGCAAAATATGTAGCAGTTCAGGAGGATCTCCCAGAAGGATGGACTATCAGCAACACACTCAGTATGATAGGATTGGGCTCAATCGCCCCGGGGGCAAAGAACGCGCCTCCTGTTATTGACCCAGAGGTTGCGAAGGAGATGTTTGCAAAACTGTATGTAAAGGTCATGCCTTTCCAGATTCAACTAACGATGTTGTAGACCAGGCAACGAAGCCGCAATTCTACTAGCAACATACGATTTTGCCCATGCAAACAAGCTATTTTGCTTCAATTTTGTATCGCTACCAGCGGAAAAAGGTGCTGAAGCCCCTATTGGCGCCTTTATCTCACTCACCTCATACTTACTACAACACGCCCATTCCTCTGTCCGAACTAGCCTATATTCACATCTAAACCTTCTTATTTTGAGACTTCTGATAGAAGATCAGATACTGTGCAAGCGGATATGTAGCGACGAGAGCAAAATGTCCGTGAGACTATGCCGGCAACGATCGCCATATTTGCCCCCGGTAAGAGGGGATAGAATGCTAGCAGCGAGTATCCTAGACACCATGATCGATGGCATCAACCACAACCTTCGACGGCGTCTTGATGTAGACTTTTACATCCTCTGTGTCGGTATCATCTTACGACTCATATCTCACCTATCTCGTTCTCGAACTCGGCTTAACTATCACTGGTCTGAGCTGTTCAGATCTCTTCTGGCTCTCGTACGATTTCTCAACACCTACACCTCTGATTTGAAGCATCTCAACAACATCAACGTCCTTCTCGACGATCTTGTGAACTTGATCGCTTTATCCCTCTCTGCAGGAGAGGCATTTCTTCCAAGCCCTGCATCTTATGACGATCTCTTCTACAAGCTGGTTGAAACTGGCGAAATATTGGTGAAATTCCGCGACAATTATGACCTAGCAAAGCGACCGACGAGTTCCATAGAAACGCTCATTAGCGTGAATACGCACTACAAGCAACTCTTAGAGGATGGGGCTTCGAAGAGGGGAGGAAAACACTTGACAAATGCCCAAGTATCTGGGGTCATCAAGCAGGGCTACGAGACTTTGAGCATCCAAGCTAAAGAAGGGCTGGACAGCTGGGAGAGGTATCGAGAAGCGGACAAGAAGGTGTTCTTAAAGAAGATGTCAAAGGCAGCCGTTGCAGACGTCAAGACCTTGGTGAGTGAGAATTGAAGAAAGAGGTCACGAATTCGGCTGCCTCGTGTATCATTAGATTAGGATAGACATCTACGGGCCTATGGCCGCATGTTCTTACGCCAAGTGAAATGCGGATAGATGCAAAACGTGAGGCATGGCGGGTAATCCTATTTCTGGGGAAGCCTTCTAACGCGCTGTTTGAGGAGCAATTGCGTTGGTTGGCGTTACGTAGCCTTGAGGCGCGGCGCTTACAGACGTGAGCCTAAACGTTCATATGCCAATCAGACTGAAGCTGAAGAATAAGTTTGAAGCTTGAAACTTGAAACCTCCCCAATTGTATGCGATAGTAATTTCGGACTACCGGGACATTCTGGCAATAGCCATAGTGCTGCCTGGTGCTGCCACACTTGATCGTCTCGAGATATTTCTATATTCGAGCTGGAAGCCGTTGGAGGACGAGGATTAATTCGGGTTTCTAGCTAGATCACTGTACAGTAAGCGATTGGGCGCCATACTTTGTTCTCACCCCACATCTTCTTTATCTAGCAGGCCGGGCAATGGAATATATCCAGCATCTCTTTTGCGTCCATGTCGTCAGTGTGCATCGGCGACAGTGTCTGTCGTGATTCACGAGCTTCGTTCTTTTCCTATAGTACACTTTGCGCCTTGACGCTAGATCGTCTGCAGTCCTCGCTGAATGAATAAAGAAGGACCAGCCCTCTCGCCGGAAGGCGACTTCTTTGAAGAGATGGACACCATCAAAGTATCGCACCGCTCCCCCGGTGTCCCCTTGCACATGATTTCTAACTGGTATTGGTATGTGATTTTCTGTCCCAAGAATCATCCATCCGTCGCCAATTCTTCAATACCATATCAACAGCAATCATTGCCAGTCAATTTTGGAGCAGCAAAACTACCTCCCTTGCCTTACCTTACGTAGGCAGTCGTACCTTGTACTGTATTACCACGGCTTATCTTGGTCTGACTATAGGTCTTTATTGCACCCAGAGCCGCTTTCGTATGGATTTCAGTCGGGATACGGCTCCAAGAACCATTGGCTGAGAGTCCTCGTCGTCAATTCGCCTATTTTGGGGATGCGCCTACAGCGACAAGGAGATAGAGGCAACACCAGCACTTCGACCATAGGACCTTCGGATCTGGAAACAAAGGGCTTCTTTGTTTCGACTTTCCGAGACGCCTTCAAGTCCCTTGGCTGCATATCAGTCCTCGATTTCTTTCATAAGGGTACGCCATTCCCATGTTCCACTTTTCCCCATTTGTTCTACTACTATACTATACTGTACTCTTCTGTTCTGTTTCCATTCACTTGTTCATACCACTACTATTATTGTCCCTCTCATAATATCCACCACTCCACGACAAGCAGCCAACAATAGTTTCCTTTCTTATTCACAGAATAGTGTGATTAATTCTTCCCTGCTTATTGAATATTCATTTTGTTACACACAATTAATTCCTCCTCCACCAACCCTACCATATCAACACCGTCATATTTGCTGGGCAAAAAATCAACGTTAAAAAGAACATACACATACTAAGATGCCTTCGTTGGCCGGAATCAGACAGTTTCTAGCATCACATACAGAGATGTCTTCCGCAAGGAATCCACCGAGTCAAGGCTTCCCGGCCGTCCCCTCAACTCTCAACGCTGGCGACTACGAGATGCGGGATTACAGCCAAGACCACGACAACGCGCCTCCCACCACCCTACCTTACTACACGCCATATCTAGGTCTTAGAGCACGATTATCGCAAGTATGGATCAACCGATGGACCATCCTCTTACTCCTGATCATCTGCCGGCTCCTCCTCGCCATCTCAACCATCAACCATGACATTGGTTCAGCCAAGCGTGAAGCACTCGCGGCATGTACCAGTGTCGAGCATGCCGGAAGCACCATGGCCTCTATGCCTCATTACCTGTCGCAAGGTGTCAATGCCATGGCTGCTGACGGTGTCACCACAGCCGTCAATGGTCTTATGCAGATGCTATTGCTCAGTATCACAGGCGTAGAGGAGATTGTCCTATTCGTCATCAACATGATGACCTCGACCTACATGTGCTTGATCACTCTGGCTGTCTCGGGAAGTCTTCATGCCGCTATCGACATTGCCGAGAAAGTCGGCGCTGCCATGAATACGACTATTAGTAGCATCACTGGTGACATGGCATCAACGCTGAAAACCTTCAGCGATGATTTGAGCAACTTACTAAAAGCTGCCACCAGCATCCCAGGCATCAAGAATGCACCCACAATCGATTTGAGTTCTCAGATCGCCAAGTTGAACAGTATTCAGATCGACCCTTCCACCATGGATGCGGATCTTACCAAGCTCAATAACTCTATTCCAACCTTTGCTGATGTACAAAATTTCACAAATACTGTTATTCGCTTACCTTTTGAGGAGGTCAAGAAGCTCATCAACCAGTCCTATTCCGCCTATACCTTCGACAAGTCTGTTTTCCCTGTCGCTCAGAAGAAGTCCTTGTCATTCTGCTCGAATGACAGTACTATCGACAAGTTCTTCGATGAGATAGTGAAGGCAATTTATACGGCTCGCACGGTCTTTATTGTTGTTCTTCTTCTTGCAGCAATCTTGGTGTGCATTCCGATGGCCTACTTGGAGATTCGCCGCTGGCGCACAACGAAGCAGCGATCAGTCCTTCTCCAGAAGCATGCTTTTGATCCTATGGATGTTGTCTATATCGCGTCTCGTCCATATACTACCACAGCCGGCATCAAGCTATCATCAAGATTCAAGAGCCCCAAGCGCCAAATTCTTGCTCGTTGGTTCATCGCATACGCTACGTCACTTCCTGCAATGTTCCTTCTCGCACTTGGATTGGCGGGCCTCTTTAGTTGTCTCTGCCAATTTGTTATCTTGAAGCTCATCGACAAGGAAGTTCCTAAACTTGCGCACGCGGTCGGAAATTTTGCTGACGACGTTGTCCACTCACTCAACAATGCCTCGGAATCATGGGCCACCGACGCCAATAATGTGATCAACAGTACCAATGTGAAGCTTAACGATGATCTTTTTGGCTGGGTCAATACATCCACAACAGCTGTGAACAGCACGCTCAATGCCTTCACCGATGAAATGAACAAGGTATTGAACGCTACTTTTGGCGGGACAATTCTCTACGAGCCAATCCAAGGAGTCATCAATTGCCTCATCGAGCTCAAGATAGCTGGTGTTCAGAAAGGGCTCACCTGGGTCCACGACAACGCTCACGTTGACCTTCCTGAATTCCGCCCCGATGTTTTCTCCCTTGGCGCAGCAGCCAGCCTCACCAACACAACAGCCGACGACTCATTCCTTGCCAATCCAGGCGCTGTAGCCAGCGACGACATCACCAGCGCCGTCGTCAAAGTCTCCAATGCCCTGGAAAGTGGTATCCGTACCGAAGCCATCATCTCCTCCTGCGTCCTTGGCCTTTTCTTCTTCATCATGCTAATTGGTCTCGGCCGCGTCCTGGTCGGCATGTTCAGCCATGATAAACATCGTGGTGAAGGGGGGCCCGTTGCCTATACCGGCCAAACCAGGGGCGTGTCACTCGAAAGTGATAATCCCACAAGCGCTGCACCGTCATACGCATTCCGAGAACCAACCAGTGGTTATGACGAGAAGCTTGGAGCTGTGGGACGGAGGAGCGTAGAAGCTAGTATGAAGCCTGGACTTGACAGGAAGAGCAGTTACGGGTTTGTTGAAGGGAGACAATAACCCGGCGAATCTCATTTGACAATATGCATGCATGGGTCCGTCCTTTTTGGAGTTTGATTTTTATACAGGAAAAGGAAATGGAGTTTGGGGGATACCCATGGCCAACAGGAAGGCAGGTAAACGTCTTCGAGTCTGGTATAATATCCAAGTCCAATCCTTGTTTTGGGAGCGAGAAGTGGACTATAGGAAATTGCAAGGGGATATTTTTGGCAGCGGAGATATTCATTTCACAAATAGTATTTTTGGGTTTGCGAGCAGCAGATAGATATCATAGCGTAGTTGATTGATAGGATAGGATACAGAATGGATATTTATGAAACTGTCAAAAATTTCTAGATGCTTTTTTTTTGTTTTTGTGACTTGATGTGAAGTAATAGTTGCTTCGCGTTTCAATTGAAAAGCTATAGGTAGATTAGGCACTGATTTATCGTTCATGGGTTCATATTGAGGGCACCTCTTTTTCGGACTACTGGTTCATTGCTTCCCCCAGACCGAACCGGAGGACTTTCGATACGACTTTTTGCATTGTGAACAGATTAGATTCAGATGGGTAATATACTTGTGGCGGGGAAGTTATACTCTCTTGCGCATTTAACAGCTACTTCGTGCCTCACTTGTGACTCGAGAAGCCTCAAGTGCGAACTCGGCTTGGCCATGGATGATCGATCTTCTTAACTCTTCATGGACATTCTAAAATCCTAATCATACATACGCACTAGATATCATTATTACAATTGCATGTCTATAATCAAGACCTCTTGCTAAGCTTCTCCACGTGAACATTATGCATAGTTCATTCGTGGATAGTGATTTCCGAGTATTCGAAAGGTGGCAAGCGTGTCCATCTCCGCTCGTCCCTGATGACCCTCGACATCTTCTTCAAATGCTCCATCTCCTGCCGGGAAAACGTCACCCTCCTATTGAAGTTTGGAGGAGCCGTCGTGATAGGTGGTGGGTATTCTGGGAAGAATGGTTTCGATAGAGTTGATGTCGATTGTGATACAGCAAGTGAAAATCAAGGGCTCGTATCTTGGGACTGTTTGGGGGTTCTGATATCTCCTTTCTTTTGTGGCTGCGAGATGCATCAAGCCTCATATCGGTCTTGTGCTTCTAATGAAGCAAGCAGATGTTGGATTCCGTGAAATGATAGATGGCAAGACTAAGGGCAAAGTCGTCATAACTGTGTGGTGTAGATTAAGACTACTCTCAAGTGTTGAGATTTTCCAGGTATTCCATCGCTTTGAGAGCTTCTTCGGAGCCTCGTTCGGCCAATTGTAGCATCTCCAATTCTTTCATAGCCCACTCTCTGGCTTCCCGCAGATGGCCTGCTTGCTGGTTAAAAACTGCAGCAAAGTGGTAGGCCTGCGCCAGATAATCTGGCAAACCCTCTGCTAAGAGCATGTTGACAAGATTAATAGACTTGCTGATTCGCTTCTCCTTGATGGAGAGCTTCTTGGTGGGAGAAAACTGCTTCTGCTCCAAATAATCTAGCGCATCTGACATCCTGACTCGCCGTTTGTCGCCCTCCGTCGACTTGCAGGCCGAACAGTCACAAGTGAAACCATACTGCTTAAGCCTGTGCTGTCGAGCCATGGTAGTTTTGAGGAGCGGAATGTAGGAGACGGTAATCTCTTCATCCTTCTCGATATCGCGCGAGGTATACATGATTCGTCTCCTCGTTTTTACGCTCCACCAGTTCAAAGTGTTGGGCTTACAAGAGTGATTGATTCGCGCAATTTTCGGGAATATTCCAACGTGTTCATCGTCCATGGTGTAAGCATTAGTCGTAAAGATAGTCATTAGTAAATTCGAATTTCCTTCCGAAGGATGGAATTCATGCAGGTTGAGATACTCTTCTTTTTGATCCGGCGACAGGCTTTCAAATCCGGCCTCGATGCTAGCAATCATATGCTCAATTTTGAACCCTTGACCTGGAAACATCTCGGTCGGCAAAGGAACCGAGAAAGCTGGCTTTTCTATGAGAATTGGAGTGCCCCGTTTAAGATGATGCTTTGCAAATACGCCGAGACCTTTGCCAGGAGCTGGCCGAACGTCGTACACAGGAACTGAAGCTGCAATAAGTCAATCTATGACCATGAATATGGCATAGGCTCGGGGAATTGCAGATGCTCTCTTTGTTAGGTCATGTGCGTCGAATTTTGCGTACCTTGAGCCATGTCTGCTGTTCCTTCTACCATGGCGGGTTCGCCAAATTCTGCCATGCTATCGGAAAAGTTCTATAATCATATAAGTGAGCTGAAGATAATAGCTGCGTGCAGTAGGTACCAAGTCATTATCGCTGTTGTTGACACAATTCGAAGCAGGTTGGAGAAGATCAGACCCGCCAACGCCTTGCAGGGCCCCGATAATCTCCTGGGAACACACTCCATCGTACGCACTAGTATAGCCAAGGAGTACCGCGAGAAGATATATAACTTGAAAACGAGCGCTCAAAACCAACTTGTGAGCCGCCATCACGCAGCAGGAAACGCGTCGCTGTAAGAAAAACGCTGACCGAGAGGGATTGACGCAGGTTCTACCGAGAAAGATCTATCTGCGCAATCAATAATGGATTATGATTTATGATGAGGTATGCGAATGCAAATGTAAATGAAAGTAATGATAGTTATCTTGAAGAAATATCTCTTCTCCCTGAATTCAGGAGTCAGGGGTGATGAAACAGGAGAAGTCGCGCATATGTAATAGGTCACGACTCATGGTGCCATATTTCCCTCATCGATCCAACCTATTCTCCAGCCAGGAAGTTACGGATGGTTGATGTATTCGCGAATGCAATGGCGTTGGACTTGTGAATTATGGAAGTTAGCAAATTACTGTCACGAAGTGAGCGGTTGCCCATGGTCAATTCTGTCCAGGGGGTTGGAGTATAGCGTACGTCACGTGCAATATACTGGAAATTATTTGAGAACGCAGGTAGTATGATGCTTGCAAGTTTGCTATGGGATGATCTATGAAGAGCAGAAATCACAGTCGAGTTTTGTGGAAGAAGGTCATGCTGCACACATCCCAGGGTTTCGGTAGCTGACACGTGACCAACAATATATCTACGGCCCTGAAGCGCCGCCTCCACCGATTCTTTTCCAAGTCCTCCCTTTTTCAATCCACTGAGCAGAAAACTATGGAACCGTCTATAGATACATTGTAAATGCTAGCTAAGTATGTACTAATAGCGAAGTTCACAGGGCTAGCCCTTAACCAACAACGCAGGAGTAGCAACCCAATGTTATTCTCGACGGCGTAGTACCGGTATGTCTTCACCCGATCAAACTTCAACCGCAGCGGAAAATTCTAGTGGCTGTGGCAGTGGCTGCTCTGCCGCGTTTGATCCTACTGTAAAGGTTTCTACCCCCTATTTCGCCAATTAGGGGCACCTAACCGAAAGCGAGAGTTCGCGTTCGCAATTCGCCTCATCTGGAGACTTGTCTGACCACATGAAATCTCCAGCCTTGTTTCGCCTTATCACATGGTTTTCATAGCCTCATCTCTGTATCTCTACTTTGGACCTTTCTCAAACGCTCCATCTCTCTTTGTAGTATGTGCCACAGGGTAAATTGTTTCCGGCTACGTATAGCCTCACCCCTCATCCCGTCTTACTTGCAGTTGTAACATCTTACAGAGGCACCGCTCATGCTTTTGCAGACTTTTGTCTACTGTCCATCCTTAGATTACGGTACGCAGCTCTCAAGTCAGCCATCCAAGCTTGTTTGAAGGAGATGTTCATTTGCTCCCAGAGTGTGGCCGTTTTGCATGAAAAATGTTAGCCACGATGCCATTCCATGATCTGCCAGTGCAGAATAAGTTGCCGGAAGAGGAAGTAAGCTCGAGTACATGCTTTGCCGACAGCAACGTACCATAGATTTTGGAGCGTGTTGCTCCTGGTTGTCATCACTTTGACTCCTTTTTGTTTTGAGTGTCTTGGTATGTTGCATTTGAATGCTATTTCGCGACAATGCTGCATAGCTTGATGTTTATGGTTCCCGAGTTCGTTCAAATCGAAGAGTATGATATATGTGGAGGGATCCATTGAAGAAGTATATATTGTGGCTTCTCCTCTAGAATTGAAACCATCATCCACAGCTCAACATTCCAGCTTCAGCTTCACAGTGCTTTATTCCTTCTTTCACTTTCCTTCTTCAGTTTCCTTGATACAATCATTGCAACCTTACAATCTATTTTAAGACTTCAGTCAACTATCACACATTCCCTCAAAATGTCTTTCAAAGCTGCAGCCGTCATTCTCCTTTCTCTCGCCTCGACCTCCTTGGCAGCTCCTTTTTCCAATGGCACAAGTACCACAAGCTCCATAGCTGCTTCTGGTACCGGCGCCTCTCTTGCAGCTACCGGTAAACCCACCACCTTTACAGGAGATGGAACCCCAGGCGCTGGATGGCCAACTGAGGACAAATGGGCCACCTATTCCGCAATGTAAGAGAACCACCCCCATCTTCCCCCTTTCCAAGTCACTGTCTCCAGTATTAACGGAAATTCAGTCTCGCCGCCAACCAAAAAGTTCTATCTTCATCCTGTACCCAGTTTAACAAGACGAACAACACCCCCGGTGAGATCAAGGACATCGACACATCCATCCAATCAGTCGCCAACACCACTGGTGTCGACCCCCGCTTCATCCTCGCAGTCGTCATGCAAGAGTCCAAAGGCTGCGTCCGAGTCCATGACACCCTCTCACCTCCACCGGCGCAGATCCGCAACCCTGGCCTGATGCAGGATCACAACGGAACCAACAGCTGCGCCAACACTACCGTTCCCTGCCCTCCCGCTACCATCACGGGGATGATCATGGATGGCACCAACGGCACCGTTGGTCTTGTTGGCGGCGGTGATGGAATCAAGCAGACTCTTGCTCAAGCAATCACGGAAGGTGGCAAGGATGCCCAAGCGACCTATATCGCAGCCAGAATCTACAACTCCGGCTCTTATACTTTCGGAACGGATCTTGGTGGTGGTCAAGCTGCTACCTCATCTTATGCTTCGGATATCGCGAACAGATTGTTGGGTCTTTCTTTCTGATTGATTTTTGAAAACTTGTAGCATTAGGGGGGTTTTAGCGAGACGGGAGCGAAGCAGGCTTGCATTGCAATTTTCTTTTTGTCTTAGATTTCCGACTTTTGGGTTTGTTCGAGCTCGTGGGATCCTGTACTTTATTTCCTTTTCGGTTTCTGGTGTTCACTGACTGCATGTAACAACATTTTATAGAGTTAGAAAGAGAATCAATTGGCGTCTGTTTGACAATGCGTTTTAGCTGACATTTCCAAGAGATGTGCATATAGTATCGAAGCCCAAATATCTGGGTAATCTCCTGGTTCGAACGAGTTCCGTTTCTATTGATCGCGTATGAAACTACTACGAACCATATGTATTCTCCTTCCTGGCGCAAACTTCAATACCCTCTTCCCTTACCTATCAAGCGAATGCAAACAATTCCAATAAGAAGTAAAGTGAAACATGCAAAAAGTAGTAATATAGAACTTCACTCGAGGACGAGGAACATCAAACATTGATGATATCCTGACGGTTCAGATTGCTGGCTATTCATCTGAGAACCCCCATCCTCTTCAGGCTCTGTTTTCCCTAATTTAATCTCCCTTAACCTGCTCCAATTTCAACTGCTCCATCTCCATCTGTTCCATCTCCAACTCTTCCCAGTCCAAGTCATCCTTATCCATCTCCGGCTCCGTAGACTGCGCTAGAAACTGCTCAATTGCTGTAGACACAACCACCTGTGGCTCAATACTAATCTCCATCTCGCCACCCACCACCTCCAAGAATTTCACATGCGCATCCAAAATCATATCTCCCCGCTCATACTGATACCCATCCCTCATCAACTCCTCCACCTGCCCCACCACGCCCCTCCCCGCCTTGCTAATCGCCCACTCCAGACCCCGGCTCCGATCCCTGCCCCCAACCGCTGTACGATAAATCTCCGCCACAACCAGCATCCACTCAAACGCCTCGTTCCGTTCCTCCGACCACGACGTCGGGCTCGCGTTGTACAAGCGGCTGAGTATCCTGATAGCGTCCGCGGCATTCCGGTGCGTGTCGATGCCCAGAAGCGCGAGCAGGAGGAGCAGCTGCGCGAGGATGTAGTCTGGGAGGTTGGCCATCTTCGTGGCAGAGCTGGCTAGCATGAGCGCTGCGCTGAATTCGCGCTTTCGGTAGACTTGTGAGATCTTGTGTGCTGGTCAGTGGCTGGTCTGCCAGAGAGTGTTGTTACTACCGTACTTACCTCTTCTAGTTTCCGCAGGTAGAGCCAGCCAATTGCTTCCACTTCAAATGAGACCTTTGTGGGTCGGGTTATCGATGGCAGTAGCTCATTTGATTGAAGGAGCGTTGGTGGTAGCATTACTGCGATTATTGATACAATACGAATATTTTTGGTGGTGTGGAGCAATGGGTGTTGTGCAATTGAAGTTGAAGGCAATGGAGGTATTATGTAGATTTGATCTATCAAGGAGATCGCCTTGACCAGAGGCCTCTCCAGAATCAATTCACTTGAATGAAGCTCGATGTGAATTGGGGCACTAGATTGCAAATTTCAAATATCGTCTCGACATCCAATTCACATAGTATGCCTTGTCCCTGCTGCATCGGACTAACTTTGAGGGAATTCAAACATAACAAGCAGACGCGATACCCGAGTCACCGACGATCAAGTAAACAAGTATAGAAATAGATCAAAACCATAACGCCAAGGAGCTTCCCGACTTCAAGCCCCGCTCGAGAGTCAGCTTTCTGCACTAGGAGTACTCGCTGAAAGCATTGAAGACATGGACGACTCACAGTATTCTCCACTGATAACATGCATTTGTGAAACCAGAACTCGTACTGCCCATCGCCGGGTTTTCACAGCACTCCCACACTTCGCCAACCTTACTCAACCATCAATGAGAACACACTCAACCCCCTCTATATCACCGGTTAGTGATCGAGCTTCTTTTCAGAGAGAGGCAGGGCATGAAACTTATAATTTGAGGGAAGTTGTAAAACCATAGTGTGCCTACCTTTGTTTTGGAAATTATGCGGGGACAAAGAATAGGGGTTCGGCAATTAGCGCGATTCGAGGGGCGAGGCGGTTCTCGAAGTGCACACAACGCTTTATTACCTACTCACACACGGCCAGCCGAGTCTCGGCCGAAAATAGAACCTCGGAGTTACTACTTATGGAATGATTATTGTAAAACGGTTTTCATTTTTCGGTAAGGTGCTTGAAGTTGTAGCCCTAGGGTACTTGTTACAGCCCAATAACACTTCAAGGCTGCTATCCTAGCACTGATGTATTTGTATAGTATGCTTTTAGCACCGGTATCACTGCGCAACTACGGAGTAAGCATCCTCCAGTTAGGAGCAAAAGTAGGTATATAGCTATGTCTCCCGGTTGATTATCCTGCAGATTACTCTTCATCTTCCAGCAACGTCCTTCAGTACATTCTTCAACTACATATACATATATATCAGCATAAATTGCCAACCAACTTATTGCTAAAGCGCCCAGCCTCAACTCCAATACCTCCCAGAATGACTTATACAATCGTCGCCTACCTAGCCCGCAAACCTAGCATGACCCCCGCCGAATTCCGCAACTACTACGAAAACACACACATGCCCCTCCTCATCTCCCTCACCGGCTCCGTCTTCCCCAAGACCCACAAACGCTACTACCTGCCGCGCACGACCAAAGACCCATCATCCCCAGACACCACGAACGCAAACCACGCCGTCACGGTCTACGAGGGCATAGCTGAGGACTTTGATTACGATGCGTATGCGGAGCTGGAGTTTGAGAGTATTGAGAAGTTTGCGGCTTTTGGACAGAGGTTGGCGGAGGTGGCAGCGGCGGAGGATGGGGCTTTTCATGCGGATGAGTTGGCGTTCTTGGATTTGAGTAAGAGGAGGTGTGTTGTGGTTGATGGGCCGGTTGCTACGGTTACGCCGAGTGAGATCTGATAGCGTAGCGTCCGATGCAGATGATTTGGTGTCGGGAATGGTTGTGAGCTTTATGTATAGACATCCAATCTAGAGCCTCTCTCTCCGCGCATCCTCCAAGACGGGGCGGCGTGCCAGTTTCTCCTCTCATTTCCATCTATCAACCTGCTCCTTGTGACTTGGGAACAGGCTGGTATTGTAGCCTTTAAAATTAATAAGACTGACAATTTGGTAGTTCTGGTAGTCTAGGCTTCGATTTCGACTGGCTGATGTATCTTTCTCTGTTTGTCTCTGTCGGTTGCCGGCTGCAGCGTTTCATGATTTAATTAGCATTGCAATTTTCCCTGAATTTTTCAAGATAGCACGATGTATCATGCCGATTATACTGCTGCACATAGGCATTTCTAGTCGCATTTGACTCGAGGTACCGCTTCCCGATGGGGCGATAGCGCGAAGTTGGTCAGGTTAGAATTCAATTCATCGCCATGGGTTTTTCTATCTAACTTTTTGACATTCTTTTATGTTCTAGTAAAAGTTGAAACATTTTCGTGATGGCTTCCAGACCTGCCCAATCGACAGCGACGATGCTAGAGTCACTCGTACATCATATCGCCCTGCCACCTCAGCTACCCCAGCAACAAGAGCGTGTGTCAACGTTGAACAAGATCCAAGACGTTCTACTCGATCATCTTCTCGCAGCTACCAATATTTTGGACGCACTGCACCTTGGTACCCCATGGCACTGTATCCGCCGATCTATCCAAACTTGTAAAACCATCAACTCGGGTGGGACAATTAACAAGACCGCTCTCCTTGCTGCGTTCCGAGAGCTAGAAAATGGGAGTGATGAGGTCCTTATCCTACATGTTGCTGAACAGAATGCCGCAGTTCTGATTCGACGAGAGTACGCCTTCCATCACCACTCTCCCCCACCCACCTCTCATCAAAGTGGTCCTAACATCATCTTCAGTTCTGTCAAACGCGACAACGTCATATTTGAGGCCTTCGAAACCTCCCCCCTCTCAGATAAAGTCCTTGCTGCCAAGGGGCCACTAGAATGGGACTTCCCAGGCTGTGCAGTGACCCTACCCCTTTCGACTTTTTCCATCCCCGCCTTCCAGAATGAGCTTGCTGTTTTTCTCTCACAAGCCAGCACGGAATCAATAAAGCGCTTTGCAGCCCGGGCAAACAAAGCTGGAGTTTCCGTTTTCGAGAGTCGAGATACTGTGAATCCAGAACTGGTTACTTCGATGCTAATGACCCTACTTGAAGCCAATGGCGCGCGTTCGTTCCCTTCACTTCTACGCAAACATGTCCGAGATGATGTCTGCTGGTCTGAGGGAGCCCAGAAGCCTTGGAGGAGGTGTCCCTTTTGGCTGGTAGTGCGCGTTGCGATACAGCGACACCTCTCAACGCTCATTGGTGATGAAGCTGGCCGACTACAGTACAAGCTTTTGATGTGTCAAGTACTTGCAGACCTGTTAGAAGAGGGTTCGGGAAAACAGCTCGATATAGAACTGCTGTCATTTCTGAACAGCAAACTTTGCCGTCGCATTGCCAAGCTCGAGGTTGACAAGCAGAGAGCCCATACGAAGATTCAAGCAGTCTACGAGTCCATGTTCTCAGCACTCCAGCCATTTTTCGAAAAGGTCACCACTATTGCAGTTAGCCAAATAGAGACTGCATGGTCAGGCTTCAAAAAAGATAACCAGCGGCCAATATTAACCTTTCCACGCCGCTCTGACCCACGACACCTCCGGCTAAGTCTTCTGAACTCTGCAAATCACATTGATGGGACTCTATCAGCTTGGATATATGATCATCAAAGACTTCACTCCACCACGGCTCGCACGCAACCAATTCCTGAGGTTTTATCCGCGATTAACATAGAACGTCAAGCCTTTGTTGATCGCTACTCCTCGCTCTCGGACATGGAGATCAACATGGAGCACATATCTGGTAAGTCAAACGAAGTCAAGAATATCTCGCGGCTACTGGGTCATTTTCATGTTTAGCTTCCGTTTGAAGAATATGCAAACTAATACCCTATTCTTAGCAGAACCCACCCCAACGACAGAAGCCGACTGTCAGGATCGATGCATCTCCCTCACTAAGCACATCGAGGAGTACCTAATCGCTGTCGGAAATGCGTACGTCGGTAATCCCGAACAGAATAGCATAATGCTATTAACGATCATGGAGCTCTGGGTCTCAATGGAGAAATGTGCTCTACAGCTTTTCGTCCTCTTGCGGGACTTCAATCCAGTATTCCCCCCAGGAATCATAGATGTTTTACATATATCTAGTCCGAAAGATATGCGCCGTCTCCAAAATATTCGATCATATCTTAAAGACAGGCAAGCGTCTTGCTCGGGAAGATTCACCATCTTTAGTAGCCCAATCAGAGGCTGTTTCGGAGAACGATACTTTGAAGAGTCTAAAGACTCATTGGAGTTGAAAGAACTCTTTCGTCAGATTGAAGATCGAGCCGAAGAGGAGCGTCAAGAAAAGCAGCAAGAATGGCAGTCAAAATCTACTGATTACGAACGACTCGTCCGTGCCGCTGCCGAAAGTACACATGTGAAAGAAGAAAACTATTACGGGGAGCCTGAGGAAACTTGCGTTCGAAATTGTCAAAAATGTTTGCTTGACCAAAATGCTCTTCGTCTCAGCATCAGTGTCCACGAGCATCCGTTACCATCTGATCAAGTGGAGGCGAAAGTTACTGTTTTCGAGCTAAATTGTCCAGAAGCTTTCGCAGCCTATCGGGAAGCAACGTGGAGAATTATCAGTTCCCTAAGTGCCCCATCTCCAATGGAACAATTTCCTCCTAAACTTCTGCTCGCCAAATACCCTGGTTTTAGGGACTTCTTACAAAACAGCCTATGCAGCTTCACGCTGGCGTCTACCAAGAAGTCATTCGTCGTCACACATTACAGAACCATTGGGTTTCCCGTGAGCCTCGAAGATGTTTGTGTTCCGAACGGATTACGGTTTGAGTATTATGATCAACTAAACCAAGTATGGTATGTTACTTCCTCACGCTATTTATTCAATTGTACGGCAATATTCGGGAGGTGAATCCTCTTTTAAAATGTCTTAGAAACTTCAAGACGACAAAAGCTACTCCCGAATTTCCAAATCCTATGAAATCTTAACCAAACAATACTGACAGCGAACTTTTAGGCCTGGCCGCCAGACTCTAAGACCGACGTTTGCCCACCATTGTCGGTTGATTATTCCAACAAGCTCACCCTTCTCAAGGCTCCTGTTATCGACAGATTTCAATTCGGACTCGGATGGACCATCAAGTTATGCGACTATCGCAAGCCAGAGTAGATGCCCGCCAGGAGTCAATGTCCATGAGTTCACGGCTTACCAAGCTCTTTTCTCTGGAAAGACTCGTCGGTGGCCTCAAATCTTGATGGAGCTTGGGGCATCGAATCTAAATTTTAGTACGGAAGCAACAGCATTACTGCTTTGCCATCTGGCATTGCAGATTGGGCCTGCCCCTGATGACAATCATCTAGGTTCGGTGCATACATTCTTCAACGACGAGATCTTCTGTGCAAACCTGCTAAAGCAGCTCAACCTACGTTTAGATGGGATATCATCCAATTGGAGGGAGACAAATTGCATGGAGTCGATTATCACTCTAACCATTCGATTGAATTCGCTCGGCATCGGTTCAAAGGATGCATCAAAGCAGCTCTTAGAGAAGGTCCGAAATGTTACTTTCAAGTGGATTACTGAGCTTCGTTCCGAAGTTCGAGCTGCCACAAGTTTACAAGCATCTCTCAATCTGTCCACATATGCGTTGTGGGCGGCGTTGCTCTGCCGTAGAACGTTCGATCCATGTCTTGATTTTAACCATAGTCTAGATCCTAAAGCTCTTCAGTGTTACATTGAAAGTTCTATCACGATGCAAGATAACATTGCTTCAGATGCTACATCATTGCCAATCCTTCTCAGATTTTCATTGGTCCGAGATGTCAAGATAATTCACGGAATGCGGTACCTTCTTCGAAAGTCTCTTTTAGACAACCCGCAGAGTTTTATGTATGCTATCAAGACTGTCTGGCCGGACCTCGAGGATTTGTCATCTAAGAAAGTATCTCCATTTCTATTTCTGGAAGGTATCCATCAATGGTGGGTCGAAGTAACCATGGTTGCCACGCTTCACACCCTTCCACAAACCATACATTTTCATGTACTCAACGGCCACTTACTCGTTGACGGAAAACCAATTGGGAAGCTCCCGGCCAAATATACTACACACATCATCTTGACGGAACTTTTTGGCAATCAAAACCTACCTTCATATCCTTCGAATCTCCCTGGCATGAACTATACTCTTACCGCCGTGGAATATGGTCATCAGATCCATCTTGGGTTTCGAAATGATCATCTGGTTGTGAGAGCCCTACTAGGCAACAGAATTCTCGAGCTTCTTCCCCGTCAAATATTCTCCGGCCCTCAAAACTTCGATCTTCCCGCCTCATTGGTAGATAATTGTGTACATTGGCTCGATGTTCGTACAGGGAGTATTGAGATCAGGCAAAGACCTCATATTTGGATGACAAAGAAGCAAAGCAATTGGACTTTAGACTACCCCAATCGTCGAGCGGTAAGAGAGTCCTAATATTTTATACTTGCCATACTCTTCAAGACACCCTTATAATTTCTCACGGCTGTTGAGACATTGGGGTAGCTTGACTTTCTAGGGCTAACTTCTTGTTTTTCATAGTATCGCCGCGAATCCGCATTAATCGATCCTTATAGTCCTTTATTTAAGCTGTTTTCAAGAACATTTGAATTCTTCGAAGCTAGTCGGTTTTTGACAGTCGTCCAGCCGCCGTATTCTAGCGCTTTAGTTGTCGAACTTCGTCGCGTGGAGCTTGCATTTTTCGTGAACGAGAGAAATTGCCTGGAATCATCGCAGTTGAGGGCAGAGATAGATCCTGATCAAGATGCTGGTACTTGGTATGTTGTCGTCTCCAATATTGTTTCACAGATTCTGGATCATTACTATGCCTTCAAAAACATGCCAAGAGACAGAAGGCTAATTCTATAACTTCCCCGTAGGTATGGCCTTCAATCAAAGATCGTTTTGAGAGAGAAGATTCCGGGCTACAACTACTCTATTAGGGGGCGACAGCGCAGTCTAATTGTGCCTATCGGTCCTTTGATAAATTATAAGCGTCACGGAATACACATTGTGACCCGGGTAGAAAGCAGCGAGGGGTATTATGCTAGATACACGATCAACAAACCCCTGGGGCGTCTTGATTGCCCTGCAGAGGTAAGACTATTCCCAATCCTTTAAAACGCCATTCCTCCTCCAGCCTGGCATACCTGAAGCTAACTCTTCGTCCCTCACAGCCACGACTTCTGTACTTTAAATCACTTTGCCACGCATATACATCATTCATTCTTCCTGACTCTCTCACTGGTCGTACGGGGACAGAGGAAGCCTTGCATTGTCTGGCTGGGGGTTTGTTTCAGCCTTGGACACCCCTCAAGGAATGGCACGTCCAAGTGCTGAACCAACTAGCTTCTCTCACTCCTCGCAGAGAATACTATCCCCTCGGTCATAAGGTTATGCAGAAGACCTTCTGGTAAGTCGAGCGTTAACCATATAATGCGAGTTCTTGTAGTGTCTACGAGCTCGGCTCTCTCTCCTTGGAAGTTTTATACAAAGTTTATACTAATTCGATTGGATAGGAACCCATTACTGACGTCAAATGTTCAACATGATGGACTCAGAGCTGCCGTCGAGTCTATATTCTCAAAATCCAATCAATTATTAACATTCGCTTCGGAGAAGTTGGAGGCTTGCGCTCTTGAGCCGGGTGGAGACGACCATCTGACCACGAGGAGTCATCTTCGACGAGAGACTTACCAGCGCTCGAATTTCGACTCAAATCCTTCCCAGGTATCTCAATATATGTCGTACGCCGCACGAGATGTCTGGCGTACTAGCCAGAGAAGATCAAATGTGGTTGAATCCGCAAATTTGATTCTCAATTGGTCATCGAAAATGAGAACAACAAAAGATTTAGCCGGTATTCTTCAATCCTGGCCTAAAATTGGCGGCTACAACGGGGAGGCGGAAAAGATTCTGCTCAGCAATCTTCTTGGTCTGGACTTTGCCCCTGAATGGGGATCATTTGTCAATCTTTGCCGAAATTCGAGCTCGGATGATGTGTATCGACTCATGTTTTTGTTCTCTGTCATTTCTTTCCGCCAAGACGCTGATATGGATACCATACGCATCCTGCTAGCTTTCGCAATCATAGAAGATTTGAAGGGCTTGACACCACCAACATGGCCATTATATGAAAAATTCAGACACAACCAAGTTCCACGAATGGATTATATCCAGCCAATGATGGAGCAATACCTTGTACCCTACAAGGGCGACGAACTATACAATCTAGGGTTTAACCTCTCCGCCAAACTACAAAAAAAGTACAAGGCACTGGAACGTGCACATAAGCAGCAGCAAGAAATAGATATGAGACAACTGGGAGACTTTCTCTTGAAACAATGGCCTTGCCTTGAGCCATCTATCAAAGGCTTCACGGCCTCAGTCTTAATCGACGTTGCTCAGGCATTAGATGTCATTCGTCCCGCGTGGTTGTGTCTCTTCCAGAACTTTGAACTCTCCCTTCACATTTCCCAAGTTCAGGATGTATTGGATAGGCATTACATCGATGATAAAGGCAGAAATACTCAGGCCGAGGTTCAGGAACAGGCAATTTATTCTATACGCTATCGAGGAGGAGAGTTCCCAACATTGTCTCAGCTACTCAGCAAGACAGGCCCAGCTTTACCCCCAATCACCCGTATAGGCAAGCCAAAGGCTCTGAAGAAAGAGGGTTCTTTACTGAAAGACTATGGCAAGACCATAAATAGAAGCACCCTGAGTTCACGAGCCGGGAATTCGAACCTCAAAGAGTTGAGTGATGAACACAATACACCTGAGAGTCAAGAACTACAAGCTATCATCGAACATGTCGTTAAGTCAGAGTCGAACGTTCGACAACAGTACGGCAAGGATTTAACCCAAAGTCTCAAAGCTCTAGGCAATCTCAAACGCGAATTAACAAAGCAGAGTATACCCAGTGCCATGACTCTCGCTGACCAAATATCGGCCGCCCAAAAGATTGTCTCCCAACATTTTACTTGTCTTTCCAATTCATTCGAGGAGGGTGATACGTGCGCCCACTGGCTTCGTAGGGGAGGTTTATGGCCTGTCATAACTCCTGTATCGGTCTTGGAAACCTTGCGATCTACTTTGCAGGTATCTTTTGGGACCAACATGAAAGAGTATATTGTTCTATATGCATTGTCCCTCACAAACCTCCAACGGCTTATCAGGATGGAAGAAGCTTCACTAAATAAGAATGAGCAGCGACTGATTGAGGAGCAAAATTGTCGACCGCATAGTAACTGGGCTCCAATCGATCGTCTAGACTGGTTGCTTCTTGAGCTAGATTCTAATATTCTTATTAGACCTGGTCAGGTAAGCAACTTTCACAAGCGTTTTTTCTCTTGTAGTCCATATTTGGGAGTTTTATATCCTTCTATATGACTTGAGAATTCTGAGGCGTTATCAAGGACGCCCGATCCCGACCGAATATTCAACCAGGAAATGCTGACTCGAACTCACAGGTCGATGTAGCTCTGGCTACAATATCACCAGCGTCTAAAGCAAATTCTGTATTACAGATGAACATGGGTCAAGGTCGGTGGGGCTCTTTAGAGTTAAATGTCCTATACTAACCCGGTGCCTTAGGCAAAACATCTTGCATTATGCCGATGGCTGCTGCTGTCTTAGGAGATGGGAAACATTTGCTGAGAGTGGTGGTTCCAAAAGCTCTGCTTTTGCAGACAGCGCAGCTCCTACATGCCCGCCTTGGAGGCTTGCTTGGCCGAGAGCTCAGGCACATTCCATTCTCGCGGAAAACTTCGACGGACCAACGAACGATTCAATTATTTGAGCAGATCCATAGGGACATTCAAAAATCGTGCGGGGTTATGCTTGCACTTCCTGAACATCTGCTGTCTTTTAAACTCTCTGGTCTGCAGCGGCTCTCGGATAGTCTCATTCCCGAAGCGAAGACAATGGTCAATGTTCAGAGTTATCTCAATCGTGTTTCTCGAGACATATTAGACGAAGCAGATTACATTCTCGCGATTCGGACGCAGCTTATCTATCCCTCAGGCTCACAAAAGACGGTTGACGGTCACCCGCATCGCTGGGAAACAATCGAGGCTTTATTGAAGATTGTAGAGTCCAATATTTTCAATTTACGAAAGAAGTTTCCTCAGAGTATTGAGGTAGTCCAAAGCACACAGGGTCGATTTCCAGTGGTGTACTTCCTTCGTAAAGATGTGGAGGACGCCCTGATGTCCAGACTCGTGGATGAGATTTACCGAGGCCGGACATCGATCTTACCTGAAGACCTGTCAAAATCGGATCGCCTTGCCATCAGAGACTTCATCTCGATGCCAAATGTTGGGCTGGGTGTACGCCAACATATCAATCGATTGCTACCCGAAAAGCCAGCCGTGAAGCAAGTGGTTCATCTGTTGCGAGGCCTTTTAGTTCATCGGATCCTTCTGATGACCTTGAAAAAACGTTGGAACGTGCAATATGGATTGCATCCAGCAAGAGACCCAATGGCAGTGCCTTACCATGCCAAAGGAACCCCCAGCGATCAGGCCGAATGGGGTCACCCTGACGTTGCAATATTGCTCACGTGCCTATCATTTTACCATGGCGGGCTCAATATCCCTCAGCTTCGACAGACCTTGGAGCATGTATTAAAAAGTGATGATCCTTCTCAAGTTTATGATAGCCTCTCCCTGAGTTCCAGCCTTCCTGATTCTTTGAGGGACTGGGGCTCAATCAATATTGATGATGAGGCGCAGATTCTAGAAATTTGGACGCATATTCGCTACGGAGTCATCGTTGCCGACTACTTCTTGAATAATTTTGTCTTTCCTCAACATGCAAAGCAATTCCAACTGAAGTTGCAAGCTTCGGGATGGGATATTCCGCTTTTCCCCGACCAAAGTTTTGCAACTGCGGTCGAAAAGTCTCGTGGAAGTAATTCATTACAGCTTCCACTGACGACCGGGTTCAGCGGGACCAATGACTCTAAGAGAATGCTGCCCTTGACAATCAAGCAACAAGATCTCGGTGGGCTTGCATATACGAATGCTGAAGTTTTGACATATCTTTTGCAACGACGAAATCGGCAGTATGCTCTAGCGGCGGATCATCAAGGAAAGCGTCTATCTGAGCGAGGTTTGCTTCAAAGAATCAGCAATATGCATATTCGAGTATTCATCGATGCGGGGGCTCAGATTCTGGAAATGGACAACTTCAATCTTGCGAAAACATGGCTCGAAATCTTCACTGGAGCTCCTGCGGTAAGTCATTACTAGATTGAACCCTCTCTGCTTATTAGACATGTTTTGAGAGTTGCAAGCACGTTCTCAGCTCTTATTCCATAAATGACTCACGAATACCGAGTTGTTTTCCCTTGATTTGTCAAAAAGCAGTCGAAGAAATATTGCTAATTATCTATACTGTTACAGGCCGTATATTTCAGAGACAACACGCCAATGGTTCTATACCGTCATGGAAGTCAAATTCCACTTCTTGCATCGTCTTATGCAAACGATCTTGGCAAGGCATTGGTGTATCTCGATCAAGCCCACACTAGAGGCACAGATTTGAAAATGCCGGCGAGCGCAGCTGGGGCTCTAACACTTGGTTTAGACCAAAGCAAGGATCATACCGTTCAAGGTTGGTGTTCTCCGTGCATTAATTAGTAAAAAATCGAAGAATCTGACTTGTGAAACAGCTGCAATGAGATTGCGACAGCTTGGTACAACCCAGTCCATTGTCTGGTTTGCGCCACCAGAGGTTCACCAGAGTATCTTAGACGTCCGTCAAAAGATGTCAGGGGACCCAATTACCTCATACGATGTCGTCCATTGGCTTCTAGAGCAGACATGTGTTCAAATAGAACAACTGCAGCCGCTTTATATCTCGCAGGGTAACGACTTCTGCCGCCGCGCCCAAGTGAGTCATCTTTCCCAAGCAAATAATGGCTTTCTAGTATATTCGGAAGACATAATTACATTTCTGTTGAGCTGTATGATGTCTCAAAATCCGAGACCTTTTGATTTCATTCCTGGTGTAGTTTCGGCTTACCTCTAAAGAAGATTGCTAACTTTCTTACCCTGATTGTAGGCTGCATTGAAGGACGCAGAATTTCTCGTTGATGAGGAGCAACGCGAGAGCTATCTAGCAACTTTGAGGCAATATGAACAGCAGACGCTAGAACAGCTGTACGGCGTGAATCAGAAGGCGAAACGATCGGCTCCTAGTACAAATACATTGACTGGAGTTTTAGCTGCCTTTGATAAGGAGCTCAAGTTCCAGAGAAAGAGCTTCCAGGATACCGGGCACGCCGTTCATGGTTCTGCCTTGCAAGAGGTCGAACAAGAGAGAGAGGTAGCGTTCGAGGTCGAAAATGTCCGCCAAGTCCAGAAACCAGTTCACTTCCAGCCATTTTCATTCCCTGGCCTTCATCGCGATCTTGCCAACTTTGTGAAGACTGGCAGAATGGCTGCGGATTCGGCAGCTTATGATGATGCATTTAAGCTTCTCCAGCGAACTACCGTTGGACGTAAGCATCGAGTCAACAGCGACGGAACAGCGTATAGTAAGTTTTTTCATAAAACTGTTCCAATACTTGTAGCATATTATAAACTCCAAAGTACTCTAAGTCTGACAGCTAACGTCTCATTTTTGCATAGAGCTTTACGTATCAACCGAGTTCACAAAGACTGTCAGGTTGCCAACCGATCGGTCGTTTGATAATTTCCAACGCCAACCAAACTGGATTTTGTGGAGTACCATTTCAGAAATAGCACTAGGTAAGATATCTTTGACTGTGCATCTTCTAAATCGAAATCACCCACAGTTCATAAATGACGAATACGTTTGGACTCATCTGAAGATACAAAGCTAACTTGAATCTCGTCATAGTCATCATTCCGGAAGAGGCCGAGCATATCATTCCCATTCTCCTTCACGCCCAAGAACCGCCAACCTATCTTCTCACCTATGCCGCGCCCGTCACCCGCAAGATGCTTCTACATTTCAATGACCTGAAGTTCTATTCAATTCCGAATCTCCCCTCCACCTGGGAAGCACCTCTCTGGCTCAAGGTCGAATTAGGTCTATTTGCCGGGCGACTCTATTTCGACTATAGCGAGTATGCTTTCTTGTGCGAATTTCTAGGTGTCAAGGAGTCTGCCGTAAGTCTAGAGGAGGTAGACGACGATTTTGAGCTGGGTCCACCAGCGCTTGATGGTGTTGTTGAAGAGGAAGTTGTCGCCAAATCGCAAGAATCAAAAGTCTTCGCTCGGAAGCCATTGACATTCCTCCACGAGTGGTTGGCGATACGCAGAAAAGGACAAGACTTCTCATCCTCTCCAATGGGCCAAGTTTGTCAAGGAAAGCCCTTGACGAGCGATCATACCTTCTTCATAAAGCCTGAGGCTACTCGGATCAGCAGAAACACTGAGCATACAAGAGTCAAACGTTTAGTACCAGACGCTCCGGAAGAGGACGATGTTGAGGATGATATTTATGATGAGGACGCGTTCAGTAAGATCAGACCCGGTGAGATTGATACTTTCGATGATGCGGCACTGAAGGACGACTCATCTTCGGAGAGCGATTAAAGTCATGTGAGGGCTGGCATGAGGGATATGACTTGTATAGAGTAAAACATCGGCCGAGAAGAATGTCCCTGCTCTGTGAGAGATTATGGCGTAGAAAACGAATGAAAAAAAAAAATCTATATCTTTATTTGCTTTCCCTACGGAATTATTCGATTTGCGAGATATTATACCTTACTGCTTGATCTATTTGGAAATTGTACAAGGATCCGGTGAAACCCTCATGGATCTCCGACAGCATGGCACCCTCGCTACCAAGGGACAGTCTTGAATGACACGGAACAAATTAATTTGCGGGCGCTTCCAACCCCACATTTTCCAACTTTATCTCATGCAATATGGGTAATTTATTTCAACCAGGCCTAGATGAATAGCAGAATGACAGCTGACAGCTACACACAACGTCGGCATAGCATTCGGAGGGTCAACATCCGTTGCCGCATACCGTAGTGACTGGATGCAATTGGATCAAGTTGGTCAAACTGACACTGTCTTTCCCATCCTGATCACCTGAATTACCAAATATTGGCTCTTAATCGTGCCGAGTTTCCAAGCAGAATTTGGTCACCCCGTCTCAATATATTTTTTGATGTAAGGCTAGGAGTCCGGTTGGCGGAATTAATGTTCATCTATTGAATGACTGTTCTGCATCCAATTTAAGCTTCCCAGAGAACTTGCATATATAGCAAGATCTACAAGCTTTTCTTCACCGCTTCTCCATTCTATTTTGATTTCACACTGCTGTAGCTATCACTATGAAATTCCAAAACTCATTTCCAATCACTGCGCTCCTCGGAGTTGTTTCTTCTCATACTATTTTCACTCAGCTAACTTCTGGAGGAACTACAAATGGTATTTTCATTAACACAACGCGACTTCCCTCGCATGTTGACTCAGATTTACAGGTATTGGAGTTGGAATAAGGGAGCCTACATATGACGGCGTGAGAATTTCTCCCTCGTGCTATGTGTGTGTACTGAGACGTCCACTCTCTGTAGCCAATTCAAGATGTGACTTCCAGTGACATTGTTGTACGTATTTTTCAGTCTTCTGGAAGACCCGTTGGCGATTAGGCTCGGCTCTGCTCATCTGAGTCGACTTTTTTCATAATTCGCGGATATTTTCTGACGCATGCATAGTGTAACGGCGGACCAAATCCCACTACAGCCTCGAGTTCAGTCATCGATGTAGCAGCTGGTTCATCTGTCAGCGCTCGCTGGAGACATACCCAAACGAGTGGCTCCGACGATGTTATTGATGCTAGCCACAAGGTGAGCCTTCCCACAAAGTCCGACAAATTGCAAAGGTTGTCAATCATAACACCACTCAGGGCCCAGTCATGGCCTACCTGAAAAAAGTCAGCAATGCTACCTCAGATACTGGAATCGGGGATGGATGGTTTAAGATCTCTGAAGCTGGCCTTAACACTGGCAGTATGTAATATCCACTCTGCACTTCCACAAGCAAGAACTAACGATTGTTGTTTTGAAGCCGGGACATGGGCAACAGATGACCTGGTACGTGTTGTCACGTCTGCCCAGCACCATGCTCCTCCTGACACGCACAGATCACCGCACTCGGAGAACAAGCCATTCCAATCCCTTCTTGCATTGCCTCCGGGCAATACCTATTACGCGCTGAGCTCATCGCGCTCCACGCAGGTCAATTGCCCCAGCCCCTTTTGGTACCCATATACTAAAAGCCAGCAGCGTCGTCTTCAGGCGGAGCTCAATTCTACGTACGTCTCGATCGCTCCTCCAAAGTGAAACTGCTCGCTGATGTCCCTGTAGTTGGAATGTGCACAGATTAACATCACCGGCGGCTCGGGTTCCAAGACCCCAGCTACAGTCAGCTTCCCAGGAGCTTACGCGGTATTTGATCTCTCTCTTCTTTCCGCCGCTGCTGCTGTGACCATGTATGCTGATTTGAACAGGCTACTGATCCGGGAATCTTGATTAATATCTATCAGACTCTTACGAGCTACACTATCCCAGGTATGATATATGACAAATTTGGTATGATATTGCTGACAATAGTGTAGGTCCCGCTACATTCACTTGCTAAGAGATGATCGTAGAAAGGCAGTCTGAAAGTTGGACGATCATTCCTTCGTATTGAGGCCTCTTGGTTATTCAGGCTCTTTGCAGTTGGATGTGAGTCATGTGGGCAGCTTAGGATAGGGATATGATATCTTACTGGAGCTTGTATGGACTTTATTGTATTGGCAATAGGGATGTAGCTATTATTTTTTAGGAGCCACTTCATCTGTTCGAAGATAAATAGTGGAAGACATACCAATACTTACAATGTGACGATTCCGCCAAGTCGAGAAATCAGGAACAATAAGGTGATGGGTGGAATTTGCTGTCTGTCGAACGGAACGCTTTTCAATTCCTGCTTAATCGTGAGTCGGAAATCCTATACCGTACTGCCTTCAATGGTAGGGTACCTAGGTCTCCAGCACTTATCCGGCTCAGCGACTGTCGATTCCCGGCGATAGAGTGAAGGCTGATACCGGTAGATTGAAAACTCACGGTACATCGGACCGACTTTTGTTAATATGGAGATCCAGGGGGTAATATACCCCACCCTACCTTGTCTGAAGCGAAACCTTGCATACCCTTCTCGGAATACTTTAAATTTCTATAAATATCTCTATAGACCTCATCTAACTCTATTTCTTTCTTTAAATGATTCTACGTCTATAATAGTCAGTCTTCCTTCTTAGCTCGCTTTGCTCACAGTTAGCGAAAGCGAATGTCCTGTCCTATGCAAGCGAATGTCCTACGCTAAAAACTTCACCAAAATTGCAATAATATAAGTCTAAAAATATAGGTTAAAAGCATTATAACTCCACTACACTATAGATGCACTATAAAATAAATTATATAAGGCATCTCTATATATAACAGGTGATATAACTAATTATAGTAAAAATTATTAGGGCTACATAGCTTAAAAGTCATAAAAAGTGGTATTTTAGAGTATTTTTTAGGTAAGGAAGTCTTAAAAATAGGCGTAAAAAAGGCTATATCGTAATTTTAGTAAGGAAACCTATACAAATTGGGACGTGGGATATTCGCTTGCACAGGACATTCGCTTTCGCTAACTATAAGCAAAGCGAGCCAAGAAGGAAGACCGACTATTAGACTACTGCTTTGTCCGGATCCGATAAGACTGAAAGAATGGAAGCGGTTGAATCCTTTTGCTTGCAGATCTTCCTTCCCTAGGTATTTCCATGTTGTTTGTGGCTACACTAGCTGTATTTCCGGCTTTCCAGCTTCCTTTACATTGCAGACCTTTTATATGCCGTGCAAATTTTGCAACATAGCTACAGGTGGAGTGAGATGGAAGGTACGTTACACAGAAAACAGTCTTTCGATATTCAGCTCTGCAAACAATGTAAATTCACGGACTTGGAATGTCTAAAAATCCATGCCACTCATACAATATTGGCCTATTAAAAGGCTGCTTAGCAGCCTTTACAGTGGGCAGGTCCAGCATTTATGTATAGTACGAGTCGTATTGTACGACTTGTTTGAGAGGTAATCCTTACTCGGCCTAACTTATATACAAGTCCGGAAATCCTTTCCGTATGTGGTAAATGTGGCCTGTTTAAGCTTCTGACGCGTACCTCGTAATTTAGATGTGATTCCTTATTACTTCGTATTCCCCTACGATCGCACCCCACACGCTGGCCGCGTAATACCCGTTAAGCTTGTTTTAGATGACCAATCAGGTAATAGTTTATAATTTCTTGAAACAGCAATGGTCGCAGTATACTGTATATGGGTCTATACCCGTAAAATACCTTTCTAGGTAGGTACTTCGTACTTCGTCACATCGTACTCCCGTAATTGGTAGAATTAGGGGCAGAGCCTCAGATAACGCCACTGTAGTCTAGGTACTTACTTTGTACAGTAAAACAAGGTCACTCTTTCTTATTGGTCAGTAAAATTAGGGTTGGCATCGCATCCTCCACACGCCTATCTGAAACAACCACAAATGTGAGGAAATCCGATGAGGCTCTTATATTGATTATGTTTTTGGAATAAATTCCTCATACATTATATCAGCATCAAGAAACTAAGTGTTGTAGGTGAGCAGAACGATATTCGTTCACACGGTTCGTAAATCTTGACTTTGATCGAACTCCGGAGATTTATCAAAGCATGTGGTGGGCAGGCAGGCAGGCAGGGGTTCCCCGTCATCTCATCCTTCGCTCATTCTTGCGCTTCTAGGTCAGCAACGTTCCTCCTTGGTGGAACCATCTCTTTCTATAAGAATATGTCATTTGTTGTTACCGTTCTTCATTAAAATCACATTCTTTTCACCACATTCTTTTCAATTCCTTCATTATTCAATTTCTATTGTTGCTTTCATTTGATATAAAATGAAGTCGTCTTTGATTTCCAGTATTGTGCTAGCTAGCCAGGTCTTCGCGCTCCCAACCACTACATCAGTCAGGGCGAATACAGCCGTCAAATACGGTGAGTCTTAAACACGGAAGTAAATAGTACCATTTTGCTCACTCTCAACAGCTGGGGTGAATATTGCCGGCTTTGACTTCGGCGTTCTTACCGATGGCAGCCAGACTGTGTCGGACGTATATCCACCACTCTCAGCCCTCGGAGGACCTGATGGAGCTGGACAAATGAGCCACTTCGTCAAGGACGACAATCTGAATATCTTCCGACTCCCAGTCGGCTGGGAATATCTCACAAACTACAATATCGGAACATTCGACACTACGAAGCTAGCAAATTACGATCAACTTGTCCAAGCTTGTCTGAGCACCGGAGCTACCTGCATAATTGATATTCACAATTATGCTAGATGGTATGGAGGAATCATTGGACAAGGCGGGCCTTCTAATGCGTCTTTCGTGCAATTGTGGACTCAGCTTGCAACGAAGTACAAGGCTTCAACCAATATCGCTTTCGGGGTGATGAACGAGCCGCATGATTTGGATATCAACATCTGGGCAAGTACCGTTCAAATGGTCGTCACGGCTATTCGCACTGCTGGAGCTACGAGCCAAATGAGTATGTACTACCATGATCAAGGCAGACCCGAGACCTGACTAACGAAAGATAGTTTTACTACCTGGAACTGGCTACACCTCGGCTGGATCGTTCATTGATAATGGTTCGGGGGCCGCGCTTTCCAAAGTCAAGAATCTAGACGGCAGCACCACGAACCTAATCTTTGACGTTCACCAATACCTCGACTATGACTACTCGGGAACACACACCGAGTGTGTGACTGACAACATCTCCAGTGCTTGGCAGCCCCTTGCAACATGGCTGCGAGCGAACAAGCGACAGGCGTTGAACACCGAGACCGGTGGAGGAAACACAGCTTCTTGTGAACAATATCTATGCTCAGCAATCAATTTCATGAAGTGAGAAATCCATTCTAGACGTGAGATGAGATTGCCCAACACTAACTGTTATCGCAGTTCGAACACGGATGTCTTCTTGGGATATGTCGCGTGGTCAGCGGGATCATTCGACTCTACTTACGAATTGGATTTGACTCCAACCCTGAGTGGCAGCACTTGGACAGACACTGCCTTGATGAAAGCTTGTATTGCCCGATAATACACTAAAAACAAAGGCTCTGGGAGCATTCTTTTCATAACCCGATGCTGGACGTGCTCATTTTGTCCCCTTTTAACTTATAAACTATACATATTCGATTCTCAAACCAGAATAAGCTTCATCTAAATTCCTTATTCTTGACAGTACTGTGGTGGGTGTCCTGTGATGAGATCCTGCGATTAAACTAGAACCCCAACTCAAGTGACTTCATGATTTGAACCTCGTATATTGTTTCGAATTTCGCGTTTGGTAGCTCGTAACCGTGGCTTGAACGCTGACCCGCATTTCTTTTTGGTTGAGTCCAGTTGCCATTGGCGACAATCCAATGTCTATGTTCCACACGGTCCAATCCAGATTTTGAGTTGATGACAAAAGATGAGTAGGGGTCCAGGAATTGACCACAGCTCAATCTCGATATCTCGACGACGGGCTAAACCATCTGAGTGACCCAGTGGCGACCGTCAGCGCTGTGATTAATAAGGCAGACTCTTGTCTATTCGAAAGCTTTTATCAAGAGAAGAAAGTTCCACTCGTAACCAGTGTCTCATTCCAGAGTGTTTCAAATGCCTTCCCGAATACCTTCTTTAGGCCCAGCATTCGGCTCAAATCAAGCTCAAAATCATCAAACGAAGACACCAGGGACACCGTTCTGATCTGAGCCAGACAGTTCACGAACCAAGCTCGTTCTTCCGTTTCCGACAGCGAACCTCCAACAAGGCATAGCCAGAGAAGAAGCGGGCTGTTAGATGCTTGCATCGAGATTCCAGTCAATGATTTTCGCAACTGGGCCAGCAGAAGTGAAGAACCGTTTACGGAGTGCGGGAATTCTTGCAATATAGCTTTCAAGTTAAGCAGCGCGCCGAGTCGACAGGATTTGTCAGTTTCAGTCTCTGTTGACCCTTCTGGAAGTTTTGCCGCGAAAGCCAGAAAGTTGTATTCGAGCCAATACAAGTCCTCGGAGAAAGTAGCTGGGTCGAAGTAGACCGACACTTCTGTTGCGAAGTGAATGGCTTGTGAGAAGCACGCTAATTCTGTCATGATGGTAATGAGATTTGGATGAACTCCACATTTGGTGAGGACGTTTTTCATCGCTCGATCAGTGTTTCCTATCGTCTGCGCAGAGAGAAGAGCCCAGATGGGTGGTCTATTCGATCGATCGAAATCCAGTAGCGGGGTTGCTGCGTAATCAATGGCCCCAGTTATGTCAGACCTGTAGCTGTTAGCATTGATATAAACATGGGTCGATATATGTTACCGGCGTAGCTTTGCCTGGAGAAGGGCTGGTAGCGGATTGATACTGCGTCTTGAGTTTATCATCTGCTTAAGCCCAAGCATGTGAGTATGCCATAAATCTTTATTCCCTGTGATGGCCTAAGACCAGTTTAGCTGAGCTGACGACAGCATGAAGTAAGCACAAACCTCTCCCAAAGCCAAGCAAGATATAGCACCAATTGTTGAGTCTTCGATTCCTCCATCTGATTCATTCAGTCGTTTTTTAACTATGGAGACAACGTGGCCGAGATGGTGCATGGAGTCCTTCGTTCCCGTCTTCCCTTCCAATAGAGCTAGGTAGAGAGAACCTGCATATAGCATGCCATGGAGCATTGCAGCATCTCTTATCGCGTACTGAAACCATTCTGGCGACCTGAGAGGATTTGATCTGAGGCAAGACTCTAATGGATATAACCTCCTTGGTGCGTGTATAAGATATTGATCCAGCAGCATATGCACGCTAGAGTTCATCTCGATAGGGAACTCAAAGTTAAGAAGAGCTGTGGGGTAGCCAATATTTCGTGGAACTCTAGGGCTAGTGTCCTGACCACCAGCCCTGGGAACTGATAAAGCCGGGTTAGTTAGAAGTGACGCAGAACTTTGAAGGTTCGCACTTCCAGGGTTTAATGGATCGGCCACATGGGGCACCAGTTTCCTTTGGGGCGCTTGACTAGGATGCAGTGTATTTCGTACATGTTCATTTCTCACATGTGTTCGTACAAGTTTCCGTACTTCGGGATCCTTATTCCGTCCCGGTTTGACCGCATTAACAAATTCAAACTGTCGTCCAATCCCTGAAGATTTCATTTTATCTATTTTGTTCGAATGACCCGAACACATGGGGATGGGCAGAAAAGGAGACGCAGCTCCATGGCGACTGCTCGGAACCCGCCATCCCTTATGTACCGTGACCATAGGACCATCAGGTACTATAACGTTAAAGCAGTTCATAGTGATGGGGCTCCTACCCTTTATTAATTTGTGGTTTGATGTGGGATTCCTCACTCGTACAAAAAGCTCTATCAAACCCAAAGAAGTGTCGAATATCACAAATCACAGAAAACGATGTTAGCCGCTGCCGAGAGATCTCGGCTTCGTAAGGTGATCAAAAGCGGGGACTAGGCCAATGATCAGCACCATTGACGCACTAGATTTTCAGACTTGCATGCATAGAGACTAGTCTACTTTTTGGCATTTGCCTAATTCGTCAATGAATCCCTTTTCTGGGGTTTATCAAAAGCTTCATATTTGATCGTATCTTGAGAAGTCTAGGGTATCAAAATGATCGACGCTTTGCGTCATAGAAAAGGAAAGCGATTCCACCTATATTTAAGTCGTAGTCCTTCCCGCGTCAAGAAGATATTACGATCAATTTCTTTCAGATATTGGGAATAGAATATCACAAACTTCAAAATCACTTCTATTTAACCAAAGAACCACGTTCACTGAAAGAATGGCCACCCAGCAAACTGCAATCACACAGCATGCCTTGGTCAACGGTGTGAAAGCGGCATATCGTCGCCTTGGACAGTCATCTGGCATACCATTGGTGATGATGGTAAGTAAACTCTTCGGTTATACACTTCCCAGTAAGAGTTCTCATACTAGATTCGGAATAGAAATTTGTTCCATTCTAGACATGAATTCTCCCTCTTTTCATACTATTCTTGGATGGCCTACATAATACTGATCCGGAATGTTTAAACTTAGATCCATTTCCGTGGAAACATGGACTTCTGGGACCCGGCTCTCATCAATTCGCTCGCTGAATCTCGGCCGCTCATACTCCTTGACTACCCAGGAGTCGGACACAGCGAAGGCGAGATGCCAACTACTTTTCAGGGATGGGCTGCACACGTTGTCGGCCTTGTGGAAGTTTTGGATATCAAAGAGATTGATCTACTTGGATTCTCTATGGGCGGTGCCGCAGCCCAGTACGTTGCTTTGAATGCTCCCGGCCTTGTCAGAAAACTTATATTGGCCGGCACCCGCACAAGCATTACACCAAATTCAACCCGCGGTCCGCCGGAGATCTTCGCAGCACTAGCAACTTCTCGCACGCAGGAGGAATTCAAAGCCTCCATTGCTCTTTCCTTCTTCAATCCAAGCCCTCATGGTCAAGCAGCAGCCCAGGCTTCTTGGGACCGCATCGTGTCTCGGACTACGGATCGCGCTCCGCACCTCGGCCCCGAACTCGCAAAACGACAAATCGAATCTTTCGCGAGTAATATGAAGCCGCACCCACGAAACGCCTTTGAGCGTATCCATGAGCTCACGATACCTGTTTTCGTGGCAAATGGAGATAATGATACATTGATTCCAACGGTTAATAGTCATGAACTAGCGCAGATCCTGCCGTTTGCACATCTCCATATCTACCCCAACTCGGGGCATGGATTCTTGTACCAATATGCAGAGCTGTTTGCAAAGCATGTTGATCTGTTTCTTGACGAAAAGCATGCAGTAGAGGAGGCTAGGGAAGTACAAAAGTTCAAGGCAGTGAAAGCACGTTTGGCTTAGAGCCAGAGTAGGGAAGCTGCCTGAAACTAACAGGGCTGAAACTAACAGGGCTGTTTGATGCAGTGCATATCCTATTGAAAGTTGGCCTTGCGAATGTATACATTTCACAGACAATATGTTGTAGTAGGGGGGAAACCATAGGCCGGTGTTCGAATGACAAGACTGGGAGTGATTGCTTGTTGAATTTATATCTATTTTCATGACTGGCATACATGGTTTCAATAACATATAAACATATGTTACAGGCATCCTTATGGCTGTGAAATTAATGATATCAGCTATGTTCAGCACTTTCTATCTTTAAGTGTTATGAAGCTCTTTGGTAAGGACTTAAGCGACGCAGTAATAATGGATTAAGAAAACAAGACAAAAAAAACACAGAATACTGGTATAAACATAACGTTTTCATGCCAAGTCAATATCTTAAATCCAAAACATGGGCCCAGAGCAGCAAAATTGAAGGTATTGTAATTTCTCCCCCCCCCCCTTTTGCCCTAATTCGACCTAGGCGAATCGAGCCTAGCACCTCGGTTAGTATTTTAAGTGGTTTTGGTGAGTTTTGCCAGAAGCGCGTCTCGACGCGTTTCTCGGATAAAGTAACCTCCTGCTCCCATATCCCAACCACCACATAACTGGGAGTCTTGCGATCAGTTACCGCCCAAATACTCATCTATCCGGCGCCTGACGCGTCCATGCCCTTTACAACGACGCCCGCCCTTTCCAACTTGTTGTGCGAGTGTCACTGCCTCAATTGCGACGCAAAGTACCGAGAAGACCTTATCCGGAACCCCTCGAATAGTGGCCTCAACGACTGCGAGTGAATCAAGTCATGATGCCTAAGCCGACGGCTCCCGGTGTCTACTCCGCAACCTATAGTAATGTATGCCGAGTTGGCGGTCGTTTCTTCTATCTTCAGCCAGCTGACAACCGGCAAGATTCCTGTCTACGAGTATCAATTCGGAGAAGGCTTAAAGGAACATGGTAAGACACCATGGGCGCACTTTCTGTTGAGACGCATATTTACGCCTGGAATTAGTTATGCGCCGCCGACATGACGATTGGATTAATGCGACGCACATTCTCAAAGCCGCCGGTTTCGATAAGCCTGCCCGAACTCGAATTCTAGAGCGCGAGGTCCAGAAGGAGAACCACGAGAAGGTTCAAGGTGGATATGGCAAATACCAAGGTGCGCTTATGTGGGGAATGGGCAATGGAATAATCACTGACATTTTCAAGGCACGTGGGTTTCCCTGGAGCAAGGAGAAGCTCTGGCTCAACGAAACAATGTCTACGAAAAGCTTCGCCCGATCTTCGAATTCATACCCGGCAACATCAGCCCTCCACCTGCTCCGAAACATACCACCAACAAGCCAAAAGTGCCTAAGAAACCTGCGGTTCCAAAATGGGGAAGCAGTGAGTCAGGAACAGCGTACATTTAGGAGACAACGCTGACAAGATAGAACCAGTGGCACCTCCAGCACGTGTGATCGAAGATGAATATGACAACATCAGTGCACAGCTGAATGATGACGAAAGCCTTGCTGACGATGTTACAGTCGCTTCGGCTTCTTTTATGGCTGAGGATGATCGTTATGACATGTCTCGTGCATCTACGGGTCACCGAAAGCGCAAGCGCGAAGAGAATGCACAAAATGCAATCGATGCTGCCCACGTCATGTATTCCGACGAACTCCTGGATTACTTTATGGTTTCCAGTGATTCTGACCATGTCCCTAAACCAGAACCGCCGCTGAATTTCCAACCTGACTGGATTATCGACCAGGATCGACACTCGGCTATACACTGGGCTGCTGCGATGGGCGATGTTGAAATCATGAGGGAGCTGAGAAAGTTTGGTGCAAACCTGGCGGCTCAAAACGTTAGAGGCGAAACTCCACTTATGCGTGCGGTACTCTTCACCAACTGCAAAGACAAGGGGACCATGCCAATAGTTGTGAAGGAATTGATGAGTACAGTGTCATGTATTGACTTTTGCCAAGCTACGGTCCTCCATCATACTGCTGCGGTGACTGTCAGTTCAGGAAAACACAAATGTGCTCGTTACTACCTTGATATTCTCCTTAACAAGATGCAAGAAGAGCTGGACCCTGAACACTTTCAGCGGGTCCTTGATGCTCAGGATGTAGATGGCAATACTGCTATCCATATTGCTGCTAAGAATGGCGCACGAAAATGTGTTAGAGCTCTGATGGGACGTTCTCCTACGATGGAGATTCAAAACAAGGATGGAGTCACTGCAGAAATTTTGATCCAGGAGCTAAACGAGAATACTCTCAGGGAACTGCGAGAAAATCGCCATGCTCATGCAGGTTCCTCCTCCCCCTTTTTGCCCCCAAATTTTCGAGACAACGGAGATCAAATCGACAATCGTTGGATGGAGTCATACGAAACTCCTCCACCTTCAAAGCGTCAAACTCCAACTCATCATTCAGAAGCGGCGATGTCGGTTCAACAAAAGGTGGCACCTCAAATGCTGCAGAAGTTTCAAGAGCTCGCAAACTCCTTTGATGAAGAATTGATTGAGAAAAATAACTCAGAGAAAGAAGCTAGGCGAATAGTCAACAGCACTGAAGTAGAGCTCAGCATGCTTCGTGAACAAGTCCTCGATCTAGGGTTTCATGAAGAGGACGCGGAGACACAGGCCAAGAAAATAAAAGAGCTGGCACATCTTACGCAATTGACTACGTCTTTGATCGAACAGCAGCAACAAATGCAGCTGTTAAGCAGCGCAAATCGCGAGGAAAGCAAGAGTAATGGCAACATCACCGGAGACGATGACATTATGGAGAGAGCTACCTTGGCTAAGATGTTGAACGAGGAGCAGACCAAGCGTCGGGTTCTGGTTCTTCGATACCTGGAAGCTTTGAGCAAGGCCGGTGGTCTTGGTGAGAAGGGCGACTTGTACAAGAGGCTTCTTGCTTTGTGCGCTCCGACCAACGAGGAGATGACGCTCGAGAATATGGATATTCTGATAGAGCAAATGTCGGAGGAACAAAAAGGGTTGGACCGAGAGATTTTCCACGCGGATGAAGTTTGATTGGTGTGTGCATTTAACTGTCGGCTTTTCAATTATGTTTGCTTTGGCCGACTGGGGTCGTGACTGTCATTTGGATCGGCGTTCCGGGAACAAATGCGACTGAATCATCAGATAGGGTGGTATTGTCTTTGGTGTAAGGAGTTACTGGGCAAGTGGCTAGGATAGGATTCATTCTAGGGTCGTTCTTATGTGATTCTATTAGCGATATCGGAGTCAATGTTCATATATGGCAGTACCATGATTGACTCTGTATACATTATTCCGGTCTTTATATCTCCTTCCCGCCAGCCTCTCTACTTCGACAGCCCACATTTGAATTTCCAAAACACTACCCAAGCGCGATACTTCACCATGTGTCCTTGAAAAGCAAATCAACTCAGCAAATCACCACCGCTGCTCCTAAACCAAACTTGCCTTCTGTCACGGCTTCGTACACCACATTATACATCCCAAAGCCGGCGTCTACAGGTACTCCATATGTGGGCAAATTCCACGAAGATCTGGAGAGCGATGAGAACGGCCAGCACTTTACTCATCGAACGCACCAGAACCTGCACGGCAAAGTTATAGCCCAACTTCCTGAAGGATCCAAATACCCCAAGGTATCTTCCGATGATCCAACAACCATCACGAACGACAAATTCTACGACTGCCCTCAACAGATCGCTTCTACTTCGACATTAGCTTCCCACGACACAGCACGCACGCACCAATCTTCTTTCTTCGCAAGCCTAAAACGCATCTCTTCCAAGCAGTCAACACCAGATAGAGCGAGTCCACCGACCAATATATCCAGGGAACCAAGCAATCTTGGCTCCCCCTGGATTATCGCGGACGGCGAGCCGGTAGAAGATGACTGGGATATTTGTGTTGATGCTGAGCGCATGTCAGCTAGGAACAGGGAGAAAGTGTCTCGGAGTACGCATAACTCGAGGATAAGGGAGGCACTGCTTGTGCATGGCAAGGGGGCAGGGGCAAGAGCGGTGTCAGAATCGCAAATGAGATACTTGTCTTGGACTTGAGTATGTGTTTGTGTTAAGATGGAGTTGATTACTTTCGCAATACGATCCTTTTATCATCACCGAGGGAGGTCGCACGAATGGATATGGTCGTATGTGAAGTACCCCTATTATTATTATAAAGCGACCCACTTCGTCCTTCAGGTCCACGTCTCCTTTCTCCTCTTTCTCTTGAGCTTGAATCTAACTGCTAGCAGGCTTCAACTGGAGGTTTCTTGGCATTACCAGCTTCCCGGTATTAAAACCTCACACTCAAACATGACCTACAGCATGACCTTCGTCTGCAATCCGCCTTCCATGTTCCGCTGCACTCTCCGCTTCCTTGACCAAGCTGCTCCCGTGCGCCTCGGCTTCCATCGCTGCATCTTTCGCCTTGATTCCAATCTCAGAAGCAATATCCTTGAGCCTGTTGCCGAAAAGTTCCAGCTCCCTCACTTTGTGCCCAAGACTCGATTGGATTTCTTGTGCCCTGTCTCCCAGACCGCTCACACCCACTTCTATATCCTTCTCCCTGCTTCTTAGTTCCTCCTCGAAATCATGCAGTCGCCGGTCAATGCCAGCCTCCAAATCTTTTTCTGTATTCCCAAATCCCTCCTGAACATCGTGCGCTCTCTGGCCCAAACCAGCTTCCAGATCCTTGGCAGATCTATGATGCGCAAAGCTAGCTTCCAGGCTCTTCAGCTTGTCGCTGTTCATAAGCTCGACCTTGGCATTCTCAAGCATCCCGATAGGTTTCATCGTCCCTGCACTCCTCTGCTTGCCCACCCCGGCGAAGCGTTCCGGCGTATTGGCTTCCGTGTCCAGCTTCACTTCTTCATACATGGCTTCGACCGTCGCTACAACACTATACGGATCAAGGCCACAATTAGGACGGCTGAAATCGCGTTCTCGCTGCTCGATGTATTCCCGGATTTTCTTCCACTCGTTCTGGTAATACTTCATCCGGTTCGGTAGACCCGAGCCTTTGAGAAAGGTGAGGATGCCCGCGATGACTGTGTTAATGGCACCGAAAGCTGTGACTGTGCTGTGGCTCGAGCTAGATTCCCGCATATCAATATTCTCTCCCCGGTGGTTTCGCTAGCCAAATATTTGAGAGGGCTCTATCTTACTTGGAGGCACCCAGTGCCACGAGCGAGGCGGCAACGATAATCTGCAAGCCCAGACACCCATTGATCAACACGGACATCCTCTTGTAGCCCGTCTTGGCCGTCATTTCGTTGTGCACGACACGGGCATAGATGCCCAGGTTCGGCGCTGGCCTATTCCCAGCTGGATGTTTGGAATTAGGACCCATTGACGGATGCGATATGATGCCGACCAGGAGCCGGAACATGTTCAGATTCTCGTCGACCGCCATGGGGATTTCCATGCGCACTTGCTGCTCGACTTGGCCGTCGATGACGGTGGAGCTTAGCTGTGATCTTCCGGGCTCCTGCTGTTCGAGGTCCGGTTCTGTGGACGGGGAGGGGCTTGGGCGGACTATGAGTCTAGTGACTCTGTTTATGATACGTGAAAGATTCATACTCCGTGTCTGGCGCAAGCAAAACTGAAGATGAGATACTGGTTGTTTGCATACGTATACGTATTCGAAAGGAAAGGGGAGGAAAGGGAAGGGGGAAATGGTGTGGACTTTTGAGAAGTGAAGATGTGATTGTGATTTACTGCGGGGAGCTTGGGGGGAGCTTCTATCTACTACTACGCTGAATTTGAGGGAATTGCACACGGACTGTTGTCACAAGAGATACCTAGTGGTTGGGTGTACTTTAGAACTGCAAGTTTTATGATTGATTGGTTAATCACTGTGTATTACATGTCAATCCCGTCTTTTTCAGCCGTCCATCGAGCCGCTACCCCTAGTCACCCTACCCATTCAGGCAATGATGCATTTAGCAGCGCTCCAACGTCGATGCAGACAATATGCAATTTTTACATATGGAAATGTATGTTAATCAGTAAGCCATGTCGTATCATATCGCGCCAACAGATGCGCATTGCACAAGACTGCTCGCTAGCGCCAGTAGAGGCTGTTCAGCTAGTATACACGGGTATGGCGCAGCCTAGTTGGGACGGTGGGGTTGCATCCGGCACGGCGGCGGTACTTGTTTTGGAGCGAGATCGTCGGTTGGGGGGTGCGGGAAAAATCACTTTAAAGCTCGTCTCCTCTCACGCGCCTATCATATATTATACGGAGGTACTCCGTATTCTGGGGGGGGAAATAAAGAGTAGGACGGAGATAAGGCGCGTGATTTACCTTGTGGGAGGTTGCATTGCAGGGACACGCTTTGCAGCAATCGAGTGCATATGAGCCATCTGAGTATCCAAAGTCATACTCATATAGTACAACAAGAACAACTCGGTACTATAGTGGTGTTGGGTCAGTAGTAATATTGGCAGTGATAAGTGGTGAGTTGTTGACCCAGTCTCTATCTATATGTGCAGAAGTCCAGGTGAAGGAAAGGAAGGCATCATTTATACTTGACTGGTTATAAGATCGACCGCCGGAGAAGTATAATGTTTTCCATTCCCATTCCCATTCCCATTTCCATTTCCATTTCGAGTTGTGATCGAAGTTTGTGCGAGGGGGTATTGTCATGTTAAATGACAAATACGGTACCATCTAATTTTTGCATTGGTTCTTGTTTTCATCAGAATCGTCTGGTTGTGAAACTGCGCTTAATAATAATTCTCTAGCGATTAAGTATGTTTGTGTGTATTGCTATTGCCCCTTTCTCGCACAGGCGAGTCTCTCAGGGACCTTATGACTCCAAGAGCCCTCGCATGAACCCCATCATCAGTTGGCTCATCCCATACAACATTCATCAGCTCTCCATTCACAGCAACGCTGCCCGCAATCTCTGTGATGTTTCCACTCATAACATTCCTCCTGAACATCGCCACTCTCGAGCTCTGCTGCAGCGCTACGGCGAGCAGATCGCCCTTGCGGTTCAGTGACATGCTTCTAGGGAACGACCCGCCGGCGGGATATTTTTGGGTGAGGGCTAGGCTGCCGTTGCAGGAGTTGATGGCGTAGGTGAGGAGGGTGTCGGAGACGATTGAGGTTTTGTTCGTGGGATCCGGGTTGGTGGAGTTGAGGAAATACGTGTCGTTGCGGGAGGATATGATGAGGTGTTTGTTGTTTGGCTAAGTAAGAACACATGCTAATTAGCTAGATCCCGGAAAGACAAAATCTAGACTCGAATGAGGGATAGACCTACCGTGACAAGTATCTCTGAAGCTGCCGAGTTCACAGGAATAAGGTGCGAGCCAAAAGTACTAGACTCGTGGATCTTATTGAAACTCAAAGTCGAATTCGTGTAAAGCACTTCATATCCCAGCAACGAATTCGAGATTTCCGTCACGAGATACAGATACGTCTTCTCGATGCCACATTCCACACTGGTGTAGAGCGTCGCATGCCGGGGTCCACTTCCTGGGGAAACTCTGATCGGCTTATGCTCTGTGAGAATATTGTTGACGGGATTAGCGTAGAAGACTCGAATAATATTGGCTCCGAGATCTGGGCACAGCATGAACATTTCCGTTGGGTCGAAGAGGATTTGGTGGGGACGGGGCACGCTTTGCTGTGGTTTTGGGCCGGGGGCGGTCGTGTCGAAGTCGAAGATCAAGTTGAGGCTTTGAAGAATCGTGAGGGCAGAGGTGTTCTTCAAGTTGATTGTGGTTATGGCAGAACTACCACTGTTTGTTGTTAGCTGGAAACAGTTTTCCTTTAGAGATGGTTGGCTTGACTTACTATTCAGCGAGAGCCATAGTTGACCCGTTTCCGTGAATGGCAGAGTTGACATTTCCGTTCAGTGTTGTGAGTTTAGAAAGGGGTAGAATTGTTCCGTTGGGACCCGTTTTGAAAGATACAAGAAGCGATCAATTGGGTGTGGTATTTCCTTCTTCGGCGCAGAACAGAGTGTTGGAGTGAAGCTGTAGCCAGGAGGGACTTGGAGCACAGCCGTTGTTGATGGCTATTGGCTTAAGCTCTATTTGACTTTGGTTGTAAATCCCAACGGCCTTGTGTTCTGTTACGTTTATGGTTGTGATATTCCCATCGTATGACGAAACGTAGAGTTTGGTTGCTCTGCATGTGGCTATGCTCATGGCATAGAAGATCGACTTGGAAATGAGCATCTTCGAGGATGTCGATAGGATTATGATGTGAGTTGTTGTTGTTGTAGAATAGGGAGTCGGTAATATGTCAGAAAATCAAATAGCAATGACAAGTATAAATAAGGAATTGCGAATCTTGGAGACGAACCCCTATAGTGAATAAACTAAAGCTTGCGTGGCCTAATGTTATGGTGTGTAAGATAGTAAGAATCACAGAAAGACAAATGGAAATAACATGCCTAGCAAGTAATTGACTGTGAATAACAGTCACGGCGAGAACGGGCTTTGCTATCAATATTTTGAGCCATCACTGTATGACCCACGGGTAAGGAACATTGTCTTTATATTACCTTAGATCAGATGTGACTCTCGCAAAGTAGCAGACACGGAAATTCTTGTGAAAAAAATCCAAATGTGGAATATAGTCCCTGAACTAGGCCCTGAAGTGTTTGCGAGAGTATATTCGAGAACTGTAAAGGGGTTCACATCAAATAGACCGAGGCATAGCGAAGAAGGATTGTCAAAATATTGCTTCGGTACGAGAACATACCAATGATTCATGGTGTTCCCTTCAATGGATAGCCCAGTTTGATTCAAACAGACGAAGCCACCTGCGACCAATCCATCGGCTCTCCTTCCTTGGCATTGTGAAGGAGACTGTTGATGATTCAGGAGAGGGCAGAACTTCTGCAGGACGATGTCTGTTGTCTGGACAGTTGCTGTTGTTCTCATTGCTTCGGAACAGTTGAATTAGAGGCAAAGGTGAAAGTTGTTATGCACTGCTCCAAATTCATTCTTCGGAAATCTGTTTCGCGCTGATACGGGCTATACATTGAGCAATTGAATCGAAGTTGGCAAATCATCTTCCTTTGCGATCTAGTTTGAAAAGAAGTATCTTGGACGCATCCATACCCCCCTCAGCACTCAATCCCAAAGGGTCAGAAATTTGCCAGCCTGTGTGTACTCTGCAAATTCGAGCTCCTCAACATGGGTGACCTGAAGGCCTGCTTGAATACGAGCCACCTAGATCCTAGGGCTTTATTAAATTCGCTTTCAAGATTCAAACTATTTAGATTTTGTCCTTATATCCTTCCTGGGCGCTATTTATTATACGCCAGCCTTTCCAAATGATGATCCAATGCAACTCATTTTCAGTCCACCCTTCTATCCCTCCCCCAGACTTCATCAGCGTCCTTCTTCCCCTTCGTCTCCGGTACTCTCCACGCCACGAATATGAAACACAGAGCCGCCAGCCCAGCAAAGACAAAGAACGCCCATCCCTTCCCGCCAAGTCTTCCATTCAACCAAGTATTCATGATCGGGAAGAACTGTGCCACGAGGAACGTAGCAATATAATTGGCTCCTAAAGCCCAACTCTGCGTGGCACCGACGGCCTCTTGGCCTACAAGTTCAGATGCCATCATAAATGGCACAGGACCTAATCCCGTAGCGAAGAAAGCAACAAAAGCTAAGACAGAAATGGCGGACATGAGCTTAATCTGGTAAAGAAGCGAGAAAGCGAGGAGGAAAGACATAAATCCCATGCCAGCAATGGATACGAGAAGACAGGCCTTCCGACCAATCTTGTCAGCTAGTGGGGCGCAGGCGATGGTTGTAAAGAGATTGATGAGAGAGATCATAATAGTGAGACCACTAGATGAGATGGAGACGACACCAGATAGCAGGGAGACGGAGTACATCATTATACTGTTGATTCCGCATAGCTGCTGTGCGCACATAATTCCAATTACGGCGATTATAGCGGGTTGGTAAAGGGGATTTTTGACCACTTGGAAGAAACCGACGTGGGCGATGGATCTTTGGGAGGCTTTACTATTTGAGGAGTTGCGACGAGAAAGAACACCTGGATCTTGGAGGAGACCCTCTGCTTCTGGGACCGACTTGTCGACATCCCAGTCTTCGATCTCTTCGGCAATCGAATTACCGTGGCCGCGGATCCGTTGCAGCGTACGAACTGCAAGCTGTTGATCTTTGTGCGCTGCGAGCCATGCTGGGCTTTCGGGAACTAAAAAGAGGCCCAGGCCTTGCAGAAGCCCTATGCAAGCCCCAACGCCGAGAATAATCCTCCATAGAGATCCCCTGCTCAAGAAGAAGCCCAATGTCTGAGTGAGCAAAATCCCAATGTTGATTGTGACCTGTGTCATGGATCCAAACAGGCCTCTTTCTTTTGGGGGTGCGACTTCAGAGATGTATAGTGGCACAATGACTGTCGATGCGCCTCCACCAACACCAGACAGAAACCTTCCAATGGACATTATAGGCATTGTGCCCGCCAAAGCCTCAAGAGTCGATCCCAGCACGAAGAAGAGACTCGTTATCCGCATCGCCATCAACCTGCCATAGCTTGTCGAGATCGGGCCTGCAAACAGCGCCCCAATGAACCCACCGAGCACGAACATGGAAGAGAGGGCGGCGAATGCGGCTTCGTTCATAGGAATGCATTGCGGGAAGTTGGAGTCGGGGGACGATGCGAAGTCTTCGGCGACGGACTTTTCTTTGCAGGTAAGAACATCTTGAGGGGAGTTTAGTTCAGCCTGGGGGGGATATGTCAGTCATGCAATGCATGAAGTTTGCGGGGGAGCTGGTGGTAGTAGTAGTAGTAGTATTATTTACCAGATGAAAACCGAACTGCAGTGGTCCAAGAGTAGAGATAAATATCAGAAAGACCAGGTACAAAGTTACATCTCGAATGCACTGTCGCACACCGCCGGACGCCATTTGAGGTCGAGTACGAGTTGTAGAATATCCTGCCGCGATTAGGTGATGCGGTGGTTGTACAGATCAGTAGTAGCACTGTACGCACTCAGCTCGAGGTGAGGCGTGGAAAGGCATGTCGTTGTGTCTTGTGTCACTCAAGGTTTGTGCAACACTATGAAACAATTATGCGGGAGATATGCAATCAGCCGCTGATGGGCCAATAGGAATAGGAGGAAGCGTGATACCCTACCAGGTAATATGTCAACGTCCTAGTCGTAGTTGCAGTCGTACCACCTTCGTATTAGATATCTTCCATTTACCCCTTTCGATACCTTCAGACTTGCTTTTACTTTTGCTTGCTTCACGGCGACCAACCCTTTATGCATTGTCATTGTCATTGTCACTGTCATGCAGTATCTGTCACTTTGGAATGTCCCGAGTCTCCGTCTATAACTCCGCATTTGCCTCAAGCTCACGCGTCTATTACCCCCCGCTCTCAACCTCACGTTGATTATCGCATCACGGCGCTACTACTACTACTACTACTGTTGGATCCATGGGCCTGGTAACAAATCAAGTGCCTCATCTATTCTGGAACACAACCCCTCTTAAGTAGGTAGTCATATAGTACTCAACTTCCACTTTTGATCAGCGCCTTCTCCGGCTGACTGGATGAGCGAGCCCTGCGTTGGTACTCTACCGGTACCGGTGACACAGACACATGTCCCTTTATATCCGTATGAGGAACTTCTAAGAACAAACTACCTGGCTACCTGAGGAACTGACCGAGCCTTGCCACGTAAATCTGTCGCTGTTACCGCATACCGCATACCGCATACCGTATATCTTCATACTATCACATCCATCCACCTAGCCGCTACAGTACCCTCCCTCCCTCCCTCCGGCCCCGGGTTTGTTCATTTGGCGCGCCAATTACCTCTTTCACTCATCGACGCAAGTCAGGTAACCTCAGGTAAGGTCAGAACTAGCAGTATTATTTACCGAGTAGCTACACCGTACAATACGGGCAGTAGTCTGATGACAAGGGCAGCTAAACCCCACCGCACATCACTATCCACCTCGCATCCACAATCCAATCCAAGCCAAGCCAAGTCGGCCCAAGCCAACACAACGCAACGCATCCGGATCATTTCTTATCCCACACCACACATTACAGTATTACTGTACATTACTTGTACATTACATTGTATTACACACACCCCGTCCCCGTACAGTACTCCGCATTCGCCGCTCATTCGGCGTCTATCCCCCGGCCCGGCCGTAGGTGGCACGCACGCACACGTGCACTGCAGTGCATGAAACCATTCTTTCTTATTACGGTAACCATACGAAGAAATAATGAGCAACCCACCATCGTCCGGGGGTGGCCCTTCCTCGGTTTCTGCGTCAAGAACTCAAACCTTAAAGAGAAGCGTTCAGCAAGCTTTTGATGGTACTTTCCCCACCTTTCTTCCTTCTTTTGCTTTCCTTTTCTCTCTCTCTTTCGGGTTCTCTCCTTTTCGTCTAGTCCCAATTTTTGCCTGGTCTTACGATGGCTTTATAATTACGTTGTGACGTTGAGATTCGGTCATCTGATTACCTTGCTCCTCCCTGAGACATCTCGACATGTTTCCTCCTCGACGCAATCCCTCCTTCCGTCTGTTTGTTCTTGCTTTTAATTTCATACGTTACTAATATCCATTCTAGATCCGAATGATAGGGGCGTAGGCCCTAACATGGGATATCAGAGTAAAGTCCGAGTCATTGACCGTTATAAAGTGATCGGTTTCATCAGTAGTGGAACATATGGACGCGTCTACAAAGCAGTGGGCCGTCACGGTCAGACGGGCGAATTTGCCATCAAAAAATTCAAGCCGGGTAAGCCAGTCAGCCATCTCGTAAACCTGTCCTAAACTAGATGATGAATACTAAACAAAATTAGACAAGGAAGGAGAACAGATCCAGTACACGGGTATTTCTCAATCCGCCGTCCGAGAAATGGCCCTTTGCTCTGAATTAAGTCACGTAAATGTCATCCGCTTGGTCGAGATCATATTAGAAGACAAATGCATCTTCATGGTCCTCGAATACGCCGAGCACGACCTCTTGCAGATCATCCATCACCACACGCAGCCCACACGCCACCCCATCCCGCCAGCCACCGTAAAAAGCATCATGTTCCAACTCCTAAATGGCTGCCAGTACCTACACGCCAACTGGGTCCTGCACCGAGATCTCAAGCCCGCAAACATCATGGTGACTTCCTCCGGTGAAGTACGTATCGGTGATCTCGGGCTTGCGCGCCTCTTCAACAAACCCCTGCACTCGCTCTTCTCAGGCGATAAGGTCGTCGTAACAATCTGGTACCGGGCGCCCGAGCTGCTCCTCGGAAGCAGACATTATACGCCCGCGATAGACATGTGGGCCGTAGGCTGCATCTTCGCGGAACTCCTGTCATTACGCCCGATCTTCAAGGGAGAGGAAGCCAAGATGGACAGTAAGAAAACGGTTCCATTTCAGAGAAATCAGATGCAGAAGATTGTGGAGATCATGGGGTTACCGCGTAAGGAACAGTGGCCGCATTTGGTTAATATGCCTGAGTACGCACAACTAACTACTCTGTCCGCATCTTCGCACCATAGAAATGGTGGATCGAGTTTGGAGAAGTGGTATTACAGTACCATCAACTCGCACTCAGCAAGCAGCATACCCAGCTCCAACGCATCATTGGGCTCGGAGGGATACAAGCTGTTAAGCGGCTTACTGGAATATGATCCCGAGAAACGACTCACTGCACAAGCGGCCCTAAACCATAGCTTCTTCCAGAGCGGGGATAAGGTGAGTGCGAATTGCTTCGAGGGAATGAAGATGGAGTATCCGCATCGGAGGGTCAGTCAGGATGATAATGATATCCGGACGAGTTCGCTGCCAGGGACCAAGAGGAGTGGGTTGCCGGACGATTCGAGGCCGGGGAAAAGGCTTAAGGAGTGATTTGAGATTTGCTTTTCCGAGCTTGTCGAATCATTATGCTATTGTTGTCATTATTATCCTTGCTCTTAAAGAGGAGAAAGGTAAGGTATGCAGGATATGTAAAAGAGGAGGAGAAAAAGACACTCCCACTCTTTACTTGTAAAGGGAGCGGTGTGCTTGATGGGGAAGCCAGGGGAAGCCAAGCCAAGCCAAGCACAAGCGCAAGTGGCGGCAAACAGGAATGTGGCGCAACCCCTGCTGTGGCGCGGGACCTGCAGAATATGCCATGTTTCACGAGTCACTAAGGTAGACAGTCACGACCAAGAAGACATCACAGCCCCATTCGCCAAGCACATCGCCAAGACTAATCTGATGAAGTGAATTCCCTGATTGATTTCGTACGTCATATCCTGTACCATAGAAGTAGAAGTACTTGAACGGAGGAATGAATGAATATCAATTTACAATTGAAACCTCCACTCGAACATCTCTACTCGAACACTTACCTCGTTGTAACTTATTACCTACCTACCATCTATCCATACATCCATCCATACATCCACACATCAATCACCTCACCCCACACAGCCATCCACCATACCAAACCCTTCCCCCATCACCACCCCCACCACAAACCAAACAACAATACAATGCCTCTCTTCTGGAGCAAAGGCTTCGGTGGCCGACGCGCAGGCGGCACCGTGACGGCCGATCGACATGGAGTGCATAAACCGGTTTGGAGGATGCGGTTATGTGGGTTGAATTGTTTTCGTTAGGTTGGGGTTGGGATTGTGTGTTTGAGGGAGTTGGGAATAGGAAAGGGGGATTAGCTGGAGGGGAGAAAGGAGGGAGGGGATGCTTGCTCTCTGTGCTTTGAGAATGGGATGGACGAAATAGGCGTTAGGAAGACCAGTTATTGCAAGAGAGAGAGAGAGAGAGCACGAATACCCATACCAGATCAATCACGATCACAGTCACAAACATAACCACATATCTCATCACCTTGAGCTTCCAATCCCTCCTCAAGAACCTCATCCGTCTAAGAGACCATTATTCAATTCCCAAATCCATTTCATATTTCATTCATTAGGTACTCAACGGCAGGCCCCCTAATACCCTAGCTACTATGTATTACAAATCCTCTACTGTATCATTACAATCTCCATACGTAAAGCCCCAAATCCCATTCTTCTCCTTTCGCTCCTCCGAATATAAAGTGTAAAAAAGGTATAAAAAACGGCATGTTTGTCAGGCTTAACCTGACAAGAAGAATGATTTTGGTATCGCCGCCGTTGCTTGTAGGGAAAAATCTCAAATTCGGAACGCTGGAAGAGGCAGAAAATGTACATGCAAAGCAATTAAGGGTGTGGGTGTGATGTAAGGGTCGTAGGTTGGTTGTCAACTGTGTTGGGGAGCCTAGAACGCCGATTCCAATGCTCCGATCGTAACCTTGTTCGTTCGCTCGTTCGTTCGTTTGTATGTCTTGGAGGAGGTTCGGGGGGTGGATGTGGGAATGGAAGGGAGTCGGGGTGGCTGATCTGTTTCGAGGGTTCTATTTCTTTGCTTGGCCGTTTGGAGGAGATTTGACGTTGTTGGAGAGCCATGCCTAGTTCCTCAATATTAGCTACTACTCGAGATTCCGGTGAGCAAGGGGGAGCATACCAGTCCTTCCAATAACCCCTCGCCTGTCGTAGCGCAACTGGGTACCACAAACCAAATCTTGTCTTTCAGGGTGGTGAGCTTGAGGGCGTCTGTGACTTCTTGTGGTTTCATTGCTGTAAAACAAAGTAGGTTAGTATTTGCTTAGAGGTATGGTATAGGAAAGGCAAGGAACATACCTCCTGGGACATCCTGCTTGTTGGCAAATACAAGGAGCAGCGACTCCTTCATTTCTCGATCATTGATGATGCGGTGTAATTCCTGTCTTGCCTCCTCCATGCGTACCTTGTCGCTCGAATCGATGACGAAGATAAGTCCTTGGGTACCTATTATCACAATAATCAGCATTGCACTCCTCATCCTCATTCCCCTCTCCTCTCTCCTCTCTACCATTCCCCACTCGCCCTCAGCCTCTCAAGCAAAGAGACGCAGTACATACCACTGAAATAATGCCTCCACAACGGCCGAATCTTATCTTGTCCCCCCACATCCCATACATTAAACTTGACATTCTTATACGTAACCGTCTCAACGTTAAACCCCACTGTCGGAATCGTCGTCACATCCTGGTTGAGCTTCAACTTGTAGAGAATCGTCGTCTTGCCCGCAGCGTCGAGCCCAAGCATCAGTAGACGCATTTCTTTCGATCCGAAGATCTTGCCCATCATTTTCGAGATTTGGCCGCCCATGTCTGCGGTGTGCTAGGTGAGGATATGATATGAGCGCGTGTAGAGTCGAGGTGGAGGTGGAGGTGGAGGTGGAGGTAGTGCTTGGATTCGTATTTGAATTCGCGAGCGGGACTGTAGATACGATGCGATGCGATGCTTTTCTTTTCCGATCCGATAGTACGTCGGACTGACTCTATTCACACACAAGTGAAAAATAACAAGGCTGAAACGCTGCGATTGTGCGGCGGAAGGACTTGCTTCCTTCAGGAGGAGTTGCCGTTTTCTCGCGTTTACTCGAATAAGGTAGTTTCGTAAAGGGGCTATGAAGCGAGATTGGACGTGATGTCGGTAGAAATTGAAGGCGGGGGGTGTGAAATTATGAGTCCTGCGTGACGAGATTGAAGAGATGGGATTTTTAAATGCTAATTTCGAGCTTCGCTGATCCCCCAAGTAGTGAGATTGCTGCGGTGAATAACCTCAACGCGGTTGTTTCAGGATCAAAGCGCGCGATTACTTTGATACGTATGGTCACCTGACTCGGGAAATCAAGTGGAATATCTCCAGTGCCGGCATTTGTAGTTTTCACTTCAAATTAAACTTTATAATTGTGTAAAGGTTCTGACTTTGGATATACAGTTCAGTTCCAAACGCCCCAAAGTATGTTAAAGATGCATGGCTGCCCAAAAAATATGGTTATGGGGTATTCCGACCCAATACTCCAATGCCGTACACCAAAGATATGCTCCCGCTATCGATATGACCTTGATTGACCTTGAAACTCCAATTTTGAGTCGGATTCGTCCAACTCTTCGTATATGCGTTTTCCCTCCACGGCTAGAATGAATCAAAGCAAACCATGTTATTGGCCAGTATGATTTAGTACCATCCGGCGTTCAACTTCCTTGCCTTCCTGTTCCTCTTCAAACAATACTTCAACCTTGGTACCACCCTCAAGCATCCGCTTAACATCAGCCCGGTAGAAGGTAGATGTTGATGGGTAGAGCGCAAGAACCCGCTTTCCAACTTCGTAATCCTCAAACTTTGCACCTACAGACGGAATCGGTACCATCTGGGACGCGGAAGACTTGTAGTTATTGTTCAATTCAGCGGCCTTGTCATCAGGATATGGATCCCGGACTTCATATCGTCGACTCTTACCCTCTCCAATGACTCTTGTGACAATGCCTTGGATCCAGTCGAGGTCGTCGCCTGATTTGCGCTTGAAAGCCACCTCGTCGCCAACAGCGTAGACTATCTTCGGCTTATTAGAGCTTCGCTCGGAGGGTTCGGAAGGAGCTTCAGATCGGATAATCACATCCAGGTTCCTCGGAGGTTGACTGCTCGTTCGACCATTGCCAAGTTTCCGAGCTTGCCTATCTGCAGCTGATGGAGGACCAGGAGAATCTGAAGTTCCATCCATATCCATTCCAGAACGAGATTGCGAATCGCGGGAGTCGCGAGAAGCAGAGCCACGTGGCAGGGACGATTCAACTTTTTCTTCGTTATGCTTGACCATTGCCGCAAGAAGACCGACGTTTTGCTTGAGACCACTAGTATCGTCCACTCCAATGAGAGCTTCCTGGTCTTTTGCAATCTTAATCTCGTCGCGGTACATACATTCTAAAGTGTAATACTCTGCGACGGAAGGCTCTTCTTGGTATTAGCATAGATCTCGATACAGTGAGAACAAATGCAAGACTTATTGAAATGGCATACCTCTTCCATTACGTTTAACCTCTGACAGTCTACTTTCCTCGGCGAATATTTGCTGTTTGAGATCCTCTGCGTCTTTCTCTTTCTGTTGAAGCTCGGCTAGAACAGATACACAATCATGCCATAATTGCTGCTCTTCGCCGTTCTCTTGAGCACCTCCACGTGCTCCACTACGGGGAGCCCTTCTTTGCGAAGACATTCTCGTGAGCCGAGCTCTGCCGGGCAGGATTTCGAGATTACAGGCCTCGGTCACAAACTTTCTTCAGCCAATTGGCTGTTCGTAGATTGAAGCCTTTTGAGGAGGAGAGAATTAGTATGTGTTTCCTCGGCCAGGATGCGAATTCGTGGGTGGTATAGCGGGTAAACATTAGATGGAATAATGTTGGGGGGGCGCATGGACATCTGGACATGTTTATGACTTACCTGGAGGTATACAACACTGTCCAGTCGTCCTTTCACAGATGCGAACTCAGTTGTACTTGGATACCTAGGTACGCTATAAGATGGTGTTGTAGAAGGAGCAATGGGTGGTGAATGTTGTCTGGAGTGGATGCTTGTCGAGTCGCCCCCAGCCCGGTCCCGGTTCAGCCTTGTCTTGCCTAGCGCACAGACCGATGATGATTGGCCGTAGTAGAATACTCCAGTAGCGCGGGGTAACTACTTGGTACCTATTGAGTGACATGGGCTGAAGATTCATATCCCATCCCATCCCGTCCCTCACCTCAACTCACCTCTTCTTTCTTGTTTGGTTTGCAGTCAATATCTCAAATTGAAGCTATTCACAAGACTTCATTCTTCCACTCATCACAATGCAAGTCCCATTGATCAGACTCCAATGCGGAGTCAACAGCTACGACTGGGGCAAAGTAGGCAAAGAATCAGCCGCCGCAAAATTCGCTGCTGCCACCCCAGCCGACAACTTCTCCATCCAAGAAGAAAAGCCATATGCAGAGGTACATTACATTCGATAAATCTCTGCACACAGCTCACAGCAATAGCTATGGATGGGTACGCATCCCTCCAACCCTTCGAAAGATGTTGCCACCAAGCGAACCCTCCTCGACCTCGTACAAGACAACCAAGCACTCATGTCCACCGAAATCAGCGAGAAATTCGAAAACAAATTGCCGTTCCTGTTCAAAGTCTTATCTATTGGCAAGGCACTCAGTATACAAGCACATCCAAACAAGAAACTCGCCGAGCAACTGCATAAGAAGGACCCGAAGAACTACCCTGACGACAATCACAAACCTGAGATGACAATTGCTATCACACCTTTCGATGGACTCTGCGGCTTCCGGCCTTTGGCAGAAACGGTTCATTTTCTGACCACGATACCATCCCTCAAGAAACTCGTGGGCGAGTCAGAAGTCGAAACATTCAAATCAGCAGTGAAGGGTCAAGAAGCCTCAGAGAAGCCGGAAGACGAGGAGAAAAACAAGAAAGCCCTACAAAAGGCATTTGGTTCCCTGATGAACTCGAAGAAGGAGAATGTTGAACAAGCTGCAAAGGAATTGATAGCCTCCGCGGAAAAGGAAGGCGCTGATTTCGCTGATGGTGGAGGGCCTTCAAACAATGGACAAGAACTGGCGGATCTCGTTGTACGGCTCAACCAGCAATTCCCAGGCGATATTGGGCTCTTCGTCCTCTTCTTTCTCAACTACGTCAAGCTTGAGGTCGGCGAGGCCATGTTCTTAAAGGCGGATGATATCCATGCATATCTCAGTGGCGATATAATTGAATGCATGGCTGCATCCGATAATGTTGTTCGGGCTGGATTTACCCCCAAATTCAAGGATGTGAATACGTTGATTTCTATGCTCACTTATTCATACGCTCCAATTGAAGAGCAGAAGATGGAGCCAGTGGACTACCCATACGCTACTCTAAACCGAGATGCATATTCCTCTGGCTCATCAGCCATCCTTTACGATCCTCCAATCGAAGAGTTCAGTGTAGTAAGAACCAGTCTCAAGAATAAAGGCGCAAAGGCTACATTTGAGCAAATCGCTGGACCAAGTATCTTCATCTGCACAACTGGAAACGGGAAGATTAGTGTGGGACCCAAAGTAGAGGAGGTAAAGCCCGGATATGTCTACTTTGTGGGTGCAACGGCTGAGGTGGTACTGGAGAGCGAGGATGATGAATTTACGACTTTCAAGGCGTTTTGCGAGTTACATGGGAAAGAGGGTGGGGAAAAGCTATGAATTACAGGATGTAGATGATGGATCAAGTTGACTCTTCATTGTCCTTATTCACGGTCTCTTACTGGGACAATGTCTATGAAAATGATTTATTATTACACCTGTGGCCGATACTGCAAATGCTAACCTTGCCTACGGTTTCTAATCCCAATTGATACTTCCAGTGAAGCATTCGATTTCTTGTCACATGGTTCAGTTCAGCTCAGCTTCAAAAAGTGTGGAGCATAGATGCAAGGCTCGGCGACAACAGAAATGCTCACTGCACTCCATCGGTAGCTTTTCTTCTGCTAGAATCAAGTCTCCAGGAATCTGGCTCAAGTTGTAAGCTATCGGCACTGGGCATTCTTGGTTCGCCTTGGAATGTTCAATACACTGTGGATCTTAAGAATATCAAGTGGTGATGATGTACTACCGCACGCAATACTGTATATCTGCATCAAATGATTTATTTCTCGGAACTAAGGAACGAACAGCAATATAAGAAAACACAAATTCAAAGAAAAGAAATCCAATCATCTTTTCCAATAAGGTCCCCATCCCGCTTGATCATCAGCCAACCCCTTTAAATCATTTGTCAGCGCACCCGGTCTCGCCCTTGACCGTCCTGTGGCGCCTTGTGCACCACCTCTACCCCTATTATTACCACCTCTAGGAGCTGACGGACCGCCCCGCCCTCTATTTGGTGCTGCTCCTGCACCTCTTGCAGCTCCACCTCTTCCGCCTCTGCCTCTAGCAGCCGGCGCATGCTTCGTCTTCTTCTTAGCAGGCTGTTCATCAACATCTTCTTCAGGGGCATTTTCTCTCTCTACGTGCTTCTGACCTCGGGGGCTTTCAAGCTCACGTTTAATCGTCTTCCTAGAAGGCTGTTCATCCTCCTCCTCTGTCTGTGCGCGCTCCTTACCTTTACGCGGGGCACGACGTGATGGGGTTTCAGGCAGGCTTCCATCGCTTTCGTCTTCTGACTTGATGTTCGGGGAAGGTGTATGGATGATGTGTCCTGAAGGGGGTAGTGAGGATGAGGGGGGTAATGAGGATCTCGCGAAGAAAGCCGCTGGTGAGCTGTCAACGGATGATACCCCTGCACTTGGGGCTCTTCCTTCGCCACTATCATCGTAAATAGAGAGGTCATCTTCCTCCTTGACTTCCCGTTTGATGGATCGGGAAGATCTGTTAGACCTGCGTTGTGAGGAGGATTCTCTGTTGATGTTTGGCGCTGGTGTACTGTAATCGCTGAGGGGCCTTACTCCTTCGGCTTTTCCCTTTCCCTTTCCCTTTACCTTTGCCCTTGCCCTTGCCCTTGCCCTTGCTTTTGCCTCTGCACTTGGAGATTCCTCTGTCTCGTTAGCTTCTTTCCCAGCCTCTTCCTCCTCAGCTGCTTCTATAGCATCTAGTTGATCCTGAACCACAGCTCTGGCACGCAACGCATCAGCATGACGAGCCGCCGAGAAACTTTTGGTTCTCAACAAGGACCATTCGCGATCCGCTGCTGCAGCGGTAGTGGCTAGTCTAGCTAGGAGCTCTGCCTTGCTGGTGCCTTCTGCTAGATTGAGCTGTGCTTGGATGGCGTCTCGGGCGACGAGGGCACGCTCGTATGCATCGCCGGAATTTGAATCCGACTCGGCGCGTCGTTCGTGCCGGACGTTTTTGTTGGCCGTTGAGAGTTTACGGCGGAGGGACTGGATTTCTTCTTCTGATGCCGGGGCCATGGTGAGTGAGTGAGTGAGTGGTGTGATAGATATCTGGAATAGGTAAAATGTATATGTGTGTAAATTAAAAGTATGATTGATATTAATAAGGGTTGCGAATTTATAAATGTCTGTAAATGTAATGGGGGTAAATTTTAAATTTTATGTACTGTATTTAATAAACGGGAAACGGGAAATATATGATAATAATGCCTGCGTTCTTTATACACCGCGAGGATATGAATCCGTGCTTTGTCCTCGAGCGATGGCCGTTTGCAGTCATGCATTTATTCTCTTTGATGGAACAGAAAGGGGGTTGTCAAAGAAGGGATTCGTTCATTCAAGTTCCGAGAATTTGAAAGACAAGTACAAGCTACCTACCTACCTTAGCCTGCACCACTTGTGTTAGATTGGATTCTTGCAGACTCAAAGGCAGAAAGGACGAAACTGAAGTGAAAGAAAAGATGGTACTGTAGTGGAAAGCAATAAATTTATCAACCATTTAATACCACCGAGATATCAGATAGCTGTGGCTTTGTTGTCTCCCTGTCATGCTGTACTTTCCTCGTCACGTCGATGCGAGCGATACAATACATAGGGCCTCAAACTCAAGTAAGTAACAGAATAGACCGGCATGGATGAATAGTTAGTATACCACACAAAAAAGCACTAGCTTCGTGTTAAAGACTTCGAAGTTCGATAGAGAATCAATAAACCCCTGCCTGTCGTAGGCCTTTTCGCTTACAGTAGTTGGTTCGTCTAAAAGAGAGAGAGAGAGAGAAAAAGAGAGAGAACGAAGGAAATTTTAATACAATACAAAGTACTCATGGAATAGTTTTCACGAGTTCATAAGCTACTTCGGCTCTTATCATCCCTATTCTTCACTCTGCGAGAATGCTTGTGCGTGGCACGAACGCTGCTATGTAGGAAGGTTTGGATGAAGGATTGGATTGGAAGAAAGGCTTGGGCAGCGCTACTTGAGTGAAGTTTGAGCTGAAGCACTTGATTAGGTTAGAGACGTGAAGGAGAATAGGCGAGTGAGTCTGGGACAATTAGTAATACCACCAGTATTATAAATCGAATAGTTAGCAGATTATCCAACTAGGTTCTAGATCAGCACGCTCTCTATTAAAAATGGAATAAATAAAATGGCCAACCACACTCAAGCTTTCACATCCTTCTCATTTTTCGCCTCTGCCTCAGCCTGCTCTAGAGCTCCCGGCTCCAGCAAATCAACCCCCAGCCGCTGAGCCTCCTGAATCTCCTTCTGCGGGCCAACGAACCACTTCCGCGCCGAGAGCAACCAAACACCATTAGCACCCACTGCAATAATGCCCACCGCGACAACGGTATAATTCAGCGTCTGACTCGTAACCGGATTCGCCGTCGGAAGACAGAATATAATACTGATGAAGCAGATCCACGCCACGGCCACAAACGCAACGGGCTTCGAGAAAACCCTCAGATTAAACGGACCCTTGCGCGCATTAAACTCAGCGCCGTAGATCAACCCGATCAAGATCGGAATCCCGTAACTGATATACAGCCCAATCGTCGCAATCGAAGTGGCTGCCGCAAACGCAACACTACTCCCCAAGCTCGGCAGCGCGAGACAAAAACTCAGCGTCGCAGCGAGCCAGACGGTGCGGACGGGACTGGCGAAGCGCGCATCGACTTTATGGAAGAAGCGGGGGATACCGCCATCGCGGGCAAAGGCAAACATCATGCGGGAATTGGATGTCATGGAGAACAAGCCGCAGTGCCAGACGCAGATCATGATGAGGCACATGAGGACCACGGCGCCGTCGTCGCCGAATACGTCGACGAGAATCTGGAGCACGGGCTGCGAGAAGCGGACCGATGTGACGGTGTTGTCGAAATCTTGGATGGAGAAGAGGAAGGAGAGAACGACGAAGAAGCCGAACAGGGCCGAGAAGCCGACTGAGGATATGACACCAATGGGGGCGGACCAGGATGCGTTGCGCGTTTCTTCAGACAGATGCGCCGACGCGTCGAACCCAGTAAGCGTGTATTGGGACATGAGCGCACCGCATGCTGCTACGTATGCAGGAGAAGCACGCACACTCCAACCTGGATCACCTGTTCCATCATTGAAAGTTGCAAAGACGAATTTGGCGCTTTGGTGCGTGGGTGCTTTGGCTAGGACGGCAATGGCAAGTGCTGTTACTCCCAGCGAGTGTAGGGCGATGGAGGTATTATTCAAGTAGCGCAGGACGTGAACACCGAATGTGTTTACTGTTGCGTGGGAGACGAGGACTGCGGCGTAGATACCGATGGTTCGTCCGGCTGTGGGAGTGTAGTCTGACTTCACGGTTGCGGTTGTTGAGATGAGACCTGCGAGACCGAAGGATATTCCTGTGGTTACTGCCACTTGGCCTAGGAAGTTGAACCTGCGGAATTGTGAGTTATTGGCTCGAAAAGGGGGCGAAGAGGGAGTCTACCAGCCGGTAATCCAAGACGCATAGGCGGAGTGCTTTGAAGGAGCAAGTAAAGCTGCCCAATAATATGGACCGCCAGCGGTAGGAATTGCTGAGACGATTTCGGCCATTCCTAGAGCAACGATCAAAGTGAAGACAGAGACAACAATCCATCCCACGGACATGACTACTTCCATTAGCTACAGTTTCCTTTCCCTCCGGTAGGCTACATACCTCCAGGGCCACCAGTAACCAACCCATATTCGAAGAGAGTTGTAATTCCAGTAATAACCGACTACCCCAACAATTAGTCGGAAATCTCAGTTCTGCCTGTAGAAAAACTTACGATAATGGAGAAAGAAATGCCAAAATTATGCGTCAACCCCCAGTCGCGCTTCAGCTCCTGCTTATACCCAAACTCGGCTAACTCGTCGGCATCTCTCTCAGCAACAGTTGAATGGTGCCTTTCAATATCAACAACACTCATCTTGTCGAAAATCAAAGAAACAACCTCAAATTATTAGGAAGGCGGACGAACACAGGTCATCACGGCATCGCCGAAGTACTTATGTGAGTTCACCTGCCCTCATAGCTACCCCTGTCAGCCACCTTGCGATAAGAAGCTCGCAGTGATGGGTTGCTGACTGCACGCTAATCCCCGTGCAGCTGCGATGCCGAAGGACTGATAGCTGGAGCATCCGCGTTGTTGGATAAAGGTTGTGACTAAGGAATCTGGGGGCTGTTTCTGATCCGATCCAAGGGGGCTTGACCCCTCATTTTGTCTGGTGGGTGGAATATTGTCCTTTTTAGGATTTGGCGCGTGGAAAGCACGAGGGGGGAGGGACTTTGGTTTGCGACCGACTACCGGGAATCCAATATGAGCCTGGCCACTGGGCCGGTAATTTGCGGCCAATGACAATAGCAAGAAAAGAATAGCCCAACTAGAGGAAACATGACTCGTAGGTATAGAGCGAAGTCGCTTTGGTGAAATATGAAATGTGTAATTGTTCTTGTGCATTTGAAGGCTGATTGATAGCACCTCTACATGGCCTAACATGCTTGTTCTGTACATTTTCGTATGATAGGTATATGCATTCTATGTGTAATATCTTTTTGGTGCCGTTCCATAAATGCGATACCACCAGTGATACCATTCCCAAGTACTCCTGAAATTCGAGAACTCCATACCCAATTTATAAAGTTAGAACCGTTTGTCATCAACATAAATCGCCTCCTATAGTCTGTTGTATACACTGCTTGCTCGTGTCGCGTTTGATTCTTGCGCATTAAGTCGTCAGGATTGTTCACCCATTTGTAACATGTGGCCCATCTTCTCGATCTGAAGTATGTTAGTGAAGTTCTCAAATATTTTCCTTCGTCAAAGCATACCTTTGTTTTTAAATAACCCCCCACCTCCTGGCTCCTAATCCCGCCACCCTTCCCCTTCCAAGCCAAAGGAATCATGGCTACTCGCTCTTTCACCACAATCTCCCTATTCGGCCCCTCTACTGCTCGAACCTTATCCGGGTTATTGGTCAATAACCTGATATCCGTCTGCCCTAGGTCTGCCAACATTGCGGTTGCCAATCCGTAACTCCTTGCATCAGCCGGATGCCGCAGTAATAGATTCGCTTCAACTGTATCTGAGCCCAGATCCTGGAGATTATATGCCTTGAGCTTCTCACCCAAGCCAATACCACGGCCTTCTTGTCGCAGATAAATAATGATGCCACCTTCGGAGCCGGGGAGAGACATCAGTCGCGCAGCTTCATCTAGTTGTTCTCCGCAGTCGCAGCGTGCGGACCAGACCGTTTCGCCAGTGTAGCATTCGGAATGTATACGGACCAAAGGAGGGTCTTTCTTCTTTTCCACCTCATCCACTTCTGGCTTCCCGTTTGCAGCAGGTATTCCCTTCTCGGGAATCCTTGAAGCTGTCCGTCCCGGATATAATCTGCCAGTGTATGCCCCTCTAATCAACCTATCCATCTCCGTCTCCCCTTCTCTCGGCTTGTCGAGAGTCCTACTACGTATCCCATTGCCAAACACAATTGCCAAATGCTCCTTGTTATCCTCGCTATTCTGATATAAATGTAAAAACATCTCCATCCCACCTATGGTCGTCGGTATCCTCGCCCGTACTACACAATTGACATCCGGTAGCTTGTCTAATAGTTTCGGCTTCTTCTGTCCGCAGCCACCATTAACGACTGTGCTATCGACCGGAACAGATTTAGGTATATGTTGGGCGGCGGACCGGTGTGAGGGCGTCGACGTCCCGGGTGTTGATGGCGGGGTGAAGGCGGGGGATACAAGGTCCGGGAGGGGGGCATCTGGTTCTGGTTCGGATTCGGAATTTGCATCTGGGAATGGGACACGAGAGGGTATTGAGCGGTTGTTTAAGTTGAGGGAGTTGAGATCAAGTTCGGAGATGGCGCGGGAGACGGGAATTGGCCTGGGAGAGTAGAAGGGTGGGAGAGGGGGTATCTTGTCCTCTTCTTCGCGAGGCCATGAGGAGACATTTGGGGTGGAGTCAATGTCAGGCATAATTGCTAGAGGTTAGGAATGAGTTCGCAGCATGAGAGCCAGTGTTTCCGAGCAATTGTGGTGTTGTGTTGACAATTCTAAGAAAGACGGGGAGAAGTGAATCGAAGTTGTCCCGAGGTCGCTTGCTTTTGCGAGAGGCAGGTCGGTACAGTAATCAACTCTAAGATCCACGTAATAATGCGTAAGCTACACAATAATTATTCAACTCTTGATAAATGAAATACGAATTTATATACTCATCATTTCTATGTTCTGTATTAAAGCTCTTCTTCTCCAAGAAATCGCAGAATTCCGAACAGCTGCACCATAAAGAGACGGAGGAGGTTAGTCCGGTCACGTGACTACACCCCTCCATGATTTATCAGCAGTTCTCACTCCACCTACTGTAGTGCAGTCCACTTCAAACACCATCATCGATTTTCTTTGCTTTTGCTTGACAACAACCTCGGGATTTTCTCGTGCGTCGACAATATGACGTTGTTCCCTGTTATTCTGCAGAATCGCCCTGGACTAGTAACATTCCACCCACGGAGATAAGGGATAGACCATCAGAGATAGTTAGCCAGACCCATACAAGGTCCTCCTATATGCTCTATATTCCGTATAGTGACCACTTCCCGCCCCTCTTTCTCCACAATGCTCAAGTACCGGCGGCATGACGGTTCTGGAATCCGACCTTGCCAACGCTTATAAATATTTTTCAAATTACGTACGAGATAGTATCTTGTCTGGTAGGTAGAAAAGTATATAACATAGTTTCCACTTCCCCCACGCTTTCCTCTCCTCTTCTAGTCAAATTTAGACCATCCTATCCTATACACATTCCATATATCACAATGGCACCAGACCGTTATCTCTCCGACAGCTCGGATGCTTCGCCCTTGGGCAAGCCCCTCAAATTCGAGTTTTCTGGCAAGACAGCTAGCAACAGGTTCTTGAAAGGTGCTATGACAGAACGACTTTCGTCTTGGGATCCTAAGGACTTCAAAAAACGTGGTATCCCCTCAAAGAATCTCGTCAATGTCTACAAGCGTTGGGGTGAAGGCCAGTTTGGTCAACTCTTGACTGGAAATATCATGATCGAGTATGATCAATTAGAGGCAATGGGAAACCCCATCATCCCTCGAGATGCAGAATACTCTGGTCCACGATTTGAGGCATTCAAAGACCTTGCTACTGCTGCCAAAGCCCACGGAAGTTTGATTGTTGGTCAAGTCAGTCATCCGGGTCGACAGGTCGAGAACAGGATCCAGAAGAACCCCGTGTCAGCATCCGACGTTCAACTAGAAGGTATGTCTTGACTCCAACCCTTCATTCGCTCAGCGAGTAATAATCAAACCAATAGGAAACATTATGGGAATGGAATTCGCCAAACCGCACGCCGCCACTACAGATGAGATCGCACAGATCATCGAAGGCTTCGCGCATGCTGCAGAGTTTCTTGACAAGGCAGGCTACGATGGTATTGAACTCCACGGTGCTCACGGCTACCTCCTCGCACAGTTTCTTTCTCCCACAACGAACCGTCGGACGGACAAGTACGGCGGATCTCTAGAAAACCGTCTACGCCTCACCCTCGAGATTGCAGACGCAATTCAGAAGCGCGTTTCCAAGGACTTCATCGTCGGAATGAAGGTTAACTCGGTCGAATTCCAAGACAAAGGATTCTCTCCCGCAGAAGCCAAGGAGATGTGCCAGGCATTAGAGAAAGCACGCTTCGACTTCGTTGAGCTGTCTGGTGGAACCTACGAGTCGTTGGCCTTTGAACACAAAAGAGAGAGCACCAAGAAGAGAGAATCATTCTTCATCGAGTTCGCTGAACAAATCGTTAAGCCTTTGACGAAGACTAAGACCTACGTTACTGGAGGCTTCAAGACTGTGGGGGCAATGACCAAGGCGCTTGATACCGTCGACGGAGTGGGACTTGCTCGCCCAACGTGCCAAGAGCCTCATCTTCCGAAGGACATCTTGGAGGGTAAGGTGACCGGTGCTATTAAGATCAAGCTTGATGACAATAATTTCGGTTTGACGAACGTTGCGGCTGGGACTCAGATCAGACAACTTGGCAAAGACCAGGAACCCGTTGACCTTAGTGTACAGGCGAACGTGGATGCGTTGATGCAGGATATGGGGGCGTGGGGCCAGAAGTTGGGTGCTGATAAGGAAATGAAAGAATATGGGTATATTGATCTTAGTGCAGCAGGTAAGCCCTATGTTGCATAAATTTGACACCTATAGACTTGTAGAAAGCGAAAATATGCAAATCGAGTAGAAGCCATAGAATCAAGATAATTAAAACAGGGTGGATGTTTTCTTTCAATTTCTATAAATATTGAGACAATTATACAGCGCTTCGTTAGTGCGAACTCGAGAAGCACCAAGCTTTGGATATACTTTTTTCGTAACGCTCGATTCTTATAAGGCGGAGAAGCGGTCACGTTTGAATTTCAGATGAGTGAGAATAGGGACATGTCCACGGCCTATGTTATTGCCAACGACCACGCTGCACATTCACCCCTTTTCGCAGTCTCAGTCCTGACTTGGTGTTTCTTAGCTATCTCTTATTGACTTTATCGCTTGTGTTTTCATTATGTGCTTTTGTCGGAGCTTCAAATGTCAATATCCTTATTTTTCTGCCGAGAGACATCTAAATATGACAGTCCATTGCCACTCTGCGACAGGCCTTCAAAATGGCAACGCTCCTATGAGAAACTGGCCTCATGAACAAGTCCGTAAGCCTTCCGTGTTGCGCTCAAAGTAAATCACAGCATGGACTAGAACAGTTATTGTGAAGGTTGACTTCAAGCCTGTTATTCATAGATCTTGAATGATTCACGTTTGGAATTTCGAATTTCACTATAGCTACAACCGTGAATATACAGCAGAAACTGGGTCTGATTCATCTAATCTTCAAAGAGGCTTGATATAAAAAGCTCTTGCTCTGCATGATTTCCTATCATCACAACATCACAACATCACACAAGTGTTGAAACAATCCAGTAATTAACAGCAAAGCAACCAAAGGACCAACAACTAAATTAAACCAACAATAACCAAACCACCAACAACGCTAGTCACGATGCAGCTCTCAGCCATTCTGACCATCGTCTCCACCCTCCTCGCAGCCCAAATCTCCGCCGCCCCAACCGAACTCGGCACCATCGAAGTCGAAAATACAATTTATGTTGGAGAGGTACATATCCACATACCTATCCTCTGTCTACCGAGCAGAACTAAACTAACAGACCGGTTGTATATGCATATAGATCGGAATCAAAAGCCGCGGCTGGGGAGATTGGAAGAATTGGAAATCACCATGCGCGGAATGTACGCCCGGCAAAGGGCAGTGCTACGGAGTAGACCTGGGGTGCTATCAGTGTGATGGCGGGCGTAATGTGTGCCAGAGAGCGCAGAGTATCTGTCGGTGTCCTCATTGAGGAGTCATGCGTAAGAGGTACGTAGGGCTAGAGGATTGTGAAGGCTAGGCACTCGGATATTCATTCCTTTGAATGAGGTGGATTATCTGAAGGGGGATCACAAACCATTGGGAAACTTTGTGATTAACTGGCCTTCAATACAAGGGTTGTCTACACTTGAGCTCGCCTTTTTTGATGTGTATTTTTCTTACAAGATGGCGATAGATAGGTAGTGTTCTATCGCAAATCCGTAGCCACCATGCAATAGAAGTAGTTTAAAAACACATATGTCCCAGCCTTGAATTATATCCTAATTATATCATCCATTCAAGGACTTTTTCAAGGACGGCGTTTGTCCTTCGTTTTGGTCCTGCAGGCAACGGTACCGTTTCTCCGGAAAGCTTCCGATTATAATTAGCCCACAAGCCCTTCCGTGATTCTTTCTCAGCAGGCCATTTCCATTCAGACCTCGGATTTAAACCATGACTTCAAGGCAGCTGAGACATTCACCACCTAATAGTCCAAATGACAATAGCATATAGATCCATCTCCGCCTATCAAAGCCTTTTTCCGGCAACCAGTTCCGTACCTATATATACCCAAATAAACCAAACCAATTCAATAAAAACAAAGCCTCCTTGGGCTCACCGGTTGGTCTGACCGAAATAACAGTTGTCCACCATACGACGTTAGAGTTTTGCTCTTTTGATGTTTTTCGTTTTTATCGTTTTCTGTTTTTACCTTTGGTTCACGTCTCCGAGACCAGAATAGACATCTTCTTCCTCTTTGGCCGCGAACCATTCCATAAAACAGAAGCATATCTGTTTGGATTTCCTAGGCTGTCTCCTGTGGTTTCCGGACATTGCCGTTGGATGACTTGACTGTACTGTATCGATCGGAAGTTTCCGTCTCGTGGCGGACTTCAAGGTTGAGTGTCAGTTCCTTGAGCTGATCTTAGAGGCGGGAGCGAAATGAGGTCTTTAGGTAGGAATGAATGGCTTCCTTGGGACTCGACAGTTGAAAGCTGCTGAGATTTAATGTGCTATAGTATTTGAGTGGATGGAACCATGTTGTAATCGCCACGTTCTCCTCCAAGGTGGATTGCCGAATAGTTTCAGCCGTATCACTAACTCATTGCTTGAGAAACGTAATCCGATTAAAGCCATATTCTTATATTTTTGCACGAATCAGAACATAATAATAGCAGCTTCATGAAAAGAACAGGATAGCTTGTAATGCAGAATTGAATCAGGGGATACAGTCTTTGACACTAATTTGAACCATAAGGATAAATTAACATGAAATTCGAGCATTAAATACTAATAGCCGGTCTTCCTTCTTAGCTCGCAGCAACATGGTATACAAAGCTAATCAAAACATGTTTAAGACTCAACTATGAGAGAACGTAAGAGCCTGAGCTGGTTGCAGAAAGAGAAGTCGAAATTCGCTAGAGGTGGTTAATAACATTAACTTAACCGCGTAGTCTTCCATCTTACTTCTGTGTATATGTAGAAAATTCAAAACCTGTAAAAATCAAAATAAAAAATCTGTTTAAATAGCAATAGCGAGTGAAAACGCCAAAATCCATCCATCAAAGTGAGTCGCGGAGATCGCGGCTTACATAAGCTTTGAGCTAATTCCTAACGACCAAGCTCTCAAACCACCACCATCACCGACCGCAATCGCCTTCCACACGCAACCCCAAACCACCCATCCACCATGACGGTCACCGAAACCGTGAAAGCAGCCGTCGGGCTCTCTACCGAATCAAAAGCAGCTCGTAAGCTCCAATCGCCCCCTCCCAATTGCTCAAACCTTCAATTGCTAATCCAACTTGTGTATTTGTAGCAGCGACACGAGAAGCCATGTCCGAAGGCCGCCTTCCTATCGCCTACCGCGATAGCTGTGCGAACTTGCTTATCCCGCTGAACCGGTGTCGGTACGAGGAGTATTATCTGCCTTGGAAGTGTGAGGTAAGCGCTGTTTCCTATTACAGATTTGGATGATGGATATGGATCTGGAGGGAAGGGATCGGGATTGGGATTGAGCAAAGGCTGATAAATGGGCAGACAGAGAGACATAGCTATGAGAAATGCCAGTACGACGAGTTCAAGAAGAGGGTTGCGAAGATGGATGAGTTGAGGGCGGCGAAGGGTGGGGAGAGGAGTAACTAGGGCATTGATGGCGGGGACTGTGTACTTGTACATATGGACAGCAATACGTGTTGCATGCGAGCAAGAATAAGGGCATTCGATGATCGATTTGGTTGTGATACATTTTGGTTAGATGGGATATTGCTGTAGCAATTGACCCGGGGGTGTTCAAGTAAGAGCCTTCGACGGGGATACCTACGCGGATTACCCTCGATACTGTATATGGACACAGAGACTCTCACAGGTAGGCGCCGAAGACAATGGGAAATCCAGCAGTCTGGTATGACGATTCATACATGGTTTACATGGCTTGCATTGAAACCAGAAGTCTGGCATTACTGCAATTCACCCGTCAATCATCCCCATCCTAGAGCTAGGAGGGGGAAAATAGGATCACTTTAGTGTCACAAAGTTTTGTTGCATATCGCATTTTGAAGGCCAAGGTCCAGACCCCGATCGATACTTGACCGCCCGGTCTAGCCAAGGTAATGTTTCTCACTCAATGGTATTCAGACGTAAACTTATCTTGTGTAGTATCGATATTCTCTTCTGCCCGCTTTGTCTATGCAATCTCCATAGCATTTTTCTCTTGCTTTTATATTAGACACGAGGCTAGTGCCACTTATTCCTCGTATTCATGACAATCAAGAAAGGTACCGCCTCCCTGAAATTCTACGGAATTACTTTTTCTTAGGAGGTAAAGCCCGAAGAAAACTCTCCAGCATCCCAAGACCAGCTTTTACCCCATCTAGAACATGCACATACTTTGCATCATCCCCAAGTTCCTCTACCAAAGCCTCCTCAACAATAGTATCCAACCCTGCCATTCCAGCACACCCCAGAATAACAACCCGAACATCCTTGTCCTTCACCAATCTCTTCGTCGCCTCCATCATCTTCCTCCTAACCAGCTCCGGTGGTGCTGTATGCAACTCCCCAGCATTTAATCCTGTGGTTTCGACCCCTTTGAACCTCTTGCAGCTCTTCAAATCATCCACCTCTAGGAAGTCCTTCACTCCTTTCGATAGGGCTTTCTCCCAGTAAGTGCCCGTACTAACAATCCCGAACCTCGAATAACTGCTTCCGGATCCCAGCGGTAGCAAGGATAGAGATGTAGAAATGCTGGCTTCGAAGATACCGGTCACGTGTACATGAGGGGCAACTTTCTTTCTGAGCATGCCGACAAGAGGATGGACGCTGTAGCAGGCGACGAGGTAGGCGTCGTAATTAGAAAGTCTTAGTTCCAGATCTGCGAGAACGATCTTTGCAGTTTCGAGGGCATCATCTTCGTTGTTGATACTTGATGGGCCGGAAGGAGCTGTATAAGTCTCGATTTGGGATGAGGTAGTTCCATTCCGATTCATTTCCTTGAGTAAAGTAGACAAGCCATCCGTCATGGAAGTTGACGAATTAGGATTGATGAGGAGGATTCTCTTAGAAGTCATCTTCATGGTTAAATAAGATTACAGGTGTAGTTGTTCGCAAAGAAGCAATTTAGAGGTAGTAATTAATAAAATACAAAGTAAGTATAAGTAAGAAATAGTTAAAAATTACATACCTAGCTCTAGCTTACAAGTTGGTAGGGTTCTCACAGCCACCATGGAGGGGAAGCTACGGCGGGTGGAAAGGGCCATCAACGCAAGCGCACAACAGGCCCCCACTACGTATCAACAACCTCAAGCTTACCTTCAACATCCTTCGAGCTCTTCACCGTCTGCAAAGATGTCGGAACCTCCAATAGGTATTGTATATTGCTTCAATTCTCGAGTATACCTACTTACATCAATCCTACAGTCCTCGACGGAGGAACCGGCTTCCTCAAAGTTGGCTATGCCGCCCAAGTATGCGCCCCCCTCTTCCAGCAAGACGGCTACAGAGGCAGAGACTAATCTTAGTACTGCTGTAGAACTTCCCCGAATTCCAATACCCCTCCATCGTCGGACGCCCTATCCTGCGTTCTGAAGAAAAAGGCACCGATGGCCTAGTCATCAAAGACATAATGTGCGGTGACGAAGCAGCCGCCGCGCGCACCATGCTGCAGGTATCCTACCCCATGGAAAATGGCATCGTCAAGAAGTGGGACGACATGCAGCATCTCTGGGACTACACTTTCTACGAGAAGATGAAGGTTGACACTACCGGGCGCAAGATCTTGCTTACGGAGCCCCCGATGAATCCGCTGAAGAATAGGGAGCAGATGTGCGAAGTGATGTTTGAGAGGTATCAGTTTGGTGGTGTTTACGTTGCTATTCAAGCTGTATTGGCGCTTTATGCACAAGGTGGGTGTTTACATTGATTGGAAAGAGGATGTGGGCGGCAGCTGACGATTCATAGGTCTCAGCTCCGGTGTGGTCGTTGATTCCGGAGACGGAGTAACTCACATTGTCCCCGTCTATGAATCCGTCGTCCTCAACCACCTAACACGCCGGCTGGACGTCGCCGGCCGAGACGTAACCCGCAATCTCATCGCCCTCCTCCTGCGCCGCGGCTACGCCCTAAACAGAACCGCCGATTTTGAGACCGTGCGCCAGATCAAAGAGAAGCTCTGCTACGTCTCATACGACTTGGAATTAGATCAGAGACTGAGCGAGGATACGACTGTCTTGGTAGAGAGCTACACCCTACCCGACGGCCGAGTAATCCGAGTTGGTAGCGAGCGTTTCGAAGCCCCCGAATGTCTATTCCAACCCCACTTAGTTGATGTCGAACAACCAGGCATCGCCGAATTTCTCTTCAATACCATCCAAGCCGCCGACGTCGATGTGCGCTCCTCGCTCTTCAAAGCCATCGTCTTGTCCGGCGGTAGCAGCATGTACCCTGGCCTACCCTCACGATTAGAGAAGGAGCTAAAGCAGTTATGGCTTACGAAGGTACTGGGCGGAAATCCGGAACGGCTGAATAAGTTTAAGGTCCGCATTGAGGATCCACCCAGGAGGAGACATATGGTGTTCCTAGGAGGTGCGGTGTTGGCGAATATCATGGCGGATAAAGAGAGTATGTGGATAAGCAAAGCAGAGTGGGAAGAACAGGGTTCAAAGGCCCTTGAAAAACTTGGGCCTAGATAAGTTGTTGACCGTTTTATGACCAAAAAGACATTGCATGCTTGCTTTTAGCGGGACTTTTTGATCTCTGCTTAACCTGGAGTGGTGTTGTGACGTGAAGAGGCCCCAAGCAAATTGCAATATGCTATTCACAAGATCGATAAAAGACAAGTTTACTTGATTGAAGTCGCCAAGTGGCGTTTTATCGAAATAATATCTTTTATCTACCCAATTTATACTAGCGCAATAGCCCCTGATTCCACAATCCAGCCGAAACCCCACATCATCTCCTTGTCCTATTATCATTAGTACTGTAAGAACGTATATCCTTTTGGTGTTCTAGGGCTACGTCTTGCGTATGCTGCGAATACGTTTTGTATTGCGGGTGTTTTCTGAGGATATGATGGCCTGGGTGAGGTTGGTATTCATAGATAGAGGGTGCTTTTGTCAGGGACTAGGGAGGATTGTAAGATGTATTGTGGTATTGCTGTTCCATTTCATACCGCAAGTCAAAGAAGATTGGGGTTCTTGTATGCAAACGCAAATCAAGCTTTTGGGACTCAAGCCGTGATGACCATTTGAGGCCAAAAGCACGCACCTCAGGTTATACTTTATTCTATTACTCTTCATCTAGTTCGGGGTAATGTCTATAGATACCCAACCCATACTTCTGCCTCTTCTCACTCGCCAGGTAAGCCTTCATCTTCGGCCGCTCCTGCACAGCCCGGTACAGCCCAAACACCTTTCCGAACTTCCCCTCCTTCTCAATCCTGCCCGTAGCATTCGGAAACGCAAACTTGACGCCATCCAAACATTGGAACAACACCAAATCTGCATATGTCAAGTTGCCGCCATACAGCCACGACCCGCCCTTGCTTGCCTCCCCTTGTAGCACACGCTCGAAATAGCCTAGGAACTTAGGCAGGCGGTTGGCAATATAGTCTGCGGATCTCCGCTTCGCTTCCGTCTTCTGGTCCTCGTAGTATAAGCCCGTCGCAATGGGATGATGACAATCGTGCGGTTCGTTCGAGAGGCCGTCAAGCGCCGTCAACGCCAACTGGTTGACCTTGTAGATAGCGTCCTCGTCCTCCTCTGCCGGCGGCACAAGTCCAAGGCGCGGTGCGAGGTAGAGCAGAATGTTGGGGGTTTGGGATATGGTGAGATCGCCGTGTTTGAGGATGGGAGGGGCGCAGGGAGGGGGGTTGGATGCGTCGCCAAGGTTTTCGGGGTTTATTTGGGCGATGACGAGGTTGATGCCGTCTTTTTGATGAGCGATATCTGTGTATGAGGCGCCTGCTTCTTCGAGGGCAAGTCGTACGTGCTCTCCGCGTCCTGGCAGGCCCGGCCAGTAGATGAGTTCGTAGGGCACATCTTTGGTGCTCTTTTGGCGCTTGGCGGCTGGTGCTGATGCCATTGTAGTTAATTGGAAGGATGAGGGTCTTGTAGTGACGATTGCTCGTTTTAGCAGTTGTATGGAGGCAGCGTGGGATCTTGCAATGATGGTCATGGAGGATGGGGGAACGTGGACGTTGATGTTTGGTGCTAGTGGTGGGGATGCATGTCTCGGAAGCGGCAACCCCTCACCTAACCGAGCCCCTGAATGTGGAGTGGCGTGGATGATTGAGGTATTACAAGTAGGTAGGTATGATCTGGTCTCTAGCATACGACGAGTAAGAAGAACCCGCACGAAAGCACGATAACGCCCAAAACTACTCGCATTCCTCCTCCCCTCGGAAAAAACAAAATTCCCTAAGAGAATGTCAAATTTCTGCACCCTTTGTCCTATCTTTGTTCGAGCTTAAAAGGATCAACAGAAAGCGGAAGCGATTAAAAAAGTTGAATATAAAGACAGTAAAATAAACTAAAACCAAGGTCGTTACAGTCGGCTTCGAAATTGGCATCCTCTTTGCAAATTCTTTGTCTATTTGAGCCACGATGCCATACGGTTAGCTGTTTCTTTGTCATTATGTTTCGGCCTGACAGAATGGCCGGCTGCTTTCACGAATCCGATTGTCATCAATTTATTGCCTAAGGATAGAATACTAGAAGGCAATCAAATTAAAGTCTCAAGGAATTCAGCAGCCAGTCTACTGCACTGCCAGCATCTGCCAGCATCTACGCGAGCATCCTTGCAGCAGAAATATTGATTCACACAGGCAACATGTCTTATATGGATTCTCACTATTGGGAATAGGAGTTGGTCCGATATTTGGGCGTTGTTCACAGACGATGCATCGTAGAGATGGTGTAAGTTTAGATTGACGAGGGAGGTATAACAGTACATCACTAACAAAATTCAGGTTTTTATATCAATTTGCCTCCTGGTGCGGGAACAATAGTAGTTAGTACTACTAAAGACTGTTCAATGACTGAGCAGTTATTAGAACAATTTAAGCCATATCTGGCAGTGGAACATCCTCCTTAGCAGGAAATGGGGTTATGTCGATATAGCTCGGCATGGACAATGGTTCCTCAAATCTCTTTGCCCTCCACCGATTGCTCGACGTAATCAAACCCCGACAGCCACCCAAAAGCCGAAACCACTTCATCAGAAATCCTGGTGTAGCCTCCCAACTCTCAGGATCACACGGCTCACCCCAAACAATTAGCCCATTTCTGTTCGCCGTGATCTCGTCATCAAACTCTGCGCTAATATCGCATTTCCTCATCTCCAACGCTGAGGACAATGTGAAATCTTGAAGGCGGCGAGAAAACAATAAGTTATTATTTCCAATCAAGTCTCCAAAGAGGTCATTGCAGAGGTCTAGATGGTCGAATTCTGCCTCGTATCGAATGAGATTGTCCCTTGAATTCGGAAAGGGGAATACGTTGAACCATGCTGAATGCGAGATATTCATCTGCACTTCGGTCGGCTGCAGTGCTATTGGGAGCGGCTTATCGGTCCGAGGGAGGATGATGGTGTAGCTGTCGCAAAGATTAATTTGCTGCGGCATAACTTTCACTGGATTCTTCTTGTAGATAACCGCGTTGGATTTTAGGGCTTCCTTGAGTTCAGTGATTGCTCGGTAGACGTTTAGGTGTATGAGTCGGAGAAGATGATCAGAAGAGAGTGGGAAGTAGGTTGAGAGTGGCACATATCGGGTTGATGGCGACACTCCAGAGGTAATGATCCGTCCCCAATCACCTGAACTTATATTGGAAAACGACCATCCTGGGCTGCGTGTTTCTTGAGAAGAGTAAAGAAACAAGTTTTCGATAGGAGTGTTATTGGGTCGTAAATATGGAGAGCTAGGCGCCAACTGCCCTTCTAGAAGTATCTGACTATCATGCAACTCCGGTCCAGCTGCACGATTGACTTTCCCTGTTTGGTTTCCTTCCAGTGTTGTGCTGCTTTCTACAATTGTTTTTTCACGGAGCTAAGGACCTCGGATAGGGATATCGGAAACCCTAAAACGCTCAACACGAAATGCGCATTTCTTTATATCTTGTTTGGCGTGTTTTCTTCGATATGTGCGTTGACTTAATCGATTCTGAATCCTCTTTCTCTCCTCCTTCTCCGTTACCTTCGTCCAGTCATCGTCCGCTTTCCACAAATCTGGATGATCCCTGCTGGCGGACCGAGAACTCTCTATGATAAAGCTACATGGGTTCGCAAGGCTTATTGAAATTTCCAGATTGAGAAGAAATAATAATTATGTTAAAAGGTCGACGAAGAGGATGGGGATGGGGATGATCTATGATATGAAGTTCGCTTTATAATTAACGTAAATTAGTGGATTATGGAAATTTCCTTTCTCAGATTAGCGTAGAAGCTTATATCGCGGATGCCAGCAGAAGTTTGAACAGGAGCATAGGATTTCAGCCAATCACAGACGCATAATTGTTTACTTTTCCTAAAGAGGAAAGTATCATAAGCTGAAGTCTGTATGCCTTGCTATACGTCGTATCCATATTGCATTATATGATATCACGGAACAAGGAAAATGCTCCCTCAATACAACAGAACCAACCATGAGGGCAAACAAATATTAGAATATAAGTATAGACCAGAACCTTCTCCGAAGCAGTTTTCGGTTTCACTTTCCATCCACGGCAAAGCCTTTTGCATTGATCAACACTACTTTCTGCACTAAAATATTGCCTTCACGATCTTTTCTCAATAGCCGAGTACATCGAACTTCAAAGTCGAAGATGTGGAGCGTCTCTTCTCTCCCATCCCTCAAGGGCAAGATATTTATCGTGACCGGAGAAAACACCGGCATCGGCTAAAGGCGCATACGTATACATGGGCGCCCGCTCTTCCAGAAAAGTCACCGCAGCCATCTCCAAGATCAAAGAAACGCACCCCGAGGCGGACGTTCAGGTTCTCCTAATGGACCACACAATTCTCAGCACCGTTGTTTCAGCAGCGAAAAGCTTCTCGGTCCAAGAACCAAAGCTACATGGGCTGATTCTAAACGCCGGTATAGTGGCTGTCCCGTATGAGATCACACCCGATGGTTTTGAAATTCAGATGCAGGTTAACTATATCGCGCACTGGTTGCTGACATACCATCTTCTTCCCATCCTGTTGTCGACGTCGTTGAAAGATGGCGAGGGGTCGGCAAGAGTCGTTCCCGTGACGAGCGAAGGCCATCGACGACCCTGGACCGTAACGAAAATCCCATATGATGAGACAGAAATCAAAGGGTTTGGGCGTTGGGGACTGTATGGAGTAAGTAAGCTTGCGGACATTCTACTTGCAAAACCTCTGCACGCTTCATATGGGCCTGGATCATTAAACTCGATGCAAGGGATGGGGGAGATTTGGGCTGCTGCAGCAAATCCCGGATTCATTGATACGCAGCTGAACGAGAAAAACCGAGATAGTGTGGGCTGGAAATTGAAGTGGATTCATAGCTTCATCCGGGCTACCGGGGTGGTGCGGCCTTGCGATGAGGGGTGTGTTAGTAGCTTATTTGTGGCTGCTAGTCCGCAGTTTAAGAAGGAGATGAGTGGGTTGTATTTCAGCGAGAAGGCCAACATAACGAAGCCAAGTCCGGCAGCGATGAGCGAAGAAGAGAGAGTGAAGTTGGAGGCATGGACGCAAGAGGTGATGAAGAAAGGTGGGTGGATTTAGGACTAGCACTGTGTATGAATCAGGTCTATAGGCAAGTGGGTGGCGCAGAGGGTGTAGTACTTCGTTTCGTCTTGGGTCATTTAGACGAAAAGAATGAATAGAAGGGAACTGGTGAACCTACTTCGGGCGATGGACCAATTGGCAGTGAATTTGAGGAAAGGGTTGCTCAATTTAGGGATGGGAGATAATTTCTGGTAGGCTTGAGAAGCTTTGGATGGAGGAAGTTTCCGATGAGTATAATAGGAAGTTAACAGAAAAGCTAAGTCTATATTGGTAAAAGGGTTAGCGTGTTCGTTCAAGTCACTCTCCAACTGCGATTTGGTGCGTCTTGCCGCGTTCGTGGTTTAAGAAATGTTTGTAGCATCATGCGTGCTTCTAAGGAATAGCTATATTCTTTATTTTCACTTGAACTTCGACAAAGGTGTGGCTACAGGGAGTCATAAGCCAGCCATTAATAAGCCTAGGACTCTGAGATTGGGTTAATTTGCATGGAAGAAGTCATTAAAGCAACTATATTCGAGGTCTGAAACCTCCCTAGTAGAGCGTCAAGTAATTTCAAAGGCAAAAACCACGGTTCAGCTATATTAGTTTCACCCTCAAGCGCCAGAGACTACATCCGATGTGGTAGTAGTAGAGTTAAATACTAAAGTCAGTCCTTAACATTATAAATAGAGCAGTGCGGCTTAAGAAAGGGTACCAAAGAGTATAATGATTATTATCTATCAGTGGTAGATTATTCTAGCGGTTTCATTTCACACCTTAGTCAGCTACTTAAACTAGGAGAATATCTCATAGAGATCGCTTTAGTCTTATTCATTAAAATTTTATATAGGAGTAGTCCTAAGATAACCTTGAATTAGTGAATTGATCAAAGTGGTGCGCAGTAAAATGTTTTTATACTACCCACCAATATAAAAGAGCAAGCAAAGTCCCATTCAACCATAACAAAAACGCCAGCAGAGCCAGATCGATATGTCTCAAGAATCACGCCCAAGTCCTTACCCCCCGTCCCCCCCTACCAACTAGATCTCCAGACAATCCTATCAGATCCATGCGTCCTATTCAAGCAGGAACCGTCAAAACCAAGCCGAAAAGCTACTCAGCAGCCCAAATACAAGAAAGTGCAAATAGGATCACAGAAGCATTCACATATATCTCGCCGCAGAGCGCAAAGAATGCGTTGCTCTATTCTGGGGGACATCTCCCCGATGCTATCAGGCTTCTTCTCAGCCACAGAGACAAAGGTGGAAGGTTCGACGTGCCAGATGATAGAGCCCCAGTTGTCAAACGCGTCAAAGGCAAGGGCCGAAAGGAAGTTATCGACTCAACAAGTGACAACTCTCCAAGTCTTCCGCTAGCGAAACAAACCTCTACGGGGGAAGTTATCGACCTGACAAGTGATGGATCCCCAAGTCCACCAAAGTTCCCACGAGCAAGAGCTGGAGAACTAGAAACATTCACCCGCCCGGTACCCAACAAACCCCTATTTCCAAGTCATCTTCCGCGAGTAAGAGTCAAAGGGATGGAAACAGTCACCCTACCGGCACCTCGCACGCCTTTGTCCCCAAGTCCTCAGATACCTAGAAGTGAAATCTCATACGACACTATCGACATGACAACTCCAAGCCCTCCGGAAAAACAAGGAAAGAGCCCGGAGAAAGTTTACGACTCAAACAGCAAAAGACCTTCATTTCCGACAGCAACGAAAGACAAATATCATGTAGATACGGGATTCAGATCACCAACCCTCCACATTCAAAAAGGCCCTGAACCCGAGGCAAATAATATTACCGACAAATGCATGCGCGTATTGCTATCAGCATCAGATACATATTCCGCGGCAGCCAACAAGGCAGCACTGGACCGGATCAGGGAGCAAGATCTGCAGCTGAGAAAAATCATGGGAACGAAGAGCAGCCCGCGAGATGGTGTGGAAACGATCTTGTGTAAATGTGTGGAGCGCTTGGAAGATGAGTCCAAGACTCTGCTGAGGGAAGATATGCAGAGACTTGTTCACTGTATTACGAAAGTTGCGGAAGTGAAAATCCTGAAGGGGAGTGCGAAGCAGGAGGCCAATCATTGGAAAGTGTTGCCGCTCCCGGTTAGACAGTCAGAGCTGTATGGAATTATTGATGAGGAGTATCTGAGTCGTGATGGAGAAGCAGCTTTGACAAACTTCATGGAAATGTGGGGAAAGAAGTCTAACATCCATCGCCTGACTTTGGGGTCCGTGGTAGCTCTTGCTAAAGATGTTGCTAGGGTCACAAAAGCACTTCATCAGATTTTGATTCTAGATGTGGAGTATACGCATATGGAGGCAAGAGAAAATGATAGGTGGGCTGGTTTGTTACAGGACTAGAATATATGGTACTTGAGTTGTAACAATAAAGTTTGACTATGTCATATGTTGAATGATCATTTTTGGATAGCATTTTAAGGTTTCTTTTTTGCGTATATGCTACATAAAGATGGTGTGCAACTACCTAGGTAGGTAGTGACTGACATAAAGCAGTCGGCGTCTTAAAAAGAAGTGATCAAGCCTGAGCTGTCCGGTCTATTTACCGGAGAAGCCACAATATCAACGTTGTGGTCTTTGGAATGAAAGACCGCAAGGTCTAGAAGAATGATGTAGAAGCAATAGGCATATCTATTGACAATTATTTACCCAGCTTGTATTCCTAAACGCTCAGCAAGAGTAACCAACGTATACTCGTCCTCTTCAATCCATATGCCCAGAATGTTTCTCTCTCGTAACTCTGGATTTTCTCCTTCTCCAACGGTCTATCTAGATATATTGTTCAAAATCCGCGCGCTTTCGCACCTTTCAAATTATTTAGATGCGCGACCACAAGCCCACACTCCTCGGGCTTTTCGCCCATCTTCTCTCCCGTTCCGAGATATACCTTGGGGTTCGGCTTAAAGGATCAGAAGGAGAATTTTAAACGACACATCCTTCAGCTGCTAACCTCGTGTAGCATCAAAGTATTCAAGAGACACGAAAACGAGCTATACCGGCGTATACCTTTGAATTCTTTCCCGAGCTTCCAGCTGAGATTCAACTCAAAATTTGGACCTTGGCATCACTTACTGAACACCCGCAAACCTATCGTTTTGCCCATATTGCAAGAGTAGCCTGAAGCTACGATGAATATGATGAAGCAGGCGGATCAGAATACAGTGTTTGGAGGACCGACTCTGAAGCTGATGACTTTGACTGATTGCATCCTCGCAAGTCTTAGGGCTTGAAGAACTTGTGGAAGGAAAGGTGATCTGCGTGAAGCGTGTACTGTAGGAGGTGAAGTTGAGTTGAGGTTGGAATGAGGTTAAACGCGTCTGCACGGACCAGATGCTGATATCGGCTCTCACTTCCCTACGGAGTAGTAGAGGTCGAGGCAATAGACAATGACTTACCGTTCCCTAAATAAAATCAAACACCGTGGCTTATGGAGCTGTATGTAGCCGTACTTTCCGGGATGAAATATACAGAAAGAGCGACGCGCATGTCACTTTATTAGACAAGGCAAGTGCGATCATGGAATGACTCCAACCATCAGGTAACTTTTCAATCAATCGCTCACGAACTCCACGGCTAACAAACAGAATATGATATAGAGGAGTCTCTCGCAGATGTCGGAACTGTCTTCCTACGTGTACCAGATAATGACACTTATTTACAAGGTGCTTGCAAGAGGTTGTATATTCGAACCGGTAGCTTGAGAAAAGGAACTTTGCCGCCTCCAGTTTATACCCTCTGGTACTTGTTGGCCTTGTCTCTACCATTTCACTCACACTCCTGCTGGGCCCCCTGACCAACTATTGCGCTTGCTCCAACGTCCGTTCCATTGCTTGCCTGCGGCCTGAGCTCCATCATAACGTGATTCGAATCTTGGTCTGGGCTGCTGATATCTTCCTCCGTCTTGATAGTCCCCCCTCGGCGATCTCGATCTATATCTCTGCCTATCGCCATCTCCACCTCGCGGCTGGTCGTATCTTGGTCGGTAAGAGTCTCCTATCTGCAGCCCGTAGGGTCCGTAATACGTGAGATCTGATCCTTGCCGACGAGATCCTCGGTCTCTCAATTCACCCTTGTCGTGTGCTCTGGCGCGAGATGGACTCCTTGATTGATGACCAGATCCTCCGGCATCAACCTTTCGGGCGCCTTGTGCTTCAGGTGATTTGACTGCATTGTCTTCTGCTTCTTCCATCGGTTTCTTTTGGGGTGCTGGCATGGGGAACTCTTCTGGCAGAACTAGTCTTGTTAGCTGTCTGCCTTGTATTGTCGCATTTGCACTTACAGAATTTGTCCCAAATGAGCTTGTCGATCTTCCATGCTTGCTCGTATCTGCTCAAGTCGTCTCCGTGAACTTCGTATACGTAGACATCGGTAGTAGCCTCCGCAAGTTGTGCTTCGAATTGGTCGAGGTCGATATCGCTGTGCAAAGCTCTGCTTTTGATCATGGGCATAACAGACATGTAGAGCCCGAAGTTCGGATCGACTGTGCTCGGTTGAGACATTTCGAAAGAGGTTGAACAGGTCGTAGTACAAGTAGGTAGTTCATACGAAAGAAAAAATGGATATACTTGATGTCGTCGAGTGAATCATTTTCCCTGCTAGTTCTTAGGTGGTATTCACAAAACGCGAGAGATATAATAACCGTCATGTGCTGGCAGAATTTGTTCCAACTTTGCAAATTGCAACAGAAAATACCCCTTTCCCGAAATTGAATTGATTTCCATTATGTTTCCCTCCCGAATAGGAATTTCTTAGGAATCTCTAGGCTTTGCTTTTAGTCAGATAAGGCCTTTTGCTATTCTTTTTGATATGGGTAATGATTTAATCCTGAGTAAATGTTTACTCTCGCTTAGCGAGATTTTCTTTCATCCCCCCTTTACCGCCCACCCAAAAGGGAAACTGGTCACAGGGCAAGCAACTTTACACTCAACTTCTATCGATAGTTTGCAGCAGTTTTTTTTTTTTTGAATAGGACATGCATTCGTTTGTTTGATAGGTCGTTGATTTGGTCCCCTTTCAAAAAGAATCAAATCACCTACCTATCAACACACAGTTCAAATCTCCAGCTTTGAGCCACATCTTGATACACAACACCAAAAATCCCATGTTTCTCAAAACTCAATATCCAACTTCTCCTTCTGGTCAAAATCATAGGCATTACCATACGCACCCTTCAAATATGTATCCAATATCTCCTGTTCAGGTTTAAGTCGGCCTTGAATCTGAAGCCCACCATCGCTTTCGAGCTGCGGCCGAAGCTCCTCTGAGAAAGTAATCTCCATAGCATTCCTAGCACTATCAGCATACTGTACTGTAATCCAGAGAACCATTATAAAAAAAAAAATCGCTCACCTGAACCAGGGCGCGAAATGAATCATCGCAAGCATGACTCTTGTCTGCTCCGTGAAGTTCGGCTTCCCCGCATGCCATAACCGCAAATCCCGCACGACAATCGAGCCTTTCCTGACGACAGGTTGTGAGGATTGCCGCTCTTGCGCTCGTGCTGCAAGCACATCTTTCCTGATGCGACCGCTCGCTCTCTCGCCGTGCTCGCCTTCTTGAACATGTTTGCCTGAGTTCAGATGCGACCCTAGCCAGACTTCTGTGGTGCCGTTGTCTAGCGTCATCTCGACCAGTGGGATATTTATAACTAGCGCGAATGGAGATCGTGGGTGTTCGAAGTCGGCGTCTGAATGGACGGGTTGCGATTGGGGTTCTGAGTCGGGAGCTGGTGGGAGTGCGCTGTTGCCGGATATGAAGGATAGCCTGGGGCGAGGGCCCAGAAGGGACGAAGTGGTTTGGGTGGCGAGGGGGTTGAGGAAGATGTTTGGGTCGAAGTACCTTTTCACCAATGGAGGGTTTTGCTGGATGTTCCTTTTTCACGTTAGTGCATGTTCTTTTCAAGACCGTTAGGTGGGAAGAACCCTTTATTGTAGTTGAAGGGCATTGAGTCACCGGCTGATTGTAGGAAGAGAGCATCTGCAACCATTTTCTCATTCAAGAAGTCAAGCTTGTCATGTGGGATTGCATTTTCGAGGGCTACGATCCCGTCGTGGTGAAGTGCACGTGTTGCGAGTTCAAGGCTCCTCCATGACAAGATCCCAGAGCTCCTCTCCTCCGGTGTTACAATGACGGCTTTTGGAAGTGACGAAAATCGTCTCACTGAACGTGAAATTTGCCGGGGAGCCTGTGCTCTTATGCTTGATTTGGGGATTCGAGAGAACATTCTGAAGTAGCTGTTTTGTGACTTAAGTTGAGATGGGTGAATATGACAACGTAGCTTTATATTCTTTATTTTCAAAAGTGGCATTGCCTTCTCTGGTATACACTAACTACACGAGCTACACATGACATGTATATAGTCCCGAATCCCACTGTCGTCTACCGACCCCGCCAATCTCACCTCTCCAACCCACCCCGCACTTTTTCCCCGGCCCGACTTCAATCCTGCCTGCCAACTAACCAATACCTGAGTCACCACTGTCGAATTATCATATGAATAGTACGACCCATAGCCCAGAGAAGATATCCTCATATGTAGCCATTAGTATGCTACAAGCACATAGCAAAATACATGCGTAGTAATGAAAAGCGTATTCTTCAAATAAACTCTAGCTAGTTTCGTAAAATTCATGTCTCCTTAGCATGGCTTCCTTGCCCAAGACTTCCTGCAACTGCAAGTAAGACTTTCTCAACCTTCTTCCAATCCTCATCCTCCGAGCCTTTATAAGCAATCATCTCGTTATGCGTCTTACTCGCGTGTATTACATCTTCTCTCCCCGGTTCAGGCCGGTTCTATACATCGCATTAGCCTCTTCGTCCCGTTGGAACTAGCAAGATCTAGGTACTCACCCGCTCATCAACTCCCCCACTCGTCTCCAGGAACCACCACACCTTGAACCGTCCCTCTTGACACAGTTCGGCAAACCGACTCTGACTCTCTCCCAACCACCTTACCTCTCTCTGCATTTTCTTGATCTCCTCGCTCACGCCCACATGGTCATCCTCTCCCGCCGTCGCAAGTGCCATATTCTTCCACGGCGCACTATTCCTCGGAACCCCAAAAAACAACACCGCTCTCGTCCTCTCCAAAAGCCCCTGATCCGAATACAGAATCCCCTTTAGCAACGGCCCACCGAAACTATGCGCTAGCCATACCAAATCCCCGTTTGGGTTTCCTGCGCTTCTAGTCACCTGCTCAATAGCGAACCGCGCGATTTCTTCCGTTTCAATCCTATCTTCGTCTTCTTTGCTGTATCCGAAACTTAGCACTCGTATTTGAGTTGCTGGCTCGAAGATGCCTGGCAGTAGATCGCGCAGCCAGAAACAGGATGTGTCTTCGTCTGTCCAGCATTCTGTCACGTGGCCGCCATGGCCGTGAATTGCGACGAGACTAGCATGATATATTAGTTGCTAGTGTGTGAGATATAGGGGATGCAATGCGATGCGACGCGATGCTTACGTGAGAGTGGGATTAGGAGACGAGTAGATTTCATGAAGTGCAAGATTGTTCTGAGTCTTTTCAGGTTTCGGGGGCTGAGATTCGGGTTTTCCTTGGCGAGCTTTGGGGGTGAGGTGGTGTAGAAATTTCTTCATGATTGTTGATGGGAGAAGGTGCTTGCAGATAGAGAAGAGGTGCTAGAAAAAGGATGGACTTGTGAAAAGTGGGGGAAGGGATTCCTGGAAGCTCCGACTATTAGGCAGCAGCCTTGTTTGCGGCGCATTGTATTGTCAACGTTGTCTACCTGGCCTGGGTATTCCATATCGCATGCACCATTCTATCACAGTAACAGTAACAGTAAATTTAAAGAAAGCAGATAAGAAAACTGTTTTTGATATGTCAATCCGCAGTGGACACTACCTTGGTTGAGCTGCCATATAGAGAAGCGGTTCGTTCAAACATGGCAACGAGAACTAGAGAAACAGGTACGATCATGAAGAGGCTCTCTTCAAAAAGTAAAGGCAAGTCAAACGACCTCGAGCGGGACGGCCAAAGCTTCTAGCTGGGGGTCATCTGTATATAGAATTGTTCATGCTTGAAAGTAAAGAATGAAGTGTTAGTTCAAAGTGGAGCAACGACGGGAATCGAAGCAATTGGGCTTTGCTTTTGACGAAGGCGGTTATTGATGCCTGAACTTCGTCTTCTAGCTATCTATGTTACAATTGCGCTCGAGTTAGGGGATCGTTAGAGCCTGCCGCATCTTCAAACCCAGGTGCCGGTGGTGAATTGATGTTTGGATCATCAGGATGCACGAAATGACGTGGATTGTAAGCTTTAAGAAACCAAATTCAAACTATAACAACATACAGAGCAGAACGGAGAAGCGAAGCAGGAAATTCTGACAACAGGCATAACGTGAACGTAAGCGGATTATATCTTGGCCTCCAACTTGCGTTTCTGCGAAGGGATCCAATAACGTAGATCACAGACAACCGCTGGGAGGAGGATTCTCAAATCAAATGAACATATAGTAGAACGGTGAGAGTGTGTTAGCGGAGAGGAGAACTGTAAAAAAAAGAGAGATTGAAGAAGAGTTAGACAATGACTGACTAGTAATCTTAGCGCGACCCCACTCCACGTGATCATCTTCTTATCTTCCCTAATATTTGTTTGTGAGGCGCACCTTTACCTTCTTTGATATAGCCCATCTTGGGTTGTTCCACTCTCAATGTCAGTGGACTCATTTGTACCATCTCTATGTCTACTCACCCGCCGGTAGAAGGCAACCAGAATGCCTCGGCGCCTAAAATTCCAGCTAATGGATGGACGAGGAAAGACCGCCCCTGCGACGCGTGTAGGAGACGCAAAAGTAGATGTATTATGCCCCAGGACTCGGAAACTTGTATACTATGTCAATCTCGCGCAGAGCAATGTACTTTTGTTCAAAGTCCTCAGAGAAGAAAGAGGCGGAAACTTGACGAGGATGAAAAAAATGCAGATGGGATGAAACTAGGGTATGATTAGACATGTACATTATTGACTTTACGGCTAACTATTTGATATAGATCTCTAGAGTCAGAGAGAAGCAGTAGGGCTCTGACTCGTCTAAAACTTCCTGGCTGACCTCTAAGATATCTACGCCAAACCTCCAATCAACGATTACAGAGCCCTGCCTGGCCCTTCGCTCTTGAAGCAAACACTGGGCCTCCAGAACCGGCAGCATAGCCAATATCTTGGTCAAACTACTGAGTATGATACTCGTCTCATCAACCTCTCGCCATTCAATGGACGAGGAGAGTACGTCAGCATGCCAGGAACACTTCGACGTGTCAGTCCAAAGACTCACTTCATCATGAAATCCGAAAGTCAAGCAGAAGTGGATGACGAGCTCGCGAATCTTGATCTCGTAGAGAGCATCGTTCAGCCACATGGTCAGGCTCTAGTTGACTTGTACTTTCGGATTGTCCACCCAAGTTTCCCGATCATGCATAAGAAGGTGTTCCTTGAGAAATATGATCGAACGTATCGGGAGTTCACGCCACCTGTTTTAGCTGCCGTCTATATATTAGCGCTAAATTGGTGGTCTTATAGTCCTAATCTTGTTAATCTTCCCAAGCCAGATGTCCTGAAGTTGGAGAAACTCGCTCCCAAGATGATGAGTGATGTCCTGAATCGACCGAAGCTTTCAACTGTGCAAGCCGGATTGTTGCTTCTTCAGCGTCCTGATGGTGACTCATGGGCTCTCACAGGTCAACTTATCGCGGTGGCACAGAATTTAGGACTTCACCTTGACTGTTCCGGGTGGAAGATTCCCGAATGGGAGAGGAGTTTAAGAAAGCGACTAGCCTGGGCACTTTACATGCAAGATAGGTGGGGAGCATTGGTCCATGGTCGACCGCTACTGATCCATGAGGACAACTGGTCCGTGAAGCCGCTTGAGGAGAGGGATTTCCCTGAGACTGCCGAGGATGACGATGAGGAAGAAGGAAGTTCAGAGATTGAAAAGGGGAGACTGACGTTCGTCCATATGATTTCTCTGACTGAAATCCTATCTAGTATTTTGAGAACATTCTTCACTTTAAGCTCCATGGCTGCCTTGGAGAGTGAGCGTGAAAATGCGACCACGGTAACATTGGAAAAGGCAAAGCCAATCCAGCTGAGATTGAAGGATTGGTATTCGAAACTGCCTCCAAGTCTGGCAGTAGGGGACACGAAAGCAAGGAAACTCTCTTCAACTGGTAAGCATCTCCTTTGACTAATGTTCTGAGTATTGACCAGCCAAGGATCATTACATCTTGCATACTTTGCGGCAGAAGTGACCCTACACCGAGCAATAATCCGCTTCGACACTAGCAATACCGACGAGAACCTCCGATCCATCACTCGAGCTGCTGCAAAGATGCGTTTCATTTCTGCCATCGACCTCGTCAATAAACTCGAGCCCGCACACCTCCAGAGCTTCTGGTACTTTGCTTCCAAAGTCAACCTCGCAATTATCGCGACATTCGGGAGTCTGCTGTGGGCTACAAGCCAAAGCACAGATGAAGCTGATTTCTACCGATCTAAGCTCGCAGAATATCGGTGGACATTGAGAGTGAGCAGTAAGGGTGCCGAGTTCATGAAGTTTACAGTTGGGATGCTAGATGCCAGCACAGTCTTTATGAAAGACGGTAGCAAAATCGCGACGCCGAAGACCATAAAGCCCGATACTGCTCAAGATAAAAAAGAGGAGCAACTCATTTCATCAATGGATAAGAGCCAACAAATATCGGATCCTACAGCTACTGGAATGAACCAAGTGTCTCCGAGCACTGGGTACTCGACCGAATCTGTAGGAGTCTACGAAGCCGACTTTGACGCCTCTATTCTCGCGCAAGATATCCGACCAACTTGGTCAGATTTTGCAGAGAACGTGAACTTCACAGCTGGGGATATACAGGATTGGAATCTGGATCAACTGTATAACTTTGAGGATGTGCAAGGGGTTGATCCGCTGCTTGCGAACCGGAGGTTCATTCAGGAGTATGATGAGAGGGGAAACAACTTTGGTGGTTTCTGAGCTCATCTCGGAACATTGCGGTCAAGACACATAATTTATTTCCCCACCCAACTTGAGCCACTCGAATGAATTAGTCCCAAGTCTTATGAAGCCTGAACCAGAGACATGCGTGGAAGGGATATAATGGAGAAAGTTAGAAGGAACAGATTCAAAGCTGGCCGTTTGTCCAACTTGTGAATTCGACCAAGCAAAATCGGTGCATCAGTATCTCGTTGCATTTCAATTCAGCTCTCTAAACTTTTCCTAGCCTTTTCAACGTCGACCCAGAATCCGTGTTTCAATCTAAAAGAGAGACCGAACATCAAAACCCGTATGTGCTGCCGGAGAATGGCCTTCCAAGACTCCCGAGAGTGGTGTAACTTCTCATCCTTATCATAACTTTTGCATACCTCCAGAAACTTCTTGGGGTCATCAGTTATCACGCCATCCACTTCTTGCCTAATGCTCCATTTCATCCACGATTCCTCATTAACCGTCCATAGCAGTATCGAGCGGTCAGCCTTCTTCTTCTTCACGTCCCGAAGTAAAGCATTTCCACGTGGCCCTACTATCAACATTTGAAACATATTAATGCCAACGCCAGGAACCTTGAGGAACTGCCGCGCATAATCGGCGCTGAATCCGTTGTGCGTTATAGGATATCCCGGTAGATATTTCATGCACAAGGGGAGGTATTTCGCCTATCGATATTAGATGAGAAGAAACGTAGGTAGGGTATGGAAACTTACCGCCCAGCATCCCACTAATATGCGTTCATTCCAAGGGCGTGATGACTTGACGTCTGCCAATGTAGCTGCAACCGACCTGAAAAGATCATCGGCGTAATTGTCAACCTTGGTCTGCGCGGGTTTATTACCCATTATGACTTCCACCAGGCTCGGCAAAAGAATCTTGACGTCTAGCAATATCCAAATGTCTTCAAGACCTGGCGTTGTTAAATACTCCAAAAGATCTATCAATTTAGGCATTGGTTGGTGTGGTGTTTTCAAGGTGCGCAGCGTTTTGATATAATCCCAGTTGCAGTCTATAAGCTTCTCATCTTTTCCAAAACACCGTTTGAGAGTAGCATCCTGGATTTAATAAGCTTTGCTCGGATTTTGGAGCAGTTCGATGGAGGGGTTGGGATCTTACGTGGGAAAGAAGAACCACGCCGTCTTTAGACAGATGTAAATCGGTCTCGATGCCGTGCGCCCCTATTTCTACTGCTCCCTTAAACGCGCTCATTGTGTTTTCTGGGTTTGTGGCTTTATATCCTCGGTGGGCAATAGTTTGGGGACGTCTCCCATACGGAGTATCTTTTGCGAATGTAAAAGCAGCTTGGACATTTATTAGTTGGACTGGAAGGAGAAATCGCGGCCTGTCGAGACATACACAGTGGAGTTTCCATCTTCCTCTCTAATAAGGGCACAGATTCAGCCATTTTCACGGTACCGTATGTGTGTTGTGGCACTTGACTTCGGAATTGACTTGGGAGCCTCAAAAGACAAGCTTGGATAGTTGTGTTAGACGATGGTAGTTGGAAATAGGTAGATATATAAAAGGTGGAAACAAAGCTTGGACCTGGGAACAACGGGAAACAAAGGGTGTGGCTGCAGTAAGTCGGCCCCACCTAGCAGTACGGAGTATATATTATTAACCATGCAGCGCACCGGCGTTAGATGTTACATCCGCTGCAAGACTTAGGTAGCTGCGACATCAAAAACACAATTATCAACAAATTCGCCTTAATTCTAGTATAAAAGCGTGGTATCTGATTTACCCAGTTATATGCTATTGATATAACCGGGAAATCATTGATACTAGGGGGAGTCAGCTTATGTAAAACGCCCCTGAATCTCAACTTCAACGTCCAAGTCACGAGAACTGCTACCATCCCATGCAAACTATCCTCCGACCATTCTTCTCGAGTCAGCGCTCGCTCACCCGTGCTCAACGTTTTCCTAAATCCGAGACACCAAGATATCGAGCCATGAGTTCAGGCAGTGGAGGTGTTGCCGCCGCCCAATATGTCGTGACTGTCAATGCGCCAGCCGCGTTGGGTGCGGTGCCGGATAACGTGAATGAGAAGAGCCATTGGCTGAGAGATCAGGAAGGCAAAGGGGAACCGAAGGGTTTTGTAAATCCATGGGAGAGTTCTCATGATTTCTCTTTCCCCGAAATATTCAAGGCCATGGTCCAGTGAGTGCATCTCTGGCTTCATTTTCGTGAGCTATAGGGCTTCTGCTTTGCCAGCAGTGTCAGGCAGCGGTGTTAAGAGGCAAGGACCCGAATGGCTGATATGAACTTTGCAGTCACAAGTTCTTCTCTGGAAACAGCCAAAGGCCTGACACCACACCACCAACGGTCTCTGTCATCAAACCCAAGTTCCTCCCATCTAGAACAAGCTCGCAAGCTCTGCGTGCAATATGGTTAGGACATGCATGCTACTACATTGAGTTTCCCACTGGCCTACGGGTTCTGTTTGATCCCATATTTGAAGACCGCTGTTCGCCGATCTCCTGGCTAGGCCACAAAAGATTCACCCCCAAACCCTGTGATATCTCTGATATTCCAATTATTGATTGTGTAAGTCATCATTACAGTCTCATTTTTTCTACCCTGGTAGCTGATACGTAATTCATGGGTAGGTTATCATAAGCCACTCTCACTACGACCATCTTTCTCACCCCACCATCGTCGAAATTCAAAAACGTCACCCTTCAGTTCAATTCTGTGTCCCAAAGGGACTCAGAAGATGGTTTGCAGATTGCGGCATTAAGAATGCTGTCGAGTTCGACTGGTGGGAGGACGTTGACCTCAACTTGTCCAAAACAAGAGGCGAAAAACCTTCGTCAAGTTCCTCGACGTTTAGTCCGTCAAAAGATGACATTACGGCGAGAATCTCTTGCCTTCCTTGCCAACATACATCTGCGCGTACTCCTTTTGATAAATCAACTACATTATGGGCTTCCTGGTCGGTTTCTTCTGGTGGCAAGTCTGTGTACTTTGCTGGTGACACCGGCTATCGCGCCGTTCCATACCTGCCTAAAGAAGTCGACGATTGGGGCTCAGATTTTGCTCATCTGCCCGTCTGTCCCGCTTTCAAACAAATTGGCGAACTTCGGGGTCCCTTTGACCTTGGATTGATTCCGATCGGAGCATATAAGCCAAGGCATGTTTTAAGTCCCGTGCATTCGAATCCGTATGATTCTGTTGAGATTTTTAAGGATACCAAGTGTAAAAAAGCCATAGGAATACACTGGGGGACGTGGGCGGTTGCAGAAGAGAGCGTGCTCGAGCCGCCACAATTACTCAAGAGAGCGATGGCCAAGAGTGGACTTGATGAGACTGGAGTTTTCGATGTTTGTGATATTGGCGAAAGTAGGGAGTTTTGATATTTTGCAGTAGAGTTGTGGGCTCTTGTGCTATCGTGATGGAGTACTGGCTTGCTTCGAAGAAGTGTGGAATCGTTAGACTGATCGTATGCCAGAGGTCTGCAACTGGGGGATATTGCTGATGCCAACACAAGATAGTTGTATAACAATAGATTATTCAGTGGACAGTATGTGTATATGATTTCGATCTCACTTCTATAATTGAGGTGATAGTGTAAGCGTTGAAGACCCTGGTAATGATACAGCGATACCGTGTATTATAACATTGCTACTTGCCTTCCGCAGGACGAGCTAATCCTGAATTCATACACGTAGAGGCAATGATCCCCTTTAAACCCTCAGCTATTTCCCAGGACTCCTTCATGTGACCCATTAAATCATTCACTCCAGCTTTAAAAAGCACCATATGCCCCTCTATAAACGCCTCCAGTACCCAACAAAAGGATCCTAAGTTGCTTCCTTGAAAAAGAAAGAACAGTATTCGCACAACTAGACCGCGTGGATGATTTGAGATGAGGATGTCTTTCGTGAACTCGATTCATCGAGTTCGACCCAATCATTGGTATGCGGCTTCCAAATCCTTCCCACTGAAATCGGGTCTGTGTCCATTTTGCCGGACGGGGGATGCGATCCAGCCTTACTACCCCTACTTCGAGTTCTACTCCTAGTGAATACCGAACTGGTAAAGGACCGCATCTGCGCAAAGAATCCAAGCTCGGGTATCAAGGGTTTGTAAACAGGTGCACAGCAGCATATCACGCTGCAGGTTTGTTGAACAGTTGCCCAGATGGGATCGAGAACTTCGACTTTTGATTTGCTGGTAGCGCTGAAGCCATAGCCGATCTTGACGAAACCGAGAATGCCGGCTCTGTAGAATTGATTAGAGATTATCTCGATATGGAGTAACTTGTACTTACAGTCCACCCACGATGAATATAGCAAACAATTTTATTTTCACAGTATTCTTTACCTTCAACGATTGTACCATCCAAATCGCCAGACCGATAAGGGCAAAATCTACTAGGGAATTCGGTGTTTCGCCCGCGGCAAGAAAATCTTCACTGTTGATGCAGTGACCTTTGAGTTTGGGCTCCCAGAGTTTTCGTGCTGGTAAGCATTCCATCCAGTGTACCATATAAGTAGAAATAGACCAAGCTATTTGGATAATGCCCAGAATCCAGACGCAGTAAATGAATGATCGTTTGACATGAAATATACGGTAGTACAGGAAAAGAAGACTGAGTTTCGCAAATAGCTGTTGCATGCAAAACTGTGGTCCCATAGAATACCCGGCCTAGTATGGAAAAAGGATTAGCACTAAACCTTTATCGATTCGTAACACATATATACCTTTTTTATATGTACGACTTCCTCTTTTGTCCATGTAGTATTGCCGTTCATTACTGACAAGACTAGACGAAAAGCATAGTTAGCACAATCAATATGCGCGACAAGAGTTACAACACCAACTTACGGTACAGAAGCGGTATCACGTATAAGATAAAGAAGAAGGTAGCCAAGACGGCGAACCAATCTTCCCAGCTAGGCTTGCGATTGGCACGGCGCACAGCTACAAAACGGAGCGCAGTCGCTGTAATGGCCAGTACCACTCCCACAATAGCCAGAATAAAGCATGTTTCTTGCAACGAGTTGTTCGAGATGTCAAACCCCATATCGACTGAAAATCAAATGGCAGTAAGGTATTGCTCAATGGCGATAATCTTGCGATTGCTCGTTGCAAGACAGGCTGGCGAACGCGTTTGGTACTCTGCACCGAAACATCAGTAGGGCGCAAAGCTTATGCGAAGTATGCGGAGTTGTTAAGCCTCAATCAAATTTGTGCAGGCATACGTTGTTGGGTCGAGGAAGGGGCTGCATTCGAAAGGGAGTGGTTGGATAGGTGCAGCGGCCGGGTTCTTTCATCTGTAAATATACTGATAATCTACGCGTGTAAATAGAATTTCCGAGGGAAGAAGTGTGAGGGCCAAGAAGGGTTGAATCTAAATTTACCCTGACATCTTAGAGCGATCTCGTGAGCCGGCACTGGGGGTCTTGCTTGGCTATCTCATCTCATCCAGCGGAGTCCCCAATCAGAAGGGATTATCCAATACAGGGGGCCCACGACCGAGCTGGCGACTCAAAATATGCACTAACCCACCATTATACAATTGTTCCTACCCTTGAGATTGCGCACCAGATATGCCACGTTTTACAAGAATTCCTTTTGATCCAATACCGATCCTTTGGGGCGGTTTTGAAAAGGCTGCCTGCTTCATCGAGCAAGTCGACCGTTCTGAAAATAAGCACATGCGAAATAAGTCCGAAAATCCCTCCTAGCATAATGAATACTAGGTACACCCCGCTACCTGTTTAGGGGGCGTTATGAGCAATCAAACTCCCGGTACGAAGTATCGTGCATCCCCCACATCACAAAGCGCGGAAGATAAGTACGTAGTATTGCAATAGCCCCTTTAGGAATGTCCTCCGCATGCGCGCCATGCACACTTTGCTAAGCCTCTCCGAATTGGACTACGGGGTGTAGATCTGATATGGTCTACAGCAACAGAATCGCATACGGAGTAGAAAGACTACCTGGTAACTTTCCCGGTAGTTTGCACTTGGCATGATTAAATGCCGTAACTAAGCTTTTCCCAAGCTTTGACTATGGACGTGCAGGCAGGAGGTGCAGGCGCCCCCTTTTCCCTTTTCCTTCCCGCGGTAGGAATCCGGAGCTAAGGTCCTGATTGGTTGCAGTCTCGCTAAGGGTGAAATCATTACTATCTAGATACAATACTAAGTACGAAGTACTTCGTATACTCCTATAGGAGTTGAAGCTGTAACCTGGTAGCTTATAAATAGGATAGTAAATATAAATATACTTTATACTATGCATAAATCTTCTAAAGCTTTAAATAAAAGCTATTTTAAAATAGAATACACATGTGAATTCATATAAAAAGAACATAAATAATATTCGCTAGATTCTCTCACAAAGTACGATTACGAAATGTTCTATTCAACTCGATTATATATGATTGGTCGGCTCGGTGAGCAACTCCGTACATTCCCTCCAGACACTAAACAAAACTGATTTATACCCCTCCATAGTCGTCGCACCCCTCGTCCCATTTCCCCACCTTTTAGGGTATATGTGGACCGGAAACCTATACTTTATGCGTGCCGACGTCGTCAATGGCGGATATCAGGTAATAATGCGAGTAAGAAGATACTACTCTTTGAGCATTGAAAGGCATGTGACAAAATGTGATGAAATATATGGTTCGAGTTGCTCGCGGGTTAATGCTGAGTTAGGGGTATACATAGTGACTTTTCCTCTTTTCGTCCTGGAAACGAAAGACTAGGAAAACGAGACTTTGACGACTGCAGCCGACACTTAGCAAAATAGACGCCTGCAATTAGGATTTAACGCCCTCATTACGTATATCCTCATGTCGGCGGAGAAGAATACCACTACTAATTCCAGGTCCATGGCTTGGGACAAAACCCTCAGACGTAGGAAACCAAAGGACTGTGGATAGCTCGCAAACGGGCCGCCACAAGCGTCGTTTCGGCTTTGCCTTTACTGTATCTCACCCGTCTATGGTTGCACTGGCCCTTGAGGATATTATTGGCAGGCATACGTTGTTCGGTCCGCCCATCGTAGGCCCACTTTCCGATTTATACGGCTGTGTCCCAGCCTTACAGCTCTCAAATCTGTTCTTTCTTATCTTTAATCTCGGCTGTGGCTTTGCCCGCACGGGACTGCAAATTATGGTTTGCAGTTTCTTGAGACGCTTTGCGGGGTAGAAGTAAATTTCCTGCAGATGAAATGGTAGCTTGGAACTACCACGGTTCCAGGTATTGTTAAGCGATGTCGTTGAAACGCTTTTATAGTTATATAAATAAGAAGAAAAGAAGATTACTAGTATCATAGGCTACCCCGCAGATGGTGACGACGACTATAAGTATCGCCATGTAAATCAGTTCAGGGCCTCGGGGTAATATAGGAAGAATTGTTTTTTATTAAAGATGATTTTAGAATATAATTAAAGCAACTATGAAAACCCTCCGCTTCTTTTCACAGCCAGCTCGCAGCTCAAAATGGAATTTCATATCAAATGGACTAGTACAGCGTGCGCCCTATTAACTTTAACCTTAACCTTAACCTTAGTTGCTCAAGAAGTAGTTGGCTGCAAGAGGTTCACCGAGCTTGGCTTCTTTCTGCCAGCTGTCCAGATTGTAGCGCATTCGATGCAAGTTGCCAAGAGGTTTACCATCTGCCGGAGCATACTTTTTGCCGTCAAAACCATCGGGCTGCTCGAACAGAAAGAAAGAATAGCGGTGAGGAGCGCTTCCTGGAGGCGGGGCAGGGCCAATGTAGTTGGCAACAAAAGGCTCGCTGGAGGTCAAGGTATTGTCAGGACCTGCTTTAAAGCCCGGTTGGATCCAGTGGAGGATTGGACCAAGAACGCCAAAAGAAGGGAAAGGAGCGTCGAGATCAAGGGCAACGACGAGGTATGTTGCCGAAGGGTCGGGAACAGCATATGAGATCCCAGGGGCAGACTGAGCCTCTGTAAATATGGTCAGGTTGTAGCGTGGACATGGCATGGCTGTGAACTAACCAGCGCGGGGAATATATTGTTTTGTTGTAATTGCCTTGGCGTTGACAATAACGCCCAGCACCTTGGACTCGTCCTTCTCGACCACATCAAGGATGCGTTTGACGATAGCGTTGGTAGGCATAGCGGGGGAGTTCCAGAGCTTGTAGGGAGGATATGACTAGAGGAGGAAGCCGCGGCAGAGTGAAGCTGACTGACTGCTAGCTACTAAAAAGAAGGTTCAGGCGAGAATAATGGGTTGATGGATGGACGGACTTTGGAGGGAGACAGAATATAGTAGCAGGGGGGCCAAACGTCCTTGTAGACCTAGCTGAATCGGGTATATCGCGGGGTGGGGCAAAATGCTAAAATCTCCCCAGTACTGCAGTATACGGGGTGGAGGTACGGAGGTACTTCGTACTGTACTGTATACTCGCGCAGTATTGGCAGGGGTATACACCGACAAAAGATATATAATTCGTGTTCGCGATCTGTAAATGTGGTATTTAGAGGGTAGCGTTAGAATTTTACTTTACTTGGTACAAGTAACAAGTAACATCTCACAACCATGTCTGACGCCCCTCCGCCAACAGTCAGCCTTGGAGACCTCCATCTGCCACGCATTCTCTGTTTGCACGGCGGCGGCGTCAACGCTGAAGCTTTTCGTTTGCAATGTCGAGGCTTATTCCGCTCCCTGAACGGCACATTTAGACTTGTTTTTCCCGATGCGCCCTACCTGTCCCCCGCTGATCCTGGTGTCATGCCCACCTATGCCCACCTACAGCCGTTTCGGCGCTGGCTGCGTTGGGAGATAGAGCAAGCAAACCCTGGCCCCGAAGCTATCTGCGGCGATATCGACAGGGCTCTGCATGAAGCAATGATCAGTGATGATGCGATGGGGGCCACTGGTGGCTGGGCTGCCATCATGGGCTTCAGCCAGGGTGCTAAACTGGCTGCCAGTTTGCTGCTCCGCCAGCAGCTTCGTGCAGAGAAAATTGGGAAAGACCAAGCGGGCTCTGACTTCAAGTTTGCCATTCTTCTGGCTGGGCGCGCTCCTTTGGTCGCTCTTGATGCGGATCTGTCAGACTCGCTGGCCCTGGCCGATGCGGATGAGCTCACGACTGGTGCCTTTGCACAGGTTACCGGCTCTTTTCTGCAAGGGTCAGACCACGTTCTTCGCCTACCCACTCTGCATGTTCATGGAAAGAAAGATCCTGGCCTTGCTAATCATCGTCGACTTCTTACCGACTTTTGTAAGGCGGGTACAACTCGCTTGGTAGAATGGGATGGGGATCATCGGGTAGTCATCCAAGCAGCAGATGTTGCAGCTGTTACAAATGAGATTTTGGCATTGAGTAAACAGACCGGTGTGATATCGTAATTATCCGTGGATTTTTGAAAATCGATTTTACATGGGACATAGATGCTCAGAAATTTATAAATCTTATACCAGAAAAGATTAGCGGAGTTTTAAGCGTCTGCTAGATCTCCCTTATCTTATGAGTTACCAGAGACTTCTTTGCAGATAAGTATCAAGTATCCAGTTCTTAAAAGTGTATTAGAAAAAGCAACTAATAATATATAGTTTGCAAATCTTTTTGATAACAACCTCAGCAATGGAATTGTTCTTATGTGGTCCTCAGGCTAGCCTTCCTTCTCCGAAGGATTTGGGTCAACTCCGTCAAATCCTACTGGGCCAGAAATCTTTATATGCATCACTGACGTTAACTTTAAACGACTTGCCTAACCTTCTTCGACAATTGACTACTTTTGACGTCAATTTGAAACGGGCCCCATCGGCTGCATCAATCGACTGTCTTTTGCAATGGCTAGATTCAGGACATTTATCTCTACCTGTCGACGACCTCCCCAATATTGCTTCTTTGCCCTTCGCCGTCATCTTACAAGTCGCTCTCTTTCTTCAGCACTTGGCGAAAAACAATACAGGATCTGATTATGGTCAGACGGTCCAAGCACTGCAGCAGTACGGCGTACAAGGCTTCTGTACAGGCTTTCTTACGGCTGCTGCTATTGATTTTTCTAGAAATGAGGAACAGTTGGCCGAATACACTGCTACCAGCTTACGTCTCGCTATGTGCATTGGTGTCTATATTGACCAGAACGCTTTATATGCCGAGCCTCCAAACCCAGTCTGTGCTCTGTCGGTTCGATGGAAAGAAGGACAATTTTCAAAACGTCAAGTTGAGGATCTTTTGGCTGGTTATGCACATGTTAGAACTCAGAAATCCTAGTTCTTAAGAGTTAAAAATCTTACGTACATATAGGCTTACATCGCATGCATCACCGACGTCAGTTGCGTTACGGTCACTGCCCAAGCGAGTGACGAAAAGCAGCTGACTGAGGTGCTAAGAGAGGCTGGGCTTCGTGCTAAGAAGATCAGTATCAATGGTCGTTTTCATTCTGCTGCCGACCACATCACTGCAGCTCAAACGCTGAGGAAGTTTACAAAATCCGTCAAAGGTCTTCAATACCCCGAAGCGTTCCAGCTTCAAGCCCCACTTCGAAGAAACGACACTGGTGAGCTCATTACGGGAGGTGATTCAGTTACTGATATTGCGTTACACGGCATTCTACTCCACACGGCCGACTGGTATACGACCGTGCGGAAAACCTTCGATGCTTTCCCCACAGACCACCCAAGGGTGACCACATTTGCGTTTGAAGGAGTTGTGCCCCTCAGTCTCTCGCAAAGAAACGAAACTAATGATCATGTCAACATTACTAATGGGGCGAACGGTGTGAATCGCGTCAATGGCATCAACGAGAATCTGGAAGCTAATTATCCTCCGCATTCCGTTGCGGTAGTTGGCATGTCTTGTCGATTCCCCGGCGCGGATGATGTTGATAAATTCTGGGATCTTCTGGAGTCTGGAGTCTCGATGGTTCGAGAGGTACCCTTAGATCGATTGAATCTAAACAACCATCGTTTGGCAGATTATGCGAAGACCAAGTTCTGGGGCAATTTCATCGATGATCCCGAGAGCTTCGATCATCGCTTCTTCAGGAAATCTGCTCGAGAAGCAGTCTCCTGGGACCCCGAGAAAAGAATTTTGCTAGAAGTTGTCTATGAGGCCTTGGAGTCCGCTGGTCATTTCGGACCAGCAGCCGCAAACCACCCAAATGATTATGGTTGTTATATTGGCGCTGTTGGCAACAACTACTATGACAATGTCGCTTGCCATCCACCAAACGCATACTCAATGTTAGGAACTTCGCGAGCGTTCTTTAGTGGCCGTATTTCTCACCAATTTGGCTTCACAGGGCCCGCAATGACTATTGATACTGCATGTTCTTCATCACTAGTTGCAATAAATGCCGCTTGCCGAGCGATTCAATCTGGAGAGTGTTCACGAGCAGTTGCAGGTGGCACTAATGTCTTTACCAGTCCTTTCGATTACCAGAACCTGGCAGCTGCCGGATTCTTGAGCTCGACAGGGGCATGCAAGCCATTTGATGCCTCCGCCGATGGCTATTGTCGTGGGGAAGGTGTTGCAGCTGTCGTGCTGAAACCTCTTTCAGCGGCTATTAAAGAGGGTGATCATGTTTTAGGTGTGATCGTTGGATCCGCTGTTAATCAAAATCATAACGATGCTCATATCACTGTTCCTTGCTCTTCATCGCAAACCGCGGTTTACAACAAGGTACTTGGCATTGCCAACTCTTCTTCATCTAGCGTGACCTATGTTGAGGCTCACGGTACTGGTGAGTTTGTTGCATCCACAACAATTGTCGAACCAGATCTCTAACAGGATTCACAGGAACTCAGGTAGGGGACCCAATCGAATGCCAAAGTATCCGCGATGCCTTTGGAGGTTCCCACCGTAAAGAGATGCTCCACTTTGGATCCGTAAAGGGTCACATTGGCCATACAGAGGCATCGGCAGGTGTGGCTGGCCTTATCAAGATCCTTCTCATGATGCAGCATAACACTATACTTGGGCAAGCAAGCTATAGCAATCTCAACCCCAAGATACCCGCACTTGAGCCCGACATGATGGCTATTCCGAGAAAGTCTCAGCCCTGGAAGACTTCCTCGAAATTCGCTTGCATTAACAGCTATGGTGCAGCTGGAAGTAATGCTGTCGTTGCGATCCGTGAGGCCATGCCTGTCTCTTCTACAACGTTTGCAAAGCGGCCGACAACTACAACAAAACAACCCTTCTTCATGTCGGCTTCATCAGAGGCTAGCTTGGTTACGTATGCTAGAAAACTTCTGGCGTACGTAGAAGTACAGCGAACATCTTCTGAGAATACTTCCCACCTCCTTTCTGACATTCTCTTCAACTTAACAGACAGAAGTAACCATAAGTTGGCTTATTCGGTTTCGAAAACCCTCATTTATTTGAAGGACCTCGAGGAGATGCTTAGTAGTATTGTCACAGGTTCTGAAACCCCAATAAAAGATGCCGGCTCCGGCCCACGTCCAGTTGTCCTAGTCTTCGGTGGCCAGGAGAAAGATTTTGTCGGTCTCTCCAAGGAGGCCGTGGATAACTCAGCGCTGTTTCGATCTCATCTGGATACATGCGACTTTGAATTGCAATCGCTTGGCCATGGAAGTTTATATCCAGCCATCTATCAACGCGAGAGCATTCAGAACCTGCCAACTCTCCACGCAGTTCTCTTCGCGGTTCAGTATGCATCTGCAAAGGCTTGGATTGACAGTGGACTGCGTGTGAGCTCTATCGTGGGACATAGTTTTGGCCAATTGACGGCATTGTGTATATCTGGATGTCTTTCTACACAGGATGCATTGAAACTTGTCGTTGGTCGAGCGGAGCTAATCAACGTCTCTTGGGGTGAAGAGCGGGGATCCATGATTTCTGTTCAATCTGATCATGCAGTTGTTAATAGTATCCTCGATACAATTAACACTGAGTCGCCTGACAGCAAGCTAGAAATTGCCTGCTTCAATCACCCAACAAATCATGTTGTGGTAGGCACAACCAAGGCTGTCGATATTTTCGAAAGCCACATTGCCGCCGATAACAAACTTCAACAGAATATCCGAGTCAAACGACTGAATGTTACACATGGGTTTCATTCTGCCTTGACTGAAGGCATTCTACCGGGACTCGAGAGCCTTGCTAATAGCGTGCAATGGAACAAGCCAACAATTTCCATTGAACTAGCAACGGAAGAACATATTGCTCAGGAACTTGGCGCTTGGTTGATTCCACATCACATACGAAATCCGGTCTATTTCTCCTCGGCCGTTCAAAGACTTGCCCAGAAGTTCCCATCTTGCGTTTGGGTGGAAGCAGGTCAAGGATCCTCTGTCATGTCGTTGGTCAAAAATTCCGTTAAGGGTGAAGGTCAGCCGCTCTACTGTCCGTCCTTTTTGAATGGGCCCAACGCAATTTCTTCTGTGGCGGAGACTGTCGTAGAGCTATGGAAGACTGGCATCCACGTTCAATTCTGGCCCTATCATCGAAGTGAACGAAGTCATTTCGAGTATAAGAGCCTTCCCCCATACCAATTCGAGAAGACCAAGCACTGGCTTCCCTTTATCAACCAAGCCGCTCCAGAGCCCGCCCCAACTGTGGCTCCTGCAACCCAAACTATTATTACGCATGAATTCATCTCGTTCTTGGAATTTTCAGACTCAAGTAAGAAGGAGGCCGTTTTCCTCGTCGACCCCGAGAGTGAGCGCTACATGTATTTGTTGAATGGTCACATTGCATCCAACCAAGCTCTTGCGCCTGCGTCGCTGTACGTCGAGCTCCTTTCTCGCGCCGCCATGATCTTAACAAGCAATGCGAGTTTTGACACACATGTTATTAACATGAACTCCATGCAAATGAAAGGCGCACCCATTGGTCTCGACTCAAAGAAGAACATCTATATCAAGCTTACACGCATCACCCCAGATGTGGACTACTGGGGTTTCGAATTCTCTAGCAAGTTAAAAGAAGGCGGCGAGGTTCAGATTCATGTAATCGGCAAAGTAGGACTCGGCAAAAGGGACGATCCTGCACTGGCTGATACGATCATGCAATGGAGTGCTTTGATAGGGTATAAGAAGTGTCTCTCTATCATGAACAATGAAGACGGAGAAAAGATGCAAGGTAGACACATCTATCAGGCGCTACAGAAACTAATCTTCTTCGACGAAATGTACCACGGCATTAAGAGCATCTCATATCAGGGCCATGAAGCTGCAGGAAAAGTCGCGGCAACGTTAGATCCTAAGCTTTCTCCCAAGGAGGCATTATATGACACTCCGACCATTGACGGCATGATGCAATTCGCTGGTGTTCTCGTCAACTATTTTGCACACCCTAGTGGGAAAGATGTTCTCCTCTGCCAGGGTATTAACCGTATCGTCACTGGCGGTGCGTTTGATATTACTGCTGGAGAGTGGATCGCATACTCACTTCTAACTGAAGACACCGACGAGCGAACCGTCAGTGATGTCTACATCTTTGATAAAAAGTCACAACAAGTCGTGATTGCGTTCATTGGATTTGTCTTTACACGGACTTCGGTATCGGTTTTGCAGCGATCGCTCCGAAGTGTCAATTCTGGCGGGTCTGGCGCTAACCCTACACCAGCACCCGCAGGAGTCGCCCCAATACCAGTCGCAGTCACTGGGGTATCTGCAGAACCTAGTAAAGCATCGAAAGTTCTAGAGGTATTCCATAACGTTACAGATATCCCAATGGATGAAATTGCTCTTGGCTCGACACTCGAAGAACTTGGCGTCGACTCTCTCTTGGTGACGGAGGTCTTGAACGAGATACAAACCGCCTTCGGGCTTGATATTGAACTCAATACATTCTTGTTCTTTCCTAACGTCAAGGCTGTCTGCGATTATATCGATTCAGCACTAGGTCTGGGAATCCAGGCTGAACCCCCTGCTTTAGCCGAAGCAAAAGTGAAAGATGTTGCTGTTCGGAGCCTACCGACTAAATCTCTTGATGTTGACTCGAGACCATCTTTACAGCACGCCCAGAAAGTATTTGCTGATTGCAAAGATGCCTATGAGAGGGCTGCCGTCGAGACCAAAGCTGTCGAATTCTGGGAAAAGTGCTATCCTCGGCAAGCGGCTCTCGTGCTCGCGTACGTTGTCGAGGCATTTGCTAAATTGGGCTGCAATATGGCTTCTATCAAAGCTGGAAATGCAGCTCCCATGATCCCTCATTTGACCAACCACAAGCAACTCGTGCGCCAGCTTTACCGTGTGCTTGAAGATGCCGGACTTATCATCGTTAACGACCAAGGCCAATTTGTTCGCACAACAAATCTCGTCGACCCTACACCCGCCGCGACCATCTTCAAGCAGATCATTCCCGAGTTCCCCCTTCATGCTAGCGTGCATAGAATTGTCCAGGTCGTTGGTTCGGAACTTGCAGAGTGCTTGACTGGCGAGAAGGATGGTCTTCAGATCGTCTTTGGCAATAAAGAGAATAAGAAGACCCTTGATGACCTCTACGAAAACTGGCCTCTCGTACGCTCTGGCACGATTGCGCTGGGCGAGTTCCTCGAGAAGGCCATGGCAAATCCCGACAAACCTGGTGTATTTCGCATCCTTGAAGTTGGTGCCGGCACAGGTGGTACGACCAAGTATATTGCCCGTCACTTGCAAAAGCTAGGCATTCCATTTGAGTATGTCTTTACGGACTTGTCCCCATCGCTGGTTGCAGCCGCCAAGCGAACATTCAAGGATTGTCCCGAGATGGAATTTGCGACGTTGGATATTGAGAAGGATCCACCGGCATCGTGGATCGGTTCCTTCCACTTCATCATCTCAACAAATTGTGTCCACGCGACTAGAAATTTGACCACATCGCTAACGTCGTTGCGCAAGCTGCTCCGCAAGGATGGCGTTTTGACTCTAGTCGAGATTACCCGGAACATGTTCTGGTTGGACATTGCGGTAGGACTGTTTGAAGGATGGTGGTTATTTGAAGATGGCCGCGAGCATGCCGTAACGCCTGAGTGGCTTTGGAAAGAACATATGCTTCGTGCGGGATTTAATGCTGTAGATTGGACAGATGGCGAAGAGCCCGAGGCGCGTACTATTCGTGTCATTGCTGGTTTTCCTACAAGCTCAAGTACTTGATAACTGTAGCATACCTATAATGGTAGGGGAGATTTATTACCTCCGAATCAGAAGACATCAGAAACGACGTGTGAATATGGCTGTGGAAAGTAATTGGGTGGTCTGGACATAGATATATTTACATGAGCACAGTCAGCCATTGTGCATTCCAAGTTCTGGGTTAGGAACATATATAGTTTATGGTCTGATCGGTGACTCTGCCTTTATGCAAAGTACTAAAGCAGGGGTTATTTTGATTTACAGTAAGGTGAAGACTTAATTTTATAATATCTACGGATGCTACGATGAGATATCGACATCCTCATGCATGACTAAGCTACTCCGATGGTTCTGGTGGTTCAACTGTTGGTCCACGCACCTACCGGATGTGTCCCACCGAGACAAGCGGAGAAACTCTTTCCCGTCTCCCACTACTGTAGCAACAGTTGGTAGGTATGTTGGTATTTGTGCCGTGCCGCTTCTTGCTGTTCACCTCGGTCTGGATCTTGCTTTCATCCAAGGTGTAAATTCCCTACTCCTCTTATTTCTTCAGCACTTTCGATATAAATTCCCACGTTTCTCTCTCCTTCCCTACCACGTCTTAGGTGACTTTAATGCTGGTCTTAGTCAACCTCCCAAGCGTTGCGGTTTACATCACACTATTCGCATCCTTAAGTTTTGGTGCAAGCCTTGATCAACCTCGAACAGCTCGCGATATGTCAAAGTGCACCGGTGACACCCGCTTCCCCCCCCTCACACCCTCTAAGAACAACCTTAGCGCGGCGCAGGAGGTCCAATACGACTTCCTCATCAATACGACAAGGAAGATCTACGGGACAACTATTATCACAGAAGCTGCTGATAGCTCACTCCAAGGGCCCTTCAACCAGTTGCTGTAAGTCCTTTTTTCCCTCAGTCAAAACTCATACTTGAATCTGGAACCTTCTTTATATTACAAGGAATTATCTTGGCAAAAGATTATCATCTAATAAGACAAATAGCTACACGCCCACAATCGTACAATCTTGGACCGCTCAACAACTAAGCGCCGCTGGTTTATTGACCCCAAAGGAAAACGAGGCCGCCGTTCTCGGTATCCTATCATTTAATAGAGCCGCATATGGAATCTATGCGCACACGCTCTTAGCTTAGAAAGCTGGTTTCACATTAAAGCAAGTTGAATCCAAGTTAGCAGGTCATTGTGAAACGGACATATCAGCACGCGAGACAGCCATCTATAACCTGGCCGTTAAGCTGGCCCAGATGAAGGGACCATTAGACGTAGCATCCTACGATGCCGCCTTCGCTATACTAGGGCGTGAAGGCGTTGCTGCTACGATTCAGCAGTCTGCTGCGTTCTCTTATTCTGCTATGATGTTGAATGCTGGGGATGTGTGTGTGCATGTAGGAGCAGTAGGTTAATATATATAGCCAGCTTTCTCCCCTCGAAGGGTTATAGTAATACAGGTGCGGTTCTTAGGAAAACCTCTGTTTCACAGCTCCTTTTTCGCCGCAGAGTGCGCTAGCCGAGGGTTCAGCGACCCACACGAGCGAACTTTCCTCTTTCGCCGAAAGAGGGCCGGCGCATAAGAGGTAGAATAAGTATAAGCTTCTACCTAAGTAGGACGAGCTTTAGGGGTTTAGATCTGGATATATACTATGCGTATTATCCTTATGGAATGGACCTACATATAATCTCAGAGCTAAGTCAGAGTCCACCAGCTGAGCCTCATGCGTGGGAGAGCAGAGAGACGGGCGCGGATTCTTATCAGATCAGCTAGCCGCTCGCTAGTAGCTTTCATTCAAGAGGTCCAGATGCCTCGTATTCATCACTACGTTGGTTTGGTTTATAAAGCGGTGAAATGAGAGCAGTACAGACGGAGACTTTTCACGTCCCGTGATACCGTGCTACAAGGCCATTGGGAAGTTGTAGCTTATAAGAAGGCTCTAAGAGAGTGCTTATTGGTGGAAATTCCTTTCCTATTTCAAGGATTACTGATGTCCTGATACAAGTGTACCCGGATATTCTCAATACTCTAATATTGACTTGAACTTCTCAGCTGAAGTGGATTGCAACTTGCAAGCCAACAAGTCGACTTGCATTATCTTGCACAACGTCACGTTATTGGAGGAGCTAAAATTGAAAAGTTGGAGCTGAAGCAATCGGCATACAACACGAAGAAAAGCATCGTCAGAAATGAACATGCAACAGTTTCAAAGTACAGACGGCAACCAAAAGACAAATGATGGGTGGGAAATGGACGCTAGCATACGGAAGACTTCTGCTTATTTTATAAGTATTGGCTGATAATTCAGCATTTGATGACAGCTCTTTCAGAAAACCAACGCCAAGCTGAAGTGCTACTCTTTATGGGTGGGTATTGTTGTGAAAGACCCCTCCTTTCACGTGATAGATACGCCCCAACCTCTCGATTCATGCAAGGAGATCCACTTGGAACTTTAAGCCCCATCTCATGATCCAACACCAACCCAACCGGTCTTTTCGGGTGCGGTATAGAGGGAGGCGCCGTAGATACGAGCTGAGGTATGACCTAACTCGGGCACGTGAGTAAGTGTACAAGACACGTCCGCTTCTCTTTCGGGCATACTACATCCTGATACGACACCGATCGCATTTACTGTACAGTACAGTACAAGTAGATCTGACGATTATCTGGCACGGATCGGTAGATCATCGAGACTACCGTACATGTATCGCCTCATACTCCAGGTCCACCTATAGCCACAACAAGCGAATACCTTAGCATGAAGCATGGCTATTGAACCAAGCAATACATGACATGCATTGGCCAAGAGGAGGGCGGACGCATTAAACCAAACGATAGCCGTACGAGTGTAAAGAGAGGAAGGATAACCGCGAGGGATGGAATGATTATGGAAGGGAAGAGGAAAGGCTCGGGGGTAAAAGTTCAGCTGAAGAGACCACCTGCCAAGAACTAGCGCTTCGGCTGTTTGCATGGCAGGGGTCGGTGATTGGGTGGAGCTTGGGCCATAACTCTCACCTCAGCTGAAAACTCACTTCCAAAGTACGGAGTAACCATCCTATCCGACCCTCTCTTCCTCTTTTCTACCTACAAGCTGGCTTTCGCTGCCAACTTCCAACAAACAAACCTGCGCATTATAGTAATTTGCCACGTGCCGCATGGGCCAGTTCTGGGGCAAAGGCTTCTTTGCGTAGCAGTCGCCCTATTCGGCAGAATCCTTCGTAGAAGGCGTCTTATTTCTGAGCCCTTCGGGACGATACGATGCGGTAATTCCGGGCCTATATTGTTAGCTATTATATGTAAAGGTGGGGTAAGGCAAGGTAAGGTGAGGCGGGTGAGGAAAGATATCGTTACTTAAGTACAGTATTAATTAACGCCTTTACTCCGTATCGTATCGGGAATGCTTTGCAAGCTTACTCTGTACATACGTGAACCCTGTTGTATTTTCGCCATCAAGGTGCCGTGCACGCTGTACTGTGCTGTTGTAAAACCACACCAAGCCAAAGAGAGATGCTCAACCTCGTCTCGTACAGTACTTTCTAGACGCGGCGCTTCATTGGAACGAATTACGGCGGCACAGCTACGTAGCTACTGCCTTATATAGACATACGCGTGCAGTTTACGGGATTAGGAAACTGTTATATCTGGTGACAAAGTATAATTGTGAGACTTGGATGGAAGATGGTAGCTGTACAAGGGGTAGTGCGGTCGGGAGATCTACCTAGTTACTTCGTCCATGGAGAGCTGATGCGTGAATCTAGCCATCTAGCCGTGGATCAAAGTTGGTTAGACCTTGATTAGGCCAGCCCTATAGACCATCGTGTGGCGACGCACCCCCTTGTCGAATCGAGGGGTCTCATGCGCGGCCGGCGTACATGCGCATGCATGCAGGTAGGGGAATCCTTCTCTCCGTATAACCATCGGGCTGAAATAACCTTCTTTTTCACTCACTGGAACTTGCTTTAACCAGGTGCTTGCATGAGTTAAGGTCAGGTAAGGTCGTAAGGTAGTCAGTTCTAAATCAATACCAACTCAGCTCAAAGAGGACATATACATCCACCACCTGTTATAAGAAGCGTGGAAGATCCCGCCTCCGCAAGCTTGCTTTAAATGCTGACGATAGTTACACTTTGCCCCTCTCCTCACCCCTCAATAAATACAGATACGATGACAGTACAGTACTATAAGATGACCAAAGTTTAGTCTCTACATAAGCTCGTCTATTCCTTCGAATCCTCATTCTCATCCTCACCCCCCACCTTCCCATCCCAGCCCCCCTATAACTACCGACAAACAACCAACCCAAACCAACCATGCCAGTCCTATCCAAGAGCACGTCCGTGCCCGACAACATCTACTTATTCATAGGATGCGCCGCCATCACGCTTCTATTTATATTCATACGACGGAAAAGCGGTGGTAGAAACCGAAACCTCTTTTCAATCGCAACAATGTCGAATTCAAGCTCGAGTTCAGATTCAAATTCATATGAGGAAAAGCTGCTGCAATCTCACCAGCCAAACCCCGCGCCTCGTATCCAGCAATCACCACCACGTTTCACTACCGGGACAAATATAATTACCACCAACTTAAACTCAAATCCAAACACGGGAGTCAGTATCGAAAATGCCTCACCACCACCATCATCAAGACCCAAGAACCAGCTCATCACGACTTCACCATCCACACAATCAAGCCAGAAAAGCGACTCCGCATCATCATATACAACTCAAGATTTCCCACACTCGCAATCACAATCACAAACACAAAATACATCTCTCACCTCCTCACCAATAACCTACACCAGTACCGGCACCACGGCCTCTCAAAATTTCCCTCCACTTCCGCCTCCCCCAGCATTCCCCAAACCAACCTCCGTGTCCTACGATTCAGCTACCATGCCCCCATATTCAGAAATCCCATCTACGTCTACATTTGCCCCCCTATTACCATCCCAAGAAGAGACCTCCTCCACCTCCACAGCAACATCAACATATATAATCCACCCCTCGCCCTCAACCTCCCCCCGGCGGCGCTCCTACACAAAATCCCCCATCGCACCACCCCCTCCACCTCCACCGCACTCGCAATCCCAATCCCAACTCCGCACGCCCGCTCAAAACACCTCCCAATACCCCCAGCCAGAACCGGAGCAGGAGAGACAGATCCAAGTCACAGAGCAGATCGAACTCGGGACCGGAAGCAACCCCAACGAGAGCTGGAGACGGCACACGCGGGTTTTTGGCGGGGGGGTGTGTATGGCTTGTGAGGAGAGCAGGAGCGGTCGGAGGACCACTGCGTGATTTTGCGCTTCCAATTCTCTTCCCTCCACTTCAGAGGAGTCGATTACGGAGGAGGTTCTGGGAGGAAGTTTGTTTGGGTCACGTGCGCGGAGAAAGAAACGGGGATTGGATGAGGCGCGCGGGGATGGATGGAAGGATGTGGAAGTGGAGGGTTAGGGGTTCGGTTCAGATCAAATAAATCGATGCGATGCGATGTAATAGAAAATCCTAGCTCCAGATTCCGAGTCCCGCATACGGTGCTTACCTCGCCTTTGCAACCCCTCGACAAGACAAGACACCGTCGGACGAGTCAGGTAGCCAGGCATACCATGCACAGAACGAATGATGAATTAACAGGGCCGAATTTCCATACGAAGCCTTGGAGGCGAAAAGCGGTAATATGACGACGTGGCGAAGTAGATGAGGGATGATAAGCTCTCTTTTTATTATAAAAAACCCCTTTTTCTTTTACTCCTCGGGATTTGCATATTGGATTGGATTGGATATTCAGGCGTTTGTTTAAAGGGGGGGGTGCTACAAGCAAGGGGTTAGTTATAATGGAATGAGCAATCAGGCGGTGAGGGTTATTTGCATATTTTATATATTGTTTATGATAATATCATTGCATTGCATAGTAGTATAGGGTATTTATTTGTTTCTCATATCATACCAGACGTCCCCCAGTCAGCCAGCAGGAAAAAACATCCATCCATGCATCATATCCATAATCCCACCCACACATGCAAATCTCCTAGAGATAGCTAAGCCAAGCCAAGCCAGCTGTATTCATTCATCCTCCTCGCTCGCGCCCAAGTAGTAAAGTCAAGGCCAAGGTTACTAGTAAAGTAAATAAACCGAACCGCGCCTAGTATGGTATTCGTCTGTCCGTTCGTTCTCTCACTCCCAGAACAATCAAAAGTCAAAGCAAGCAAGCAAGCAAAATCGCTACCGAAACTTTCATTCAATAGCACTACAACTCTGCGCCAACCCGCTCACATTCTCATTCCTCAACGCCGCCCGCTGACTCTCTACAAACTTCTCCCACCCCTCCGGATCCTGTTCCATCAACCACTGTCTGAGGAGACTAGCCTCATTACTTAATTCCTGCAGCACGGCTTCCTGTCCAAGACGCTCAAGCCGCGATTTTATCTCCTCGCCCCCAAGATCCTCAATCATGTGCCTTAGCATCTGTAGATACTGCGGCGTGTTCTCAATGCTGGTAGTGTTGGGCGCGTGGTCTTCTAATTCCGGCTTGATCATATCACGCCTGAATCTCGCCCCAAAGCGGTGCATACGGCCCTCTTCTGCCGAGAGGGCGCGCGATGCAAGGGAGACGTCTGAGTTGTGGCGTGAGAGCATGGGGCGTAGCGCGTTGTTGTCTTCATCGTCGGATACTAGGGCATCGGTGGGATCTCCCAAGTGCGTGACTTCTATAGAGCCTGGAGTGCTATCGATGTCGTCTTCATGGTTTACGGAGACGATGCCATGCTCCATTGGACTTGCTGGAGGTAGGGGTGGCGAGATGAGAGTCATGGGAACACGCGTCTCTGGGTATTCGTCCTCGAAACGTTTGATCATCCCTTCGAGGGTCTGGTCGAGGAATAAGAGGCGTTCTGCATGCATGTTAGTGAGTTGAGATGGCTTCGGTAAAGCACTTACGATAGTTGGCACGGTCGTTGGAGTGCGATTCTTTCAGCAAAGTAGGCTGTAATCGCGCTCGTATTTTTCGTGCACTGTCGAGTAGGTGCTTTGACATATCCTTGGCCTTGCCATCACGGACAGGGGTTTTCGGTGTCGCCGACCCGCTGCCACTATCTGAGAAATCTGAGAGCGTACGATCTGCTGACGGTCTCCTCAAGTCATTGCCTCTATTACGCAAACAAATACCCAATGCCTTGACTACACCACTTCCTCCAATAACATAATCCTCGTTTGGAGCCGGTTCGTCATCACTTTCATCATCATGGAACCCTTCCATATGTCCGACAAGATGCAATAGTACGTCCGGTACAGCAACCTCTTTTTCACCGCCGTGAGGCTCTGATATTGCGGCTACAGCCTGACTGATCTCAGCGACTGTTCCATGTTCCATATTACGCAGGCAGTAAGCAACAACTTGTTTAGCTAGCGCTCTTACGAGTTCGCTTGAATTACTGGACGGAACTTCAATATCGATGCAGATGATGCTGTGCGATACGCGTACTGCTGCCATAAGCGAAGCATACAGAGCGCATGCTTCTTCTTGGCCGGCTTCGTCTTTGGCATCGGATAGGGCTGCTAACTGAGGGTTGTCCATCAAATTCACATGGGCCAGTGTACGACTCTCAGGAAGGATTTCTGCAAGTGCAATAGCCTGTTCGGGCGTCATGGAGACGTCGGTCAGGTGTATTCGTTTCAACATGGGGATTTTAGGTAAGTATCTGTGTTGTGTAAGCATTATGTCAACAAGTCTTTGACAGCTGCACGATTGATGACAATTTAAAAGTGGTCTGAGTTGGTGTGGTAAGGCGGAGATTGCTCAGGGGTATATCCGCCTCGTTGGAAGGTTGGTCTGACATAAGGCAGACTTGAGCCGCAATACGCAGCCGCACCAACTTCCCATTCAAGAAATTGATAACCACCAGTTGGCATGGAAACTTGACAATTGACCATAGAAAAGGGATATAACACACCTTCTAAGCAACGAGAGCGCACTAGGCTGAGTACCAAACAACGAGTGATTTTGCGACAAATCAATAAATCGGAAATTCCTCAGCTTGACCAACGTAGGGAACAAAGCCCATAACGAATCAGGAGTTAGGCTGCAATCTGCAAGACTGAGGGCGTACAGCCCATTGCCATCATCCAAAGCGTCAGAAATGACGCCTAACTGATCTTTCAAATCATTCCCGCCAAGATCAAGGCCCTCGCAGTTGCCGTCTCGGAGGAAGCGAGCAACGTGTTGCATGCCTTCAGGTGTTATATTGTTTCCGGAAATTCCGAGACGACGTAATCCTGACTTTATGGCGCCATCTATGAGGCCTCCAAGCTGCTCAGTGGTCATACCGGTCTCGGCAAGGTTTAATAACTCGAGATCTCTGCTTGCCAAACGTTCACCGAGTGCTTTACATAAGAGGCATGATACATCCGGGTTGGAAGTAGCTGAACAGGCTCGATGAAGATGATGACCGAGAATACCCGAAGCAGGTTGTGGTGTTGTTGCTGGTAGTGGTTGTGGAAAGGGTATTTGCGACAAATCCATGCACTTTAGTGAGCGACACATATTAATAAATAGGCATATGTACCGCCAACCATCTCGTCCAATCTTGTGATTATTCTTGAAAACCACTCGCTCCACATAGCCACCCTGTGGGACCTCCCCTTCCTTCAAGGCCTTGAACTTTCTGCCGTAATCAGGATATTTCGCTGCCAACAAGCCAGCTAGGATGACGCGGACACCTTCATCGGTCAGACCACAGTTTTCCATTATGATTTCTTTGACAGGGACTACAGCCAAGTAATCACCCAAGGTAATAAGATCAGGCAGTTGAAGCCAGTAACCTGTGAGGTCCAACTTGCCGACCACACCTGTAATGGAGGTAGTAGCTGACAATTGCTCGGTGACCCTTTTCAATATGGGCGTTTCGCGGAGTTGACAACATCTTCTATAGATGCGCACGGGATCTGTGGTAGGTGAAGCTTGCGTTTTCGGTGTCCCAGGTCCGGTGAGAAAGCTTGCTAAAGAGCTCTCACTCCCATTCATAACAAGCTCAACGGGAATCGTCCCATTTGCCTCTGCCAGCTTCCGTCTCTTCTCTTTGCGAGCTTTCCTCTCTTCTTCACTCCGCTTCTTCTTCTCTTTCTTCTTGCTATCCTTTTCGGCCGTTGTTGAATCGTCCTTCACTTCGGTTGTGATAGCTGGTGATTCTTTGGGTAGCTCCGAATTGACGCCTTTTACCACGCCGTGCTCTTCCTTCTCATTTTTAACTTCCTCTGGGTGCTTCAACGCATCGCCCTCGCCCTGCTCAGCTACCTTCATCTTCTTCTCCTGTAGCCCCTTGTCTTCAACCAAATCGTCGTCATGATATCGAGGCCCACTGGCGATTTCCACATCAACACAGAATGCTACCCGCCGTAATTTCGACAAGTCAAGATCTGAGACATGGCATCGTTCACGATGCTGGTCCACATTCAACACCCTCCGTTGGCACAAGCCATGTTGAGGTCCCTTGTGGTTAGCATTCATCTGCACTCCGCCAGAAGATGATAACCTCCGTAGAGCACTTTGTAGGAAATTGGGCTGTGCGGATTTAGGTTGCGCGGGGGTATATGGTGCATCGCCATTTCCCTTTACCCCAGGTTGCAGAATTGCATTCTTTGGAGCGCTCGGACCAGTAGGTATAGGACCCTCTTGCGGATCGGATTCTGGTATTTTAGGGCTGCCAGGGGGGGTGTGATTGCTGTGCGCGCCTGGGGAGAACTTGGAGGAGATGCTGGAGAGCCATGAGTTGCGGCGTGAAGGATTTGGGGATGGAGAGTTTCCATTCACGATTGTCGTCTTCTCGGAGGATGAGCCGCTCTTTGGAAAACTCGGTCTTCTGAGTATGGTCTTTGGTAACGAGGCTGTATCTTCAGGGTGTGAATTTCCATTCTGTGTCGATTTGGGCTCGTTGATCGAGGTGGGAGAGGCAGGATGGGACTTGGAATGGTCTGCGATGGAAAAGATTGTTAGCATTTGATAGAGGACGCAACCGACGGTGGTACAGCAGATTTCGTGGTGAAGGATCCCATGTAAGAACTATAACTCGAGCATGGGATTCGCCGCAGCAACTGCGGGCTACGATATCAGCGTACCTTTGGTGGAGCTGTGGTTGGTCATCCATGAGATGTCAACACCGTGAAGACGCTCCATGATGGAGAAGGGATCGAATTGAGCTTGCGGATCGGTGCAAGGGAATATATTTGGCTATTCGTGTGGGGTGGACGATGTTATCGTGGATGGCGACAGAGTATTCTGCTCACCTCAGCAGCATCGGCCATTCCAGAATGAAATGGTTGGTGGATTACAAGAAGTGAGGCTGGTGAGGCATTGGCGCTATGCTACTGTAGTAGAGGGGGCTTTGTGCTCTGTTTGTAATTGAGTTTAATGTGGCAGCTGATCGTAAATCGTAGTTTGTGATTCGATGGGAAATAATGAGGAGGAAAATGAATGGCAAAGTATGGTAGGAGTATCTGGTGGTGGTATTATTGATTGGTAGGATAGGTTTCTAGGTTCCTAGATATGGTACTAGTAAAGTACTTTATCCATACAGACGACACTCGAGTAAGGTACTGTACTGGACTTCTATCATGTCGGTCGTATGGCAACTTTCCGCTGGGGACTGAGAGGTTCCCTGTGGGGTGGGGTGGGGCGGGGCCTTGTCTCTATCCAGTCAAAGCTCAGGGTTGGCGGCATATAAACATCAGGTCACCGTTGCATCATTGTATGTAGAGCATATGATCTGTAGAGTTTGTAATTATATCAATTATATTAATGCAGCTGCATGAAGAGTTTGAGATCAGCTGTTTTTCGTATTAATAATATTTAATCATTATTAATCAGCCACTGCTACTGTACTATACCTTCGAGGTTCTTCATTGTTTTCGCCTCCCTCGACTCCTCGGCCGAGACCCAATTGAAGCCCCATTTTCCCAATAAAGATCTGCGGTGATAATTCTCCAAGTGATCTGCTGTGTCGATATACTATTTCTAGCCACTTGATTGGGCAAATACGGTACATGCTTTTCAAAATGGATTATTTAAACCTAAAATGCGAACCAGATTACTTTCAACAGCACGCAGTACTGTAATCAACGCGCATAGGTCCATCTCGGCTGGAGCTACCTAGGAACTTGACGGAGGCAACACCGGATAAGTAATGTTACCATAGCCATTGGTCGACCCAACACGGCCATCGTTGGTAGCGTTTACCTTACAGTAACGTGCCATTATTCCGCTTGGATCATTCAAAACTGGTACCGCTTTCTATTCAGTGAGCATACTTGTAATAGTAGTGGCTGTAGTGTCTCACGGAATCCCGATAAGCTTTGTTTGGGAGTCATCAGCATCAATTTTTATTCTGCAAATATCAATGAACGCCTCATGACGTCCATGTCCCAACCCCAAAGCAAGATGCGTAATACAAAAGTGCAGCAGAGAAGCAGGAAGCTTATTCCTTGAGCTCGGCAATCTTGGCCTTGACTCTCTCCATCTTCTGCTCCTTCGACAACTTGTGGCCCTTGAACTTGAGCGACTCCTTCTTGTACTCCTCCTTGGTCTTCGACTCACCAGCCTCATCGACCTTCTTGAAGGGGTCAGCACGGATTTGCTTGTGTGCCTCCTGGTACAGCTCCTCCAAACCCTCAGCCTCTATCTCATCATCGATGTAGCCCTGGAATTGGGACTTGTATCGCTCCTCATCGTCATCAGCAAGAGTCTCCATGTACTCTGCGACGTGTCCGGCGAAGATGTATTTGCGGAGGGTCTCGGCGTCAAGCTCCTTGGTCTCCATGTCGAAACCTGGGAATCGGTTCTCCGAGTGGGGAATGAGAATACCACCGTCGGAAGCACCCTTCATGGCACCGAAGATACGGGCACCAGTTGAAGTGCGTTGAAGACCGACATCAAGGAAAGCCTTAAATGGTCGTCGGCCCTCGCCCTCTGAAGCCTCAGTAAGGTTGTACTCTCCATCAGCCTCCTCAACACCAGCGAAATCCTCATCCATGCCGAGCTTCTTGAGAACACGACGTGCGATCAGGAGACCAGTGCAGTATGCAGCGGCCCAGTTGGTAAGACCGTGCTCAATGCCATAGGCCTTGAGCTCGTGGGAGTAGGCGGCAGCGAAGACCTTGTCACCAGTGATCTCGGAGGTCACAATCTGCATGACAATGTCGCGGTTGGTGAATCGGACAACGAGGCGGTACTTGGGCGCATTGTACTTGTTCTTGGCTTGGGTGATGAGACGCTTGCGTGCGTAGTAATCGGTCTTTCCGGAACGACGGCGCTTGTACTTGGTTTGATAACGACTGTGGGCAAAGGATTAGAGTCTGCGAAATTGAGGGAGGGAGAGGAGAGGAGAGGATCTTACCTGTAGTAGGCCGAGTTCTTGACCAGCTTGGTGAAAGGCTGTCATCCTCAAGTCAGCAATTGGCATTTCAGAACCTAAGTCCGAACATCTTGCATGGACTATAAGCATTTCTGCTCTTGGAGGACATCTTCATCGAAGATTCTCGCGTGTAGGATCCGCGCAGAGGCAGATATCGGGACAATAATTAGAACTTACCATCTTGAAAGATTAGCCGCACTATTGCTGGATTGTCGATGTAGGTTGAGGAGAGGAGAATCGAAAGAACTTTGAGGTTTTTCTTAATATTGAGATGTGTGCGAAACTTCTTAGCGCGTGCCGCTAGCGTGGATTATGATCAAAAGTTCGATGGAGGGGCACGACAATCATGTGACCAAAATGAATGAACTGCCGGGGCGGAGCCGAGGTTCATATTGACATCCTTCCTTCCTTATTTTGTGATGTCTTTGTATGTTATACAAATCTCAACAAATCTCATCCAGTTGAGAGTGTGTATTAGACAGTAGACGACACAGACGCAGTCATGGCCTCGACAAAGCAGCCAAAAGTTTTGTAAAGTCCTATTGACCCCGCTATTTTCATACCAGCTAATAATAAGTCTAGATTATTTGATATTGGGGGAGTCTGTGTACGAGGATTTCTAATTTTCCATTTCTTCTTTGGGTCCTATGCACTTTTCTCTTTTACAAGCATTAAGGATTGAAAGTTTCAATTCCATAGACCGGAACTGCTGCTTGATAGTTCGCGCTACTCGCGTTCACTTTAAGATATCTATCAGCGCCACCTTCATAACAAGAACCCCTGGTACTTGGAATTTCGATTGAAATACAATGCCTTCGTACTATATATCAAGCAAGTAAGCTTAATGTATACATCCTCACCTACGTCACCTTACACCCCAGCTTCAAAGACGACACCCAAGTCATCCTCATCTCACAACACTTCTTCACAGCACAACCACACTTCTCGATTATCCCTTCTCATCCAAAATCTATTCTCAGTTACATTCCTCCCATTCCGCTCTATTCAACCCCAGCCCAACTAATAAATACCCTCCAGGTCGTCTCCCCCCTCCAAGCAATCCTCGACTACGAACTCTCCCTCGCCATCCCCCCCGGCTGGGTAAACCACTCCATATCATCCACCGCGCCTACCGGCACATGGCAAGCTCTCGAACGCGGCGAGATCCTCCTCGACTCCCACTTCTTCCGCGCCTTCCACAAGGATCTGCACAACCCCGAGCTCTGGCGCTCCTTTTACCAAAACAAGCGTAAGCCAATTCATATCTTCCCTACTCTCTGCTTTTTCAAGAGACCTTGTCCTATATCGTATCGACATAACATAACTTATCTTGACTTATCTTGACATATCTCAACCTAACCCAACTCAACAGATCCCAACACACCCATCCCCCCACTCCCCGAAATGGACGTCGAAGCCCTCTTCTGGTCAATGATGCGCGCATCCCGCCACCAAGACCCATGGATGTATCCGGCGCTCAACAAACTAAAAAAAAGCGGTAAATACATCATAGCCGCCCTCTCCAACACCGTCATCTTCCCGCCCTCGCACCCCTACTCCTCGCACACCAACACCATACACGCCTTCTTCGACGTCTTCATCTCCTCGGCACACGTCGGGCTGCGGAAACCCGAGCCAGAGATCTACTACCTCGCACTACGGGCCGTCGACGAGTTTTCTCGGAACAGTGGGCGGGGAGAAGTGCAGGCGGACGATGTGTTGTTTCTCGATGATATCGGGGAGAATCTCAAGGCGGGGAGGCGGACGGGGTTTAGGACGCTGAAGGTAGGCTTAGGAAGGGCGTTTGAGGCGGTCGATGAGTTGGAGGCGATTACCGGGTTGGAGTTGGGGGGGTCGCATCCTCTGGTTGCTGTTGAGCCGAAGATTCCTTCATCCAGTAAGCTTTGACAGTCAGGGGTCGTTATACATATACATAAATATATATACAAAACCCTTTTTGGAGAGAGTAGAGTGCAGTTTTAGTTATTTACTATATGTAAGATTACAACCTTATAAATGCGGCTCGATTTTAGTTATTACCTATATGCAACTTTACGGGTGTGGGTTTTAGTTATTTCCTATACTGGGGCTTCTACTCATTGGTATACGGTAGGTAGGGTAGATAGTTTAAACCGCATCGAGGAATGAAAGGAAATGTGGAGTGCGAGCTGGATTCTAGGATTCGGTTTTTATATATACTGTATGTATGTATGCATGCATGTGGACGACAAATGTCTTAGCACCGTATTGACCTCTCCATCTTCACCCCACTCCACCTCAAGCGTATATACCTATACCGTACACCCAATCTGCTTTACACACATCAAGTAAGCTAGCTACAACATACATCTATCACGTCATACATATATATATTTATATCTCCAGCACCAAGATAAGAAACAGATAGATTTTTTCGCCCACTCGCTGAATATACAACAAACAAACCCCTCCCTAAACAAACGCCAGAGATCCCCACTCCACACCTAATCCACTCCACCTAACCCAAGCTCCCTCAATCAAACTCAGCTCTTCCCCGCCTTCTTCCTTCCCCAAGCCTCCCTAACGCTCCCAAACGCACCAAACAGCCCACCCCGTCTCAAGCGCCCCGCCATCCCATCATCTCCGCGCTCCCGCTCCCTCTCCTTCCCGCGCTCTCCGGTTCCTAGTATCACACTAATGCCAATTAGAGCGGCACCGCGCAGATTAGGCATAGAGCGTGCCTTGCTAAGGGAGCGCGGACGGGGCGACGGTGCGGTGTAAGCGAGGGGCATGATCTCACGATCCGCATCCGCCATTGCAAACGGAGTGTAGCTTCCGTCGCGCGGAGATGTACTTGGGTCCCTAGGCTTGGAGTTGTGTTTCAGTGTTGCTTGAGGAGGGTAGCAGAGCGTGGTTGTGGTGGGCGTCATATCTCCTATCCTGCTATGAAAGGCCATCTCGAGGATCTTCAGATTCGCTTTCGGGCTCTCCATATCACAACCATATACCACCACGCAATCGTGATCCTCTTGGAGCTTCTCTGTTGGCGCTTTGAACTTTGCCACCATCTCTGTGTGCAAATCTGTCTCTTGGATGCCGTATAATGCCATCATTTGGACCCGCAGTTGCGCGGGGAATGTATCGCCTTTCATGTTCATAAAGTCGATCATGAAGCCGCGGATCTCACCAGAGTCTTCCGCTTTCTGCATGTGTCGTGTATCGAGCGCTTGTGGTATGAGAAGGGTTTTGTCAATATTTTGCACGAGTGGCTTGGCGAGGGGTTTATGCGGTGGGCATGAATTTCGGATACTTCGGATATCTTTGAAGGTATTTCGTTGCTGTTTTGACTTAGTGGAACGTTCATCGTCGGGAGCCGTGAGAGTGATAGTTATCGGTGTTCTTTGAGGATTTTCGAAAATGATGGATGGTTTTGCTTTGCGGTCCGGAGATCTAGGCTTCTTGGTCGCATGTTTGATTTTCAGTTTGGACTTGCACTCTCGACTTTCTGACACATGGGTCATGGTTGCTGGGTTGTGTCGCGAAAGAGATATATCGTGAAGTCGCTGACTGAAAGAATGTGTCGATACTTTGGAGACCTCCATTTTGACCTTCTTGACCGAACCATTACTAGCCTGAAGCCAGATCTTGGATTTCGACTCCGCAGAGTGATTCTGGTGACTTACAGCAGGTTTCTGCAGTTCCAAGAATGTGATAGAGCTGCTGTATATATCCAAAGGTATACCTAATGTATGCTCAGAATGATGCAAACTTTGAAATGGTGGAAGATCCAGTCCGTTACGACTTTTGGACATACTCCTGCTTTATTGAACCACTTTCAAGTATTATCTTCTCTTTGTGAGGATCTTGATCAGAATCATGCTCGGAACCATCACTATCAAGACTTGCCTTGATGCCAAATGCTCTGTAATGTGGTTAATAAGATTTATTGGCCAAGGATTATTGGTAAAGAATTGTTTACTTGTAGTGCTGCGCAACAATTTATACCCAGACGAATCGCTTCATCAATTCCTACGCCACGGTAATTCGACCCGAAGTTACACAGCCATTTCCCAGGCAATCGAGAATGGGCGCGCCCATAAAGTATCCTGTCCGTTTTCCAAGCAACTTTAGATTTCGTTCATGAGCCGGATAGTTTTGGCACAGGAAGAAAGATAAAATAAGGATAGCAGAAGAGGATTCCAAATTTCGCAGATTGACCTCTTACTTCGTATCCTTGTATGACCACGGGTCGCCCTTTGAACCAGGTTATTGTTGTGAAGCCGCAACGAGATGGAGATCGTCAAAACCGGAAAGTAGCTGACGTCGGCAGCGGGGACAACAAAGTACCCGATTCCAACACTACAATTGAACTGATAAAAGGCGCTCGCCGACATTTTGTTTGTGGTTATGAGCTGACCGTGAGGTAGGACAAATACTTATCGCTCTCCGCAGCCACGCCATGTTGCTTGTGTATGCCCCAGGTCGCATGGGGAATATCAATAAAAGCACACTCGCGCAAGTTCTTGGCGTGGGGTACGTGTACTTTATGGAATCAAGCATCAGATTGCAAGCCCGAGGAAGTCAATTTGGTTCTTTGCTGCCATTCCTTCCAGCTTGACACGTCTTGTTGGTCTTTCTCGTCCTTTGACAGCATCATCCGGTCGGTGAATGGGGATTTGGACTCGGCGGGGAACGTCACTGCCACTGCTTCTTCAGGTGGAGGCGTTAAATCGGGAGAGCATGGCGTTACTAAAGGGCTGGGTGGTATTTTACGGGTATTGAAGAAGTTTGTTTCGACGGCGCTATCGATCTGTTAGTATAGTAATGTGTATATCGAAAAATGGATACGGGGTAAAATGCTGATATACCTATTGAGACTACCGATTTCTTCCAACACGACGCTGCAACTTGCATTGTGGTGATTCTGATGGTAAGAAAGCTCGTCGATTTTTCTAAAATCAAAGTTCAGTGGTGACATTTCACAAGATACCCTCGAAGATACGATGCGATGTAGGAGACCTACGTAGAGCATGGCAAGTTGAATCTGAAAGATCCTACTACTTTCCGCTTTCCGCTCCTCGATATTCTTATGCATCTGATTTCGCGACGCCATCCAATTAGCAGCAGTCTTCACGCGCGACATCTTGTCGTAGCTATTCCCACCAGTAACATGCGCAGCGGCCCTCCTCAGCTCCCTATCCATCCCCCGCATGCGCTGCAAAGACTGACTATACAGGCCTTGGAAGTACTTGAAATCGCCGGTCCCATACGTCCTATGCGGGTGGCGGATTTGGGATGCGAGGTAGGCGTTATTGAGCATGTCGGTCTCGGTCTCGAGGAAATCTATCTTTTCTAGAAGGCTAGACACTTCGGCTTGCGTATCAATGGCGCTTCTGAGGCTGATGGCTCGGGCGTAGAAGCCTGCTGTTAGGGCGAAGACGAAGGTGAGAATGCCGGTGAGGCTGGCAGCAATGGAGAGGGGACTATCTTGGGACATTACGACGGACGGATGGGATGGTCAAATGGGATAAAATACTTTCCATAAGACTCAATATACGACGATATTTCGTATCCGATTAAAGGATTCGGGGGCGAGTCTGCCTGTACCTGTTTGTACTGTACCTACCTGTACTTGTACCCCGCATCCGCGCCGCTTCCCCTGCGGCGAGCCCGTGGCCACCGAAATGCAGGCAGGCAGATAGCCGTGAAGGAGCACGTTGCCGTCACGTTCTGCGGCTGCGTGATGGTACACCATATTGTACGCCAGCCCGAATGTTCAGATGTCACAGCAGTAGAATAGGAGAGAAGATACTTGTGTAGACTTTTCCATATCGGACGCTGTGCCTTCCCGCTGTCAAGAAAGCTTAGCTATCCGAAGCTAGAATACGCCTCCTTTCTCACTGAGAAAATGATACAGGACTTGATTTGAGGAGAGCGATGTGGAGAGAAGTGTGAATTCAACTGGTGAAAAGAAAATATAAATTTCTGCCAAGTGAGATACTTAACTTGGTAGAAATCAAGTTCTCTCTCTCTCCCCCTGTCTCTCTTTCATATCTCTTGAATCTTGTTTATGATGAATGATCGTCTACAAGGATTTGGCGGGTACTTGGTACTAGTGATGACAGGCACAGGAGATCCCGGTACCTGATTGTTGTTTGCCTTTCCAACACCAGAGTTGACTCGAGGTAAGACTTACCAAAAACCCAAATATACTAATATACCTAGGTACTAAGCATACCACATCACATGGGCAAATTTGCATATATATCTATCTAAGGTCGAGGTACTGTAAAGGTAAAGTAAAATAAAGATGGACACGCCTGGGCCCGCCAATCACACCAGATATTGCAACGCCACCCCACCAACACGAAGTCGCTCCTTCAAACGATGCTGAAACGGGTGTAGACACAAACGTAGGTAAAGCAAACCTCACCCAACACTTAAATTGCGCTCCAATTCATATATATTATTATCTGTCCACTCTCACTCCCACTTTTGGCGCTCATACGTTTATGCATATCTCTTCTCTTCTCCCTAAATATTCACTCATCAACAACTTCACTCTCAACACTTGCTTGAACTGGCTGGTCTTTCAACGGGGACAACAACGCGAAATCCGCAAATATGGCTATCGCATCTGGCTCTCTAGCTGCTCGAGAAGTATCCGTTGCTTCCACATCCAACGATACCCCAAAGACGAATGGACTTGATTCGAAAACACTGGCAGCGCTTGAAAAAATAGACACCTCGAGGACATCTGAACAGGATTATACGGATCGCGTTGACCATACAGCAGAGTTCAATGGCGATGTGAACACGAATGACGAGATCCCTACGCAAGAAACCTTGGCCCGACTCGAGAAGTTGGTGGTGCTGGACAAAGACGGCATAACAATCCCATTCAGAGATCTATACAATGGCCCGAATGTGGCGAGGAGGGTATTGATAATATTCATACGGCATTTCTTCTGCGGCGTAAGCGATTTCCCTCCAATGCCCTCTTTCACTCTCCGTGGCCCCAGCTAACAATCTCTCCCCCAGAACTGTCAAGAATACATGCGCGCCATCGCCTCCTCCATCACGCCCTCCGACCTCCTGCACCTCCCCACCCCAACCTTCATCGCAGTCGTCGGCTGCGGCTCCCCCGCCCTAATCTCCATGTACCAAGAAGCCACATCCTGCCCCTTCCCCATCTACGCGGACCCGACGAAGAAAACCTACGAGGAGCTCGGCATGCTGCGCACCCTCAACCTAGGCACGCACCCCGAATACATGCGCAGATCCCTCATGAGCGCCATGGTGACTAGCTTCGTGCAGAGCCTCAAGCAGATCAAGGGCGGCAAGGCGTTCCAGGGAGGCGGTTACCATCAAGTCGGCGGGGAATTCCTCTTCGAGCCCGTGAACATGGTGACGCCCATCTGCAGCCCCGATGTCAGCAGTGCGGACAACGAGCGCAAGATGCTTGGGGAGGGGATAGGAGGAAGTGGGTATTTGGGTAGCGGTGTTGGAGAGGAGAAGAGGGTTACATGGTGTCACCGCATGCGCAATACGCGAGATCATGCCGAGATCCCCGAGTTGCGAGAGGTGCTGGGCCTAGATGGCTGTGGGGTGCCGGGGAGGAACAAGCGGCGGTGGACGCTCGCGCTGGGGAAGAGGAAGGGCACGGGGTTGACGGAGACGGAGAGGTCGAGTGTGAGTATGAGTCTGAGTCGGAATGGTGGGGGGAGTACGAGGCAGAGCAGTGAGCTGCTGATGAATAGTTCCAATATGGTGCGATCTGATGCTTGATGCGGAAGATCTACGATTTACGATATACTAGACGAGGGAGCCGAGAGTGTTTGGGCGGGCGTTGGATCGATCTTTATTATCCTCTTCCTTGACGTTTGTTTACATGGCGCTATTTATATTGGTCTTCTCCTAGCTGGTCTGCGATACCCATGCATTATCGATCGATCGATTCAATAAATGAATCTCATATTCCATATCAAGAAATGAATTCTTCCTCTTCCTCTTTCTTTTTCTCAGATAATAAACAAGATTACATACCCTCCATACCCATCCTCAATCATACCTCACTTCCGCGCCACTCTTCCACGCCACAAACGCTATGCAAATTCCCCATATGCTATTTATTTACTAAACGTGCCGATGCTGGGACCTTTATAGTGTCGGGAAAAGCGGAATCTGCTATCTGTTACGATGATATTAAGAGCTATACCTACCTACATACATGACCAAAACAAACGGCACCGCCTCGCAACTCCCGGAATCGCTATGTAGTATGCATACGCGTACATGAAAAAGCTCGCGGGGTTCTAGTAAATACCTACCTACCCCACCGATCCTGCACGCTCAGACCAGTTCCAACGAGAGATGCAGTAGGCACTTGGCCAGCACTACCTTGGATACCTAACTACCTTACTTAATCATCTCTATGCCTCCATTTCCTCCTCCTCCTCCTCCTCCTCCTCGTGCTCCCATGCACATCCACCGCCCATAACCGCCAACAGATCCGCTACTTCGCCCTGCAATTCCACCTCGTTCGCCTCCCTATACTCCCCTAACAACAAAGCCAGCGACGCACCCACAGCTTGCACGAACTCTGCTAGTAGCAGCAGGCGTTCTGTGGTGGCCGTCTCAGCACTGCGGTATAGCGTGGTGAGGAGGTCGGAGGCTGCGTTGCGTGTTTGTTCGCGTTCGCGTTCTTGGTCGTGTGGCTGCTGGTTCTGGGTGTGCGAGGGCGAGGGCGAGAGCATGGTGGGGTGCATGTCGTGTGCTATGAGTAGGGCGCGGATGAGGGCTTTGAGATTGAAGTGCGTTTCTGCTGCAGAGACGGGATGGCGTGGAGGTGTGTTGGGTGCGGTGCGTTGGGGAGTTGTAGGTGAGGCGTTGGGTTCGGGAGTGTGCGATGGTGGTGTGCGGTTGTTGTTCATGGTTTGGTGGGTGGGTGGGTGGTGTTCTTGTGAAGTGGTTGTTGAGGACTTCATTCAGCACTCGTTCGTACAGGCGGGAAGGGGGTTCTTATATATCACGTATTTCCGAGACGGGGTGAGTTAGCTCTGAGATTCACGTTGTCTCTGGAACGCTAGGGTTTGGAGGGCGTGGGATAGAAGAGTGGAAAGTTCCAGCCCTTACAGTATAAAGGGGTTAGAATCACCACCCAACCCCAAGAGAAGTGCAAGTATCCGTCCCAAAAAGCCATATTCCAGCACGACGCTGCCTGTTCCCGAGCTCAGGCAAAACAAGTCTCAAGCACATAATGAAATAAAGAAGTTCAACTTGAATTTGAAACACCTTGGACTTCCAATGGATCTCAAGAGACAAAGAAATTCCTTGAAACTATATCAAGCTAGGCACTTCTTAACGGGTCGAACTTATCCTCCCAAAAAGTCTGGAGTTCTTCCTTCTAGCTCTTAACCCCTAGCCCACCTTTTAGGTGGGATTTCTTGCATCAGAGTACAGTCTCGTTTATCAAATCACTCTTGTACGTATGTATATATATACAAGCCAAACTGGAAAACAATACTCCAAACCCAACGCCCCATCTCTGCAAATCCGCCACAAGGTTTTGGCTCTGTTTAGTATATAAAGCTGATTCGGAATGTAGCAGACATGAATGATTTAAATTTGGGTATATTTGCAGGCCAGAGCCCCTTTATGATCCTCGCTTAATTATTAGTGTACGTTGAATGAATACCTACTCCCTTGCGCTGGACAGAAAAAGCGGCACTAACCTAGGTATCATGAACTTTTAATATGCTTTTTGCCGGATATTGATAATGTAGATAACCTCCACCGTTCTAACAGCCCATCTCCTAAATACCTCTGGCGCCGGCGGTTTCTTCCCCTCTTCCATAAACTCACGATACGCATCCTCAGACACCTCTGTTATCTTATTAGAATTCCCAATCCTCCTCTATGTATTCTCCCCTACACCCACTGGCTCGAGGATAAGTGCCCAGAGCCCAAGATTACGAACCATTTTCCCCGTCTCCGCAGTTCGTACCTGTTCCGCTTTCGCAGAAGCAGCTATGGAGATTGAGGCAGCGCACGCAATACGGACAATACTGATCACGCACTTCCCTCACCTTATTCCATGCTTGCCATAGAAGCAGTACCATGAGCGTTCAAAAGAGCTGAGATGATAGACGGAGGAGTTTGGGCCTGAAAGATATGCCATGCCGCAGCGGGTGGTCCCAGAGAACAACTCTGTCGACATCGTAGCGAGAAGAGTGCAGGCAGAAGAACTCACTCACTGCATCCCCCGCTCCTGTCCATCTCACCTGTAGTGAATTTCAACCTTCACTCTACCGTCCTATCTCTCATACACGTGGATCTCTGAGCGTCAACCGCCCTGTTAGACAATGATGGTCACAAAGAGGACGATAAATAGAGTCAAGGCTAGTATAGACGTGATGGGCATATAATTATATGTGTGTATATAGAGACAGCTAAGCGTGGGGTGCAGAGATTTATCCTATAGAGCTTATTTAAGCAGCTAAGTTCAATAGAAACAAAAAACCCCCTTACCCCAAAACCACCAGTTGTCTTTTCGGTTTAGCTTCCATCCACTTTTCCTCCTTGATACTCGCGGTACAAATTCGATACGCAATACCATTCTCAAAAACGACCTGTAATACAACTTTCTCAGGGGCGTTTCCAGGCGTCGCGTTAGTTGCAAGAAGTACAAACACAAACTCGCCCTGGCCTGCTTTGCATATGGCATCATTTTCATCGCTCGGGGCACACCAATCTGTCTTCCCATCCGGGTCAGGCTTCTTATCTGGGCCAGTCTTTCTCACCAGGCCGTCTGCGGTGCTGTTAATCTCGAAATGGTAGAATTCCGCATCGTACCACGTTTTATTCTCGACCAATATCGGCCCCACTACACAGAATACGGCAACCTCAGACCAGAAGGCGACCAATTGGTTATCGGACTTTTGCTGAAGCACTTCTTGAGTCAAGAGTGGGCATTCAGAAAGAATGGATTCTAGTGTGACGATGTTAGGACTCTGCGGTCGCCAGTTGCCAGGCATCCGAAGCGTTGGCGCCTCTGTAGTATCGCTTGTTGCCCTCGATACTTTGACTACTCGGAGTGGGGAGTCTCGCAGAACATAACAAACGATATCCTCTATCATACTGCATAGTCGAATTGGTAAACAAGTATCGATACAAAAAAATAATGAACGTTGAATGATCTGACTTACCCCGTCTCCCTGTATTGATCTGTGAAGCGGAATTCAACATTACCAATCCAACCTAGCCATGTCCAGCTTGGAAAAGGGACGGAGCGACCTGAAGTTGTGTGAGGTAGTACTGTACTCTCTTGTCTGCGTTTGAGGGGTGAGCCAACTGTTCCCCCATTTCTAATGCGGACATGCCGCGTCCAGCATAGAGCGAGCTCGAATCGAGTTGCCGGTGTGGCCCAGAGGAGATATTCACCAGTGATGCGACTAAACTCCTGTAGGATACCCGTAAAGGCATTATACGCATCATAGGCCATGGTGAGTTCACGGGACGAGAAATCGACCATCTGCAGCCTCAGTTCGTCCCAAATATTTCTTGTGTCGTTGTTGTGATCGCTGGCCTCTATCGTTTGGGCATCGACTATCAAAAATCCAGATCCTGCAGTGCCAAGATGAGAAAAATGTGGCACCGTAAAGTTCTCCTCAAGAAAGATGTCCTCAGTCCAGGTGGCCTCCCGACAGCTCCAGAAGACTTGGGCTTCCCTGAAGACCAAGGTCCGTCTTGAAATTGCCTTTTCCTGCAACGTCCACCCTCGGGTCTCCCATTTGGCGCCAGACATGTAATTTGACAGCCAAAGTCCAGGAACGGTTGGTGATCTGATTAAATGGAGCCCATGCGACCTGGCCGTGCTGTCCTGGACCTTGATCACGTCTTGATGGAAGGTGCGATCTTCAAGTACCCCGGGTAAACCAGCTTCAGCATCTTTTCCGGCTGCCGCTATAATTGTGAGCTGAGCGTGCCTGTATATCTGACCCATGAAGTTGAGATGGATTCCTTTCTCCTCATGGTCATCCTGCACGATACAAAGGGCGTCCACCCACAGGTACTGCACACCCAACATATCAGTCACAGACATGGCGTCTTTAATAGACTTAGATAGGGCACCATTCAGACTTCCAAGCTTTTCGAGCATAGCCTTGTTCTGGTGAGTGATGACAAGTTTTTGAGGAGTCTCGCCCCAAACATAGCTAAGAGCTAGGTACTTCTGGCTCTCGATGTGGATATTCCTGAACTTGACGACTGCACATGTTCTGACATCGATAAGTCCAAAGACATTTATCTCGCTTGATTCACTGGTTTCAGTAAGATTAGCCTCTCGTTCATCTATTCCAGTATGGACTACGAACTAAGTTGCAGATATCGTGCCACAGCGTGCCCCGTGCTTTGAAATACACTCTCCCATCCATGCGTGGAACATTTCTGGCGAGACTCGAGGTTTCGTAACACGGCCAGAGAGAAGAAGTCCATCGTCTGGAAGGGTTTCATCCTTGAAAAGAGACACTGAATGTTGCATATCGTATGCGTGGAACGCATGATTAGCATATATAAGTTTTGGATAGAAAGTTTCACTATTGGCCGTAGCATCCCCCCAGCTAATAGTGAGAGATCTGAACAAAAACCCGAGATCCTGTGGTTGTTTGAACCCCATATACTCTAGCACCGAAGGAGCAACGTTGTTTATGTTTCCCGGTTTAAATTGGCCTCTCACTCCCAATATCGCATTGCAGACCATGTCAGATGTTACATCTTCTCTCGCGCGTTGGGCTTCATCATAAAGCCTTGAGATACATGTGCAGAGGCTGCAAGAAAGTGCCGATTCCTGGATGCGGTTCATTGAGCCGAGTTGCCATTCTGTTGGGCCCTCAAGGTGACGCTTGAATGGATACTGGCCAGTAACGTCAAGCCGGCCGAAAGCTGTCGAAGCTCCCCCACGGTTGGAAGCCGGATCAAGTCGAAGTTAATTGAAGAGCAGAAGCGACAGAAGTTCACTTGAGGTTGTGATTCAATATGCGCCATTGAAAATCGATAGAGCTACTCCCGTGGAGGCGCAGGATTATACGTAAAGAGGAACTGATAGCGAAAATAAAGAAAATCGTTCGATAAATACCTTACTGCACCAGCTGCCACCAGGCTGCTTATGGAAGCACCTAGCTGCCTATCGAAACCAAGGATCTCTAAAGGTTCGTTTGACCCTGACGCCTAACGGCGAGATTCGAGTTCCGTATTACTGTACTGTTGGTGCCGCATTATGCTGAGAAGTTTTTGCTGCACTTGTCGTGATACGCTTTTGGCGGAACAAGTCATAATTTGCGATATACTAGTAGAAGCCAATATCTAATAATAATAATAATATGCAACTTGCTACTTCTGCGAGCTATTTACCTCGTATTTGAAATTAGGAGTGGAGTTCTAGTCACGTAGACCGTAGTTAAGAACCTCCCGGAGTCTAGCTTATCTGGACTCTTTACCTCAATATACACCTACAACCAACCATCCTGCTGCTGGTGACACTAGCAGTCTAGGGGCTTTTGTAGGAGCATGAATGCTAGGAGGCTTTTAGCTCCAATATCCTTATCTCATAAATCAGACCCACGTTTAGTCTTTACGGCCTACCTTTTACTAGTAGCGCACTCTCATAACCCTAACAAACTAAAGGATTATATCTGCTTTGCTAACTACTTTATATTAAGCACCATCTATAATAGATTACCAAAACCGGGTTGCCCCCCGAAACTTCAAACAACTCCTGGAGGTCACATCCCAAGATAGCCTTTGAAAGTCTACGGTTGCACAAACTACCTTCTGAAATGAAGAGCGAACAAGTGCGAGTGGTCGATCCGTTATACGAGGTGGCTTGCGCGCCAGCCGCGACCCCCCAAAAAATCTCCTCCCCCTCAAACTGGACTACAACCGAGCTCAAAAGCTCTACAACTTCGTCAGGGAGGACGCTTGGACGTAAGCGCTGGTTCGTAAGCGTAGCAAGCATTGGACAAATTGAAAATTGCTGATATCTCGGGAGAGGTCAAGAGCAGTTGTATGTCTTCACTATCCGAGTCGAATCGTTTTTTTAACCCACGGAATAAGCTCAACAACAGCCGGGTCATCAACACTATTACTGTCACTATAGCTTCCCATCGCATAGCCGTTGAGAACAAAAAAGCCTATCTTCTCCGCCCAGTCCCCTTTGTGCTCCACGATCAGAACATAAGGGTAATAATGTCTACTCTCCGCCACCTCTCGTGGAGCTAAGAATATGCCAGTATGGAGTCCCTTCTTCGATTCGGCGTAAATAGAACTGTCTTCTGAACCTTGGGCTTCCATAATAGCTGCCCCCCATCTTCTCGTATCGCCACTGATGTGGTGACCTTCGCGGAACAGAAATTTTCGCGCGACAAATTGTGCAAAGTGAGAGAAATGCACCACGCAGTGATCCAGATGAATGGCAACAAAGCCGCTGGCAATTTTTTCTTGTAGGAAAGTTGTTCAAACTCGATCCAGGACAACTGCTCACCATCCTCCAATTCCACCGAGACCTCGAAATCCGTGGTTTTCATAAGTGCTTCTCTATTATCGAACCAATCGTATCTAACTCCTCCCGTCCATCCAGTCCACGACCAAGTGGGGAATCCCAAGCGTCTTTTGCAAGCAGTCTGCGAACGCCAGCAAAGTCCGAAGACGAAACCATCCATCATATCTCTTCTCGAAGGCTCATCCATGCCATTTGGAACATCAAGATGGAGATTAAGCGGTGGAACTCCCCAGTTATGATAGATCTCTTGACTCTCATACGCGCTCAAAACACCTTGAAAGCCTCTCAGAGCATCATAATCATATGTCAAATCCCTCTGACTATACAGCTCCACCGCTCGCACCAATCCTTGAATACCATCATCGGTTCCAAATGAGATTCTCGGCTTCCATTTCCGCAGGAGTGGTCTCTCGTCTTTGGCGTGTAGATCTACGGGGGTGTTCCGAATCAGAAAGCCACCTTGAGGTGGAGATGTGTTTTGTAGTGTGCCCCATACGTAGCTAAGAGCAACGTAATCGCAGTGGGTTGGTGCCGGTATAATTTGGCGAGTCTGACAATCAATAACGTTGAGCTCCTCGACATGATCATGGGGTGCTTTCTGACATTCGACATGATTTTCTTTGCAGTGTGCCAGTTGATCTCGAAAGTCATTGAAGTTAATCACTTTCGCATCGGCTGGCCATCCCAAGTCAGGAGAAGGCAGCGCACCGTACGAGTATATATAGCACTTATGAGATCTCCCAATACTGAATTCAAGAACTGCCAATGCAGTCCTCGATTCGGGGCTATGGAGTGGATTAGAAGGAGAGTGTGGTACAAGCAGGGCGAATTCGTCTCGACTAGTGCTTATAATAATGCAAAGGCCGCAATTTGGACCGTATTCTGACTTGGAATCATCCTCTGGGTGGCATGTCGAGCCTAGATAACTGCATATCGGGCCTACATAATTGATTTCAGGACTCCGCCCTTTCCCACCCAGGATCTTTTCAAATGCAACATTTTTGCATCTTTCGCATAAATGTTTCTGGACTTCTATCAAAGAGTCTCGGATTCTATCGTGCCAACGATCTCTGTCTTTAGGCGACAAGGCCCATCCATTGATGTTACCGCCAGCGGTCACTATCTCTTGCTTTTCAAGTCGAGAGACAAGTTCGGCCATGAGATGCGCCAGCTTAGTCGAAGGCGAGTTGATGATTGCCAACGAGGCGCGAAGAAGGAAGTTTAGAAGCAAAATCTGTTTTAGATTTGATGCGGACTCGAGAATTGACAACTTGATCGAAATCATAGCCAGCGATGAGGCGATCAATAGCAAATTTCGCGCATGCATTAGTGCAAACGAGCGAATGATCATACTGTAAGTATACTAAGCGGTTTAACACGTTGAGGTTATCTCAGCCTCAGCTTTTCAGTGGCTCAGAGCTGGAACACCAAAACGTTTATGGACAGAGACATTTTCTTCAACCCATTTCAGAAATCTTAGACACGATTCGAAACAAGGCATAGTATTGTAAGAAGCACAAAGCATTGTCTGTTGCTACTTGATGAGCGCGTGATGTGCTGTGATGTAGGCTGGGAGAGGCGCAGCAAATTCGGCGCCTAGGTAACCGTGAGAACGGAAGGGTGCGGCTCAGCCAAAGCCGTATACTTTGTTGATCGAAGTTTTGTTGGTGGCGGCGATAAAATGAAGAATTCTTGCCTCGAATCTCAGCTAACCGCGCCCAAGGGGATGAATCCGTGCCTAACTTGATGTTTGAAGACCGCACTGTCGCGCGAATCTAAGAATATGTTGTAAAGAAAGTTTCGGGATCTTAAGAGTAAAACACATCATAGACATTTGTCAGTGGATTAAGTTTGTACGACACAACGCTGAATAGCTCTCCATTCTTGGGTAAGTTCAACTCAAGAAACAGGACGTCCGGTTGGAATTCTGTTTGCCAAAATTTCGAATCGTCGCCCAAACGTAAAACGGGTAAATTTTGTCCTAATACGTTCTAGGACTTCTCTCTCCTGCTCAAATCGACCAACTGTGATCCAGGTAAACAGAAACCATCTTGCCCGTGCAAATCGAGTCCAGGCTTGAGGGACGTGAAAGTTTTGCATGGCGGCGTATTCGAAGTATCTAGGATACCAGCCTGCGTAATCCCAATCTAGTACCCAAAGTCGGCCAAGATGGTCAATCAGAATGTTTCGAGGTGCAAGGTCATGGTGAGTGAAGACGAGACTATTTGGGGTAGCGGGTGTAAAGGTTGTTGATGGCACTGGGTCTTGGGCGGCAGTTTTCATTGCCTGTCCAATCGACGTAAAACAGGTCCAGAACTGAATAAAGGATGTGATGACTGCTGGGCTTGACTTGGGCGGTAGCATAAAGCGATCTTCGAGGTAGAACGATCTGCACTCGCCAGATACCAGGGATCCTGCTGTTGACGAAGTCAAAGACCTCAGAAGGCGAACAAACCGGCGAAGTTGCAGAGCAAGCTTGATTGTAGCAAACCAGCCCAATTTTGGCCATGCCTCCTCCAAGATTACACCGTCAATGCGCTCCATTATAAGGTAGGTGCTCCCATTGGACGTGACAATCCGCTTTGCGGCTGGAACGCGAACACTAAGCTGCGTCGCTGCTTCCATGGCCCCGATTGTGTCTTGAAGAAGTTCGAATGGACAATTTTTGGCTATGAGATTAGCCGAAAGAATGGATATTCTGCTGTAGTGGGGTAGACGGGGAGACTTTTGAATGCGTTGAAACAGATCGGCGTCGGAATAGCTTTGTAGCAATTCGACATCCTGAGGTATTATGCCGTCCGTAGGGCCTATCTGTTGTGTTCGAAACATATTTTAGAAGCTGATAAAAAAGGATGTCTGTTCAAATGGAGCGATGGAGCTTGGTTTAAGATTACTGTGGAGGGGCATAAACCACACCAAAATAAAGAGTGTATCCAAGGGCCAGAGAGGTTAGCAGAAATAAGTGTATTTGCAACTGAAGTGTGGTGCCGAGCACTACTCGAGTAGGCGAGAGAGCGAAGCTATATATACAGATCTATATCACGTGCCTAATCACCTGACCCACCCCATCTTGTCCGAAATCCAAAGTCTCATCCCTACCACAAAACCACTGGTGTACGAGTACGGGCACCAAGTCAGCCGCTAAGGTCAGGCCCCCGGAGGGAACTGGCCGTGATCTCAAAGCCTCACTGATGTTTGAGATCAAAGATAACGTACAGCCTCCCAGTGGAGATGTTCTGGTAATAAACAACTTTATGGGTGCAGTTTAATTTTGGCAATTAATAAATTATTGCTCGAGAATTAATAAACGTATCTAAACTGATCATTCTCCAGATCCGTCAAATCTAAAAACCCATTCTCGTAAGACTTTTGCTCATTCCCAGCCTAGCCATCGCGTCTCTGATTGTTTCTCTCTCTGGATAAAAATAAGATGCTCAAAATACTAATCACTTGGATACCAACGCAGAATAACATCATTCCGACCCCTAAATTATATGTTGGTGCCTGTTTTGTCAAGAAGAAAAAGGGCCCGACGAATTACCAAGACAGTAACCCATCAACAGGTTTTGAAATCTATGGAAGCTTTGGATCACCACTTTTGATGTTTTATTTAATCATCAAAAATTGTCTTGGGCGTTTTGCGTGTATTGTGTCTACTTTCAACAATTGGGAAGAGAACTGAAACCCGACTTTTGAAATGTGATATAATATTCCAATTGATAGATGACTCGATTTTTGAACAGCTGGTCCACAATGCTCTTCACTTGCTAAATAACTGGTCTTTTAATCACTTCCAGAATACCATCTCACATGCCCCCGGGCTACAGAGCCAAGCTGAGGTAGGCAAAACTTATAGGGAGTTTCTTGTCTCCTCTAATAAGCAGTCTCGATAATACCCGGGGAATTTTTTTTTAAAAAGCTGCGTGGCCAGATTCTGTGATCTTGTCACTGTGGACTTCCGTCCAGGTCTGGTTAAGCGCTATTTGGACTGCTGTTGCGAAGTCTACAAGCGTCCAAACAGTGAACGGCCAAGATCTTATGATACAAAATCTCAGAGTTGAAGCTAGCTAGGCACAATAAGTCTTCTTGGGAGCTCTGAGATCTGCAAACTGCAGAACATTAATATCAGTCTTGAAGCATTTGGTAGTACGGTTATTTACTAATTCCATATTGTTTCAAATTTAAATTACTCGATCCATATTGTTTAATGCATATATTACTTGATCTATACTATTTTAATTACTCGATCCATACTGTTTCTATGGATCCACACTATTTGAGGTTTTCTTACTAGAACGTTATAAAAGCACTATAGATATAGGTATGCCTCTAAGCAGCATGGCCCACTTATAAAAGTGCTGAGCTAATAGGGAGCTGAGAGCAGGTATTGCTTGCTATATAGGTAGATACTGGCTCTGCAGTTTAGCGATATGCAATAAAACATAGCACTTGCCTATTTAGGAAGCAGAAGTGTAAATCGGCGTTCGGGGTTTATATCTATAATGCCCCTACTTATTATAATGTAGAGCCAGTAGAAATGCAGGAGAGTAGTGCTATGCTATATTAGTATGTAGAAGTTATATATAAGTGAAGTAATTGCATTTTAGAAGGTAAAATACTATAAAAACAAAATAGTATGGATTGAGTAATATATGCATTAAATAATATGGATCGAGTAATTTAAATTTGAAATAATATGGAATTAGTAAATAACCGTAGTATCGCCTGAAGTATGCCAAGATAACTTCGCTTAAGGTCTTATTAGAAGACGAGACCGCAGCGTCCATTACCTTTGACAAGAGCACTACTATTATTTTCCCTAAAATGGATTTGAGTTTTCCGTGCCGCGCCGTAATAGACCGTGCGGTATCTAGAATTTATCGCATCAATAGCGATAGCAGTTTAGCGGAAAACTGGAACTTATATACAGAACAACTTTCGAGGAAAGGGCTAACGGCGGCCATCGGCCCGAGATCAATTCCCACCCCATGCTTGTTATATCTGGTGTCTGCCAGCTTGAGGTTGCTTTTATCATCTTTGCCACTATTGTTATCTTGTCTGGGCTTGATTGACTTAAAGAAAGACACTATGACGGCAAATGTGGCAGGATGGAAGTGGACGCTGATTGTCCCCATTGTGGCGGCAGCACTGCTATTAATCGGCTTAGATGGGATCCAACCAATTTTGAGTGGCCTCGGGTTGACAGAGAAGTCTGAGTTCTCATACCGACCTGCTGTAAAAATACAACAGGGTACTATCATTGGTAGACTTGTTACTGATGGAACTTTCCCGGAGCCGCTGGAAGGATTTTTGGGGATTCCCTATGCAGCCCCTCCAGTAGGAGATCTCCGATTCCGGGCAGCCGTTCCAGTTACAGCCTCGAACGATACTTTCGAAGCCTTTTACTTGGGACCAAGGTCAGTCTAGATAACAATTCCGTTGACACTACTATTAACTGTCATTCTAGATGTTTTGGGAAGCAGCTAGTGCCGTTCACGGGTGACGAGTGGTTGGGACCTGATGTTGAAAGCGAGGATTGCTTGAGTATCAGTGTATACAGACCAAAAGGCCATACTGCAAGCAGCAAGAAACTGCCAGTGGCCATGCTGATTCCTGGAGGGGCATTCAATAGAGGTGCACAACGGATGCACAATACGGCATCCATGCTGGCTTGGTCGACGTCCCCGTGGATTGGAGTATCAATGCAATACCGTATCGGGGTTACAGGGGGTTTAAATTCGAAGCTCACGGCTAAGGAGGGGTTGCTCAACCTCGGATTGAAAGATATGTATGTCGCGCTGGAATGGGTTCAAGAGAACATTGCCGCCTTCGGAGGTGACAAAGATGATGTGACGATTATGGGACTGTCGGCTGCAGCCCACGCTGTAAGTGTTTCGAATGCATCACATATTGATGTTACTTGATTGCTGGTTGGTTCCAGATTGGCCATCTTATCATGGATGTTAATCAGAAGAAAACCTTATTTCACAAAGTTATTATGGACTCTGGAGCACACACAGCTCGTGCAGTGCATCCTCCGGATTCTAAGCTTAATGAGCAACATTTCCGGCAGTTTGTAGAGCTTACGGGTTGCGACAGCCGATCTGAAGATACTATTCTCCCGTGTCTAAGGGCTCTTCCTTCATCTGATATTGTTAATGCTGGACAGACTGTGTTTGCTCAATCTGAACCTTCAGTGCGATGGAGCTGGCAGCCAGTCTTAGACGGCGATATTATCAGCCGCCGTCCTATCGATGCATGGAGATCTGGGATGTGGCGGAAAGTCCCTATTCTCACTGGATCGGTGCACAACGAGGGAGCCATGTATGTGCCAAAGTCGGCATCGGTTTCCGAAGACTTCACAAAAATTTTCACAACCTTGCTTCCGCACTTATCAGATGGTGACCTTGCAGAGCTAGAAGCGCTGTACCCAGATCCTAAGAAGTCTCCCAGCTCGCCGTATGTCGAGACCAGACCTATTAAGATCGGTGAACAGTATAAGCGTTGCGAGGCAGCGTACGGCCACTATGCGTATACGTGTCCAGTGCGACAAACAGCGATCTGGGCGAGTAAATCATCCCTAAACCCTCCAGTTTACATCTACCACTGGGTCCTCAATAAGACCGTTCTTTATGGTGCCAATCATGGGGATCAGGTGCGCTATCAGACCTATAATTCCGAAGTACGCTCTATATCTCCAGCACAGAATGAGGTTGCTGGATTTATGCATGCCTATGCTACCTCCTTCATAGTTACTGGCGATCCAAACACCATCAAGGGGCGGTTCCCATCTCGGCCAGAGTGGCTTCCGTGGGCAGCGAGCAAAAAGAACAGCGAGCAGACAATGGTGTTTGGCGAGGGGAATGATGAGAGGGCTGGAGGGCATGATTCTGGAATTCCAGCTGCTTTTCGCAAGTATTCTTGGGCAGAAAAAGAATGCGAGTTCTGGTGGAAGCTGACAGAGTACTTCGAAGATTGAGTGCCTCTCTTTCTTCCTGACTCTCGATCGTCGACCAAGGCTTCGGCCACACCTCCGAGGCTCCTCTCCCTGTTTTCCAAATATTCGCTCTTTATAGCGGTAAAGAATAGCCTGGGGAATGCTCAGTATCATCTTTTCTATTATTCCTTTGCAGTTACGTCTTTATATACTACTGCTTCTATATCTTACTGCTCCGAATTCTGTTTACTAGGCAATGGTACCATATATGATTCCTTGTAAAGCAGATCGAGTTCCTTATTAAGTCGAGCAATCATAAAATCATCCCACCTGCTACTATCTTAGTGTTACTGATTAAGCAAAGTATAAAATCCTAAATCCGGTCAAGGGGGTGGAGCCAGATTTACCGAAGATGGTGGTAAATAGCTAGCGTGAAACGGGAAACGGGAAACGGGAAACTGGAAACGAAAGACGGAAAGCGGGGAGCGGGAAGCGGGAAGCGCGAAGCCGTAGCCTTGACGGCAAACTTAACGGGTAAACTAGATTGTTATGAGTAGACGACTTCCTGACTCGGGAAATGTCTAGATCGTAGGCAACAAGGCAGTACGAAGAAGAAGGAATCGGGCGGCTTAGATACTCTTGACAATCAATCCAAGTCCAGCTGAGAAGATGCAGTCTACTCAGGAGTCATCCCAGGGCCCTCACCCTTACCAGTCTCTCGATATCGACGAACGCGTGGAAAGGGTTTTGAAAAGTACGCCCCTCTTTGACGGCCACAATGACTTGCCACAACAACCACGTTGTATATTCAAAGGCAAAGTTCATGACAATCCCAAATTCGATTTGAGGAAAGGATTCGAGCGTGGAATGACAGACATTCCCCGTCTCCGTGAAGGTACACTGAACAGCGAAATGCAACCATATGAATTCAGCATACTAAATGATATTTAGGAGCTGTGGGTGCGCAATTTTGGAGTATCTGCGTCCCCTGCTTACGATCCGCCGAAAACTTCTCTACGCCAGAATACAGTGATATGGCACGTGATGCGATTGAACAGATTGAAATGACACGCCGCATGCTTGAGGAGTGTCAGGATACCTTTCAACTTGTATTAGAGCCGGGAGATGTGAGACGGATTTATGATAGTGGGAAGATTGCTTGTTCTCTCACAGTAATGCAGCCGCTATTTTCGATACTCCGCGTAATGTGCCTGATGATGTACTTCACCTCGTCGCTGCCAACAATGGAATAGTCATGGTCACGTTCGTCCCGGAGCATTGTGCGACCAAACGCAAAGATGCGACGATGGAAATGGTTCTCGACCATTTGTTTCATATCGCTAACCTAATAGGTTGGCAGTATGTAGGTCTTGGTTCTGACTTCGATGGGATCGCCTCGGTTATTCCACGACTGGAAGATGTAAAATGCTACCCGGGACTGATGAAAGCAATTCTAGATCGGGGGGCGACGGAAGAAGAGCTAGCCCTATGTATTGGGGATAACCTTATTAGAGTTTGGACAGAAGTTGCGGCTAAACGCGATGAAATGAAGGCTACTGGGGTAAAGCCAGTCGAAGATGTTTGGGAGGGTCGCCAATGGTGGAGATATGATGGCTATTATCAAATTCCCGATCCAGATCCAGAAGATAAACTAGGATACGACTGGTATGGAGTGCCAAGAGTAGAAAAGAACTAGAATTATATAAGGAAGAATGTGCCCACCACGTCCCTATGCACCCGGTTTAGGGATGCCCTTTTCCGTGGCCAACAACTCCCCGTGCAACCCCGAGGAAAGATCGAATCGACCATCTTCATTCTCCGCAATTATAAATGCGATGGAAACCGCAGACAGCTTTCCGTCGCTTGCCTATAATTTCGGCGATAGTAGAAGTACTTGGCTAGTGGGCCTATATATACTCTTATACTATACAATACTTCCCTAAAGTGGCTAGCATAAGTTGATTTATCGAATTTTCAAGTCGATTTAGCTAAATCTAAAATGTTTCCTCTGATGGACGGGGAACTCAGCATGATAGTTGTTCTAGGGAATACGGTCTCCTATCTATAGTTCTCCGTAAAGGACGACCTTCAATTATGTTTACCGACGGACGGGAAATCCATGTAGTCTCCTCCATGTCAATAGTATCTCAACCATTCTAAATGTCTTATCAACGGTAATACGTATCTGCGATAGCAGCTTGCACAAGAATTAGCCCACGGTGAATGCTTTGTGGCGTCATGTGTATCACTGTATCGTGTTTATCGGATGGCTTCGGGTGAGGAGCACCACTGCGCTGAACGGCTTCTTTAAAGTACAAGAAGTTCAAAAAGAATGAATATTCTCCAATTGCCAAAATCATCCAATTAACCCCTAATATTAAAACGACAATATTGTGCGATTCTCAAACTGTTAAGATGTTCAGTGTTCTGTTCCTCGCCTCCGTGGCCAGCGCCGCCACATCCTGTTACGCGCCTACTGTTACTTTGAAGAACGGATACTACATAGGGAACTATAATTCCTATTACAATGAGGATGAGTTCCTAGGCATTCCTTATGCTCAGCCACCTATCAAGGACCTGAGATTTCGCGCTCCAGTCAGCTTGAATACTACCTGGTCCAGCATTAAAATGACGACTAGCTACTCACCAATAGTAAGTAGACTCCCTGTAGCGTGGCAAAACCTATATCTTGCTAACATATTACTAGCGACTCGCCTAAGACTGCCTTGGCACACATGAAAAGCTTGCTATTAGTGGAGAATATACAAATCTTCGTGGTGGGAATGTGAAAATCTCGCTTGACATGAGTTGCTTGGTTTGGAATGGTGGAATAAATGACTCTATGAAGTGGCATGCTTACTTGACGAGGCGCAAACATGTTCGTAATTCCCACGGATTGAAAGGTGACCGAGTGTCATCAACAAGGATTCTGGAAAGCACCACCCGCAAAGCCACAATCAAAGGCTTGCTCCTTCCGATTGTCCCTTTTGTATTTTGAAAATATCCAATGAATGGCACATAGCTATCCCGCATTTGCAACTTGCTCTCCACTTTTTGACAATTTGTTTTGTCATATATCATGGATCTCTGGAGCCTCGAAGATATACCATTCAACGTTTTCCATCTCAACACACAATTCTCCATCATGTATCACGTCTCTACGAGAACTGCCGGAGCCAGATGTTGCAGTTATAAGCCAAAACAAAACCGACCACTGCCATCAAGAGACGCTCACTCAGCCGCAACGAATCCAGGTCAGCAGCCATTGATTTCCGGCTGACCTCAGCCTCACTCATCATTAGTTACGAGATAGGAAGTCGGTGCCCTGCCAAAAAAACCCTAAGAGACTGAAAGATTTTGACTATCACAAGGCGTGGACTTGTATACAATGTTATCTTGCGTACAATTCCCTTCTTATCTGAACGGAGAGAGTTAGTCCCGGAGCTTTGGGTCGTCCTGGAACCACACGATCATTATCACGTACACTGTCTCTGACTGTGTTTGTTCTCTCACTGTTTAACGGATACTTTCTAAACTCCATGATACCGTAAGAAGCTATGATCGATCGGCCTCAAGAAAGAAGCCGTCAAAAAGAAATTGCCGGTAGGTCTTTTCTTAGAGGTATAAATACCATTCCAATTCCCCTCCTCCTTCGATTTCTTTTCTACCAAGATCATCCACAGTAGACATTGAGACTAACTTCTCTGCACCGCAAATCTATCTGAACTTCTTCAAACAACTTCTCAAATCAGAATGCATTTTCTTCTGAAAACTCTTTCCCTCTCTCTGCTAGCCGGAGCCGGCTTCACGTTCGCCAAACCTCCCACGGGGACGGCGACCGTCAATATCCTCGCTTCACCCAGGCCTCATGTAGCAGTAGCCTGTCTCGACGCCAACGCTCTAATCGTCCCCCTAGGAGAATGCGCTACCTTCACAGCAGAGCCTGCAATGCAGGGAGCTGCCATTATCCAGAATCCTGACGGCCTTGCTTGCGGCTTCAACCCCGACACCTTTGAGTGCGTCTCTGGGGCAGGGACCGCATTTGAGGTAAGTTTACGTCATTCAGATGCATTGCACGGTAAAGAACTGACGATTCGTAGCTTAGGGGACAAAATAATGTGTTCTCGATCCCCGAGACTGGCCCAGGAACGCTGGATAGCATTTTCTTTGAAAACACTACTACTGCCACTATAGAATTAACGAATGCCACCGGCTTGGTCACAATGCTCATGGGCTGGGACCAGATCACCAACTGATTGATGCAGGTCTTTTTTTGGAGATGCTGGGCGCGGGAATAGTTTTTGCACGGTGAGAGGATTGAAGATTTGCATACAACATACACTCGTTTCAAAAATGAATTTCAATGCCACTCGTTTTCAAATGAAATTCAAATGAATCAATATATATTTAACAGAAAAATTGACTACGTTTTATTTAAATTTGTCTAATTATTATATTTGATTTATTGATTTTAAAATATACGTTCCTTCTTTCATGTCAGCGACTAATGACTATCGATATGTTTCTCGTGGGTCTCTACCCTTGCGACAGAATATAAGTAGCACAGTACGCATATGCGAAAAACAATGTTTCTGCATTCAGCTATCGGTTCAATATCAAACCTGCAGGCCTCCCTAATGCCATTGGTATCACACATTTCCAGGAAGTGGCTTGGGTGTTTGACAATATTGATGGCGTGGGCTATGCGACAAACCCTTTCAACACTTCACTCGTGGGCAGGGATGCATATGTCAACGTTGCAACTTCAATGAGCAGAATGTGGGCATCTTTCATTCACGATTTAGATCCAAACAACCATGGACTGCCAGGCTATACTCAGCGGCCAAAGTACAATATTACTAACGGTGGCGTTGGTGATAATATGGTTTTTGACGCCAACGTCACTTCATATGTCGAGCGCGACGACTATAGAGTCCCAGGAATGGCATTCCTTGCAGTAAAAGCAAAGGAGCAATGGACACATTAAGTGTAATGGCACTAGAGATGTTTGTTCTCATTCTCTCACGTGGCCCGGCTCCTTAATGCCACTCGTGCCTGATTAGCGTGACATGCCCTGCGGGCCCCGCGCTTAAATCTCATCAATCCTCTCCCAACATCTCACCCACCACCTGGTGTAGACTCTCCCTAACCACCTCATCATCCCAATCATCAATCACAATCCTTTCCTTCCCCTCTTCCATCTTCCTCTCCACAAATGCCTCCATAGAATTTCTTTCCTTGTCACTTAAAAGATGTATTCGAGTCTTCCAAAGATCCTGTTCAGTTATGTGTTTCTGTTTAGTAAGGTCTTCTTGTGTAGGAGGGTCCTCCTGTCGAGCCAGTTCCTGTTGAGTCGGGTCCTCCTTGCTACCAAAGAATCGATGATCCAGGTATTTCCAGAAGATGGTATCAAAGGCCCAGCTCTTTCGAGCGGCGTAGTTGAGCCAGAATCGGCCCGTCTCCCAACTTTCACGCATATGTTTAGAAAGTCTAGTTGACGACGTCTCTATCCCCTCCTCGGACTTCTCGTTCTCGGCCGTCTCTATTGCCCGCAGCCAGGTCTTCAGGCGTACCTCATAGATCTTGGTCCAATCATCGATATCTGCTTTCCACCACTCGGGGATATTCAGCAGCAACCACCAAGGCGGGTCAAGAGCGAATTGTGTAGGAGCAATATATGAAAACTCCCAATCAATAATAGCAGCTATGTTGTCCTCTTTATTCAAAAGAATATTGCTCGGCCGAAGGTCATCGCACCAGATCCTAAAGGAGCCTGTTCCGCTAGGAGCGTGGGATAACGTCGAGGTTTGCCTCTTAACCTGAGATTGAGCTGACCAGTCGTCCTCTGCGAATCCAAAGGTCGATAGGTGGCCTTGTTTGGCTAGCTTAAGGAAGAGCTGACGTGCAACATATTTGTTTCGGCAGTCGTCTGCTGTTTTAACAAGGTCGTTGTGTTGGAAAATGAGTTGGGCCGTGCATCTCTGCTAGCGCGATGTACCAGTCATTTGCAGTACTATACGTTCTATCCTTGGATGGCAGAGCGGCAGGGGGAATATTCGCAATCCTAGAGAACCAGGCCGTTAGCATTTTCCTGTTCTAGAAGGAGTAATTTGCCAGATTATAAAGGGAGTTGGAGTACATAAGATGAAATGTGTTGAGATTGAGGACTTTAAATAAAAGGGCTGGTTGTTCTTACTGAAGCATACTGTTCATATTCTGAGTTATCGGTCGGCCTGCTACTTCGAAGGTAATTTCACCAGTCTGAGCCAGAGCCCCAATGCGAGAAAAGCTGGGTTTAAAGAGTTGTAGCAAATGGACCGCTATTTTGGTATACAAGCTCTCGAGGACATCCTCAGAAATGTCAGGATTTAACATATGATTTTCGTCAGGATCCTCCTCATTAGGAATATGAAGAACGTCCGAAATATCATTGCAGTTTTCGACATTTTGAATGATAATATAAGGCCCAATATCAGAATCTGGACTTGATACTCCGCGGAACAGCACTCGAGGAACTGGGATCTGGGTATTTTGTACAACAAAACTTGCTGTTGCGGCTTCGGCAAGAATCTTTTCGTCTGGGAACAGGACTATATTAGGTTGGGGTAGTCGCAGAGGAACACAATCGTTAATCCCCTCGATTTTCATCCGATAGAGGTTGTTGTATCCCCCGATATGGAACGGCTTAACCCAAGTTGCAGTCCTCTCAAATTTCTCAGACACAAAGGATTCCATCTTGTGAAGCGTGGAAAAGCTTCGAAAATATTTCTGTGACTCTTCCCAGGCCAGATCGTTTCTATCCCAGGCGGCATTGTCGTAATCTGCCCGATCGCCCATTGTAGCTATACGACAAATGTGTTTGAGAAGTGTCACAATGAATAATTTGTTTTGAGGCAAAAAACAGAAGTGATAAAAGAGGGATTACTCGAGTGGCAGAAAGTCCATAAAAGACGGATTGCGAACCCTTCGAGGCACGAGCCTCACTTGGTTATTTATAGAGCCGCTACTTGGCGCGTAATGACTCGTGCTTAAGAAAAAGTAGATCTTGCAAGAAAGAAGCACTTATTCTCAAAATTATATCCTTGAAGAACGTGGTACACGAAATTATTATTAGAGGCCCCTCTAATAGGAACGCTTGATTAAAATACTATTTATACCACAGAACCAAATCAGCAACTCGGTAACCACTTAGCCCCTAGCGATTCTCTCTTACCCCTTGGAAATATCCTAGACCTCTATAGCTGTTTTAAGCCCTATCTTCTAATAATGCTAAAACTATAAATTCTACTTTTTAAGAATTTCCAGTTCGGGAAATATCTAGATTAAATAATGAATATGTTGACCATTCTAGATCAAGTAACTAAAATTCCTAGGTATCTAGGTTTATATAAACAACAACCTACCAACCTGGTGAACCTTACTTTTATACCTTATAGATACTAGTTCCAACCTATAGTAGCATTATGAATACTCTTTGATGATGAGAGGTTGAAGGTTGATTGGATGGAGAAGAGGCTGCCTACTCAGCCTTACAGCCCTAGCCCCTCGGTACAGCATGCGCTAAGTAGCGGCCCACCCACCCGAGCCGAGCTACCTCAGGCTCAGGTATCTCCCCTCCCTCATCTTATACTTCCACCGGACTCATCATACCTTACCGCTCTACCTCACTTACCTACCTTTATGGCAAATCGACACTCACTCACTCACTCACCTTATCTATCCAATCACAAACGACGTCTCGCAAACTCGCGGGGGAGCTGAAAAGCACCGCTGCTCGCTTCCTAGGGGTCCCCATGCCACTCCACTTGCATGCATCCGAACAAGGCTGTGAGGGAGGCTTACCTTACTCCCCCACAATAAAAGAACGAACACTACTCCATACGCATGAACGAACGGTGAGTCTGCCTGATACACCACCGTAGGTACCTAGCATAGGTATGTCGGTACTTATGTCAAATGCGAGACGGTTACCTAGGTTTGACGGGTAGGCAGAAGTCTCCGCTATCTGAGTCACCGACGAAGTACGAGTAAATCAGCCCTGACTGGAGCTCTACCTATCTGGATGCTTAAATTGAAGGATATCTCTCTCACTTCCTTCACTTCCTTCATTTGTACTTCCGAGTATATCAACACCCCCTCACTCAGTCCAACTATCTCATACATACAATCGTACACTGCACTGCGCCTTTCCATTCATCATGGCCCTGGATACCTCTACCAAGACCGAGGACGGCAAGAACTATGTCCTTGTCGGAGACGAAACCCCCGAGACCAGCAGCAGCAGCGGCGGAGATGCTACGGCGCTTAAAGACGAGCCGGCGCAGTGTCCGGAGATCGTGTATAAAGTCCAGTACAAGGATTTCTCGGGCGATATCAAGGGAACCAAACTTCTCGATGCGCCGTACAAACTGAAGAAAGCATCGTGAGTCACGCCCGCCTGGTTCTGTGGCTGATACTATAGATAAATACAGAGGTGCTGACTTACTTACTTTTTCAGATATGGCGCCACCGGGACGCCAATTCTTGAAGTCTTGTACAGTGTCACGGTATGGTTTCCCAAGATCTACAACAAGGGCAAGGGAGGGGAGAAAGACACACTACAGGAGAAGGACAAAAACGACAAGGAGAACTTCGACGAGCGGTCTATGGAAGACAAGGTCCTGATTATCCACTCCGAGGCCATCATCAAGGCGCTCCGAGCCATCGTCGACTACTACCCCGGACAATCGCTCCTCGGCGACACCATCTCCATCAAAGAGCCCTTCAGCATCCTAGTGCACTTCCGCAAGGAACTGCAGGAGTACAAGGAGAAGTGCGGCGATGCAGAGGCCTTTCACCACATTACTATTCTGCAGAAATACCTCGCTGATAACCTGGGCGATAAGATTCTCGAGGAGGATCAGAGATATACGAAGCCGACGCCCGTCGCTACGTTCGAGATGCTGTGGATGCTGTTTAAGCCTGGTATGGATGTCTATGCGCAGCTCGATGATCAGCGTGGCGGGTTCGTGGTCCAGTCATGTGTGCCGCACCTCGATGGCCTCAAGTTCGGCTACATTGCACCCTTCAAAGTCATGATGTGGTACCTTGACTTCGATGGCCGGCTGGTTGGGCGGAGGCCGCACGAAGTGATAATCGCTCCCTTTGAAGGCGAGCGCGAGATCACGTCGTTGAAAGTGTTCCCGGCCAAGTTCCTGGACTCCAACACAGAGCTGTCGCCGAGAAGGAAGCTCGAGGATCGCGGTGAGAAGTTCTATAGCATGTTGATGGGCAAGCAGATGGACTACAAGGGCTACAGCATGGCAGCGGCCAAGACCCCAAAGCGTTTCCATGAAGGGCGTGTTGTGGTTGATCAGGGTTCCTTTTACACCTATGCCGATTGGGAGGAGACAGACAAGCACCCCGCGCCCGATCTCTGTGTCGATGATGACAACTCTGGTATCCTCGCTGGTCTGCACTACGACTGCAACTGCGACGAATGCATGTACACCCGACGGGCAGCCTCTGGCAACACAAAATGGGGAACCTACGAGAACCTCGACCCGCGCGATACTCCCAGCCTAGCCATCACCAAGGACGACGGCTCGATCGACCGGCACAGATACTTCCTCTTCCCGCGCCGAATCATGGGTTTCGATCTCAAGTCGAAGAAGTGGCAAGCGCTAGACGTAGACTGCTGCCGCGCGCCCAAGATCAAGACCGAAGCCATCGAGAACCTAGTCCTGCCCTCGGACAAACAAGAGCTCATCAAGGCGCTGGTGCACAAATACAGCTCCTCGCGCAACAGCAGCAAGAAGAACAGCAGCGCCGAAGCGACCTGGTCCGCGGACCCGATCCCCAACAAAGGCGAAGGGCAGATCTTCCTCCTGCACGGCCCGCCGGGCGCCGGCAAGACCTTCACGGCGGAATGCGTCGCGGAATTCACGTCGCGGCCACTGCTCTCGCTGACGTGCGGCGACATCGGCACGGACGAGTTCACGGTCGAAGAGTCCCTCAGCAAGTGGTTCAAGCTCGCGGAGATCTGGGGCGCCGTGATGCTGATCGACGAAGCAGACGTGTACCTGGAGCGGCGCGAGGTCAACGAGCTGACGCGCAACGGGCTCGTCAGCGTCTTCCTGCGCGCCATGGAGTACTACCGCGGCATCCTGTTCCTGACGACGAACCGCGTCGGCCACTTCGACCCGGCCTTCTTCAGCAGGATCCACGTGTATATCGGGTACCGGCCGCTGGACGCCGAGGGGCGCAGGAGGATCTGGGTGCAGTTTTTCCAGAAGCTCGAGACGGAGCGCGGGGACGAGATTAGTGTCAAGGCCGGCGCGAAGCGCTACGTGTTGAGTGATGATGTGCTGAAGGATATCGAGTGGAATGGACGCGAGATCCGGAATGCGTTCCAGACTGCTGTTGCGTTGGCTGAATACGAGGCGGAGCAGAAGGCGAAGAAGCAGAAGAAGGGTACGGAGGGAGAGGGGGAGGAGAAGAGGCTGGAGATTGAGCTGAGACAGGATCATTTTGAAAAGGTGGTGGAGATGAGTGATAATTTCAAAAAGTACCTGTCTACGGTTGATATGGATGGGAAGGGAGCAGATAGGGGGGATGACACTATGCTATAAGCTGTCAGTCGGAAGACTGAGTGCCCTATTCTACCCGCCAGACATCACTATGAGAAGTAGATTCAGGGAATGAATTTACATATTTAGTCATCTAAAAGCTATCATATTCGTTCCATCTAGGAACTTGTTGCAAACTTGAAGTCCCTCGTTTCTCGACATCAAAGCTCATCCCATCTCTCACCTCATACCACAAGCATTTAGTGAGAAGTGACTGCTTTTATGAAACTGTTTGAATGAAATGTGAGGGAACAGATAGTACTTTTGTGCTTTTATTCAACAAGCGCCAACGCCCAGAATCGACTAAAAATCACGGGCAAGAGGTCTTGCAGCTTGAACCATCTGCTCCAAACGTCTCAGAAGGCCATTTGGTTCCGCAACTCCCAGGCTAGTGATAAAGTCAGCACGCTCTTGCGTGTCCGCGACCGAGTAAATGCGAAGCTCATCCGCATTACCCGACGGGCGGAAATGAGCAACATCGCCATTGGAAAAGATGACGCGGACTCCATCCGTGTAGAGGATCTGGGTGACCTGGTCAAATCCAAATTCTGCAGAGAAGACACTTTGTAATTCTCGGCGGATCCTGTCAAGTCGCTCGGCGTGATGGTCCTTGAGTTCGAGCGTGGCTTGTTCAGCATCACGAATGGTGATCTGAGGGTGATAGCAGACGTCCTGGATGACATCTTCAGAAGGCGAAAACCGCTCTATGATCTTCATGCTTGTAGCGCGAGGGAAATTTCGAAGCAACGCAGCGCGGCTGAAACGGCGGGGCAGCGTAGCGAAGAGTTCTGGGAGCGTAATCTTGCGGTTGTGCGCCGCGAACAGAGCGCAGAGTAGAGGGAGGAACGCATCACGCGTGGGAAGAGCAGTTAGGAGATTGCCGTTGCGTTCAATGTCAGAGCTTGTGAGAAAGCCGCCATTGGCCTCCCAACCAACGACGCGACGACGACCTTTCGAGATGGCACGCTCCATGCCAGCAATCACATAGGGACTGCCAATTCTGGTCTTTGGTTCAGTGACAGGACCCAGAGGTCCACGATCTATAGCATCATTGGTGCTGATCGGGACCACAGCGGCATCGATACCCAAGAACTCAGCTGTAATCATGCCTAGAAGGTCGCCGCCGAAAAAGCGGAGCTCGTTACCCTCGGGAGCAATTATCATCGGACGATCGCTGTCGCCATCTGTGGAGATGATTGCGTCGAATTTCTCGCCAGTCTTGTTCACAAGTTCTTGGACTGTGTCAAGCTGGGCCTGGTCAATGGCTTCGGTATCAATAGGTACGAATGTGTCGCTGCGGCCGGCAGCAGTGACCTCGGCGCCAAGAGCTTCGAATATTTCTATCAGGAGATCACGCCCAACGGCCGAGTGTTGGTATGCGAGGAGCTTCATGCCTTGCAGCGTTTCGCCCCTGAAGAAGTCCACGTAACGCCTAATGTAGGCTATTTTACCTTTGGCTATAGGAGGCATAAATTTGGACCGCGCGGCAGCATTGCGGATGGTGCCATGGGCATCGAAGAGCGATTCGTTATAGGGCTGTGCGAGGAGCTCTTCCCGAGTAGTTGCAAGCATGTAGTTAATGCCCCCTTCATCCCTCTTCATGAGCTCTCCTTTGGAGGTATTGAGTTTGTAGCCATTGCGGTCAAAGGGGATGTGGCTACCCGTGACCATGATGCTACCCTTGCCATGCTTGAGGGCCCAGTACGTCAGAGCAGGCGTGGGAATTGCACCTAGGTTGATGGGACGCATGCCTGTCCTCCTCAAAGCCTTCTCGACTGCTTGACAGAGACCTCCACGGCCATTGTCGACAAGCTCGGTGGAGCTGGGTCGAAGGTCGTGCGCATAATAAAAGTCGTCGCCATGTATAATGCCACCTCTAGACCGCGGAATTGCTTGAAGGTAACGGATCTCGGCGAAGACGTTGGTGTAAATCTCAAGCTGAGTCAAATGAATAACTTCTCCGCGACGGCCACTTGTGCCAAATTTGAGAGGTTGCGGTGTGTAGACAAGGTGGAGACCAAGGGCATCCGTAGTGGCAGGCATGTTGAGATGTATGGGGGCGGGGGCGGGTGGCGGGGATCAACCACCGTTGTTATGGGATTTGAAGTATATGCGAGAACACGGAATAAATCTGTCTTGGATCAAGTAGTGAGCAATGTATTGTAATGGATTTATTGAGAATGCTTGTAAGTTTAAAATAAGACGTGATACAGTTGGCAAGTACTGTAAGCTACGAACTAAGCTCAACAAGGAAGATGGTCAGTGCCCAAATATCTAGTCCTTCGTATCCTACCTTCCTTTACCTGTAGGCTCATATTGCCATAATATTGGACAAAAGGCACCGTTTGAAACATAAAAGGTATTTCCTTTCGCTCGTTTGACCTGATGTTCGATTTCATCACGTTGAAGAGGGAAGAGACAAGAAACAAGTATGGTGAATTATTGATTAAGTATTAGGTAGCTGTCTAGCTCTTATTCTATGCCATTATATAACCGCCAAGGTATGTACAGGCCCAGGCTATTGTTCCTTATGTCTCATGAATCATGATCATGATGTAAAAATACCCCCTCGTCGCATCGTACATACACACTCTCAAGGTGTAAGCTGGCCTGGGCCTCTAGCAGTCTTCAAACAAGGCAGGAAATGTGGTGCAAGGGTATTATGCGTAATGTGTGTGGTATCGTGGTCGCTAATGTAACAAGAAAACGCTGATATGCGCCGTGGTCGGATGGAATCGCTCAAATAAATGCAGATTGAGAATAGGTGGTTTTAGAGAAAGTATGCAACTGCGAGACCGACAGCTGCGAGTGCACCACTAGCCGAGTTGGTGAGTGCGCCACTGGTAAAGGTTGAGGTTGCGGTGGTTGTTGGACCGACTGGAGTGGCTGTTGCTGTTGCATTGCTGCCAGATCCGCCTGTTGTAGTTCCATTACTGGAGCTGCTTGAGCCTGAACCAGTTGGAGAGCTGCCAGTTCCTGTTACAATAGGGGCTGAACCGGAACCGGAACCGGAACCGGAACCGGAGCCTGATGTGCCATTTCCAGGGTGACTGGGATAGCCGGATGCTGATGGGAGAATGATGGTGGAGAGAGGGGTATCTGGGCAGTATGTGGTTGTGAAAACCTCTGTGACTGTGACGCCAGCTGAGGTATAGATTGAGGTTCCCGTGGCGGTGATTGTAGTTGAGCCATTCAGAGAAGGAGAAGATGTGGTTGTTGGTAGGAAAACGTTGGAGCTGTGACGAGTTAGTCTGGATGTTGACGGGTAGGATGGGGAGGAGGCAACTGACGCTGTGAGCTGTGCATTGACGGCAACAGCAGATGCTGCGAGGATGACAGTTGTATACTTCATTTTGACGGGAAGATGAAGTTTTGTTTGTATTGGGACGTTGAGACGAACGAGTGTTGATGAACGATTTGAGTTGTGGAAGCACTTGATCGTGAACGACAGTGGTTGAGAGGAAGAAAGTTGTTTGTGTTTAGATTGAAACTTGTGATTGTGATTGTAATTGTGATATGATATGGAAGGAAAAGAACTTTGAGAAAGAGCATGCGACCCAAACTTTATATGTGAAAGAACAGTGAACGAGTGAGTGACGTGACGGTTTGCAGGTACTGTACGATGGGCGATGTTCCAAAAAAAGAGATCTTAGGCAGGGGGGCAGTGAGGGAGGCGCCGTGTGGCGCAGCTGCCCAAACTCGCAACAACACGAAGAGAAAGTTGCGACTCACTCTTCACCGCAGTACAGTACAGACGCGACGTTTCTTCGGACGCTCCGCCATACATGAGGGCTCGACTAGGCAACGACTTGGAATAGAGATTCTATTCTTGGAAAGTGTCGCATTGTTGGTTCTTTCTCTTTCTCTTCTGTTTCTCTTCTCCTCTCCTCCTTCTCTCCTCTTTCTCTCTCTCAAACCCTGCGTCCAAGCACCGACTTCGCACCATGACCCAGGATAATATATTGCTGTCCTAGCCGCTGCCGAGTAGTCATACGAGACACCACATTGTGTGGAGGTAAAGTGGCGGGATGCATTATGCTGACTCGACGGAAGCTGGTGATGTTTTTGATCGTATGTCGTCTCGGTAAGGTACGGACTGGACCTGACCTGGTACTGGACTGGACTGGCCTGGACTGTGCCTTACTGTGGCTGAAAACTTTACAACCGAGGACCCACTAATCTTCTATCTTCCCTTCCTCCTTCCCTCCTTTTCTATTGGTACGCGGGGTAACGGCTCTCTGGAGTACCTACGGAGCAGTGGCCTGATCACCATCTGTTTCGTTTGTTCTTTACCCGAAGCTCATTATATGCTTGAAACGTTTACTTGAATGTATATATATAGATAGATATATACATACTTGCCTCTTGTCAGAACAAACAGTACCTATCTGCTAATCACAATACTTGATCCTACTTGTACATCAACAGCTACCTATCTATCTATTACTACCCCACTACCAGCATCCCACCCGAAGATACCGCAACAATGTACGACTCGACAATTGACTTCACGTTGGATACTATCTGTCCTTGGTAAGTTCTTTCCCTTTTATTCGGCCAGTACTCATGTCATCGGTGCAATTGATTACCAAATACGAGCGAGATGACCTTGCTGACCTCACATTAAAGGACATATCTGGCCAAGAAGAGGCAAGTCATCACCCTCTATTAAACGACGCAGCGCTGACTTTCGTGACGTTACAGACTCGACGAAGGTACGCTTTACGCTCCCATAATCCACCCTGCCTTGAATTCCCAAGCCCAAGTCACAATACCATCTTTTACACCCCATCACGTTGCCACCCCATCCACGTGCCCCAAACCCCCTTTCCATCTCTCGCTAACCCACACCCCAGCCCTCCGCCTCGTCCGCGCCACAGACGCCTCCTCCAAAGTAACCTTCACCATAAAATACCGCCCCTACCAACTCTACCCGGGCGCCAGCCAAACCGGCGAAGACAAATACGAATGGTACAAGAAAACCCGCTACGGCAACTCGGCCGAGAAAATGGACATGTACGTCAAGCTCATGACGGCGTACGGCCACTCGGCAGGGATAGATTTCAAATTCGCCGGCACCGTCGCCAACACGCTGCAAGCCCACCGGCTGATCCAACACTACCAAAACACCTCTCCCAACGGCGCCGTCATCGCAGACAAGCTCGTCTCCTCGCTCTACCACCTGTACTTTGAAGAAGAAATGCATCCCAGTAGCCACGAGACTCTCCTCGCTGCCTGTAAAGCGGCGGGTGTGGATGAAGCGGAGGCGAAGGCCTTTATTGAAAACGAGGACAAGGGTCTGCCGGAGCTGAAGGCGCAAATTGGGGAGGAAGCCGGGAATGTGTCGGATCAGGTGCCGGTTGTTAGGATTGAGGGACGCAAGAGGGATGTTACGATTTTGGGGGCGAATGAGGTGGATGATTATGTGAAGGCGTTGACGCAGATTGTTAAGGAGAGTGAGTAAGTGAGGAAATTGCGAATGAAGAGTGAATGGTTAAACGAGCTAAGAAGGGGGGGGGGGGGGGCGGGGTTTCAAGGAAAAGTAGCGCATTCATTTTGTGATATATTAGATAGGTAGATGACATTTACAATTCCTTCACTTGCAACCCATTAGTAGAGTTCCCATCTTTCTTCCTCATTAAACATACATCATAGTACTGTATAGATAAATGGATAAATGGATGCAGGACACACTCAAGTAAGTCCTCCACCTAGGCCAACATATATCACCCGCCCTGCACCCGCAAAACAAACACTATCATACATAAGACTCCCATCTCACTCCAAACCATCCCGTATCCGCTCTTTATCAAACCTACTCGGATACACAAGGTACATGTTGACCAGCAGGTTACCTTCGGGTTTAGGCTGATGTTGTAACTGTATACAAAGACATTTCAAACATATCCAACTATTCAATGGCAGACAGCCTTCGCAGCAATGCCTACTCTAGCAGGGAAAGGAATCATATCCTCTTGTAGGATACACCATCCCTAGCAGTCTTGTACCCGAGGATGTCGCGTTTCTAGTCTTCAAAGCTGCCTTCTCTTACGGCGCTGGCGCCAACATCTGGAACGGTGCCGACTACTACGGAACCCCTGAACCCAACACCCTCCACCTTTTGAATCGCTACTCCACTGCTTGCTTATCCCGCCGATGATTGTTCCTCGTGCGGGAGTACGATCGGAAGCGAGAGTCGAGGAGAATTGCCAGGGTGTGATGTTGACGGATAGCGAGGCGAAGGAGGTCGATGCCATTCTAGGGGACTTTCCTGTGGCTGGTGCGAGGGATCCTGCTGTTGCAGTTACTCTGCTCGCATACTAGCTTGGAGACTGTTTTTGGTGATATTCACGATCGTCTCTGATCGCTGTGCGGGAAGCGTGCAGGGTGTGGCGAAGCGGCTTGCTTGACGGTGCACGCTCTGTGGCCTGTGGGGCTGAGAAAAGGCTACCGAGGGACCGAAAGGAGAATAGGAATGCAGTACATATGTATAGAGCAGAGGAAAAGAAAAAGTCTACATGGATTCGACGAATGGACGAGGTTGCAGGGTTGTGAGGATGTATAAAATCCACTTCCCCTGCACCTCTACTTCCACATCTCCATTACACCTGTGACCTTTCGATTTCAGTCTCAGCAGCGACGCGGAAAGACGCGACGCACATTCTGACGGTAGCATCAACTGTCTTTGGTGATGGATATATCATCTACTCAAATCAGGAGATGCCAATGAAGGACTGAATATAGCGCACGTACAAACGACAGTGGAATATCCTATAACAGCAAAACGACTCTGAACGAATTGAACGAATGAATAACCTACGTCCCACATCAAGTACCAACCTACCAGGCAAAATAGATATCATGACTACCATCCATTCCTCAGAGAAAACTTTACAGCCCCTTCACTTGACACAAGCAACAACCTCGTCTCCACTCCACATAGGGTCGACAATTTTTCTATTTGGCATTTGCTCCACCCTTAAAGGCAAGAAAGAGGTATTTATATACCCACCTCTTCTTTCCAGGCAGCTAGACATGTGGGGACTGGTGAATGTGAAGAAAACTGCCACCGCAAAAGCAGAATCAAAGTGTAGATAGTAACGCGATATCTCGGCAAAGTGCAAGATTAGTATAGATGGGTACAGGTACTATATAAACGCCGTTCTAGACTTGACAGATATTTTGTTATTCGAATCACAATCCAAAAACGCTCAGTTGCATGTGTTTGTGATAACACAAGCCAACCCATTCCATTAAAGCTGTTTGCATGATATAAATATCAAAGCTTGCTGTATATAGGTAAACATCAACCTAGTGAGGTGAATGCAGGAGGATGAGACGCATGTGCGAACGATGAGTGACAGCAAGAATAGAAATGACAGCCGACAGCAAAGTTCCAATGCCTGCCTACCTACGGGAACGTTAGATATCTATATGGAAGAGCTTCAAGACCGAAAGAGGTGCCTAGGAGCAGCAGATTAGTAGCAGCATCCCGTGCCAAGGTCGAGGATAAGTTGTTCCACCTACAATATAGCTGCTAGAGCTTGGTCGCTTCGTTGATACCATACCCAGCAAGAAGTAGTTGATAGGCGCATGTAATGTAATATACTGCAGTAACGGAAAGCCGAGGAGAAAGTCAACTTGACGCTTTTGCCTGGGCGATTATGGACTATGACTACACTAAGTATCGGCAATGACTCAATAACTGCATAGGTAGGTAGCTAGATGAGCGGCTGCGCCTAATGATATACAGAATAACGGTTTGAACTTTGAAGGGTTAGGTATTGGTGTTAAGTTAGGCTCGTGGCGTGTTTGTATATTCTTTATACTGAGAATTAAAGTGAAGGGACGAGCGGGTTCTTGCATGAGATAGGAATGATGTAGTGAAGCAAGACACACTTGTGTGAGGAATATAGGAGTGTAAATGAGGGAACATCATTATCTTGATTGCGTGAACTTAACTTCTACCATCAGAAACATCAGCAGCACTTCTAGTCTGCCACCGCCTCTTCACCATCCTCACCCACCGTCTCCGTCTCCACTCACCCCTCCTCCCACGTCCATCACCTTCAGCATCACTACCCTCCTCCCAGCTAGGCAGTACGGCCCTTTGCTTCCCCTTGCCTTTCTTTCCAGGGGTGTCGAAATCAGAATCATCATCCCCTACACCCTCATACCTCAAGTCATATACCCACCTCTCGCCCTCCGTTTCAATCTCCACACCCGTAATAATGCGCTCCTCGACCCACTCGCGACTCCACAGATCCAGCGCCCACTTCTTCTCGCTCCACTCCCAGCCCTCGGGCGCCTTTACATCTTCAAAGAACCGCGTTCCTAAAGGCCGTTCTCCGCGTATACGAGATGATGAGAGAGGGTCGTGGGGAGATGAGGAGAAGAGCCAGGATTCCCATTCGCCGGCGGAGGATAGGTGTTGGAGTTCGAAGATTTCGACTTCGCGGGTTTGAGGGGCTGAGTCAAGGATTATGTCGCGTTCTATCCATTTTTCTACCCAACTGCTTGCTGCTTCCTCTTTTGGGACAATGTAGACTTTATGGGTATTTAAGAAGAGGCGTTGCATCGTGGGGTGTCCGAGGGCTGTGGCAGCATAGCCTAGGAAAAGAAAGATGAGCCGCCAAGGAAGAAGATGGGAGGCTATAAAGAGGGTTAGGCATAGTGTGAAGGCGAAGAGGAAGAGTGTTGAGGAGAGGGGCTCGTTGGAGAAGTTTGTGGGTGGGGTGAGGAGGGTGATGATTTTGTCGTGGACGCGGGAGAAGTCTTCCATGCAGTTTTGGAGGTCACGCATGTTGCGGAAGAAGTCTTTAGAGAGGTCTTTGACGGGTTTAACGGTTCGCGCTGGGGCCAGGGGTGGACCGGTTGTGCTATAGGGCGTGTTGAAGTTTGTAGAGATGGTGGATGGTGGAGCGGGGTGTCGGGCTATGAAGGAAGGGACTAGGAGGCCGAGGAGTATTAATACGAAGGGGAGGACTGTGAGGAGGTATGGGTCGAGGCAGATAAAGGTGTAGACGGCTAGGAAGGAGAGTGTATGTGTTGGATGTTGCCATGAGAAGAGGCGTATGGCTTTGGCTTGGAAGAGAAACACCACACCGATTCGAGCGTTGAATCTGCGAAAGTTCGCGCCCATAGTACTTGGATTAAAGGATGGTCGAGTCACAAAGTCGGATTGGGAGGAGGAGGTTTGTTCTCGGTGGGACGCTTGGTCTTCAGTGGGTATAACTTGTTGGAGGAGTCTATTTCACATGTTAGTGGTGATGTTGCAAGAAGAGGTGGATAGATAGATATACTTCTCAAACAAACGGTCTTGCATACTAGATCCACGATCCGATGCCTTCTCATGGGCCTTCTTAAAGCTCTCCTTGATATTCCTGCCATGCTCTTTCAACCGGTGCCTCTTCCGTTCGTCAGAGCTGCCATCGGCTTCCTCCGAGAGGTCATCTTGCAAATCCAGTTGTACCACGGGAATGGGCTCATCGCGGTTGGCAAAAGAATCTGCCATGAATTCATCCATGTTGTTGACGGACGCTGCCCAGCCTGTGATGTGAGGTTGTAGGATTCGTGGATAGATTCGTGGATGTGGATGGAGGGGTAGCTATGTAGGCTGGTTAGAGTTGATTAAGGTTGTCTTGTGCCACTGCGCTGCATTAATATGCTTGCTTGTGCTGCATGGTTTGGGATGACTGTTCCTTGCATTAAATTGTCAACAGCATACTTGGGAGTAAACACAGAATCATCGAGGGTGCTGAAGTTATTCGGAGTATTCAGTCTTACTATCGGGATGACGTTGAAGTGCCGCCCTCACCAGGTCTTGGTGGTTCCGGGTAAATTGCCATCCCTTGCAACCTCAAACTCACTCACCCGCGCTCACCCACCACAATACGGCTGGTGGTATTGATTGGCCTGGATCTTGACATTTCAGGAACCAACTGGAACAATAACGTGCACTGCATGGTGGCTAGAGCCATACTTCCGAGTAGCATAGTATCTCGTATGTACGAGGTTCGGTACTCACCAACAGCCCCTTTCCCTGTTGGTCCCCCTACTAAATGATTTAAATCATGTCCCGTACCGTGCCCGCAATCACTTACTTACTCACGAGTCACGGCACCTCCGTTACTTATAAGAAAGGGGCTCTCCTCTCCGTACCCGTGCCTGACTAAGTACCTCCGTAGGTATTTAGTGTGTCTGTCGATCGAGGGGAATGGAAATGAGAACTGCATGTAGCCCCTTTTCTAGAGATTGGATACTACAGTAACATCCATCCAATTATCACGTGGAATTATTATCGTAATATATCTACCCTCTTCATATTTTCCTGTAAACAAATTGAGACCCATTTACCTGCATCAATTATGATGTTGTATTGATATATGTGCATCTGAGTGGCTGAAAAAAAAAAAGGCGTCGGGGCTTTTGACTTGTTAGATGACCCCTACCCTATCGAGCCTATCCCTGTCCCAAGTCAGAATCGTTTCCTGGACAATCAAATGAGACAGAGCTGCAGCCAATTTCACCTCGACGGTCAACTGCGGGAACACCACCACCCCCCTCAGGGCCAGCATCACGTCTACAGTACGAGTGCCGGTGAAGTATTCACGACCTCCACCAGTTCCAAAGGTCCAAATCATCCACCTCAACCTCCCCCTCCGCATTGTCTCCACCTCCACCTTTCTCCGTCGAAATACCTCGTGTATGGGTCTGGATACCTTCACTCGCCTCGACTTGCCCATTCGCGACCTCTAATCTAGATATTCTTGGAGATGAGATGACCTTTTGATCCCCTCAGCCCTTGGACGGACTGAGCGTCGTAAAGGAAACCCCTCCATCAGAGCTATCGCTGGAGCTTCCAGCTGACTTGGGAATATTCAATGATTCGGGAACAGAAGGCTCCTCTGGGTTCGAGATCAGACTTCACGCAGTCTATATCGTAGGGAATCACACTACTCTGGTCAATATCTACATCAACTGACTGTTTTCGCAGACAGGAAAATTATAATTCTACCGCCCGACCGCGTGTTGCATCTGGAAAAGAACCTACCCTTAGTGCATCCCGCAACAACAATCACTCCCTCTTCTCCTTTGGTGGAACTGCTGCTGCCGACGAGAAATCCAGTAATACCTTCGAATTCCTACCTTCACCTAGTTTCGACGACCTTCAAAGTAGCATAGCATCCGCGTCCGATGATTTCAAGAATCTCTTTCCGGCACCTGGAGGACAAAGCATACTGGGGGAAAAGCGATCGATCGAAGCAATGACTGAGGGACGGGCGACTGGCACTATGTCTGGGACCGGCGCAGGTCGTGGGACAACTGGCCCGCGCCCTGCAAGGGCCGCCTCTCTTCTGCGGAGGCAGAGCACATCTACACGGCAGAGCAGTATTTCGTCAATCGGGTCTGGGGCATCAGGATCAATGGATCCCCCAAGCGCTCCCCTCGCAATGCGAAATCGACGACAGCCTCAGCATCCTCCAATATCTGCAAGCGCTGCAACCAACGCAAGAGCTCCTCGCAAATCTATAGGTCCTGGGGTAATTGATACCGACTACGCGAGACCTGCCCAAAGGCGGCGCCCAAGTTTAGCATCCAACACATCATTGGGGGGCGTATCAGATGCTGGAGGAGTATCTACCCGAGTAAATATTGGTGGTACTACAAGTTACACTGAAGGCGCTCGGGGATTAACAGCGTCGCGGGCCGCAAAAACGAAATCACTCCAACCACCTTCAAGGCAAGGGCAAACACATTTGACACCAAAAAGCAGTACCCCAGATCACAACAGGTCCTCACTGTATGCTGGACGATCACCTGGAAGATCAAATGGACAGGGCGCAACTACTCCATCGTCTGCGAAACGTATGTCAGTAATGCCTCCTTCCAATTCCCATGCCAGTGGACTTGGCGCGAGAACCGTGAGCCCTACGGATGCTCGACGGGCCAAACGGTTATCGGTCCTTCAGCCTGCGCCTCCAATGCCGAATACGCCACCCCAACCAGAAGAGTCAAACTTTAGAGCCTCTCCGCGATCGCCATCGATGCTACCGCGAAAGATTCCGACACCAGCGTCATCTCGAACCACACCTGACCTCACCCGTAAGTCTTATAGCTCCGGCTTGTCAATTGGGTCAAATGCAAGCTATAACACTTCTCAAACCTCTTCAGGTTCACTACAACCCCGATTATCAATACCACCAGCATCGTCCCGACTACCCACGCCGAAAACTAGAAATATACATAGCTCAACTGGGAATAATGAGGAGGAAGAGGTTCCCCCCGTACCCGCGATACCTAAAGCTTACGAATCTCCAAAAGACTCGCCTTCAGAACCACCATTCTTCAAGCGGAAGTCGAGTTTGCCTTTTGATGCTAGCAGTATACACAGTATATCAACAAATAGTTTGTCAGGGAGGACTTCTGCAAAAGAGCCTGTCAAGAACGAGCGACCTCCAAAACCGCGGAAACAGGCGATGCCCGCGAACTCTGATGCTGATCAGAATAATCCGACGCCGGTGAATGCGAAAAAGAAGAATCTCCAGCCTTTGAGATTACCACCGCTAAATCTGTTACCGCTGAGCACCCCTACAACGACGAAGATTGCCGCTCTTCATGAGCCGACATATTCAGATGGTCAAGTGACTCCACCACCACGAAGAGCAAACGCAAAAACCCCAAGCACTCCAATGACTGCATCCAAAGCTTCATTTTTCTCTCGAAATCGGTCGGACGAGAAGATTGAGCCGAATGTAAGAAGCAACACTTCGACGCACCATCTTCGATCTGAATCGCCGCAGATGGGAAGCGGTTCCGAGGCGTCGAAACCAATTCCTATAAGTAACCGACAGCCGAGAACAACAGTCTCGCCATTCATATCTTCTTCTCTCCCGAAGAATGGTGAAGAACACTCATACATGCCAAGATCCAAAACAAGTGGTGATTTCATGAACCATGATGCAGTGGCTGAGCCTGCTCGGCCTGCGAGATTGACCGGTCCAAGGGCTCCCAAAGACAAAGCTCCGAAAACCGAAACGCATACAGACATCTCAAGTCCAGAGGAGCCAGCAACTCCTTCCTCTGGGTCGTCTTTACGGCGGAAACTGAGTCTCGGTTGGAAACGAACCACGTCCAAGGGCAGCAATAGCATATCTCAAGCGGCAAATGAAAGGCGCTCAGAGTATCCGCCTGCACCACCGAAACATGACAATATGCCACCTCCAAGATTACCTGCGTCCGCGACTTTAAACAACTTGAACAACTACACTATTCCAAGCCCTAGTCCTTCAATCAAATCTAATCCGACCTACCTCGATTCTAAGAGACGGAAGAGTTCGGCGTCAAGCTTGAGTACGTTCGCTGGCCATGACCGGACGAGAAGCGATTCATGGGGCTTAAATGGTAGCCCTAAAAAGGAAGATCCACACAAGACCGAAAAACCAGCTTCCGCCGCTCCACGAACGACTTCGTCTGCTATACACAAGATGCTATCCTCGAAAGCTTCAAACAGTACGATGAAAGTGCAGGCGCAAGACCCCTGGACTGTGGATCTTGATAAACAAGACATGGTCGCAGAAAGTGAGATGAAGAGGCTGGCTTCGAAGCGAAAAGAGACAGAGCAAGCTGCACGTGTTTTGGACAGTCTGAAGAAGCGGGCGACACCAAAGGAGCGAGTTGGCCCGCAACAGGCGCTTCAGATCGCCAATCTTAATATATATGAACGTGGTGAGATCGTAGACTACAAGGACGTCTTCTTTTGTGGAACTCAAAGTGCCGCCAAGCATTCTGGGGATTTGTCTTCAGAGGCTGCCAACTTTGGATACGATGATGACCGTGGGGATTATACGATTGCAATGGGAGATCACCTCTCATATAGATATGAAATTATCGATCTGCTTGGGAAAGGGAGTTTTGGTCAGGTGGTCAGATGTATAGACCACAAGACTGGTGGGTTGGTTGCGATCAAGATTATCAGAAACAAGAAGAGGTTCCATCAGCAAGCTTTGGTCGAGGTCAATATTCTGCAAAAGCTGCGCGAATGGGTAGGTACATAGAGCGACTCGGAAATACGCGATGCTAATATGTTTCCAGGATCCCCATAATAAGTACAGTATGGTCAACTTCGTACAAAGTTTCTACTTCCGCGGTCATCTTTGCATCTCTACTGAGCTCCTAGATATGAACCTTTACGAATTCATCAAATCAAACTCCTTCAAAGGCTTTCCTCTAGAGGTGGTGCGACGATTTACGAAGCAGATGTTGAACAGTTTGCTTCTGCTCAAGTCAAAGAAAGTCATTCACTGTGATCTCAAGCCCGAGAACATCCTCTTGACCCATCCGATGCACTCTGAAATCAAGGTCATTGATTTCGGCTCGAGTTGCTTTGAGAATGAACGAGTCTACACCTACATTCAGTCTCGCTTCTACCGTTCACCAGAAGTAATTCTTGGCATGACCTATGGAATGCCAATCGATATGTGGTCTCTTGGCTGCATCCTCGCCGAGCTTCTTACCGGCGTGCCCATTTTCCCAGGAGAAAATGAACAAGAACAACTGGCCTGCATAATGGAAGTCTTTGGACCCCCGGAGAAACACCTGATTGAAAAATCTACGCGGCGGAAACTCTTCTTCGATTCCTTAGGCAAACCCCGTCTTACAGTATCATCAAAGGGCCGAAGACGTCGTCCGAGCAGTAAGACACTGCCGCAGGTGTTGAAGTGTGAGGATGAGACATTTTTGGACTTCTTGACCAGGTGTTTGAGATGGGATCCAGAAAGGAGGATGAGGCCTGATGAGGCTGTACGACATGAATTTATCACTGGCAAGAAGATCGCCACTGCACCCGTGTCTCGCACGACTCGAAATGAATCGCCGATAAAACGCACACATACTACCACCACACTAGCGAACACCAACCGCCCGCTTCCCGAACCGCCAACCACGAGTTTCAAGAACGGAAACCCGGTTCGGACTGCTGCCAGTCCGATTAAAAATGCAATGAACACAAATCGACGCGCAAGTAATATTGGTAGTGTGAATAGTGTGGGAATTGGGAGTAAGAGGACAAGTACTGGGGGACCGGTGGTCGGTGGAAGTGGGCTTCCAAGGGTTATGACGCGGAGCGTGTCTAAAGATCTCGCTTCTGCAGGTGCGACGGCTGCAATGAGCTCGAGTAGGAGATAGATGACTGAGATGAACTGTATATGAGGGTGGGATAGACGGCGGGTCTGGAGGGGATAAATTCTCTTGTTCGACTTTTTGAGCATAGTTTGCGGACGGATGGGGCGTTGTTTTCTGTGCGATTCGCTTCATACCCCCTTTCTTTTGATTAATTTTCCCTCGAGATGCAGTCGGTTCCGGGGGTACGTATAGCAGTGCCTGGGATGGGCATCCGAAAAAGGGTGGCATTTTCACTGGCCGTTTGTTGTTTTTGTTGTCCTTGTTGTCCCTAGATGGTGGCTGGCCGCTGGCTTGGCCTGTCTGTAGTGAGTGGTAGTCACGGTGGGCGCAATGGCATGAATGGGGGAAGGGTGGGTGAGGTAGAGGATTGATGGATGCTGCTATGAGAGAATGAATGAATTAAGTGTATATTAATGTTTTTGCTGCATCCCTGTCTACAGGGCATACATATATACATACGCATGCATGCATGAGCGGAACACACAAACAAAAAGATGAGATGAGATGAGCAATGAAAGAGATATTCTGAGCTGAACTGAAATGAGTGCAGTGCAAATTCCTTGTGCATATAAACTACCGGTATAGCGCCTTACAGTTATCCAAGGCGCAGAGGGCCTATGCCATTCTGTTAGTGCTAAATAGAGTAGGTCATTCATTTTCAATTTGATGTATATTTTGTTTATTTCCTGGTTCTTGTTTTCTTGGATACCTATAACCTGATATATTCTTCATACGTCAATGCCGCTCTCGAGATGCTTTAACTGTATGTGGAGTGTTTTACGGCCTTTTATATAAGAACTACTAGATATGTAGGCATTCCCAGGGGCCAATTTAGACTTGCACGTGACCGACCAGCTGGACTTCCAGGCTGACCCCAATGGCCCCTAGACCCGTTTTTGACGCTGGTTCGCGTGGTGCCCTCTGATGAGGGCTCCTAGCGCCTGATATTCGGGGTTACGTTCACCACCACGAGCCCGGTCAGATATTAGGAAAAGTAGACTAAAACACATAAACATTGCATATGAAAGAAAAGCTAAGACAATATCAAAATCTCACTCAGCCCAGCAAACGAAATAGGAAATATATGAATAGGTCACGAATATCAAACTTGATTTGATTATATGCATTTCTATGGCCCCGAAGTTGCGACTCGCAAGGTTGTATGTACGGGTATGCCTTTCCAATCTAAACGCCAACTCCAAAAAGCGGATCATGTCCTGCTTCGCTCTAATGCTTCCCAGAATAATTATTACAAGAATCAGATGTGTTTTGTTTCCGCATTTCAGATATTAGGCATGGCCTTCTCTGCTATCAGAGGCCATGTGAGGAACAAGCCCAACGCAGGGAAATAACTGTCTTGCATTAGCTCGGTTTCCAACAGCCAGAAAGCCTGGGCACTTACAACATGGATACATCTCCAACGTGTCTGATGTGTTTGCCCCAATCCGCCTTTTGAGATGCTTGGGTTGTGGGGTATCGCTCAAATGGATGAGGCTCGAAGTTTCGGACTGCAGAGCGGGCTCGGGCGCCTATTGACATTGCGCGGCGTTGGACCATGGTGCGGATGAGTGGTGTCATTGGCGGCATTTTGATTTTTGGGGTGTGTGAGATAGAGCTTGAGTTGAGATGTTTTGGTTGAGAGTGGAATTGTTTGGTGGAGTTGAGATTGATTGATGTCTTCTTGACTGTACTGTGTATATTGGATGCAGAAAGGAAAGCTGCATGAGGTAGATGGGACGATGAAATATATACTTACCATGGTATGAGATGAAGGGAAACATACGGCGGGGACCTACGTGTGGAATAGCAATGGTGAGGTGATAATTGAGAAGTATCGTACGAAGACCTGAGCTGGCCAACTGCAAAATCAGGCGACTTCTCGAGAAACATTGAACCATGGACGAATCAGAGGAGGAGCGAAATAAGCACACGAACCGGGGGAAGGAAACATGGCAGTCACGATTATGCCATGAGGTGTTCATGATGTACCACGCGGGGAAGAAACGGAAATAGAGAGGAAGAGTGGCGTGTTGATGGATTGAGGTGGGCTGATATAGAGAGAAAATGAGTGGGACTCACTCGACTCGGAGCGTTCCGATGCATCACATGACTGATCCTGCATATGATCTTGGGGCAATTTTACTTTCTCGGGACGTACTCGTTCAAAATGGGAATGCTAATTCCAAAAAGAGAAAATGTTCCCAAAGTACCAACTGCATCTAGGTTGAATCTATTAAAGATAAAATGGAGAGTCTATTCAAAGACTAAAGTAGCATCACGTGATTATGGTATACACCTACATAGAGCAACTCTGAAAAGCTAGAGCTGCAACTACATCTGATGTGATATTATATTGGACTTCTATAAGCTCTGGCTCCATATGAAATACGCAGTTGAAAGAAAGTGTTCGACTTGCAAAGCTTGATCCAGGTCTCGTGATCATTGGAAGCCCAAAAACTGCTTGCAAAAAACCACCCTTTTAATAAATAACAAGGTACGGAATTGACACCTCTTTCAAAGCCCGATATAAGGAAAAAGTACTTAAAAGGATAGTTAGGAAATTTTGTCATCACGTGCATATCCCAGACCTCTTTTGGTTCGGCAAAAATGCTACGACATGAAACCTCCCAACATCTTCGAAAACACGCTTCTTCTGCACACTTGTTGCTCAGACTCTTCTGAATGCCCTCGGCAGTCTCATCGCCACTCTAGACTTTTCCAAATAGATCTTTTACGAGAAAGGCATCACCGGAACCTCTTTCTACCGCAATTGAGCGCTAAGTGAATCTTAAGCCACTTGAAAGTTCGAGGTGCCATGGCTAGATTCGAAATGCTTCATTCTCACTCGTCTTCATCTCAGCCAGTGCTTCAACCCTTCTTCTGTTAAGATCAACTTGCTTGAAGTTCAGAACACTACTAGTCTTGGGCAGTATTGTTTTGACGTTGTGGCTATGCGATTTGCAACATTAGGCAGGGCCCGAAGCTGCTACAAACTTTGGGGCCGAGTTTGAGGGGCCAAGGTCCTCTTCTGGAGATGTTTGCGAGCTACTGCCCCACGAAGTTTCTTGCAAGTAGCAAAGGAATTATCCGATTCGCCAAGTTTTACATGGAAAATCGTTTTCCCTCAATGCTGTGCGTCAAGTGCTATGTGTTGGTGGTTCGCGCCAGTCCAAGCTTCCTCTGCAGAGATACGAGATGTTTGAGGATCTACGCGATCCATGAACGTTCCGATCGCTACGAAAAGACCCCTTGAGGCTACTGATACATCTCTATCGAGTTTGTGGGCCGCTTAGACAATCAAAACATTGGTGGAGCCAGTCGAAGCTCGTCGTTTAGACCTCCTGTTTAACATATGGCCAAGGGCCAAACAATGAGAGCCTCAAGTTGCGACCTGCTGCGGGGGACTAATCGCGGAACAATAATGATCCTCAATGATTTCCACCACGTTGATTCTCACAGGGTACTATGTTGAATCTTCTTGGAGATCCTAAGCGGTTCATTAGGCCTACTCGGGTAAGCAGATGCTCGACATCACCCTTCTACCCTGTATCACTCCCGGAATTGGATTTGATCCTCTTTGAATACCCAATCGCTGTTCTTGCTCTACTCCAGATCTTAGCTGTACACAGCCTCAACGAAGTAACGCTGGCGATCTGTGGTCGGATATCTCCTGTCTCGGATGAGGTATCACCACGCCTCTGTAGTGAGATCTGGTTTCCAAACAAGAAGAATCTTTTGATAATGTCAGAAGGGGCAGTAAGCAGTGCCAAGCCCCGGAACCTGTTCTTTCCTACTGCTAAGCTTTTTGGCAATAGCTTGGGAATCACATTTTGTATAAGATCAACTTCAACTTCCGCTCAATATCACTCTTCTCATCATCACCATCATCATCTTCTTCAGTCTTCAGGCTTCAGCTTCTTCTGCCATCTTTTCTGCTTTTTCTTCCGTGCCCGGTGCCGGTAATCTTTGTTCCAACTTTAAATAACAATCTTTAATTTTTACTTTCCATCTCCCAGCTCATATATCAACTATTCAAAATGCAATATTCATCAACAATCCTCCTCGTAGCCTTCGCTGCTACCAACATTCTCGCCCACGGCGTCATAGACTCCGTCAAAGGCGCCAATGCAGTAACCATGCCTGGTCTCTCCGGTAAGTCATCCATCTCCAAGTCCAATAATCCAAACTAATACTTAATTTCCCAGTCGCGGACGGTACTCCTCGTGACTGTGCCACCCCTAGCTGCGGAGCCGAAGCCGACACCTCCATCATTCGCAGCAATGAGCTCGGAACCAGCAAGGCCACTGCTCTCGGCCGCACCAGCACAGGCCCCGTCGATGCATCCAAGATGATCGCAGCTTTTATGGGCGGAAACGCCAACACAACTGCCGCCAAAGCAGCTCGTGAGGTCCACGACGCGATGATGCAGCGCCGGTCTCTCGGCGTCCGCGCAGCAAGCGGGGGTGTCAAGACCCCAGCGGGCACCAAGGAGACAGCCGTCAAAGCCGCCACAGGAGCCGGCGCCACATCCGGCCTGCCAACCTGCGCCGACGACGGAACGGTCACCATGACCTTCCACCAAGTCAACCAAGATGGAGCCGGTCCCCTAACCGCAATGGTGGACCCCACGTCCGGCGGCACAGACGCATCCGCCTTCCAAACCGCCCAGGTCACCCAGAACGTCCCCGGCGTCGGCATCGGCGGTCTCTCGGCTGCCACCACCATGGACTTCCCCGTCGCTATCCAGATGCCCGCTGGCATGACTTGCTCCGGTACTGCGGGAGGCGCTACGGGCGTGTGTGTGGCCAAGCTGCAGAACGCAGCTCTTGCTGGGCCGTTTGGTGGATCGGCTGCTTTCACTCAGTCGCCTGCTGCTAAGAAGCGGGCTATCGAGTATAACCTCAGCAAACGCCGCTTCGCTCGTGCTATGGCCTCTAATGACAACTAGAGGTCTTCACTTGCTTGGTTTTCGATGTTTGAGAAGATCGGTTGGTGGTTTGTTGGTCAGTTTGTATATGTATATATAACATGAGAAGCTGGGAATCTCTTTTTTTTTTTTCTCGGGATGAAGCCGGCCTGCTGTCTGTTTGTTTGCTAGAGTGATTTGATAGAGACTGGGATTTTGTCACTCATTGGGATGCAGGTGGGGTTGAATGTACAGTGTAGATATGAAATGGAATTGTTACTCCGCATTTTACTTGATTCTGATGCATTTCCTGGTGACTCTACCCTACTTCTACTTCAACTTCCGCTTCACTTTCTTATTCCTTTACATATTGCACTTTACCCAGCAATACTCGGTACTCATTCATTCTTCTGTCTCCATTTCCCCCCCTGAGAGGAATCCGGGGTACTCAATCAACCACGGTCGGTGATTTACAACTCAAAAGAGGGACACGACGCAATGCGATGCAGGGCGGCGCTTCAGGGACAACCGGCAATTTGTAGTATGGAGGTTGCGCTGATCGTTCGTCTCTGGGCGCGGAAATAGATGGAATAGAATAAATGGTCAAGGAGAAGTACAAGTAGAGGTAGAGTGAGTGTGCAATCCATGGTATTAAAACAAGAACATCTATACAATAATTCATAACTTCATACCCCCAAACCAGCCGCACCCCCAAACGCCATCCCAATCCAATGCAATCATTGTTACAGAACCAAAATCAGAACCATTAATCCTTACTCGGACTCGTACCAACACCCCCCATGATCAAGCTCTCCAACTCCCATGGACTCAACGTACTTCTTCTCCTATTCGCTCTCCCGCCCTGAGCTCTCCCCAACGCAGTAGCTTTCCGCTTTCGCGAAGAAACCTCGCTCGATGCCGTTTCGTTCAAGGGCGCCGCTTCGTTTCTCTTTGGTGATGGGGCCGGTGGCGGAGCCATTTTTTCAGTACTGCTGCGATTCAACTTGGCAGCCTTAATTTTAGCCCTCACTCTCGCAGCATCAGCTTCTCGTTCTGTCGCAGCTAGTTTCGCTGCTATAGATGCCATAGTCAGGGGACTTTGCTGCGGCAATCCTTCTCGTGGGCGAGGTAGGCGACTCGATGGTGTTTGCTGCAGTTTTGGCACGGAAGTGGAGTGGGATTTAGGGGCTGTGTTTGAGACCTTTCGTGGTGAACGTTGAGACACGTTTGATGTTTTGAGGAGGGAGACTTCGTCAGAAGGTGTTGCTGAGAGTTGGGAGTTTTGACTTTGGTTCTTGCGTTGGCTTTGGGGTGTGGATTTTGCTTTGCGAGGTGGGGAAGATTGCATTTGAAGTAAGTCGAAGGTGTTTTCTTCGACAATTGTTGTGAATCCTTCTTTTTCAGGTGAAGGTAGTCTGCGGTTCCCAGCTGTTTCTCGGAGTGGAGAGAGTTGTGGTGCTGGACCGGGTGATAGTGAAGAGGCTGTCTCGATAGTCATATCTTGCTGTTCTTCTTCGAATGCTTCTTTTGATATCTCGTCCTCTGGCTCCTCGTCAAAAAGGCTGGATTCAGAATCTTCACAGTCCTCGTCAAAGTCCGGCTCTTCTGGAGTAGGAAGTCCAGAATCGTCCATCGCATCGATATCTGCCTGCGTGTCGCCTTCGCCTTCTTCCATAAGTGTTGATAACTGGAATTCTTGGGCATTCTCTTCTTCTTTACGCTTTAAGGGGCTCAGCTTGAGACCCATCTTCAGTTCTTCCAGGTTCACAGTCTGGCCGCTCCTAGTCATTCGTTTGCTCCACCCTTCCATCATCTGGACAGCGTCTCGCCATCTTGACTCCATCCTTTCCCATCCCTCCCTCAGTCGAATGATCTCCTCTTCTCTGACTTCGACCTCTTCCAATGGCACAAATGACGGATTTGTCAACAAAGTTCGCAGGTGTTCGATCACGAAATCCATCTCTGCAGCAAGACTTTCATACCCAGCATCCATTTGGACAACCATATTTCCTTCGTGATCCTTTTCGCACCCGCTCAGACTCCTCAGCGAATCCACCGTCCTCCGAAGCAAACCCCCAATATTTTCATTCTCCTCGCTCAGCCCTCTTGCCAGCTCCGTCAAAAACTCATTCGTTTCCATTCGTAAGTCGTAATTCGCGTCATCAGTCCCAACACTCGCTCCAGCTTTCGCAACCTCCTCACCTACTCCAGCAGTAACATTAATAGTAACAACACCCACAGCCTTCCCACTGCCTCGCGCTCGTCCTCCCTCACCAACGTGTTTCTTCATGCTTTCAATAGCACGTTCCCTCTTCCGAACCTCATTGGCACACTGATTCCTTGTCTGATTAACCAGTATCCTCATCCTCCCCATCTCCTCTTTCAACCCCCGAGCCGCATGTTCCGCGCCACGAATCTGCTGTTTGAATGCGCGCTCCGCCGCTTCTGCTAATCCCACTTTCCGTTGCGCCTCCGCATATTTGTTATTCAGACGCTCGAAATCTGTCGTCTGGCGCAGGGAATCGGCGCGTAGAGTACGGATGGTTTGCGACAGGGTTTCGCGTTGTGTAGCATCGCGCTGGGCAAGCACGTCAGTACTATCGTAGAAGAATTCGTCGCGTAATAACTCACATCTCTTCGCAATATCAGATCGTTTACTATGCTCATGACTTTCCCCATGGTGGCCTCCATTCCTCCTTCGCCTTTATCAGGGCATGCGAAGTCGATTGTTTGGCCATTTCGTAGTAGGCCACGGGAAAGAAGTTGGTTGTTGATATATAGCGAAGCGGTACGCAGATTATCGGATTCCATTTTGTCCATAAAGCTTTTAGGGAGTTGGGCCTCTGAATGGAGTTCTGTCGAGGTTGTGACTGTTCGAGGATTTGTTATGGTATTCATGCGCTGGCCGCGTTGCTGTGTAAACAAGTGCCAAGCCTTTGCGGCAGGGGTACTGGACAAGAGCTATTCGAGCTATTTTGGCCAAACCAAACCTTCACCCTTTAAAATAAGGGGATATTCCCGTTGAGCATCTCGTGTATATCTCTGGAAGTCTCCAAATATTATAAAGCAGGATCAGCGTTCCAAGAATCCACTGCAGTTTAAGAGCATCAGCAGATCCATGTCACTCCCATCATCCCATGGCTCAATTCAACGTTAACGTCCAGCAACCATATTGCATGGGAAAAGACCGCTTTTGCCTATCGCCCAGCTTCATTTCCTGGCGGTAATACTCTACGTGTTTATGGTTGTTTGAATATATCTTTTCACTTTGCCATAGAAATGCAGCCCTGCAGTAGATGGGTCAGCGTTGCTAACTGTCTTTTTATGATCAAGGATTGAGCATTTGGCTATCTCGGAAAGGGTACTCCTTGTATTGTTACTCTCAAATAGTACAATTACCAGAACCCAAAGGATGGTGCCTGCTATTCCACTCGCAAATGCGAACTAATCATCCAGCTCATCAACACCTCTGGTGGATCAAGCATCAACCATGTCTAGCTTGCAATTGTTGACATTCCCCACATAATTTCTAACATTCTTCGGACTTTCCTCGCCATTTAGATCGCCTTACTCCCTATCTTGTTCATCCTCTTCATCCTCTCCCTCTTCCTCTTCATTGGCTTCAGGTTTCCTCCTCTTCTGCTTCCGTTTCTGCGTCTTTTGCTGCTTCCGCTTCTGCTTCCCTTTCTTCTTTATATCTTGATTAAAGCAAAAGATAAAGTCTAAAAATGTCGACATCTCCTTTCCGCCCAACTTTTCCTCCTGATCAGACAGCAGCTCTACGAACTTCTGTGAATTATCTATAATTTTCTTATCTTGCTCGTGTTTGGGAAGGTGGAAACTGTAGCTGCCATCGAGGTTTGTTGTTCTCATAGTGTTCAGCAAGGACTCTAGCTTGTGACCGGTTACCGTACCGGCGTACGAGACTGCGGCGTCTTCTACGGCTGTGGCGACTGCTTCGGCCTGGAATCCGGGTTGCAAGTCATCCCTCGGGCGTTGCTTGTTGTCATAACTATGTTTGTTGTTCGTTGAAAATGGTCGGACGTCCCAAGAGGAAGGATCTTTTCTTTATATTATGGGCTTGTAGGACAATAGCGGCGGATTTTTATCTCATGTTATTGCTAAGAACTTTCACTAGGGTTCAAGAAATTGCAGCCTGTTTTAGTTTTCCGACAAAGGATGTAACCGAGGGTCCGCAGGTGCGGTTGTCAACGCCAAGTAATGCATATTCAGAATGACCGAACGGCTCCCTTCTATTTTCGCAAATTCGGTTGGTTTGCATAGAGTTGTCATCCCATATACCTAGAATGTTGGTGGGCTCGTCTGTACCATGGGATGTTTGCGCGCTGGATTGCCTAGGGTCTGTTGTTGGAGGACTCTTAGCGCGATTGTCGCAGTAGACCGACGAGGACTGGTTCTCTGTGAAAGTGTTTGATCTATTCGAGGCGTACTCATTTCTCGAGGCCAGGTAGATGTCTTTCGGGTAGGATGAATAATTACGGAAAGTAGCATCTTGAGGGAAATTGGAAGTGAAACTTGGAGCAGTCGCTTTTTCTTTCATTCTCTTAGCCTGATGGGTACTTTCGTCCTCGGCGCACTTATGCTTATTTGTATATCGCAGATTCCCAGGCGAGCCTGGGGAAGATACTTCCAATGTCCTGATTTCTTTACGCAGGTTGGATACCAAGGCCACTGCAGCAGCTAACTCGTCTTTCTTCTTTCGAAGTGCTGCTTGAGCTTGTTGTTGATTTTGGATGGTCGTTGGATCATTCGTATTGGAGACGTCTGCGAAAGCTAGTGCTTTAATCTCATTATTACGGTAAATCTCGTCAACTTCTATCTCCGATTTGATGGGACTGCTCTCGTTTTGCATCAAATCTTGCGGCGCTATTCCAAAATTCTTAAATGTTGGAGACACTTGTTGCATGAAAGGCGACATCTCGGTGGCAGAGGGATTTTCTGATCAGTAGTTAGTTTATTAGAATCCATGTTACAGATGTTCGGAAACCTACCTTGGTCTAAAGAAGTTACCCAATCAGAATCTGAAAACAGCTTATCTTGATTTGGCAAAGGTCCATAGGAGTCCAATATCTCCTCCATTATCTTCATTTGCGTGCTCGGATTTTGGGTGACTTCAGCAATATATGTCGAGTACGAGTCATTGGTTCCATCCTCGCGCGGTAATTCAAACGAAATATCTTTGCACGTGCTCTCGTTCGGGAAGCCTACAACACAATCAGTACACTTGAATTTTAAGAGGGATGGGCTTTTAATACCAGGATTCAGTTCGGTGAATCGAAAGAATTCGTCGGACGTCATATCCATGTCTTTAGCCTGTGTTTCTTGGCTGGCGAAAAGTGGCACCCAGGGAATTTCGGTATACCCATACAGTGTTGGGTCACAGGCTGGAACTGTTGCTTCTTGACCAAATAGTGATGCCGTGGTGGAACGCGTAGTAGCTATGGATGTGAAAGAAGTGAAATCGTTGGCATCTGAACATTCTGGTATTTTTGGAGTGAAATCATCCACCAAGCTTGACCTTCGTGAGTCAAGTGTTGGAGAAGCGGCACTGGTAGTGGGTTGGTCTAAACAGGTCGACTTGGTATCACTATTGTTCAGATCCTTGCTAGTCTTAGTATTGTGCGATGATTTAGAAGCCAGAGTGGCATTCTTTTTCCACCGTGAAACATGATACTGAAGACAGCGAGCTCTGGAAGGAACATTGTCAGCCCATATTTTCAACACGACACAAAAATATATCGCGAAGACTTACTTGGCATCTTTCCCAAGCAGTCTTCTATTTCGTCTTCTTTCCTCCATTTCAATGGGCATTCCATTAGCCCATTCCACACCTTGCAGTCGCTTGAGAATACTCTCCAGAGAATTGGTTTTTGATTGAAGCGCTCGGGACTTGTTAGGCTCGGCCTTGAGGCGCAGGATCTCTTCTTTAAAGAAGCCGAACTCTTTCTTGATGACTGTATTTTTGAGAGTCTCGCTCCATGTAAAGCCTCCCTGCTTCTTGAGTTGAATTTTCCATTCATCGTAGCTCAGCCCCTGGCCAAGTAGCTTGCTCATAATTCTGTCCAGTGCCGCATCATCCTCCACTCGTCTTGATATTGTTTTGGTAAATGGCTCGGCAGCCGTAGGGAGTTGACACGAAGCCATCTCTATAAGGATAGTATCGGATCAAGATGTCAGTAGGGAGATCGCAGCTATAGTTCGAAGGCAAGCTGTAGGCTGGACACCTCGACAGCGCCAACTGAGTGTAAGCCAGACAGCTTCACATTATAGCAACTGTTAGAACCTAATTCTAGTGGTAACAAACCTACGGATGCCAGAACGAGGGCAGTGTCTTGGTTCAGGCACCAGGCCTCCGAGATCTTACGCCGAGGGTTCGTCGACGATCTTGGCCGGACAGACAAGACTAACAGAAATTCTCAGTCAATGCGGTTCGATGGTTACAATTGAGCAATTCTCATCTGAGTATTGTAGCAGATGATGGAAGCTACATTATTGACGTGCGACGTTTGAAGCCTTACCCCACCTCTCTTTGCGCGCATGCCAGTATACACTTGCGTAGGATCAATATCCTTGCAAATCTGATAAGACATGCATGAACCTGCAGCGCAATACTCGAGTATGACGAACGGCAGAGTACTTTTCAGAATGATGCCTTGAGATTTATCCTGGAATAGTTTTCAGCTTCCCAATTGCATCTAAATCAGTATCAGTAGACAAGGTACCCACATTTACAAGTACAAGTAGTCTAGGTTTGGTGTTCTATTACCAGTCTATGGTATATAGTATAAAGTTTCTGGAATTGAGGGTCACTACAGAAGCACATTCGTTGGGAAGAAGTGATCGAGAATAGGGAGGCATCGAGACAATTTCAAGTGGCAATCTTGCTCGGCTGTCGAGGTACCATCGACGTTTGGTTCCCTTTTCAAGGTAATACACTTAGTACACTTACCTATTGTTTTTGGGTGCTGATATCCTGTCAGGTACTGTTTAAATTTTGCAGTATTCGCTATATGGTATCTAAAATTGCAACAAAAGCTGGCACCGAAACCAATAAAATGGTATTGTTTGGAAACAATACATTATGTATTACTGAAGCTAGAAATGCTCCGTAACCTCTGCTTTGAATTGGATGGAAACCGATGTTGTCCGTCAACATCCCCGCCCGTAAAGTTCGGGCCAAAATTCGCATTCTGGCGCGTTGAACTCCTTCGAGTCATTGAACTCCATAGTCGGCGGCATGCTTGCTGAGATGTAACAATGTAGACGATGACATTCCAGAAACCCTGTAGTGGGAAGACAAATGACGAGACATAATTGAGAGCAAAGTTTACTTCGTCCGGATTTACCATAGCATACACTCGGTTCACGCTAGATGGAACCCAAGTGATGAGCAGGGCTAGAAAAAAAAGAAATGCAACTCGTGCATATAGCCAAGCATCGGGGTTTGTCTCGGATTCCGCTATATCCCGTGTTATGCCACGCACACGCATCGGTGCCGGCATTGGACGTCCTGGTTGATCTTGGGGGTCAACCTGAACGTTGACAGAGTAGGGTGTGAACTGCTCAATCCTCTCAGATGTATTTTGGGCTTCGTCATCTTCTTTAACAATAAAGCGTTCTTGATGTGTGATCTCGATTTCTGTCGTTACTATCTGAGTAAAAGGGTTTTCGTTGAGAGGATTGAGGAACCCGTCCAGATGCCGGCGCTTGTTCCAAATCACTTTCCCTGCCATTGCATAAACCGCAAAGGCCAAGATAATAGCAATCCTTTAATGTGTTAATTGGGGTTCGGAAACCTAGAGTTTGAGATCATCTTACCACACTATTGCGTACAAGAAGACTATTCTCATCCAATCCCAGCTTGGTGTAATCCTACCCAACGTATTAGCATATTGCAATATAGAGCCAAAAAGCGTAGGAGCTGTCTCGGGAGTTTGTATAGAGGCTCTTTAGCTCCCATAGAGGTAAGTGGCCTTTTCGTATGAGAATAAACTCACCAACACCATATGATAGCCGGTCCGTAGACATGGCCTCGACTTGGGCTCGAGATGAAAACAAACGTGATCGCTGGGATGAATGAGAGTGCAAAGCACGCGAGTAGGTAGTAAAAATCCAGAGAGCGCAATTGATCAGTGCTGTATCCTCTAAAGAATACTAAATACACGTTGATAGCCATGCAAAAGGCCCAGTAGGCGTCAACTCCTAGAAACACTTCAGGCAAGTGGGAGTCAGCTTAATCTTCTAGGTTAAAAAGTTGCGGTCCTTAAACTAGCGTGCTTCTTCTTGCGCATAGGACCTATAACCTAGGAACCTCCTAAGTGTATGAAATACTGCCTATTTTCGATGCGCAATAGGAAATGAAGGGTGCTCTCTGATTACTTACTCTGTACTAAAAATCCTTGAAGTTGGCACAACGGTGCGGTCTTGTGGCCTACAACAGCCAAGGGTCCTGCATCTGATATCAAACTTGCAACGGTGGAACCAATATTTCCCCAAGTTGCAAAGAAGATGAGGCGGTTAATCGGTTTATCGAAGTGGGAGGAGAACGTGTAGGTGATGAGGACGAAGAAAATTCCAGCCATAGAGAGGCAAGAGTTGACTCTTTCGGTAATGACTAGAGCGTTGAGCTCGCTGGCACTGAGAGGGATAGTGCCAGGCATGATGGCTGTGTAACGTTCTGCTCAACCGCTCTGTCGACCTCTTTGCTGTAGTCACTCCAAATATCGAATTTTCACGCTGACGAAGGTTAAGTTCTTTTGTTGACCTTGGACATGCTTGTTCTTCATTCAATTACGGAGAAGCCGCCGGCAGCTTGTTGTTTGTGGTAAGGGTTCTAGTTGCCTAGCAGCGTGAAGTAGTAAGTGTTGTGGAGCACGAAGGATATATAGGAGTGACGGATGCATGCCAGCAAACGGCAATGATTTCGCGTAGAATTATTTCATGTCGAAATTTTAGAGACGAAGGATCAAGTAGCATAACTACCAACGTTCAACACGTAAAAAAACTACGATCACAGTGGGTAGCTATAGAACTGCGAACTAGGATTTGAGCTAGAAAGATCTCTTGCGAATCATTCTAGAACGACGCTATGGACGAAACCCCCATACGGTCATATACCCTGGAATCTTTTATGCAGAAAGTCTTTAAAGAGATGTGGACGACTTTTTCAGAAGGAAGATCCGCGTATATTGACGTCGATTATTTACAAGGGACGAATCCATCGTGCCCTCATGCGGTTGCAGGATTTGTTATCATCATAGTCTCATAAGCGTCCACGCGGCGCAAATGAATGTGCTACAATTGCCCCTCTTGATTCAGCGTATCACGATATCAGCGAAAAAATTCAAGCATTTGTAGTTTCAGGTATCAACCTACTCTCCATTTCTTCCATTTCTTGCACGGATTCTGGGGGTCCTAATCTGTATCTAATTCACATTACTTTTTGAAAGTGCCTCTGTACAATAAGTTCAATTCTGAGAATTGTTTTCCCCATATATATTAGCGCAGCTTGACTCTTGACTGGTCACAAACCATTGCTATTATTATCCTCAATGGCTTCAGACTCCAAATGCTAAAACCTATCACAACTCGGGATTTCGTACTCCGCAGCGACCTGCCTATATAAAGTAAGTGGCTACGAGATGCAGCCCTCTCGTATATCTAAACCCTTACTGATATAGTAGAAGTATATGGGGAACCGCTAGTAAAGGTGGGGTGGGTAGTGACCGAAGCCGCCAATCAGAGCCTAGTTTGAGCCGCAATATGCAACATTAGACCAACTTCAAGTCTACAGTAGTAGTGGCTAATCAAGCTTGCCAAGCTTTACCTGGGCAGTGGGGTATACCCCAGATCTATGCATTGTCATACTGTATATTCCGTATTTATTACGCGTATTATTATGACTAGTGTCGGGAAGGGCGTTTTTTTCGCGAGATGGATGAAGCATTCGCTCAAGTATTCTTCAGAATGCAGTACAAAAATTCCATCCTTCAGGATTTAGAAGGAGCAAACCCCCACGGTAGGCAAAAATTTCCGAACCACCCCAACCTTCTTTCCCCCAAACTTCTTTCCAAAGATTCAAACAACTTGCTTCCCGGATCATGGACCAACTCTTCACTTCACCGATGGTGGTTCAGAGTCAGACTTTAAAATAGAAGCGGCACGATATTGACTACTTTTCGTTGCCTGGCTATCTAATCTGGTTGGGTGTGATCGGCCGGGATGCTCGTGGGACTGCAGATCTACCGAAGAAAGTAGCGGCACGGCATGCACTAGATGCGGTTCAAAGCACGCAGGCCCAATAGGCTGGGAAGCCGACGGGAAAGAGGGTGTAAATCCCTGCCTTCACTCTATTTTCATAAACTGGTTCTATCCTGGACCACGACTGTCTGAAAATTCGGACTTTACAAAGAAGCGATCACGATAGGTGGGGTTTTCTCGAAGGATATCAATATATCGAATGCTGATATGTATTTTCGTTTACAAAAGATTACGAACTTTAGCGAAGTCTTTCGGCTTTTTTAGTTTAAATAGAAGCACATAAAGAGGACTTTATATCGAGGCTTTTGCATTTTGAACTAAAAGATGCGTGTATCATTATCGATAACCTGCGAACGTTAATGGCCCATCCATTTATGCTTACTCCACGTGGAAGTGCGAAATGTATGGCGTACTAAGCTCTCAGCAAGATCCTGTAGGAAAATTATAATCTTAGTGGCTGGCTCGAGGAATATCATGCGGCTCATATTCTATGCCGTCCCGTCTTTTGGGCATACGTGTACTCCCCAGCTGACATGCAATTGTAACTTTGGATGCCCCGCTAATTTGATCCTCCAGTATTGCTCTCGAGTGCAAAGATACGAGTAAAGTGAAGCTGTTTGAAGATGCGAGGCCCTGTTATAGGTTGAAAGTCTCTGAGGGCAACGGCTTCCTTTCTGGGCCAATAGAACGTGCCGTAAACAAAGGGTCACACTAAAATTTTAACGTGACAAGCCGTCCCGGACAATAAAACATGACGATGATAAGTTGTATATCCCCGAGCAAGCCGGCCTCCCCACGCTCGCCTAATATCTCGCTTATCAAAAGGGGTCGAGCTGAGACAGATCAGCAACACACTTGAAAACCATCAATTAGCATTTGTCTCCAGCGTATGAAATCAACTTGTATCCTATGCATCAAGCAACAACCACCACCAGAAATCGATGGACGTTTATTGTTTGTGTAAATAGCCTAAAAGAAATCCAAAGAATGAGGAATTAATACTGGTTTTGAACAGAACATATGCGGTTAACAACGTGACATGGGTGTTGGTCCATTGCAGCCGTCATAATCAATCGTTTTTTCACTACCTTCATACAACAGGTCACCAAATTAACGTCATTCGTCTTTACTTCCAAGCACCGACTTACCGAATTTCCCCAGCACTGTCCCATGTTCTTCATGCGAAAAGAATAAATCACGCCTCATCCATGCTGCGATGGGCCGATGACCACCGAATCCGGGTTTGTTTGCGATTTTCCTTACTTGCAGCAGAGTTTCAATAGCGGGGGTGAAACCAAGTGGCACTTTACTTCCTATGCGCCTCGAAAGTCGGCATGAGGCTGACACTTCTCGGAAGGGTCAATTGGACTGCATCGTGTTACTGGACTTCTTGGTAATATTGAATCTCACAATATACAACCATGTTGTCCTCGCAATCGGATCTTTCTACCACATGCAAATCGTCCCGCCGGGGAAATGGTTCTTTTTGAGATGCCAGGAGTGTTTTACTTCTTAATTGCTTCACAAGCCGACTTGGCCTGAACTATCGTGGGATGGTGTTCCAACGCTCTATATCTACTACTTCGAACAACACCAATTGAGACTTGCTCCGTCTTGAGTTAAGATCCACTATAGGGCTGTCCGCGGTTCTTCCACCGGCAATCGTTTTATAGTCTTTGTTGAGGCTTCTCATCAAAGAAAGCAAGAGCAGCAACACAAAGAGCATGAATACCCGTTGACATCGTAGGTTGTATGACCGGTGCAAACCTCGCCGTATGATTCGCGGGAATATCATCAATATTCCCCTCCTTCAGCCTCTGATCCCACAATCCCTGCTCTATTCCCCCCCAATGCCAAAACGCGCAAGGACGACCCTGCGATGTTGCGAGGACGGAAAAATCCTCCGCGATAGTAGTGGTTGGTATATTTGCATCAAAGTCATTTTCGAAATAATCACTAAAGCTTTTCACTAGCGTTTTCATCATCGACTCGTCGTTCACTGTGTTTGGCAGGTGCCGAGTCATCTTGAATACGGGTGCGACGGTCGAACCACTTGCTTCGCATTCAGCCTTGACGATTCGCCGGATTGAGGCTAGAAGTTTCTCGCGCGTTTCCGGTCGTACGCTGCGTATGTCGATGCCAATTTCTGCCGAGTCTGCTATGATGTTCTCTGTCTGGCCGGCTTGCAAGCTCCCAACTGTCAACACAGAAACATCGCTTGGATTGATCTCTCTACTGATGACAGTCTGGAGGCGTACTACAACGTGAGCGGCCAAGACAGCAGGGTCAATCGTTCGATGTGGCTGTACAGGTCAGGTCCTGAATGCAATAAAAACTGCGTGATCAACCTACCTGCGACCCATGACCACCGATCCCAAATAGTGTAATTTTCATACTATCAGCCCCCGCCATAATCGTCCCCATCTTTGATCCCACACTCCCCGCTCGCATTGCCATCACATGCTGACCGAGTACAAAGTCGGGCACGGGGATCTTGTGCTTACCATACAAGCCATCATCTACCATCGCCTTCGCTCCGGTGCCACGCTCCTCTGCAGGCTGGAACAGCACAATTAACGTACCGCTCCACGTTTTCTTAAGCTTGAGAAGCGTTTCCGCGGCAGCGAGGAGACATGTCATATGCATGTCATGGCCGCATGCATGCATCACAGGCCGCATGACGCCCTCGACGTCGAGCATGGTGACTTTACTGGAGTAGGGAAGGCCAGTTGCCTCCAAGACTGGGAGGGCGTCCATGTCGGCACGCAGGAGGATGGTTTTTCCTGGGCCATTTTCCAGCACGCCAACGATGCCATGGCCGCCAATGTTGGTGGTGATATTGAAAGCCTGGAGACCCGATAGTTGGGATGCAATCGTTTCGGCAGTTCTAGCCTCAAGATTCGAGAGCTCGGGGTGCTCATGAAAGTGCTTGTATAGCGCCTCGTATTTTTCAGTATTTATAGGTGCGGCGAGAAGCCGGTCAGTCAGAGAGCTGGTGACTCGAGATTTTGAATCCATAATTGAAGTTCGTAATAGCGTGTTTGACTAACGAAAAGATTTATCAGAACAAGGCAATTCTGTAGCTTTCTAGAGGCTGAGATCTTTCCTTACGACTTAAAGGTCCTAGGAAACTTGCATAAGATAGATACCTGGATGGCAGTAGGATACAACTCTGGAAATGCTATTCCCTACGAAAATCTCCCCCTTGATACCTAATATATCCTTAAATTAGTGGATTAGTGGATCAGCGCTAGTGACAAAGCAACGGTAATATAAATGACAATCGTATAAATAATTAATTCTTAGACCACGCCCCTGACTTTTTGGGGTGAGACACGTTGTTCTGCCATGATCATGACTTGTCTAATTTAAGTTGGAGACCTCGGAATCAGGGAATGTGGATGTTGGAGGTCAACGCGAAGGATGTTCGCGAGATCACGTGGCACATATCCCTTCTAAACACTCTATACCTACAAATACTACCTACGTGGGTATACCATGGCATGTCTCTGCTTCAATACTAAATTGCTCCTTTCCAAAAGACGATTTTCAAGTGTGGTGGATAGTATGTTAGTTGAACTAACAAAAAGGACCTGAGAAATAAAACTTGATTTGGTAGTGATTCCCAATTTTTGGATTCCTGTCTCCTTTTCCAATACTCTACAATGGATACCTTCCTTTCTTTTCCGTGCCAATGGTTTAACAAAACTCCTTTCATCTAATGCGTTCATCCGTCTAATCCATAGTCCCCTATAACCCCTCCTTCGCCAGCATATCTGCAATGTCGAGGTAAAACGCTATAGCATTGAACCTACACTATTAGCATGTCCCTACTCAATACCAAAGACAACTACTTACTTTCTCTCCGTCCCTGCCAACCTTGAAGCAACCCATTTCAACCTGTTTGTCCAATTAATCAAATCCAAATGACTAACCCCTACCAACGTCCCTTTATACGTCCCCCATTTCGCACTCTCCACACTAACCAATCCATCATTAGCCCCCTCAAATCTCTCCACAACCGCGTGCGTCTGCTTAAACGCACTCCAAAACCCCGGCTCAAACTTAGCCCCATAGCTAAAATACCTAACGGCCTCATCATCCGGCGTTTTCGGATTAAACTCCTCTAACATATACTTCCGGCTTAATTGACTAAACGCGCCTGTACTAACCCCAAAGTCATTAAAGAACTTATACAGCCTTGGCAAGTACGTCGGTCCTATCCCCTCGAGCATGAAATCCGCAAACGCGCTGCCACGATGCGGACTCGCTACCGTAGTCAGAGACAACACCTCGACGTTCTCGGGCTGCAAACGCGAAATCATGTAGCGAGCGTCGAGACCGCCCATGCTGTGCGCGATGATGTTGACGCTCTTGCCGTCGGCTTTGCTGGCTATGTCTTGGGAGAGTTTGAGGGCGCGTTCTTCGATGCTGGCGGATGCAGGCACCGAGGCTGTTATTACTTGGATGCCGTTCGAACGCATGGCTTCCGTGATGCCGCGCCAGTAGTGCACGCCGGGGAGGAGGGTACCAGCGAGGCGCAGTTCGTCGAATCCGAGGAGGCCATGGGCGAGGACAATGGGGTGTTTGGGCGTTGCTGGTGGGTTGGGTTAGTCAATTGGTCTTGGGAGGAGGGATTAGGGAGGGGCAGTACCATAGGTTTCTCTAATGGTGGCAAAATCATCCTCGATAGCCCTCCCTAGGTTATTGATGCGCGGGTCACTATTCGTATCTTTCTTGTCTTGTTCGTTGTGTTCTCTCTTTCTACCGCGGCTGTAGGAAAAAGACTTCATTTGGGATCTGGAGCGCAATATGGCACCCCGAGGGAAAAGTAGGACATGTTGAGGAATCCATCTCGTGCGCACTACACGAGGTAGCAGTATTGTCATTGCTGGCGCCTAGACATTGAGTTTTGGTGGGTTGATGAGGAGATGCCATGGTAGAAGAAGTTGCGTTGGAGAGTTAGTGTTGACTGAAGATTTGCGATGGAGGCAATGACGTCGACAAAAGTGATCCTTGTTTACATGTGACTGGAGAATACTAAATGTAAATCAGAGTGAAGCTTGTCATGTAGAAACAATGAATCTGAAGATGTCCCTACGAATCAACAGAAACTAATATCGTTGCACGAGGCTATTTGCAATGGTTGACCAAGTTCGCTATTCTTCACCACTCCTATCACGCTTACCCAAGGGATATCTCGTATAATTGCAAGCTAATCTATACACAGAGCTCTCTCGTGCCCTTTCCCTGACCAAGCCTCCAGCAATTGAAAGCCAAATAGTGTAGCAAATACTAGCCATTGCCTCTCGAGTCAAGCCGCAGGAGCATCCCCTCAACGATCCTCTCCATCAGGAAGTCCCATCTTATTTCGGAACCTCAATACGATCTGGAACCACAGGCTTGACATCAATCACCGCCTTCAGTAGATCTTTCACAACCTGATCCTGGCCCTTCTTGCCCGCCTCCTGGATCTCCTTTATCTTGACCTCGGCGTCCTTGCTTGCATCCTCTTCTGCTTTCTTGTTGCCGCTGGTGTGCTATAATCATACCATCAGCGACTGCATTTGAACCGCCACAACCAGATCCAATAGTCAGAGCGCTTGCGTGGGGAGGAGAAGATGATAGCCGTACCTCAGACTCAAACTTCTTGAACTCCACATCCTTCTGCTTCTTATACTCATCAATCTCCTTCTTCGCCTCGTCCCTCGCCTCCTTTACACGCTTAGTGCGGTCTGCTATCATCAGCTCCCATCTAATCAACCAGTATATCTCTCAGTATGGCCTTACATTCTCTAGCTGTACATGATAGACGTTAGCAACCTGTTCAATCGAGACTCTAGCTCCAGAACACCAACCTCTCTGGACAATCTTCTGGGCCTCCCTCTCTGCCTGCAACCCCGGAATTAGTACCGTCCCCTCCCATATCAAGCCGTAGCTGTATTCGTAGAACTTACATCCAGCAACGTCTGAATGCCCGCTGAATTCTGTGCAGACTATCCCACCAACACCGCGTTAGCACACGCCCTCTCATTCAATCATTCCCACAACCTCTCCCCGCACAAACAAACATACCATATTTGCGATCCCAATTGAAAAATTCAGCTTGCTTCAGCAATTCCTCTGTTCACGTCGCTGGGAGATTCGAAGCTTGCGTCGTCCGTTATGGTCTTCGAGGGTGAAGGAGCTCCACGGCACGCTAGCTCTTGAGCTCTAGATTCAAACCCCTGTCAGCGAAGGCGGTACGGAGATTCTGCCACTTGACTTGCACTTGCCATCAACACCACACCACACCACAAAACATTACATAGGTACTCCTCCCATGAGGAATTGAATCTACTACTACTGTTACAGAGACAACTGTTTAAGTTTAAGAAGAAAAGAAGGAGTAAAGCAAACATGTCACGCGCAGCAAAAGCAACACTAGCCGGAACGTCCCTCTTCGCAATGGGTACCGTCTTTTTCGTACATTATGCTCAGAGCAATGAGAAAGCTGTACATATCACCCCCTTCCACCCCCACCTCCTCACTTCTTACTTCCCACCCACCTCCTTCTCCTCGCTTTCTTCTAAAACTCCTCTCAAGCTAACCGCACATCCATTTTCGCATAGGCAATGCACGCAGGCGTCGTCCGAGACATGGAACAACAACGTATCAAGAAAGAACGACAGCTAGATTTCGACATGCAGAAGCAGTTGGAGGCGGAGTTTAAGAAGGTGCAGAGTGTGAGTGATGGGGGGACTGTTGGGGATGCTTGACGGATGGGCGATGTACTGTACATCTATCGAATCGAACGAAACCAACCAAGTCTCTTGTGGAGTTTATACAAGTGCAAGAAAATGGAAAGGATGGGAAGGGAAGGCTGTATCATCACATGTACTTGGTTGTACAAGAACAGGGAAAGGGCATTCATTGCATTGCACGGCGCAAGAGATCATAAATGGAGCGTGTAGGAAGGGCAAGTCACAGATCAAATCTCTGTATTATTACGTTCGGCTTTTATCTCGCTGGGTTTCCTCCAGCCTACCCGCCAAGAGAGAGAAAATCTAAGATATGGTACAAACAGATATCATGCCTCTTCATATCGTATCGTGCACACCTAGGGTTCTGGTAAACGAAAAAAATGAATCATATGCGAAACCCCTATGCAAATGCACCCAATTTCTTCGCTGCATTCTTAAATTCCTTTTCCCCAAACGCCCTATTATGGAAATAGTATGCCCCCCCTCCTATGCTCATTTTTCTTTTTCGTTCTTACATTCTTACTCCCTTTTCAGCGGATCGATATCCCAGATCTCTCGGTGAACATCCTGGCCGCAATGTTCATGGAAGCCAACTCTTGGAAGAGCAGTTTCGCGGCATATGGAATGTGGATTTGCGAGACTCTGGTCTTGTTCTTGCAAGGTCGACACTCGAAACTTTGCGTCGAGAGTTTCCTAAGTCATGTTAGTACAGTCTTCTTCATATTGACCGCGAAAAGAACTTACGCGATTGGAGTCATCAGCCCACAGATTTCACAGACGTGAACTCTGAAGGCATCCGATACCTCGAACAATCTCTCCTTCAAGAAAGACGCAGCTCCGTGCGAGATCATACAATCACGCTCCATCTCTCCGAAACGTAGACCACCGTCTCTTGCACGACCTTCCACAGGCTGTCTGGTCAAAATCTGCACTGGTCCTCTGGCACGAGCATGGATCTTGTCATCGACCATGTGTCGCAGGCGCTGGTAATAGGTCGGTCCAAGGAAGACTTGGGCCATCATTTTGCGACCAGTATGCCCGTGATACATGATCTCGAACCCACGAGACTGGTACCCATGGTCGCGAAGGAGCTTCGAGACTGAGTCGACAGTGACTTCGGTGAAAGGTGTGGCGTCACCTTCAAGACCTCGAAGAGTGGAGACCTTGCTCAACTGACACTCGATCAAATGGGCAATGGTCATACGAGACGGAATAGCGTGAGGATTGATGATGATATCAGGTACGATACCCTGTCTGGTGAAGGGCATGTCCTCTTGTCTGTAGGTAATACCAATGGTACCTTTTTGACCGTGACGAGAAGCGAACTTATCACCGATTTGGGGAATCTTGGTTGTGCGCATGCGCACTTTGACGAATCGAAGACCTTCAGAATTGGTTGTGATGAGAACTTGGTCAACAATGCCATTCTCAGTACTTCGAAGAGGAGTGGAGGCATCACGCTTCGTATGGGCCTTGGTACGTTGTCCAAGTTCTTCAGCATCCGGTGCCATAGGAGCAGTCTTTCCAATAATGATGTCCTCTCCAGAAACACGAACACCAGGTGCAATGATTCCATCCTCGTCAAGTTTATCGTAAGTTCCATGCTTCAACTTCAGAGTATCGGCTCTGTATGGCTTCTCAAACTGCTCAACAACATTCATGCCGATACGCTTTTCTTGATCGGTGTAGGCACGGTAGAATAGACTTCGGAACAGCCCTCGATCGATACTGCTCTGGTTCATGATAACGGAATCTTCTTGGTTGTATCCCGAATAACAAGCAATAGCAACGATGGCATTCTGGCCAGCAGGGAGTTCTCTAAATTTAAGGAACTCCATAGAGCGAGTTGTAGCAAGAGGCTTCTGGGGGTAGTAAAGGATGTTTGACATAGTATCCATGCGCTGGTCAAAGTTGGTGAGGAACACTCCCATAGCTTGTTTGCCCATAGCAGACTGGTAGGTATTACGAGGAGACTATATCCATTAGCGAAGAAACATATAAAACTTTTCTTGAGCTTACCTGATTATGATCTGGGAAGGGAATAATGCTTGCGCAAATTCCCAAAATCATACTGGGATGAATCTCGCAATGAGTCCAAATATGAGCAGTAGGGTTCATTGGTGCTTTCACACGTTTGTTCAGATCCCCGCTGTCATCGGGCCTGATTTGGTACCCAGCTTGTAATTGCCGAGAAATATCCAAATCTTCGGGGGTCATCACAATCATCACAGTCTCCTCTTCCTCAGCATCCACATACTCGACAACACCGTCATTGATTAAGCCCTGGAAGCCGTAATAACCTGCATTGGCTCTCTGATCCGCGTCCATATTCGCAGGCATTGTCTGATCGTCTTCGAGCCTTCGGACATGCTCCTTATTCAAAACCAGATTGCCCTTGTTCGCGCTGTCCACATCGTTGTCGATGACGAACAGTGGTCTGCAAACTCGGCCTGCATCAGTGAAGATTTTGAATTCTCGGTCTCGAATATCTCGAATCAAGGAAACTTCGTGAGAGATCAAATGCGATCGTCTCAAATGCTGCACCGTTTTCACAAGATGTGCAGGATCCGAATGCACACCAACCCAGACACCGTTTACAAAGACCTTTGTGGCGTTTGGAGACCGTAAGGGCTCATACTCCTCCAAAACTTCCATGTTTCTTTGAATCATAAACTCAATAATTGGGTCGCTAGGCGTACCAACGGTGACATAGCACATTAGAGCTAAGTTCTTGACAAGTCCACAAGCTTGTCCTTCGGGTGTTTCGGCAGGACACACCAGACCCCAATGAGTATTGTGCAGTTGTCGTGGTTTAGCAATCTTTCCATCACGGCCAATAGGCGTGTTCGTGCGGCGCAAATGCGAAAGTGTGGACGAAAATGTATATCTGTTGAGCACCTGAGAAACACCAGCGGTCGAGCTTGCTGCTTTCTTTTGATCACCCCAGTTTCCGGTAGCCAGAGAGTATTTGAGACCGTTCGAGAGAGTCGTGGACTTCACACCAAGTGTGAGGTTGAATTCCTTGTTTTCCGAGACACACTTCACGAGGTATTTGTAAACATCTGTTGTCAATCTACGGAACAAAGTTCGAAAGAGTTTGGCCAGCAGTGGTCCTGCAAGATCCAAGCGCTTCTTCCCGAAATGATCTCGATCATCAGTCTCTCGTCGCCCAAGGGCGCATTGCAACATCTTGTGAACCATGTAGCCAAGGAAGAATGCTTTTCGAGTCTCGCTTCCCTCTTTCTGAGAGATGTGAGGAAGCAATTCCTTTTGCATGATATCACGAGCATGCTTCACACGCTTGTCTCGAGTCAGGGTGGTACCAGTCCCACGCTTCCCAATGAAATCCAAAGCGACCTCTCGATCTTGAATGACAAATGCTTCCTCGATACACGGCTTCAGCATTTCCAGCATTTGAGTGTCGTTGCGATCGTAGCATATGTGGTTCAGGATATCCTCATCGGAAACAACACCGAGAGCGCGAAAAACAACAGCAATCGGAATATCAGTCTTGATATATGGTAGTGTGGATTTAATGGTTTGTCCAAAGCCTCCTCTTTGCCCGTCACCCTTGGCGAAAAGCTTGATAGTCATTGAAGAGATGAGGCGAGATCCTTTCTCAAGGGCACTCCGAATCTCAGCAATAAAAGGAGTTGGACTCGGGGGTGCTTTCTTGAAGACCTGGACGATATTGGCAGCACTTCGCTCTTGCGCAATCAAGACTTTCTCGCTGCCGTTTATGATGAAGTAGCCACCCTGATCATATGGACATTCATTCCAAGCATAGAGATCATCTTCGTCGAGGTCCCTCAAGATACAGTACTTTGACTTCAGCATAATTGGCAGCTTCCCGATATAGACTCGGTCAGGCGGCTTCTCGGACTTCTCGCCTTCCTCGGAGTCGCCGTCCTCGTTTTCCCAGACAAGTCTTGTTGGATGTTCGCCCGTCCTTGCCATCTCAGCCTCCTGCTCTTCGTCGAGCTCGTTAAGGGGAACAGAGCGTTCAACAGCTACAGAGACCTTCTTAGTCATTTCGATATATAGAGGGCTCGCGTAGGTCAGGTTCCGCAGTCTTGCTTCTTGAGGCAGCATGACCTGTGTCGATCCATCACCTTCAGTCATCGCTGGACGCGACAGCAAAATGGTCCCAAACTTAATCTCATATCGTCGAAGGGCAATGTCGTTGTCATCAGTGGCCTGAGGGTTATTTTGGTCGAGAGTGAGCTGCGAACCCTCCTCTACAAGCTCCTGCATGGTCGTAGAAACGAATTCGTCAAAGGAATCCAGCTGCTGTGAGACCAGACCTTTCGCCTCAAAGAACGACGAAATGACCGTCCAGCAGTCCTCGGCCGTGATACCCGCATCCTCCTCTCCGTAATCATCATACTCGTAGCCTTCTTCATATTCCGCCATCTTGTCGAGTTATAGAGGTGAGGGGTCTGTCGATGATGGAGAGAGGTGAGGGAAAATGCTGGATGCTCGTGGCGCGAAGCTTGAGAGGTTGGTTGCCTTCTTGTGCTTTTGCGGCGCACGTCGCCCAGAAGCTGAGAGGCTTCAAGAAAGCGAGAACAAGGTCATCAAGGTCGACGAGAGTCGCGGGAGATATTTGAAGGCAGCAGTCGCTATATGTCGAGGTAGTTGATATTGATGCCGAAGCAGAGCTGGGTAAAGGGATATTTGGTTTCCGCGATTCTTTTAGACCCGCGCGCAACGGTGCAGAAGGAACTAATACCAATATGGCTAGCGCGACTCTGCACTTGTAAGCAGTCGAGGCAGTCAATGGAAGTGGTGATTCAAAGTGAAGTTCCTATTTAAATGTTTTCCATTGATAATTCTTTTAGGAAAGAATGCAGGAAGAATTCTACCAATGTGTATCCTCAAATGATATGCAGCGCCATGCCATACCATACCATATCATTTGAAGACCGCGGGTTGGCTTCCCCTTGGGAAAGCGCGAGTGAACACTTTGTTGGCCACTCAGCCAGGACAGCTATCGTCTTCGTTTCTCGTATGAGGTTGACGTCCTTTCATTCGCAAGACAATTCGAATTATGCGCTCCCCCTACAATTACGCCGTCGATTGGCGTTGTACTTATTGGTTGGCCGTCACTAATAAAGTACCGCTTTGGACACTTCTCACATCGCTTTTGGTTTATACATATATCATATCTATTTTAACGCTTTATCTACTCGTACATTTCAAGTTTCTTTACATCAAAGCGATGCCTTCAATTCTTTCACGTTCTTCTCATTGACCAGCACATATCGGTATCTTGCGTCTCCCTCTTCCATGTCGATAATGGCTTGGTTAGCATCCGACATGGGCCTCTCTTGAATGTATGGGTGGATCTTCTTGTCCGCAGCAAACTGCAACATCTCAGAGATATCCGCAGGAGAGCCAATGAGTGATCCTTCTAGTTTGCATCCCTTATTAATCAGCGCAAGTATGTTTATCGGCGGAAGCACATCCTCTGGTGCGCCGACCTGTTTAAACTTGTCAGTTTCAATCAACACCATCTGTCTCTAAGGTAGACTGACCTGAATGAATTGCCCATGTGCCCTTAAGAGCTTGAAATAGTCAGCAATGGGCATGTTGGGGCTTGAAACGGTGGAGATGATCAAGTCGAGAGTACGAGAGTTCTTCTTGGCCCAGCCTTCGCTTTGGGTGGCGATGTATCCCGTTGCGCCCATCTTCATGGCGTCGGCCTTCTTCGCATCAGTGCGAGAGATGACCACAACTTCATCACAGCCCAACGCCTTGGCCCAAAGCACACCGAAGTGACCCAGACCTCCGAGACCGATAATGCCAACCCTCTTACCTGGGCCAGCGCCATTTTTCTTGAGGGGTCCCCACACTGTGACACCACCGCAGAACATAGGAGCAGCTTCAGCATTGGTGAGACCATCTGGTATCTTGACAGCGAAGTGCGCTGGCACACGGCAATAGTCTGCGTACCCACCGTATGATTTCGATCCATCTTCGTATTTGCTGTTATAGGTTCCAACCAGTCCTTTGACGCAGTAGTGCTCCTCGTTGTCGAGGCACTGTTCGCAGTCTAAACAGGACCCCGATTGAGCGCCAACACCGATGCGGTCGCCAAGCTTGATATGCTTCACGTTCTTTCCAACCTTAACGGCGGTTCCTGCGATTTCGTGTCCAACGCAGCAAGGATAAAGCGTTTTACCCTAATCTAGTTGTCAGCTGTTGTCTTTGAGCACATAGTAAGGATTATTACCCATCCTGATCTCAGCGAATGTATATCACTTCCACAGATCCCGCAATGGGTGATCTTAATATCAACATCATCCTCCGTCCAGGTCTTTGGCTCATATTCCTGCCAGACCATCTTCCCTTTGACGGAGTCCTTGTCCAGACCCATCCATCCTTGGAATTTGTATGACGCACTCATTTTTGCTTTTTGTATATCGTCTGCGGGGTTCAAAGATTCTTTCAGATGATTTGTGAGAGCTTGTATGCGGCCAGATGCTACTGGATTAAGTTCTTTTATAGATTTCGACATGATAGCTATCTTTCAAATTTTTCTACCTCCACTTTTTGCTATCTCCTACGCAATCCCCGGCGCCATTTACTTGGAGTGCCTTCGCCCGTCGAATCTGCTGTTAGACAGTTCACTCTAAAAGCTCCATGCGTAGTTAGCCCACATAGAAGCTTTGACGTATATCTAAAGTCCGATATCTGCGGTGGATAGTCCTCTTTTTTCTCGGCAATCTCGCAAATCAACTTACCAACCAAATGGTTTCGCCGAAAGTGGATTGAGCTGCTAGCTAGTTGGAAGTTAAGCTCGGGTGATGATGTCGTTGGACAAGTGGCGAGACCAAACAAAGTATGAAATGCCTCTGATTTGGTAAATTTGAATGTCGTACCGTACTCAACAAGATTTGGCAATAGGATCGACCTTGTATTAATACCAGCGTCGGCAATGATGTATGCGTGTTTTGGCAGCCCCACCATGATTTATTACCGGAGCCGAGGTACGATTTATCTATTGGTTGCATACTACTAGTGTATTCTCAAAGAGAACATTTATGTTGAGATCAATCACACCCCGCTGATAAGCAATTTTATAAAGTCTACTTATCTTCAGATCAAGAAACGAGTACGCAGTCAAGTGAGCTGCTCTCCCTGTACCTTGCATTAGCTTGCATTTGAGGACCCGAGGCCAAGTTGCTGGTATTCAAAACGTGAAGCTCTGCATGTGGTTTTGTGTATCCAACAAGGAAAATATGAAGAGACCAGCTTGCTGTGTTCTTCATTACTATGTTCTTCTCATTTTTGTTATATATTTCATGTCTACATGCTTCATGCAATGATTAGGTGGCACTACTATTCCCTTTGAGGATGGCGGGAGGCTCGATACACAACCATGATAGCACCTCAGTAGTCGAGGCTCATGACAAAGAACAGAACAAAGAAGTTTCTTCGATATGTGAACAATGGATTGTTATGGCTGTCCACTTAGATCAATGAAAGGGGTAGAAAAACAGTAGCTGTTATTTTTCTACACTATGTCACTAACTTGCTTTGTGGTCGAGAAGAACAACCTGGAGATATAATTGCAAATTTTCTATCATAGTTCGACCCTTTCTTCAAGTATCCATAGGTTAGAAAGAATCTGGGGAAACAATTTGGAATGTAATTCGAACAGTAGCTATTGATCTTCTATATAACATGCAATTGTGGTCGCTTCAAGCAGATTTAAATCATCACAACACATACCACAACCACAACCACAAACACAAACACATCATTCAGACGAAAACTTCCCATCAAAACCAAAAGCTAACACACCAAAAACATGTTTAAAATGTACGGGATCAAGTATAACTGGTGTGGTCACAGCAATACACCTATTGTGACTAAGCGATGCTCAGTTCCAGACTGCAAGCAGACGGAATGGTTGCCATTGGACGGAGCAGTGTTCGGCGGCCCTGCAGGTTTGCTTCCAGGGAAAGCTGGCTTCTGCGACAAGTGCTTGCTGGACCCAGAGCTTTCAACCATGGCTCGAAGAGTCGATGGAGAAACAACTCTTGGATACTCTTGTGACCAAGCAGAGTGCAAATGGGCTACTACAATGTGGATAATCTTTGAGCTGAGATGTCCAAGCCCCGGCGGTGAGCCTGCAGAGTTCTTCAAAGCAAGTGGACGTAGAGCGATGCTCAGTGTGTACACCAAATTGTCTAAGCATTCCTTCTGGAGCTTGCAAAACCCGGATCAGCCTCGACCAACAATGTACCAGCGACATTTCCTAATGTTCATGCGAAGCGCGCTCGATTCCTTCAGCATCATGGATCTGCAATTGGTGTCAACAAAACCAGGTCTCTTCCAGCAGGTCAAGATTGAGTCTCTCAAAGACCAGCCTAAGGCATGCGGCATGTGCAAGAAGTCTTACGGACACATCCACGAATTCCCATACAGAATTTCCTGCGGGCACGTCTTTGGCGGAACATGCATTCGAAATTGGGCAAACAAGCACCATGGTTGCCCGTTGTGCAATGCCGCCATCGAACACACCGACAGGTTGCCCTCTGATGACGAACCCCGCGGTTGGTTGGATACTCTTATGGACTCTTTGGATGGGTTGGGTAGACGCTCGCGCTGATAAACCGTTGAACCTTGGGCTTGAACAACAACGAGCCTGCAAGTTGGGGTATGAATTCTAACTTCTGCTAGCCGGAAGCAAAAGTCTTTCTACACAACATTGAGGTAAGCGATTTCCTATCTTGAAAACAAAAGAAACAAAAGAAAAACCTCCCAGGTTTCTTAATACACTATCCTTAATATAAAGATGTTTACACTATACCCGTTTTTGCAATAATTGACCTAATGACCCACTGCAACGAGATGAATACAATCTAACAATAATTCCAGGCAGACCCGACGTTCCATGAAAAGCAAGAAACCCTTAGGATCCTCCAATCACTCGATCAAACGCCGTCATCACAGCACTGTTTCCCCCGCAACAATAACCAGTTCAGTAGTCTTAACCCACAACTTCTGCCTATCCTTATCCAGACTGTCCGTTGAGCTAGCTAGTCTTGAGTGTCTTACTTAAGCAGGGTGAAGAAGTCGTGCATGGGTTTGCAACGCATTTGAATTGCTCAAATTACCCGGGTGAATATAGATATATCTACATTTCCCGTTCCGTTCGGTACAGTTCTGCTGCAAGTTCTATCGTTATCCCTACCGAAAATACACTTCGGTTCTGCTTTGGTTTGGTTTAATTTAGTTTTCACAAGCTCAGCGTACAGTACGTCTCTTCGTCACAAATGCAAAATACTCAAATCCCCCCGGCGTATCCGGATCAACCAACGTCTCTACCTCTCTCTACCTCCGAGATTTTTACCGTAAGGTTTGGTGTATCTTTTTAGTGAATGGCACGAAGCACATGACCTTCCGCAATCTGTAGGGGTTGGGTCTAGATCACTGCTTGGTTGAATAGCTAAAAGTGATAAGGTAGCATGGGTTTATGGTTAGAAAATCCCATTAGGCCTTGCGGTGGTGATGTGTAGCTAAACATGCATCACCCACTCGTCACCCGGGTCGAAACCTTGATGATAGGTGGTGCAAAAAGAAAGGGCACATATTGTTAACAGGGCTAATTTGAAGAGTTCCCGTGAAAGTGTCTAGTAGTTTCTTCATTTCCCAACATGAGAAAGGACTACCTAGGTATCTACTGACATCAAAATTTCGAACTCACGATTTCGCAAACCAAGACCAAAGAAAGAAGTCCCGCAATTAAGTTGCCAAAGAAAATAGGTAGTCATCTCATCATTTACCACTCGACCACCAAATTCCCCAATCCTCGAGACACACAGCTCAACATCGCACCCCCTTCCTTATCCTCCTCGCTCAAAGCACTCCCCCTATGCTCCACCTTCCCCTCACACACCTTAACCTGACAAGTTCCACAATTCCCCGTCTCACAACTACTATCCACATCCCAACCCTCCCTCCTCAACACCCCCAACAACGTCTCCCCCTCCCCAACCTCAAGTCTTCCCTTCTTCCCCTTGCCCTCCACCACCGGCATTTTCACCTCAACCGAAAACGGATCTCCTCCAGCATTCGGTTGAAAGGCCTCATAATGAATCTCATCCGCACCGATCCCCAACTCCTGCGCCGCACGAACAACATCATCAATCAGCCGCTGCGGCCCACAAACATACACGAAAGAGTTCCACAACCTGTCCCGCAAGATCTTATTCACGTCAAGCCGGTCCCCTTTCGTCTTATCATACACCACAGCTTTACTCCCCATTTTCTCAAGCTGGGCTTTGAACGGCGTTTCATCTGCAGAACGCACAGCGTAGTGCAGCGTATAGTTGAAGTTGATGCGGTCGTATATATCGGCGTGCCCCAGAAACGCAGTAATGCCAATCCCAGCCGCGATGAAGATGTGATTTGATGACTGGCCCTTGATCGGTACACCTTCGGTAATCTTACCCGCTTGTACTGTATGCCCGGTATTGAGCTCCTCGTGAAGGTATCTCGAGCCCCCTCGACTCAGCTCCTCGTGGGCAATGCCGAGTTGGAAGCGGTGGGAACCGCCTGAGACGACGGAGTACGCGCGGATAAGTCCATTGGGCAATTTCAAGCGCACGAAACACCCGGGATCCAGTTCCTCGCCTTCGCCGTCTTTACCTACGGCTTGAAAAACAAACGATGTAATGCGTGGCGTCTGTCTCGTCTTCTCCTGCAGCACGAAATTCGTCCATATTTCTGGTTCCTTCTTCTTCTCTCCTTCCTTGGCCTCAGCAAGTAGACGAGTAAAGGCATTCTTACACTCTGTACCGAATTCTTCGATTTGTGAGAGTTCGACAAGCATAGGCAAATCCCTCTTATTGCGATGTAGATACTCCTGCACCCTCTCAATCGTCCATTCCGGATGTTTGCGCTCCACAAGCACGATCTCGTCGCCGGCAGAGATATAGCCTTCGCGCAGGACGCGGTAGTACCAGCCCGTGCGGGATTTCTTCCAAGTCTGAGGAGCGAAGTTCTTAAGATTGAAGCGGTGGTTGAGCTTGAAGCATGGCTGGCGGGGTAGGCTAACCTGCAGCAGCGCGCCCTTCTCGCCTCCAATGCTAATTGTATCCCCGATACAGACATTCCTCTCGTTCATGCACAAGCTGACGAGATTCTCGCCAAACGCTCCAATCTCAAAATTATTGCTTTGCGGGTACTCTGCTGACCAGACAGGGTAATGACCCGGGAAATACTGATGCACGGCTTTGTCGAAACCCCCATGGAAGGTAAGGTCATGCTCATCGCTCTCCAGACCCGTAAAACTGCAGAATACGGGGGTGTCGCGAGGCTGTTTGTATATTCCGGTCGTGAGCCTTAGGCTGCCCATGGGTTTCATTTTCGAGGTGCGGAGGGTGAGGAGGGTGGTGGATGTGAAGGGCGCGTCCAGATACGGATTTGAAGGGGCAACCGGGATGGGCGCCATGGTTGATGAAGTGGAAAGGGGTTGTGCGGATGAGGGCAAAGGAAGATGGTGGCTGCTAAGGTGATACGAGTTAACGTTCGGAGGGGAAAGGGGGGAGGCGTTCTGGCAAGTAGATAAAAGGGGCTGGGATTTGGCGCGTAACTTTGTGTGGGTGAATGAATGGTGGGATGAGGAAGTGGAAAATGGGTGGTGTGCGTCAGACAAGCTTACAAATCCAAGAAGTCACAGAAAATAACATCCTGTAATACAAGACAAAGGATAAAGAAAACAAAGGAAAAAGAGTGTGGAGGGGTGGGTAGTAGAATAAATAATAAATAGTCAGTCTAGATCCCTAGCCGCTAGACGCTAGAAACGCAGGCTTTCGCTTTTACCTTTTACAGACTGCATGTCTACCTAGGTAGGTAACTCCGGTCCGTACATTTGCTGACAGCCAACGAATGATTACCCAGAATAGGGAAGATGTAGAGCCGCTGGTCATGAAAACAATGACATTCATTTCTCCTGAACTTTGTGAAGATGAACGTAAAGTCGTGCTGAATTGCAAAATAGTCTTTCCCTAAGGCGATATGCGCCGCCTCAATGATAAATACACAGGATACCACCGTATCCCCGCCCTAAACCCCACAAGCAAGGCAACGGTAATAAACAAGCTTAAGGTAGAAAAATGTCTGAAATTTGACCCCGACTCCATTCCGCCCTGTCCAAGAAGAAACAGGTATTAGGTACGACCGTTGCGACAATCAGACATAAACATAAAAACAAGAGAAGCATGCCCCTATAGCCCTTATCCAGTGGCCGCATAACATAAGCAAAGCAATTGAGGTGTATGTGATGTGATGTATAGCTATATTTTTTGAGACAGTTGAAAAGTCTTCCTCTTCTTTCTAAACCGTTCGAAACCGGGACTCTCTTTTCGCATGAACAATGAACACGCCCGAAAACTGAGGATATGATCCGCTCAAACGCCTGAGGTATGCTCGAAAACGCCGGTAATCTGAATGATGGCACTCGCGTTGCCACGTTTATGGCGGTCATTCTGCGGCTAACTGACCGCCATCGTCCATTCCAAATCCCGACGCGTCGAAGTTGAAGCTCTCTCCAACATCTCCGTCTTGGTGGAGGAAGGAATCGAAATCGAAATCCTGGAGTACATCCATGGAACCATTTCCTGGCTGAGCGAAATCGCCCAATGGTTGGAATTCCGCGAACTATGTTGTTAGTAAAGTATATGAGGTCTTATTATCATGCAAACTTACGGTGTTCCCCATATCAAAGTTCAGGTCTGGTGCGGGTACACCTGTGTTAACCGGCACAGGAGCCGGTTGACCGTTCGTGGGTTGCACAGCGCCATTCTGTTGGTTCTTTTGGAAACTACTGGCGTGCACAGGTGTAATCGGGGTCTGAGGCGTCGGTGTTGGCCCATCGGTAGGCACATCGGCGGATGGTGTAGCACCAGCGTTGAGGTTTGCGGCGGATCCTTTCTTAGTGGCCCGCTGTCATCAATGTCAACATTTCTACAAAAAAAATCCATTTAACGCAATTGAAAAATACCTTTGATTTCTCGCTCTTGGTCTCATTCTTCTTTTTAGGATTCGCCTTGTTAGTTTGCGAAGGGGTAGGTGGCGCGGCAGTGCCTTGTTGTGGTGACGATGGCTGGGTTCGACCGTTAGCAGTTGGGTTCGCGGCTGGGGCCGATGGTGGAGGCATTGCCCCTTGTCGAGGAGTCCCCATATTCTGCTGAGGACCTCCTTGGTTCGGCTGCGGTATCATCTGTCCATTTGGCCCAGCTTGCCAGTTTTGACCTCCTTGCTGTCTAGCAGCCATTGCCATTTGCTGTTGAGCCATCTGGTTACCAAATGCAGCTCCAGGATGAGAGCTTGGAGGCCGCATGCCGTTAGGCATACCTCCCGGAACCATGTTGGGGCCCATGCCGTTCATCTGGTAGAACTTTGGGTCCATGTTGGGATCCATTGCACCGCCCCCTGGTAGAAAGTTCATACCACTAGGTGATCCGCGAGATTGTCCTTCAGGGACAGGGGATGGCATACCGCCTTGGTTCATATGGGGTGTGTTTCGCTTCATTTGCTCGCTGGGATTGGGGGAGTTGACAGAACGAGGACCTTGAGGTGATGTTCCCTGGAAGGGCTGCCCATTGGGTCCCATCCCAGGACCAGGGCCTCCAGGGCCATCAGGACCACGAGGTATAGTCATGCTATCTTGCTCTTGTCTCGCCATCATCAGCCTCTTCTTGTTTTGCTGCTCAAGTAGCATAAGCTGCATCTGGTAATCCTGCAAAGCATGGTTACCACTACCGCCATTTGCTTGATTTTGTCCTCGCATTCCATTAGGTCCCATGTCACCCGGGTTATAGTAATTCGCGATAGCTCCACCATCTTGGCCCTGTGCCATCATAGGAGACCCTTGATTTTGAGGACCACCTGGCTGGCCTGGCATGCCGGGCTTCCCGGGCATTTGACCTGCTTGCTGTTGTGCTAATCCAGCTTGATATCCGGCTAGCGATTGTTGTCGAGCGGCCGGGTTCGCGCCTCCGGGCATGTTCTGGAACTGCTGAGCCGTCAGATTACTTGGTTCGATACCATTGGTAAGCTGCAAATGTGCAGCTTGAATAGCATTGCTGGGGCCAGTTTCTCCCACCTGTTGAGGCATCCCCTGTGCTTGTCCTCTCCCATTTGGCATTTGTCCCTGATTAAAAGGACCTTCAAGTCGTGGTCGTTTCGAGGGCGACGGAGCGTTTTCAGCCGAACCGGGTGACTGCGCACGTTGCTGCCCATTTCCGTCTGATGGATCTCGTTGCATTTGTTGCTGGTTCTTTTGCTGTTGGGCAAGCATTTGCATTTGCATTTGCTGCTGTTGGGGCGTGCTGCAAGATAGACATCAGAAAGAGAAGTATGACCTAGGGCGAAATGCTTACTTGTTTCGATTGTTTTGAATAGCTTTCTGTCTAAGCTCATTATTCTGCTGCATGTTAAGCCCATTCTGATTACCCATCATCATCCGATAATTTGGAGGCAATTCGGCCATATTGCCTTTTAATCCGCGAAGCATAGCAACTTGCTGCTCCTGTCTCGACCGCGATTGTTGCTATACCGAAGGTAAACATTTGACTAAATCGTGCAGGGAAGGGTACGAACCTGTGTGTGAGTAACATATTGCGAGACATGACGTCCATCTATCTTCCCGCGTTGCGCATTAAACATATCCCAGAATAGACACCACCACTCGTAGAGAAAGCAACTATCTGGGGCGTCTTTAGGCAGATTGGGTAAGGGAAGGTCGTCTGGCCGTTTCGAATCCATGTCATCTTTCGAATCGCCGTCTTCACCATCAGCGCCCTCGTTGCGCCGTCCAGGACTATCTTTCAGAGTATTAATTGGCTGGTCACTGTTGAGCAGCGACCTCGCGCACTCGAACATGCCATTCCGTAGAAAATATTCGTAGATGTATGTGTTGAGCTGCGACCGTTGGTCGCCGTTGACGGGCATGGGTTGTCGAATACCTCCAGGAGCGGTTCCATTATTCATCATGGGCATCCCACCACCAACGGGGCCTCCCATGGGATTCATGCCAGCCATATTATTCATCCTCGCGGACTTCGCGGATGGCGATAGCGAAGAATAATTCCTGCTGTGCGTATCTGACCGTGGGAAATGTGGGCGTGTGAAGCACCGTCAGCCACCGCACCTCTGACGCGGAGCGGTTAGGGCCGAAATGTCGCAACGGTTGATCTCTCCAAAATTGGTATTGACGGAGCAGAGGTGAAGCCTGCCAGCTTGTAGCAGAGTTGATGACCAGACAGAGCGTTGCGCCCGTGAGGCAGATTGATAATCGTGGTTCGTGATCCGCCGTGTAACTCCGTCTGGGTCACCCTTTTGGGGGAAGAAGCAGAAAGCAGCGGATGCGATAGGCGCGTGATGGAGAGACAAGCGAGAGTAGTGAGGTAGGGCAAGGCGAGAGCGAGCGAGTGAGAGGATTGCTGCCCGCGATGTCGATGTCGCTGTCGTTGTAGTCGTCGTCCAGGAGTGGATGCGGATGCGGATGCAGATGCTCGGCCTGCGATCGTCTCTGGGTCGCACTGGGATGCTGATGCCGGGTTTTGGGTTTTGGGATTTTTGGGGGGGGGGGGAGTATTGGTACAGTAGAGTTAGTTGTTCGGGAAGGGCTCCAAATGGGATTGGGGGTGGAGTGACGCCGCTACGCCTACCGCCGCACGAGCTGCGGTAGATTTGAGAACGGGCGGGCAACGGTCGACTTCGTGATCTAGGCAAGGCTACCGTACCTGGGGATCTAGTTACGGTACCGGTATCGCTGGGAGACGCTGTCTTCAAGGGGTGGGAAGGAAGGCTGCCGGCAAAGACACCACGAAATGGGGAAACCGGAGAGAGTCGACAACGAACAACGTCTGCAGCGCGGTGCAGGTAACTTTGCTAGAGATTGCCTGATGAGGATCGAACGAAGAGCGACGAGAGAGATAATGAAAGAAAAAAGTGGCAGCTTAAGCAACCTCTGAGCACAACTGCGTACAATGTATACTGGTCTAACCCGATTCATATCTAGCGCACCCGCTGCTATATGGTATTTTATTTGGAAGGCTGAGAAATTACAATTTGATACGAGATAATTACATCTCGCCAACCTAATTTTTGCAAACGCGAATAGGGTCCTGTACATCGATCACGTTGTTGGCCATCCGGGTATCTATTTGGAAGTATTATACTTCTCGTTGATGCGTTTCTCAAATCGTAAGATCTTTCTGTTATTCATCCAGCTAAAGAGGCGAGAATCGTCAGTTGCGCACACACCGGGACCCAGAGTTAGATGCGAATGACCTCAGGAGTTAGGAAACAGCCATGGGATGCCAATTGGAATGTTAATAAAGCTTATCGGCCAAGACGTGAAATATATTGGAGTTTGGAACTCAAATTTAAGGTTTGGAGGAATGCGAATATCTATCACGTGATACGCATATCACCGGAGTTGAGATAATGGACGGAGCTGCCCTATGGATAAGAGTTGGGGGAGAGCGGGTATTAAATTAGTGCATTGGGTAATTAGTCTAGACCACTGAATGGGGATTTCACAACATATGAATGCTCTACCTTCAAGTAAGAGTTGTGTGGTACCTCATTAAGTGCAAATTCTGGGCCGTTCAGATCTTCTTGTAAACGTACCTCTATACACGCACGTGAATTATACCTACGGTACTTTTCAACATCAAAATATATCAACCTTGTGTGAAATAGAGCTAAGCGGGTCGTGTATGAACCAAGCGTGGTGACACAAACGCTTAGGGCTTCTCTCCATCAAGAACCGAGCTAACCTGGAAGAGTTCAGTGAGTGTTGCTTCAGTATCAACAAGAGTAGGCGACGATATAACCCCTTGGACAAAGTAATCAACATTCAAGACACCTAAATCGGACATCTGTGAACATGTGAGATAATATACCAATCATCAGGTGTAAGATTATACACTTCAAAGCTTCAAAAGAAAGGCACAAGCTCGGGGGAATTCCCATCGTAGTGATAAAAACATACTTAGGTAAACTGTTGCTAGTTCCTATGAGCGCATGCACAAAGTAGCTCGAATGTTAGAAAGCAACATCGCTATCAGAAGAAGATGGTTGGGGTGGGGAATAGGGGTAATATACGTGACTGTGGGGAGGATGGAACGAGAAAGAGCAAGCCTTACATGAACAGCTTGGAACCGAACAACTTTGTCTTGTACAGAGATTCAGGGTGACGACAATCATGAGCTAAGATTAACCTCGACTGTTGCACCTAGCAATTCTCAAACGTACTTCCGTTGCTCGGTTTGAAGGACAGGAAAGACCTACCATCACCCTCGTACTAACAAGAAATACTCACAATCCACGACAAATCTTCTTCGATACCGCTAGCAGATGATCACTCCGTATGCCCCAAAAACGCCCAGACTCCAATACCAACCCAGCCCAACCCAATCCATTCCCGTCCGTACCACTTATTCATCATCCACCGGCATCTCATCATCAATATACCGAATCAAAGTAACCCTCATCTCTGTAGATTCCTGTCCCCTCAAAACATCACTCGTGAAATGCGCCTCAACTTGCATCTGCACCATCTCCAGCGCACCCCTCAACACCCCACAAAAGATATTCGAAAACCACAATTCCTCCTGCGCGCGGCCATCATCAGGCAGCTCCACGAAATCCGCTAGCGGGTTCTCGTCAAAGATGAGCGAGAATTGTTTGGAGTCTGTAGTCCAGTTGGAGATGGTGGGGGATATATTGAGGAAGATTTTGAATCCAACCTATAAATTCAGCCATCAATTAGTACAAGCCTTTGTTTTCTTTTCATTCCACAAGCCAAAAGAATTACATGCGGGGCAATACTTTAGCAATCATCTCAGCCGTCTCCTTGAAATTCGCACACCGCCTCATGGTACCTGATTTCGCAAGGTAGTCTTCGATGAGCCGGAGCCCGATGTTGTAGCCCATCTTATCGAGCTGCTTGTTCACTTCCACATAGTCGCTCTCGTAGTCTTTGCATAGCTGTGCAACAATGGTGCCGTATGTGAGGGTTACGAGCTCAGCGTTCACTTTGTCGATTTTGGTTCTTGGGTTGCTTGTAAGCTTTGCGCTGGTGTTCAGTCAACACTGCGGTGACTTACTTCCAGATTCTAGATGGGCTAGGTTAGTGATCTGTAAAATTTGGAGGTCTGGGGGAAGGCGTACTCTTCTCCTTGGCGCGCAGCTTTGGCGGCAGACATGATTACAGAATGGCTTCTGAGCTGGTTCTATTCCAATCTACCGTTTGGTGTTTTGGATGCAAGACAGGAAGATGTTCTAGCTCTGTAGTTTGAGCATCGGCATCGGAGGTAAGCGGCCGCTTGAGATACTAGCGCGTCTTATGCGGTTCAAGAATATTTGTATCAACCTCCACAACCCAACCCCTCCTACCAGCAACTTTCCACACCACAATCGCGATCATGTCCTCCGAAAAGCGCCCCGGCTCGGATGACTTCAGTGGCTCACAGATGGTGGTAAAGCGACAGAATGTGGGCAGAGATAGCAAGGCTGTAGCTTTATCCAATGGCTCTGCAGGAAATGGCGCTCTCATACAATCGGTATGGTATATCCTTCTAGAGAAGGGAAGCTGTGTGCTAAGCTTCGTGCGAAGGCTCTGGACTGATTTTGTTGGGATAGGCACCAAGGACGAGTGGGCTACAGGCGCCGGTTATGGAACTAAGTGGGCATTCTGGAGAGGTGTTTTGCGCAAAGTTTGATCCGAATGGGAATTATATTGCTTCGGGGTCGATGGACAGGTCGATTAGTACGTGCGCTTCCTTTTTATTGCCTGAGTGGAAGATTATGACAGGGGGAAGTTATGCTGGAACCACTCTGAGAGACGCTGTTGGCTTTAGGTGTAGTATATCTTCTAACGTGTTATAGTGCTCTGGAGAACATTCGGTGGATGCGAAAATTATGGGGTACTCCAGGGGCATAAAGGAGCAGTCCTAGATCTACACTGGTCGCGCGACTCGAGGGTCTTATTCTCAGCATCTGCGGACATGCATCTAGCGAGTTGGGATTTGGAGACAGGAACAAGGATACGAAGACATGTCGGGCACGAGGAAGTGATCAATACGATGGACATCAGTAAACGAGGAGAGGAACTACTCATCAGCGGCTCTGACGATGGATATATTGGCATCTGGGATCCTCGAACGAAGGCAGCGGTTGACTTCATTGAAACAGAATTTCCTGTCACAGCTGTCGCATTGGCTGAGGCTGGTAATGAACTGTACTCGGGAGGTATTGACAACGATATTAAGGTGTGGGATATGAGGAGAAAGGCTGTGGTTTACTCTATGTTGGGTCACACAGATACTATTTCCTCCCTTCGAATCTCGCCCGATTCCCAGTCACTATTATCGAACTCGATGGACTCGACTGTACGAACATGGGATATTAGACCATTCGCACCCACAGAAAGACATATCAGAACATTCGATGGTGCTCCTGCTGGAATGGAGAAGAACCTTATTAAGGCGAGCTGGGATTTTGACGGGAAAAGAATCGCGACAGGCTCTGGAGACGGCACGGCTGTGATCTGGGACACCAATAGTGGTAAATTGCTCTACAAGTTGCCGGGACACAAGGGAACTGTCAACTGTGCGGAGCTTTCACCATCTTCAGATCCTATCAGTGAGTATTTTCCAGCTGCAGCCCTTTCTATATCTAACAAAGCAATAGTACTTACGGGCTCATCGGACCGCAATCTTATCCTGGGCGAGTTGAAGTGAGCGTGTCTCCCACAAGGTCTTGTGGAATACTTAGAATTTGTATGAAGGAAGTGGAGCAAAAGTTTCTGGAGGCATTTCTGGAAAAGGTTACGGACCAAGGGAGAATTTGTGACGTTGCTTCTGGAGTTGTGGCGTTATATATATACACCGCAATAAGTCCGTCTTTGTCTGATACAGTACCTGTGGGAGGAAGAATCAACTGAGCATGAGACATTCATGCGGCAGGTTTGATAGGCGAATTAGACCCGCAGCCCGCTGGATATATTCCCGTTTCGCAGAATCCACTGGCGTCAATTGGCCCATTGCTACGGGAGCACAAAAACTTGAAATATCTGGTGGGAAGCTGCATGGGGGTACAACTTATACCAATATATTCTCGGTCAAACCTTTCTTCTCGTCCCCTTGGATGTCGTAGTTTACTCATACTGCCTTGCATGCTGTATGCCGATAGCGATGTGCATCTGTGCATCCCTTGGTTCCCGTTGCTTCATTCGCAACTTCACATGTATATTGTTGGTGGTGTGGCGGTTGACTTGCGGCTGATTGGCTGTTAAAGCGCATCCTCAATCTTGGGTGAAACATCGGCTCAAGCTTTGATGCCCCTCCCCTCAAACCGTATCAAACCTAGATTGTCAGAGCTGATCCTCCGGAGTCCCAGGCCAATAAACGGGATGTCTCATCTGGCCCTATTGGTCTCGAGCTACACCTCACAAGAAGCAAGTCAGCACAGGTCAGGTCCCGCCGCAGCTTCCTCGTTGGTCTTGAGACAGACGCAGATACAGAGGCACTTTCCCAAATTCAAACGACACTATTATTGCTGTACTTTAGCTTCCTGTTGACCAGGAACTTCTGTTGAATTTCTTCATCGTGTCGTTTGTGTGTCTGTCTGCCTGTTCTTCTCGACCAATTCTTTTCTCTGGTTCAACCCTCCCCTTTTGGTGCTTTTTGGTGTGTATGGATTGGGTCTCTGAACAGCGAATCGTGTGAGCAAGCATCACTCGCGTTTCAATCGTCCCCTATCCTGTCAATCTCTTGGTTTTCGTGTTTCCTACTGTATCGTGCTTTGACAGCATACCCCAACAATCGCTGCTGGCTTCCTCTCGTTCAATCATCATAATTCCCCAGCAAAAGCACATTGACCTACCGTTCGTTAGGACGTCGGGAACTGCTGGCCTCTTGTTCCCTCGACCCCAACATATGCCATAATAAACAACAACCCCGACTTCTATTTGATCCCCATGCTGCGAAATCTTATCAGAGCTTGGTCGTGTTGACAGGCCGGGGCTCACGCGGAGACGAATACCTTGGTGGACGCGCAGGTGGCCCTTCGAATAATAAACATACAATCCTTCGACGACTTGTAATTTTGGTTCAAAGGCAGGACTTTGGACAAGTTTGCAATTTTCAATACATCGTCAAACAATCGAGGTGTAGCCATGCCTCCAGTAAGGCAAAATGGCCATCGACGGCAGATATCCTCCGAGTCACCACGAGAGCGCCCATCGAGACTTGAGGGCATACGGACAGGAGTTAATCACATGTTCAGTGGACGATCGAGGGTCGCGACACCCCGAAGTGGCACACCCGAAAGCCCCAAGACTCCGCGCTTAGCATTAGGTCTGGGGAACTTCTCTTCAACAAGACTTGTGCTTCCATATCTCACTCGATCGAATACGAACCCGCCTCGATATGCGACAAGACACGATCCTCATTCGCCCGTTAGTACGAGACCGATTACAGCTCACTCTCTACGACAACAAACAACTATACTTCCTACATCATCCGTTCCACCTCGTGTGAGACATGATTCGCAGTCTGGGAGGAGATTTGTGGGTGTAGATCCAGCAGAGCTTCATCTGGCAAACCTCGTAGACTCTGGGAGGAGACGAAGGAGGAACAAGGCCAAAAGGGAACCACGATGTGCGCCGAAGATTAAGAACAAAAAAATCAGGACCAAGATATTGAGCTGTTTTATATCAGGGCTTGTAAGACTTTGCTGATGTTGGTTTGCCCAATTTGACCAATTCTAACATAAAACAGTTTCTTACATTGGTACTGACGGTCTATCTTGCACTCGCCTTGTCAAACCATAATGAGAGTCAAGAGTTCCACGTCCTCTTGATTCTCATCATTCTGATTACTACAATCTTCTTCTGTCATGCTCTGATCCGGTTGTGTATGCTGGTACTCCATCCACCAGCGGACGATACACAGGAACTACCTTCAATGGTTGGTCCTGGAGGATTCGCAAATCCAGTAGCACCAATACGCGTCGCGCTCGCACGTGATGAAGAGGCAGCTGGAATTGAAAGTGAAGCTACAAAGTTACCCCCGCCAGCGTACGGGTTATGGCGAGAATCTGTTGTATGTAAAGCTCACATGGAGGAGAAGTGAAGATGGCTAATTTCACACAGAGAGTGGACCCTAATCGAATCTACTGGCAACGTAATGAGGCGGCAGTATTAGAGCGCCAGAATTCCCTTGAACGAGGGGAAGGCAGGCCAATGACTTCCAATCGACCCCCGTCATACATATCTGAGAATGGCATCGACTATGTGATTGAAGCCGAGCCTCGATCAATTGCGCCGACTGTTGAGGTGCCATTACCGACGCACCCCTCTGAAAGAGGTCGATTGCCAATGCCGTAGCATCCGAAGCCGTGAATGGAATCTAAATGATAACCCTAAAAAATTTTCCAACAACAATTAGCTGCCAGCATATTTTGGGGAATGGATATTCTTTTGTTTATGGAGTTTAGGAGAACACGGGAACATGTTATGCCGTAAAGGCAGGCAACTGGGGAGTTAATGCGTTTGTCTGTGCTTTCAATACAGGATACCAGCTGAAAGCCTTTGGGCTGTTGTATGTACGAATAGTGTGGGGGGATTCACATTGGACCTCTAGGATATGAAGATATTATTAAATTGCCATTAATCCGGGTGCCCGGGCAGCTTTTGCATGAATGCACAGGCATATTGAGGATGATATAGAGGGTATTTTAAAGAATTCGCGAAAGTGGGATGGGGGTACCGAATCAGAGACAAGAGGAAAAAGGGGTCAGCAGCGAAAGGTACAGGGTATAAGTGTGACTTGACTGGAGAAAAGAAAATATAACTCATTACTTAAAAAAGGGAGGACATGTACATTCCTCGGCTTTTGAAGTTGCAAACCGCCGTCTCGCTATATATTCGGTACTATCGCCAATCTAACTCCTCTCCCCTGAACGCTCGGCAGGTATCTTATACTCCGTAGTACCAAGGAGGTGCTCTTCTCAGGGGTAATTTAATAGACTACCTATGCTCGGTCGATCTTTTAAAGTACATGTAGAGTCTCCTAGTCCTCCTGCACGTGTTATTAAAATGCTATTCGCCACCACATTCCGACCCAGGGAACTCCAAGCGAACGGACCTATTGGCTCTAGCGCTGAATTGGCTCTGTAGACCAAAAAACTCTTGATCTGCCCTGCCTCCACCACACTCACAAACAAATCCACCATTTTGCAGTTGAAGCTTTTCGCGACGTCGTACAAGGGAGGAAGAAGGAAGTCGAGAGACGTTGCTGTGTTGAAGGAAGAAGACTGGAAGCAGGATATCAAGTAGGAAACGAACACCACATATGTAAGTCGCCCTCTTATTCCCTCGAAAGGTCAGGTCCGTCCCGCGCCCTCCGCGTGCGCCTCCATTCAAGTTCGTCGGTGAATGGCGTCGAGTGTTGTCTTCGTGGGATCAAGATGGCACATCTGCTCGAGTTGGACCGGTACGACCACGACACTATCCGCCACGAACGATACTGTACTGTAGCCATCCATCCATCATACCTTGCCCGACAGAGGCTGAACGCCCGCCTGCTACAACGCACCTTGGAGTGGCACAAGATTCATGCATCCTGCACCTGCAGCCTGCCAGATGCTGGTCATGCAACTCAGATTTAAATGATCCTACCCTTAAACTCGATTAAATTCAATCCAATTCAACCTCATCTCACCCGCTTCAATCCCGATATGTCCGCCACGAACGTCGAGGAATGGTTACAGTCCGACCGAGCAGATGAGCCGCCACACAGGTGCAGGAAAATAGTGCGGGAATGGATGACGGACGACGGCGCATTCGTAACGTGCTGTGCTGATGATGGAACACAACAGACACATCGATTAGTAGCCATGGCTTCTCTTTCACGTCGTGCTTGTTACAAGTGCGGAAACGTTGGCCACTATGCCGAGGTCTGCTCTTCTGCTGAGCGCCTGTGCTATAACTGTAAGTCCTACTCCATTTGTCCGAACACCTTGAATTGCGCTGACAACTTATTTGTAGGCAAGCAGCCTGGTGAGCCTCAACCGCCAAACGCACGGCTAACTCCTCTTTATCTGACTTGAGCTAGGACACGAATCAAACGGCTGCCCATTGCCAAGAACTACCGAAGCCAAGCAATGTTATCACTGCCAGGGTCTAGGTCACGTTCAGGCTGACTGCCCAACTCTGCGTTTGAGCGGAGCTGGTACTAGTGGTCGCTGCTACAACTGTGGCCAGCCAGGACATTTGGCTGTATGTTATGACGCTATTGTTTTGTTGCATAGTTGCTAATGTTATGGTTAGCGCGCTTGCCCAAGCCCAGCTGGTGCAGGTCCTCTCCCAGGTGCTGGCCGTGGTGTTGGTGCCCCTCGTGGTGGATTTGGCGGTGGATTTGCTCCCCGTGGAGGATTTGCTGCCGGTGGACCACGTCCTGCCACATGTTACAAGTGTGGTGGGCCAAACCACTTTGCCCGTGATTGCCAGGCTCAGGCTATGAAGTGCTACGCTTGTGGGAAATTGGGACATATCTCTCGGTATGTAGCGCTCTGGGTCGAAAGCTCAAGTCACACACTAATGAATCTCAGCGATTGTACCGCTCCTAACGGTGGACCTCTCAACACTGCTGGCAAGACTTGCTACCAGTGCAGTCAGGCAGGCCACATTTCCAGAGACTGTAAGTATTACCCGAAAGATCAAAATTCGGGCATGCTAACTCTTTCTAGGCCCTACAAAGACTACCAACGGAGATCTTGCGGCTGACGGTGTTGATCTTGGCGTTACCCCTGTGGTAGCCCCCGTTGCACCAGTCGCCTAAACTCTCTTAGGGAGTCACACTTGGTAGTCAACGATGAACTATCGAATTTACGTGTGTCACGGGATCATCGAATTTCCTTTTGTAATTGGACATCTCCCGCTCATTCTGCATACTTGGGCACGGCTTTACGAGAAAAAAAAACCCCCATCTCGACATCTTCAATAACCAATTCTTCATTCATGGAATGACATTTCTTCTCTCGGCGCCTGGTCTTCCCAATCCAAAGTTTTCTGTTACGAAAATAACAAACCCAAAAGCGATAGTTCATTTCCCCTTAACGACCCCGGTAGAATAAAAAGCCGCTTATTTTTTCTTTACAACCTTTAACTCACCATACGTATGTGACGTCCTAATTCTGTGGTTATGGTAATGAAAATGGTATGGTAGGAGTGTTGTCGATGCGGCACGCTTTTAGATATCAGGATCACATGGAGAGAAGGGATGATGGAGGTAGAGAAGAGACAAGTGGATGGACGGGCGGAGCGATGCGGGGATTGATGGATGAAGTGGAGTGGAGTGATGGGGAATGAAAGACCGGTCGATAGCAAAGCATGCGTGAGATATGAATCGATGCTCGAGTCTTAAGTTATGAAGTTTTCTAAGCATCTAGTTTCTTGTTCTTGATTGTGTTAAAGTGATATGATATTGGTGCAATATTTCCGAAGTCTCTCACGAGGCATTCATACTTTGTTCAATCCAAAACAGAGACTCGTTGTGGTGTTCATGTCCTAGTTCAATTTTTTTTTGCCCCTCGCACCCCGCCCCTTTCTCTTGAGCTGCGTTGCATCAGCCGTATATCTGCACCACGCAAAAGACATCAATCAACAAGCATGATTTCAAGAAAAGGTTTCAGAGAGGAAAAAGTTTCCAGATATTCCCACGCTTCAAGTTTATCGATGCCGTCTGTGAGTCCTCAATGGGCTGTTCAGCAGCTTCAGCCTCTTCAAGCGAGCGGCCAGGTTTCGACCGCGCTCCTCGCTCGCTCAGCAGAATTTTACTTCTCACACAAACAAACCATTTTCTTCAACTTTCCTCTATCTCCATAATATTAACAGCCTCATATCTACATCATATCCAGGCTCTGTTTCCGTCTCCCAAGCCCACCTTCTTCAAATCGAAAGTTCTGAAAGCTCTTCTCTCTGTTCCAACTCCTTCTCCTCACGCCTTCTGCTATCGTCGTCGTCAAGGCGCATCATTACTGCATCAATTAATCCACAGCACTGACACTGACACCTCCCTCGGCATCTCTCGAAGCATTTCCAAATAGTAAGACGTAACAGACGAGATGGCTGGAGGATCTGTTTTCGCGGGTGGTGACGAGGAAGATGTACGTCCCCTTCTCCTCCCCAATGACAAATGCTGATAATGTGCAGACTACCATCGTCGACATTGATGACATCCAAGCGCACGGTTACTTACTCTCACGTCCCCAAGATTGATTGATGGAAGCTGATAAAAGCAGGCATTGGTGCTACTGACATTGCGAAGCTGAAGGCTAACAATATATTTACCATCGTCGTAAGTATCCCTACCACTCGTCACCGGTGCTGTTAGAGCTAATAAGCGTAAGACTCTTTGCGCGTGTCCTTCCAAGCGGCTTCTTAAGATCAAGGGGTTCTCTGATATCAAGGTCGAGAAGATCAAGGAGGTTGCCAAGAAGTTGTCGGTGAGTACCATGCCTGACAGATTGAAGAGGGAACTTGCTCGTCTGACTCTTTTCTGCAGCCAACCAGTGGCTTCATCACTGCTGCTGAGCTCGGTCAGATTCGCAAGCGATGCATTAGGATCTCTACTGGCAGCAAGCAGCTTGATGCTGCGCTAAATGGGTGATTCTGACGTCCTGCTGTTCTTCAATCGTTGCTGATAGCGTTGCAGTGGCTTTCAGACTATGAGCCTCAATGAGGTTTATGGGGAATTTCGTGGGTACCACTTCTCCACCGGTATCTTGTCGGAGCTAATAGACTTAGGATGTGGCAAGACTCAGCTTGCGCACACCATGGCTGTCATCGCTCAACTTCCAAAAGAAATGGGCGGCGCTGAAGGAAAGGTTGCCTACATTGGTAAAACCACTCCCTCTCAGCTTCGATACCCTGCTAATACTAAGGAGATACCGAGGGCACTTTCCGTCCAGAGAGAATTATGGAAATTGCAGAGCGCTTCGGCGGTAAGCTCTCCGTTCACCTTGTTCTCATAGATGCTTACAGTCCCAGTTGATCCCGACCAAGCCTGCGAGAACATTGCTTATGCTCGTGCTCAGAACACCGAAGTAAGTCATCGCGCTTCCGCTCACTGCCATTACTAATATATGCAGATGCAAGCCGAACTTCTAGATGGCCTCGCCGCAAGCTTCGCCACCAACGAGTATCGTCTTCTCATCATCGACAGCGTCATGTCTCTCTACCGTACGGATTATGTTGGTCGTGGAGAGCTTTCGGAGCGTCAACAAGTACTTGGTCAATTCCTTCGCCGCGCTACACAGATGGCTGAGGAGTTTAATCTCGTTGTTTTGATGGCACATACATCTCCCAATGATTCAGTTGGTGTTATTTGCTGACTGTGGCAGACAAACCAAGTCATGTCGGATCCAGGTGCAAGTGCTCTCTTCGCAGGAGTCGATGGACGTAAACCTGCTGGAGGCCACATCCTTGCCCATGCTTCTACTACCAGACTTCTACTCCGAAAAGGTCGTGGTGAGGAGCGTGTTGCTAAAATTGTTGATTCTCCAGGTCAGTACCCCATCCTCTGACACTGCATAATACTAACGGCCTTACCAGACTGCCCCGAGCGTGAAGCTACTTATATTATTACCACTGGTGGCATCAATGATCCAGAAAAGGCTTGATCGCACACTCTCTATTTCGTCGACGGATTTCCTTGCATTTACCAGTATATCACGAATTACGCTTTACACGACTTGCTGTGCGATAGGAATGGTTACGGTTAATATAACGTTGTGATATTTGCATTTAGAGAAGCTTAAGGAGGTTGCTGTTGGAAATGGAGATTCGAATATACCCTGGCTAGCTATATTGCATGTTGCTGAAACAATAAAGATAGACCATAGACTGTCACTATCTTAGCCGAATATAATCGTGCTATGAAAGTAGAAAATAATCTTCCTTGATGAAAGAAGCTAACCAAGCCCCTGGATCGCTTACTGTACTGTACTGTAGTGCACCAGGTGTAGTCTGATGGTCCCATCAGATTAGATTAGATGCCGCTACCAGAAATTCTTCCAGCTCCAAATTTCAACCGCATTTACATGCGCTTTACGAGTACAATTTCCACACGCTCTACCACTATAGCTAACCCCCAAAAAACACCTCCGCCATTCCATCAATTCCATCCATCCACCTTGACCCCAAACATGGCACCCCAACAACCATCAACAATCTCCAACTTCGCCATCCTGCCCATCCTCCTCCCACCATCACCAGCACTCTCCCATCTACCGAAAACAGCAACACACACTCTCTACATCCGTCCCAACAACCCCAAGATTCCTACCGAAGCAGATGCGCGATCGCTCTTTGTGGTAAACGTACCCGTCGATGCGACGGTTGCGCATCTAAAGGGTGTGTTTGCGCATTTATCTGGGGGCGTAGTGGGAAGGGTTGAAGATGTTGTTTTCGAAGGCCAAGCCCAGATACCCTCTCAGAAAAGCACCGTGATTGTAGAGCGGAAACGTAAGAGAGAAGAAGAGCCAGAAAATGCGACACAAGCACCAGAGCTACCGAGTACTTGGGACAGGGAGACGAGGAAAAGTGGAGGCAATGCTGTCGTTGTTTTCGTGGATGCCAGGAGTATGGAGGGTGTGTTGAAGAGCGTGCGGAAAATGCAGAAATCCAAAGACTATCCGCTCTGGGGCCATGGTGTATCGTCGACGAAAGTCCCCGCGCTGGGTAGTTCGCACTATGCTGCACATCACGCGCTCCGGTATCCAGACCCGAGCGCGTTACAGCGGAACGTCGATGCGTTCATGACGGCGTTCAATGCCGGGGAGATACAGAGGCTGAGGGAGGCGAAGAGGGTGCGGAATGTGCCGGATGCAGATGGCTTTGTTACTGTGACGAAGGGTGGAAGGGTCGGGCCTGCGAAGGCGGCAGAGGCGGAGAGGATGAGAGAAGAGGCGGAGGAGAGGGCCAAGGTCAGGACTGGGGAAGGCTTTTACAGATTTCAGGTAAGGGAGATGAGGAAGTTGGAGCAGGGGGAGTTGGTCAGGCAGTTTGAGGAGGATAAGAAACGCGTTGAGGGTATGAGGGAGCGCAGGGGAAAGGGTGGGTTTAGACCTGAGACTTGATGCTCTGCTCTGCTCTGCTCTCAATTAAAAGTTCGGTGTTGAGCTGGGCTGGATTGGACTGAGATGGGCGTGTTGCTTCTAGGTACGTTGCACTTTTCTTCTTCTTCTTTTTGCTACGATGCTGCATTGCCCTTTTCATGATGACGCCGCGGGGCCATAGAAGCTTGATGTTGCTAGTAGGCCAATCCCTACAGCTGACCCATGCCATGCCTACAAAAACCGCAATAACACATCTTCTCAACTGTCTGACACCTCTCTTGCTGCTATTCCGCTCTTCTTTAAGTTATCTACCTCACGCATAGTTAGGTTTACTGACTTTGTTCAGGATCTAGCGAACTTCAAGAAGAAAGCACCACAACCTCCACTCCTCAGTCGTCTACCTCTCCCTTGCAGAGCACATGTCCCCACCATCTTCTTCCGAATCGATCGGACGTATCCCCCGGAACATTCTACGACCAAGACGAATGTTATAGAGTTGGTAAATATGTTAAATAAAGTGGCGCCGAGATAGCCACTAAAAATGATTGATCAAGGACAAGTTGGATATGCAGGAACCAGCAACGTAAATGCATATACATACCAAGCCATAAACTCCCGAAAGGAATATAATCCTCTGCTAAACTATATCTTTCCTCTGCCCCAATAATTAACCAGCCTTAATTCCTTTTCTTTCTTTTCTGCATATCTTTCTCTTAGAGTATCAATTTTCCCCTTTTAAAGAAAGACATCCGATCCCCCCTAAGCTCCTCGCTTGACTCTACCTCTACCCCTATATAAGCACCAACATGCCCTTGTCAAACATTCGACCAGATCCCAAGCATCTCTTGCACTTTTCTCATCGCTCTGCTCTACGGGGTTTATATGGAAGATAGGTAGCTAGGTACACGTTGCATACATATGATTGCTACTACATCTACTTTACTTTCCTTCCTTTCCTCTGGAGCATGAATGGATTTTCTGTATATGTGTATTGTATTGTATTATATATATGTATTTCTCTAACGTTACATACATACATACGTAGTAGCTTGGCTGCATGACGAATTCGAAGTTCCACTGGCATTAGTACGTATCAGTGGAGTTTAACCGTACGTACGTAGGTTGGACTTGGACTTAACAGCAATGTCTCTCTGTGTGTGTCTCTTACACACACTCTTTGATATTAGTTCATGTATTTACAGCTACTGATACAGTTCGTACAGTACAGTATAGTTTCCGGATCCGTATATACGGGTAGCACGTATACCTAGTATAGTACGGTAGGTAGCTATTGCAGAATAGTAGGTAGATATATGTATATAATACACAACGAACTTACATTTCTCTCACTGCATGCCAGCTGCTATAAATACTGTCGCAATATGGCATCTTGGTAGGACTCGTCACGTGAGTCACGTGAGGGACTGCTTAGTCATCACAAAACGTGTGAATTGGTATCGGTCACTTAGTAAAAAAACCACTCTGTATAATAGCTTTTATAGTAGACATCTTAGAAAAGAACAACACAATAATAGAGCTTCTAGCTACCACTTCGTTTCATTTATTTGACTACGTACGGCTTCTGTCCCTTGACACCGCCTACTTCCGACAAATACACGTAATTTACTATTTATTACCCCGTCCTTCCTTTACCAACAGATATAAGAGGTTTCGTTACTATAGCTTATTAACAGGATAGCAATAGCATTTAACTGTAGATACATCAAGGCCTCTCATCTACGTACGTAGCTTATATCAATGTCTAGTATATATATAAACTGGTCTATTACTATTACTGCGTAAGGTATATATGTAGCTAGCATATGCATATGCGCAAGCATGATAATAGAATACGTATACGAGGAAATTGATTAGTATATGCATGGTATATATGTCTGTCTTCCCTTCCTCCGATACGATGCCCCGGGGACTTTTCTTAATTTGCTAGAATGGTTGGTTCGATGATAGGAAAGGAATTGGCATGCGTCTTTTCGTTGAGTACGTACCGCTTTTCGTTCTGGGTTTTGGATCAGGGTGTGTTTCTTTTTTGGGAGGGGGGGTTTATGGTAGGGGGTATATATGAAGGTATGATTATAAAGGTAGCATTTCTTGGGTACTGTAGTGTAAAGTACAGAGCAAGAAGCTATAGTACCTTAGTATTAGCTTCAAGTGAACCCCAATTTCGATTCAGATTTCAAATCTAGCACCGTACAGTAGTAGTATATGCCACGCTTCCATCAAACATAACCTCCATCGCACTATACCACTCGAATGCAAGTTATCAATCCATTACTCCAGTTTCTGCCATATGCCATACATCATTTTGAAAGTTCAAGCACGTACGTAGCTACATAGAAGAACGGCAGATGTGAAGGAATTAGGTGAGCCATTTAGTGAGGAAGTCGATTGCTTGTTGTTCAGCAAGCTCGGCATTCTGTGAACGAGTCAGCATACACCTTAGAATAGATATTGTTAGTCACTTACAGCAGCCTCTTTGTCATTCGCAGGATTCATCCGGACTGCAAAACCATGCTTAGCACCAGGAATAATGTTTACCTCATGAGCGCCTTTCTTCTCGACTTCCAAGATCTCCTGTACGAGTAGTTAGTAGTATCTTCACCGTATACCAACATTTAGGGATTCCAAAATCCTACCTTCATCTTCCAAGCATTCTCCTCGCTCAACTGCGAATCCACATCCCCAACCATAACACTCAACGGCAGCACCACCTTCTCCACATCCCCCGGGAAACTCAACAGCGACGGATGCGCCGCAAACGCACACTCCACGAGCGATGCCGGCTTTCCACTCGTGATTTGCGATTCGTGTCTCTGGACCTGCGTACCGGGATCATCATGCGCGAGACGGATAGCATGCGTGCCTCCCCAGCAGAAACCCACAACGCCAATCGTGAGATTCTTGGTCTCGAACGGCGGTTCGTGGGTGCGGAGAGCGGCGATGAAGGCCATGATGGCGTGGTGGCGGGAGAGGTTCTGGAGCGCGAAGGGGATGCCGTTGAGTGCGATGCGGATGGCGAGGAGGGGTTTCATGAAGATGGTACTCAACCATCCGGCTGGGGTTTCGAATGCGTTCAGGACGGGGATCGTGGCGGTGCTCATCTCAGTGCCTTGTTCGATCAATACCAGTGGGTTGGTTGGCATGGGGGTGCAGGAGAAGAGGAGGGAGGGGGGTGTTCCGTACCGTTCATGAAGTCGGGAATGAGGACAAGGAACTGACCTTTCTCTGCGTATTTATCGGCCAGAAGACGGCTGTTGATGAATTTCCAACCAAAGGCATCGGAGATGAATACTACGACGCCTTTAGGAGTCACGTTGTTGGCTGGGTGGGTGACATAGACGTTGATGCCGTGCATGATCTCTTCTCTTCCAGCGGCTTCACCATTATGTAGAGTACCGCCTTTGCAGCAAGCCATTGTTTCAAACCCAGAGTGAAATGTTGGTAGGCGTGAAGGGGAGTGAAAGACGAATGAATGGCGATTGTTTGGATGAAATGGTTTTATATTCACTCCCGGATTTATCTGTACAGTATCACGGAAGGAACGATTGATTCACCTTCACCTTCAACTACAAGTCCATCTCGATAACAAACACGCACTCTGTTATATTTCCCCAGAGACCTGTCTTGTGCCACCTGGGTGGTTTAAGCTTAAAGCTTGATCTGCAGCGGCCCGTTGTGTTGGTACCATAGAAGAAGTTTGAGGTTGAACATGCTTCTTTTTGTGCGACGAGTCGGATAGCTGGTCCACGCAGTAGGTTCGCTTCATGCTGATTGCTGTCTTGTCAACGGTTGTGTGATCTGGTGATGAAGCGGTGAAGGGATGTCGCTGAGGAGACTCACATTTTTACGGGAGAAGGAAGACTGTCAAGTGATACAGCTGTGGTAGGAAGTGAGGCATCGTGGTTGATCTGAATACGTCCTCCAAAGTTTACCCAGATACTTTGCTACTCGTACCGGATTGTCGTATAGCGAGCGATAAAGTAAAGGTGAACAAGTACAAGTACAAGTACAAGTACAAGTACAAGTACAAGTCACCATATATAAACCATAGTACCATGTGATAAATCAAAACACGATCATTAATTAGTTTGAGATATCCATATCCATATCCATTAAAACCCTCCCGTCTCCTCAATCCCCAATCCCCACATGTCGCAACCCCACCCCCACTCAATAGCCTCGCGAGCCTCGGTAGTCTCGAATTCAAAATTCAAAGAGGAAATTGGGGGCGTCTTTTGTTGCACATCGCAAAACACCTCCATGAGCGATTTGTCGCAAGTCGCAGCGCCAGATGCCGCTTCCTGATTGCTGCTCATGGTTTCTGTTGCATGTCGCTGGAGGTGAGGCCTTTTTGCAGGATTCGTGTGGTGTGGTGGGGTGGTTAGGTGGGTGTGGTGTCATGGGGTATTGTACTGTCTGTACTGTACCGTATATATGTATGTATGTATGTATGTATGTATGTATGTATGTATGTATGTATGTATGTATGTATGTATGTACTTGTGATGCTAGAGAGTTTTAATCCCTTGTGTGTGCGACGAGATGGAGAGGTAATAGATAGGTCATTATCGCAAAGGGATACGTGTGTGTAGGTATGTGTACTCATGCACTTGGTATTACTGGACTGTAACCTTTGTGCTTTGGATGTGGGAGGAGAGGTTCAGGTTGTAGGGTAGGGCTGAGCTGATGTCCTCTCGGGATTGCCGGGTGCTGTCTGTCATTGGTCAGGATATTTTCTCCCAACGGGTACTGGCATGGGGATCTCTGTTTATTCTACCACTTTATTTCATGCTTCGTTCCACGTATGTGCTGTCGCGGCTTGCAGCTTCCTTCTATGCAGAGAAGCATATGTATGTGTAATCTGATGTGGAAGTGAAGGAAGATTCTATCGTCGGGACACTCTCATCAATTGATGCGAAGCATGATTACTGCTTCCGTTATCATGTCCTTTTCACAGGTCCATCATATTCTCAAAACTAAAGAAGCATTTCTTGAAGCTAGCCAAATCTTAGCTCGCACATGAGCCATAGCGAACCAGTGTCTTATTCAAGTATTCTCATGCATGTATATATTTCAAGGGTCTGTTGAAAGTCGATTTGATAGCAACCTAGTTAATTAGTCATGGGCGACTGGAAGTCAAAGGGATAATATACCATGCAGTTGGCAGAACCCACACGACTTGACTACTGTGATTCTCCAATGCTGTTTGGTGAGGCATAGGCCGCTGGCTTAAGAGCTGCCCAGTGTCAGACTTTCATCCTATCACTAGTTTCCTAGCAAATCACTCCAGGGACTTCTCGGTTCTTTGAAAAGAGGCGTGAGAAGCACTCTGATATGTATGACCCTTGAAGAGTATCACTTCCAACATTGAGTTATTTCGAGTCTAATGTCCTAGTACATTCTAGACATTTTCCTCTCAGATGGCTTTTCCACGCAGCTCGACACCTCTTCATCCCTTTGAGGTCTTTTGCCTAGAAAACAAGGCGATATTCAATTGTTAGACGTCGCCTTTTCTGTTCAATCTCTGGCTCTTTTGTCCAAACTATTGTATGACATTCTCATCCGAGCCAATTGTCTATCTCTCGAGATCCGTAAAACTTGATATGAGTTCTAGTTGATACCGCAGCAGAACCCTGACTCAAAACTCCGCAGTAAGCGGCTGTCCGATTGTAGAAGCTTATGCCAATCCTCCCAAATTTGAGAAAGGAGTGAATCCAAGTGAAATCAAACGAAGCTAATCAATGTAATCTCATACCTGCTTCCTGAACTTGCGATCCTTCGTTCGTTCCCTCTTTGTGCTTCCTAAATCGAACAATCTCGTCGTTCAATCACACACTTTACTTCTAATTCTAAATCTTCCACTTCGAGTGGGACATTCAAATGGCCCCCCCTCATAACCCCTCACCACGCCAGCGAGCGAGACCACACTCGCCCCCGCTTTGCCTTCATCCCACACCACCTCCATCAGCCCCATCAGCTCTATCAGGTCCATTACCCAGGCCATCAACTCCGTCACCTCCCCAATCCCCTCTGCCTTCCCCTCCTAACACTCCTGGTGACTGGTTGCACGAGAAAGGAGAAGAAGACGCGGAGAAGGAAGAGGAAGACGATTTTGGCGTAAGTGATCAACTGGTCCCCAAACGACGTCCAAGACTGAGTAGGGCATTTGCAGGATGATATCGACACCTTATGCATCAAGATGGCCGGTCTCTCATTGGAAGTACGTAGCTATTCTGCTTTTGATTGTTCCATGCTGATTTAGACATCGCAGCCACGGAGAAAGCAGTTGGAAGAATCAGCCGTCCTCGGAATAACCAAGTGGTCGCAGCACCTTCAGATCCAGCACAGATGGGAGCAAGAGAAGCAGGAGCGTGAACGCAACGGCATGGAATACCTTCAAGGCCATGAGGATGAGAATGGAGGCCACCTACCAGATCCGCGGCGCATCTGTAAGTGTTCTTTCCACTGCTTCGATTGAGACGGGACATTCTCGTCAATCGTGGACATGACTAATTCGCCGTACCTGTATGTATAGTCCTCGCCCATCAAGCAAAACCGCGCTGCCACCGGCTTTTGTCTCTAGTGAAGCAATCATCCCTGCGGTCGTGGTCGTACTGGAACACCCCCTGCCCCTACTTGAGTTTTTGGCGCTAGAGTCTCGCTTACTTGACAACCCCGCCCCTCCCGCTTGGCGCGTCACGTCTGTTTAGATCTTCCGCGTCTCCCAATTTCTTGTACAGAATATCCCCTTCAACTTTTTGTCACCATCCAGCCCAGTGTCCTCAACATCACCATGAGGCTCCGACTTGTTGTCAGTCGGCATAGTCTGCCCGACACGCGTGTTCTGTGGAACATCGACACAAGCTCTTCACCGACCATCTACCAGCTGCTAGAGCAGGTCAACGAGATCATACCAATCGAATCAGGCGAGTGGGGCTTGGAAGATTACACTGTACAGTCAAATGGATTTGACTGCATACACTATAAAGGAGTGAGCGAGTTGTGTAAGGAGGATGAAGAGGTTCTGTAGGTTTGTCCGTCTTGATTCTTAATCCCAAAACTTACTTGTCCTTGCAGTATCAAACCACTTTCCTCTCGAGATTTGAAAGTACGAAGCATATCAGGCAGACACCAAATCACTTCAGATGGCAAGCATCTTGTGGATGGCGTCGCCTTTGGAAGACCACAACCCCTCCGACGATTTCCGTGGGATCGACCGGAGATTCATATACCACCCCGAAAGCGAGCACGAATAATGTCTTCTGAAGATGATATTGATGATGAAGGCTTCGCAGCTCTTAAAGATACAGAAGAACAAGAGACAGATGATGCAAACAAGCAATTGGTGCTGTGCGCCAACTTTGACGACGATGACTCAGAGGACGATGAGGATTTCACACCAGCTGGTGATGAAGATCAAGAAGACTTATCTGAAGAAGAAAATGAGTCTGCAGATGAAGATCTTGAGGAAGACTCCATTGATGGCGAAGGAGATGATACACAGAGTAACCCAGAGCAAACCGAGGTTGCGGAACATCTCGACGACGAAGGAGTACTTGCGGACTACGATGAAGCTGCTCGGATGAATATACGTAAGTTACACTCGGCATTTCCTGGGGCATCCTTGAATATATGTCGACATGTCTATGACCAAGCCGATGGCAACAGCATGATACTCTCGTGGGATGCTCTGAACGAAGGGTTCAAAGCCGTTGAGCCAAAAAGTGAATTTGCTGAAACATCACAAGAAGAAGCGAGTACGACCAATGCCAAGTCAAAAAAGCGATCTGCGGACGAACTTGAAGATGAGGACGAAGAGGAATCTGATGAGGAGAGTCAAGACCCTTTCTTAAATTACTACGACCAGAACGGATTACCACCTGGATCCATCACATCTGGGAAAGCTCTATCGGTCATGGCTGAGGCTGTGAAGGGCTCCCCAAACCGACGACTACAATCGGGCAGATCAGTCGCCAGCAATAAGATTAAATTCACCGATGAAGAATTATCGAAAGGTCTTACTTCCACACCACTTCTGGATGCGGACTTCCATGAAGATGAAAGTGAGGTAAACAGCGATGATTCTAGCGAGACGAGTAGCAGCGGCAGCAGCGATGCTCCAGGCGAGGAATCTGATAAGATAGACGTTGAGGATGAGGACACCTCTTCTTCAGGAAGTGATAGCTCTAGTGACTCTTTTAGTGAAGATGAGTCCACAGAAGAGGTTGTGAGCAAAACCAACGATGACGCTGCGGCAAGGTCTGATAGCGAGGAAGATGGGGATATTTCTTCTTCTTCAGGGAGCGATAGCTCTAGTGACTCTTCCAGTGAAGATGAGTCTATAGCAGAGTTGCCTTCTAAGATCGACGATGAAGCTGCTGTAGGGTCTGACGATGTTGAAGATGGGGATACCTC